TCTGCCTTTTGCTGGTTGAGAGAATGGTTGCTTCTTGAAAACACTGAAGTGTTGGACAATGGCAGACGAAGTTGATGGACTATAGGGAATTAGCGGAAATGACTGGCAAGATCCGAGACCAGGGTGAAGAGTCGGTGGAAGAAGATTGGAAAAAGTTTAAAGACTATTTATAGAAATATTGTAAAATTAAGGAACGTTAGAAAAATGTTGGAATGAAATTACATGGCTTTAGTAGAAATGTTATAAGGAATTAAGTATAAATAGATTAATAGAAAATTAAAGGAAAAGTATGGCAAGAATGTGTTAAGATAATTATAGAACAGAAAACAGAGTAAGATGGAAAGGAATTGCTGAAACAAATAATAGAAGTGGAATATAAAAAGGGAGGTGTGAGGAAGTCGCTGGAAATAAGTGAATGAAATATAAGATATTGAAAATGTTTGAGGTGTTTTTAAATTGTTTTTGTTTGTTTTTGCTTGATTTGTTATTCGTATTGTTTTTTCTTTTCTTTTCTTTTTCTCTGTGTTTGTAGTGTTGTGTTGGAAATTTTGAAAAAGTAATAAATATCATTAAAAAAAAAATGGAGCAGCTTCCACCGCTAACCGCAGTAGATGGGAAGCAGAGCTCTCTCCCACCCTCTCTGCTGCCAGACTCACTATTGTTTGGATGGCGTGCCCTTCTCCATCAGATTAGGACTCAGTTTAGGTCTCATTTAAATCCGTGTTTTCAGCTGCAAGTAATCGGAACATACAGAATCCAGCTCTGTGTAACTCTTAAGGACTGGCGTCTTAAGTCTGCTAATTTTCCTCTTTCTGATCTCTTACCTTTTGTGATTTCCAAGCCTGAGGGCAAAGACTGCCTCGTCTTAAATCTGTGTGCTTCGTAAAACAAACTGCAGATGTCTTTAAATTGCCGAGTTGCCTAGAAATCATTCGGTATTGGGCAACGAACAAATGGTAATAATTTGCAGAAGGGTAGCCACCCATCAGGTGAGCATCTTCGTCCAATGCCATCCAGTCAGTTGTCTCAGGGAAGCAGATATCAAGTCCCCCTGACCAGGATGTTGTCAGCGGCTCTGTTCCTAGGAAAGAATAGTTCCAGGGAGGGCAAAGGAGACAGAAGTGCCACTGACATTGGCTGTAACTTTTCAGAACTTGAACTCGTGCTTGTTTCCCCCTCTTCCCCCTCATTCCCTTTTCCTCATGTGTTTTGTCTCTTTTAGATGGTGAGCCTGAGGGCAGAGTCTGTCCTGGCCCTGATTTCTGCAAGCCAGTCATCAAGTCTTTTTGGCTAGAGAATGGGTTATGGGTTGTAAGTGCCATAAATAAATAAATAAACAATAAATATGCTTGCCAATTCAGGAATACACCATGCATCTGATGAGAGAGACTGTGCTTATGCCACAATACATTTTGTTAGACTTTAAGGTGCCACAAAACTCTAGGGGAAGGCTTGACAGGCAGTAATAAGGCAGATGTTTTGCACCCAAAGGTCTCCTAGGTTCAACCCCTGAAATCTTCAGTTAGGCTAGGAAAGACCCCTTGTTATTTGCTGCCAGCAAATTGTAGGCACTTTTGTAAGTGATAAATAATAATGCTAATACTGCTGCGGTTTGCTGTTTTTTAAAAACTCAGTTGCTGTTGGTTGTTTTTTTGAAAAGGTGTGGGGAAAAAACCATGCTGAAGTTTGGAAAGACATGATGGGAAACTTTTGGGGGGGAGCTGCACCCCCTCCCCTTCATAAAGCTGTTTCGATAGCACAAAAATGTGGCTAAATGTACACCCTGCAGAACAGAAGCCAGACACAAGGAATTTTGTTTTTGTTTTTTTCTTTTCTCTTGCAACCAGCAGGTGCATAAAAATTCATTCTGGTCAACAGTACTCAATTGATAAAAGTCGCACGTCTGCAAGAGATTCAGGCTAAGTTAAGAGGGATACAGTGTAGAAAGCTGGCGGTGGTTTGGCGAGTTCCTTGGGTGAGGGTGGGTTTCTCCTGCAGAAAACTTTGCTGCTGGGTCTCAACTGCACACTAGTGATGGCTGGTGCCCATTGGGACTGGTAGGGTGGAAGGCAGGGAGACCAACAGCAGGTGAAGCCAGAGCCAATGACAGGTGGAGCTGCCTCTGATTGGTTGATAAGTAAGGAAGCAGGTAGGTAGGAGGTGCCTACGATTAGCCGGGCAGAGCCCCATTTAATAAACTAGCCTCACAGAGCACACACACCAGACACGCAGTGAGGAAAGGAAGAGTGAGAAATGCAAAACTTGCGTATGTAGCTCATGTCTCACTTTTCGCTGCATAGTGAAGAGGGACTCCTGGAGTCCAGAGGAGGGGTCAGGTATATCCTTTATGCCGTACAACCGATGCATGCTACCATCAGCAGCAATAGGTAAAGGTAAAGGGACCCCTGATGATGATGATAATAATAATAATAATAATAATAATAATAATAATAATAGTTGTTGTTGTTTTGTTGTTGTTGTTGTTGTTTTGTTATTATTATTATTATTATTATTATTATTATTAATACCTGCCCATCTGGCTGGGTTACCCCAGCCACTCTGGGCAGCTTCCAACAAAACACTAAAATACATTAACCTATTAAATATTAAAAGCTTCCCTAAACAGGGCTGCCTTTAGATGTCTTCTAAAAGTTTGGTAGTTATTTTTCTCTTTGACATCTGATGGGAGGGCGTTCCACAGGGCAGGTGCCACTACCGAGAAGGCCCTCTGCCTGGTTCCCTGTAACTTAGCTTCTCGCAGCGAGGGAACCACCAGAAGGCCCTCGGTGCTGGACCTCAGTGTCTGGGCAGAACGATGGAGGTGGAGACGCTCCTTCAGGTAGGTCCAGTCGTGGCAGACTCTGGGGTTGTGGTGCTCATCTTGCTTTATTGGCCAAGGGAGCCGGCGTACAGCTTTCGGGTCATGTGGCCAGCATAACTAAGCCGCTTCTGGCGAAGCATAGCAGCGCATGGAAACGCCATTTACCTTCCCGCCGGAGCGGTACTTATTTATCTACTTGCACTTTGACATGCTTTCGAACTGCTAGGTTGGCAGGAGCAGGGACTGAGCAACGGGAGCTCACCCCGTCGCCGGGATTCGAACTGCCAACCTTCTGATCGGCAAGTCCTAGGCTCTGTGCTTTAACCCACAGCGCCACCCGCATCCCTATCAGCAGCAATAGGTAAGGCTAATTTTCCTGATACTTTGGCCTATGCTATGATCTCACTTGCACACAAAAAACCCAAGACACTGAGGTGGCTAAAGTGTTATTGGGCGGCAATGCTTCCAACTGCATATGGGGGATTTACATGATTGTTCCTGTGTGTGTGTGTGTGTGTGTGTGTGTGTGTGTGTGTGTGTGTGATTGAGAGAGAGATGGATAGGTGGGTGGGTGGGTGGGTGGATGTTCAGTGAATATTTCCCATGTGGAAAGATATAGCCACAAGAACCACCCACTTACTTGCTGAAACGATGCTGCCCATGAACTGTTTTTCAACCCCTCATCTACTGTTTGTGTGAACTAAATCTAAGGATCAAGCGACACATGCTTTTCAAAATACCGTAAATACCGTATTTTTTGCACCATAACACTCACTTTTTTCCTCCTAAAAAGTAAGGGGAAATGTCTGTGCGTGTTATGGAGGGAATGCCTACGGGTGGCATGCCTACGGATTTTCCTCCTCTAAAACCTACGTGCGTGTTATGGTCGGGTGCGTGCTATAGAGCGAAAAATATGGTAAATTACTTCCTCTCTAAGAAAAGGCAGCTGTGGAGACCTCTTATCAGCATTGGGATCACAACATGCAGCAAGCGTGCCCCCTCCTATCCCACCTCCTGCTGCTTTTTGCCCCCCAGGGGTGCTATATGCATCACCTTCAGGGGAATTAGCAAGGAGAGATAATTAAAGCAGGGAAACGGAGTGGAAACCAGCCCCCCTGTGCCAACATAGCCAAAGTTCAGAAGAGATGGGAGTTGGGGTGTTTGTGTGCAGAGGTCCCCCACTTCTCCATGGGTTCCTCCCCTTGTTCTTTGATCCTGATGAGGCCCCCACTTGGACAGGTGTTTTTCCTAATGCAGAAGGACTGGTGCACATTAAACACTAAGCCTTTTTAAAAAGCAAACTTAACATAAAACTGCAGTTGGTCCTGATGAATTGCACTGATGTGTAAAGAAGGAAAACAGCAGGTGCATATAAAATAACATGAAAATTGCCACTCATACTTCAGTTCCAAAACAGGCATTAGAGAGGCAGACAGACACACACTCGTATTGGGGCTGAGGCAGAGAACCACACACCCATTTTCACTTTGCCAGCGACTGCATTTTTGACAGGGAAAAGTATAAAATGCTAAGAGCTGGCCCTCCCTTTACAAGTGGGAAGCAATGGATAGTATTGCCACCTGCAAATGGATGCTGACTGTTTTCAGGCTACCCAAGCTTAGGCCACAGACAGCACTGATATACCTTGAAGGGATAAACCCAGGAAGCTACATGGAACTTGGGTGAGATCCTGCCACAAGCACTAGCTTGCGACCTGGAATGATGCTCAGAAGAGATGCTGGGTGGAAAGCCAGCTGCTATTTACCCCTTTGGGGTGAAACCTTAACAGATGTGTGCCTGGTAGAATAAATAAAAATGCAATGCATTGGAGCCTAGTCTCTCGAACACCCAATGTTCTTGAATACATTTGGGGTTTTTTTTAAACAAACATATCTTGGAGGGTTGCTTTTCTTTCTTTCTATCAAAATCTACTGGGCATCAAATATTTATCCAGTGTGGTGGCAGAGATGACAGAATATGAGTATTTTGGGGGTTTGGAGAACAATGAAGCTCCAAGGGTGAAAAAGCACTGTGCTTATTGCTGGCACATCAAAAGCAGCTGCAGTTCAGCGAGGGGCTTCTGGAATCTAAAGGAGGGAAGTTTGCAGTACTTTGCAAGATGCAATCTGGGAGTTAAACGCTTGTTTTTGCAGATCCATAAAAAGACCACCGGTAAATAATATGCTGGATCCTTTATCAGTCAATGAGCAATGCTCAGTGCCATTAGATAATCAGCAACCTATGGACCAAACCCTGGCCTACAAAATCACCGCTTTGCCCACAGTCCAGCCACGACCTCTTTAACCATCACTCTTAAGCCAGGCCTTTTCCCCACACTTAGGCATTTCTTCAAGTTCTAAAGCACCCTCTGGATGTTGTTGGATTTTAGCAACAGCCCAGCACAGAAATTTACTAGGCGCAGCTTTTCCTTTGGCTATTTCCATGCCTCAAAAAGCCCATCATCTGCATGCAAGCCTAGCATTAAAAGGCCCAGGAGCAAGGCTGGCAGAGGGGGAGTGGCAACTTGAGGCTTAGCGCATCATAGCTCCAGAATATCTGCGGACGATTTTGCTGATAGGCAAAATGGCAGCACAATATGAGTCACCTAGTGATTGTTTAGGAGAGTCCAAAATGCCATCATCTGCTCTAACCACCGCAGACATCTTTCCCAGAAGAAGCAGATCCATGGGATCTCTGTGGATCTCCTGCTTAGTTGAAAAGCATTCCCAGTATGCTTGCAGACAGTCTCTGTGTGTGCGTGTGGTGCTATAGGAAAACCCAAAGAGGACCCTGAATGTCATTCACACATTCTGAAACAGTGCAAGGCGGCACGTTTTGCACCAAAGAGGGAGGGCTCTAGAATTTTGTTTCAAAACCAGCTGTAAAAGTACAGGCTCGGTCCTGTCCTTCAACATGTTGTAAAACCGCATCTGAAAAGCATGGGCACGGAAGACTTAAGATGTAACCATCAAATTTGGCTCCCTGCTTAAGGTTTTCCCAGCAGAAAGAGGAGCCTCGGGGCAGGGAGAAACAAAAGGCCTGTGGAGCAGAGAGGTTTCTCTTTGGGGCAAGCCAGAGATTTATATAGAGAGCAAAAATAGATTACCGAGAGGAAAACTCCAGTGAAAGAGATACGAGGGTTTCCCCACTCGTTTGACCAAGGGGACTTGGGGGGTGGGGACCTACATGCTACAAGGAATCTGGAGCTGCCACAGAAAATTGGCAGCCCCACAGCAAAGGCCCCCACCCCTCCCACTGTCATGATGCCATTGTGGTGTGCAGTTCTGCTACCCAATGCTGTGAGGCAGGAATTGGGGGTGGGGTGGGGGACAACACAAACAGCAACGGCGTCAGGTGTGGTTGTGACCAGGGAGCACTTGGCATCTCCTTGGTGAGAGCTGTAATCCAAAACATCTGGAGGGCACCAGCTTGGTGAAGGCCGTGCTAAGTAAACATTTCCTGGATTGATCAGCTGCCTGGTAGATACAGGTGAGCCAGGCTCAGTCGACAGCTGTGTCCGACGCTGAGCACCAGCAGCCGGCTGTGGAGACACTGTGTTGCTTAAGGGAACCATGATACAGTGCGGTCTTCCCACGGCTATACAATCCAACTGTCAGTGATTTTACTGGGAAGGGCCTTAAAAGAATAGACTTGTGTCGCCCAATGAGGGATCCAGCAGCACCATTCTAGGCCGACAATTAGAACTGTGCTGATAGCTACACATCTCAATATATCCTAGTGAAAGATGGCTGGGGGCCATCTTGAAGGAGCTCTTCCAGACCCAAGGCTCTCTGTCCCCCTCTTCCCCCCCACTGCCCTGGGCCACTGCCCCACACTCTCCTTGTTACTCCCAGGGTCCAACGGACTGGCTGTCAAGGCTTCTGGATGAGAGTGCATTACGTCCTGGATGAGACTGCAATACGTAATGCAGCATCGGGAGGAAACTACTGGGAGAGGGAAGGGCTGGGACTGGGGTGCTGGCAGTCACTGGGAAATAAATTGATGTACGTGTCAGATGAGGAAGTTGGCTAGCCTGCCTGGCGCTCCCATTAACACCACTTTAGGCTCTTCTGCGGCTGGCAGTTGGCAAGCGAGGCGGTGACAAAGGGGAATGCTTTAAAAGCAGGTTTTGTTTTAAACTGTCCGGAGCGAAAGGGGCTAATGCTGTCCAGTCCTCTGAAGCTCGCTCCCTTCTACAGCAGGTGGGAGATGAGCAACGGACACTGTGGTATATTGGTCTTATTGCCGCTCCCCTACCCCAAGCTCTTAAAAAAAAAAGTCAGGCAAAAAAAGGATCTACCTGGAAATCCCCAATACTGGTAAGTTTTATTTCCTTGGCGTTGATAGAACGGCGGTTCACAAAGCTCACCTGATATACGAGTGCCTATTTGCAAGCAATCCTATTGGGGTGGGGGGAGAGGAAACAGCAGAATTAGCCCAGCTGCAGGTGGGAAGAGCTGGGATGGTTTTTGCAAGCACTGTAGCTGTGGACAGGGAATGAACGCCATCACTGTGGCAATAGTTGCTTCTCATCTCTACCTGTATCTTGGTACACATGAACCAGTTTTTTTTTGGGGGGGTACCTTTTGGCAACCCAGCTGTTATTGTACAACATCTCCCATCAGCCTTGCCTCTCGGCCGTGCCGACTGAGACCAATGGGCAATGCTGTTCACCAATAGCTGGAGGGCAAAAGGTTTCCAGCTCCTGACATTTAATGGTTCCCCTTGTGTGGAACTGGTCCTGCCTGCATAGCTCAGTCCGAAGAGAGGTATCTTTATTCTATGTGCAGTTTGCATCCCAAAAGCATGCAGGGAGAAGGGTTGAGATGGAAACTTCCCCATGTGGAGACAGCACAGGGGAGGAACCCAACAACCAACACCCCTTGCCCATCACGTTAAGTGTGCAGGAAGAGTTGATTATTACATCTGCTGCTAAAAGATTCCTTTTTAAAAAAAATATTATCCGAGCTGTTTCCTAGGGATGCAGAAATATGCTCCGTTTACCATGTACATATTTACACAACTATTTTAAAACAAAGGGTAAGTTTTAAAAAGTAGGGCTTGAGAGAGGGAGCCCTGCCACTGCAAGAGCAAACCCTACTGGAAAGAGAGACCTCTTTATCTGTCCTGGCGCCTTCAAAACAAGGGAGTGTGACACACAAAAACTGCCCTGGTGACACTCTTCCTGATGGGGTGAGGAATGGTGGGCCTGTTAAATGATGTGTGCCCTACTATTGACCGAAACACACTCTGGGATGTACTGCCATTTCCCCATCCTCCAACACCACCGCCACAGCTACCTCTTCTTTCCTAATCTGTTGCGGTCTAAAACAGAAACTGGGACTGCTGAGGAGGACAGCCAACCAGACACACTGAGGAAGAGACAGGGGGCTTCCTAAACCGCCTTTGGGTCCCTCAGTAGGCTTTTTGGGGGGAGTATCTTCCTCACAGTGTGGCCCAGAGGAGTTACCTTGGCCTACCCTGGACAACCGGGGCCCTGGGGAGAGGGGGACTTCCAGGTTGCCCATAGCAAGAGACCCAGTATAACCACTCAAAATGCAGGACACGGCGCAAAGATGAGAGAGTACCGGGAGGCACATTGTGCCTGAGGGCAGCATGCCAGAGATCAGACTTAAGACTCCATCTTTTAAGCTACCACCTGCAGCCTTGGTGGCCTTCTTTTGCTGCCTCCTTCTTGTCAGTTACGTCCCAACAGAGGCCTGTGTGCGAAGCTCCCTGATGCAAACGGTGCTCCAAGAAGAATTAAATGTCCCGGAAGCCCTTGAGCTCTCCTGGGATGGAAATAGTGTACCGAAAACCCATCGCTGCAGAAACAAGACGCTGGAGAAGAGGTTGGCTGGACGGTCCTCCTGCTGCTGGAGAGGAACCAGGGACGCAACGGCGCAGACAGCTTTCCTGAGGTGCCGCCTTGAGCTTCCCCCCACCGAAAGAAATGTTTTTGTTTTTTTAAAAAGCCATTTAGCTGCAAGACAATCAGATGCGGTAAAAAGTTAAGGGGAGCCTTGAGATATGTCAAGCAGCAGAGTGGATTTCCTAAAGCTATAGCTGGAAGGAAAGCGGGGAGCGGGGGACAGTGTCAGCACTCCCTGAGTGTGGGAAATGTACTTTTTGGGGATGGGAGGAAATGGGTGGAATGAGAAGGTGAGTCCTGCCCATGCCAGCTGGATGACTCTAGGACTATTTCTGCTTTTGCTGGTGCAATGGTCGTCTTCCTCCGACACCACCTTGCCCTGCAGGGAGAGTCAGGGAGGAGGAGGGGAATCCAGTCTTCGGCGAGGTGTGTGTGTGCTGTCTTCTTCCCCTGGCCTCCATTTCTTCCTGGGTGTGCAAATGAAGCTGGTGTTCTACCTTCGGGTGGAGAAATGGCAGAGGAGGAGGAGAAGAAGGAGAAGGCCCCGCTTCTCCTCTTATTTCACTTATTCTTCGCCATCACCTTGTAGAGTGTGACTCCCACAACGGCGGCGACCGTAGCTCCCAAAGCTACCCGGATCCAGAAAGAGGCGGTGCCCAGGTTGATGTCGTTCAAGTGCCTGAGAGGCAAAAAAGGGAAGCAGCGTTTCAGCCCAAATGATAAACACAAACTGGGGTTGGAGGGAAGGAGGAGGAGGTGTATGGTCGTGACTTTCCCCCAAGTATGCTGGGAAGTGTAGTTTATTAAGTGGGCTGGACATTGTTAGGAGACCCCTAGTCCTCAAAGTGAGCTACAACAATTCCCAGGGTTCCCTGGGAAGAGGGACTATTAAACCACTCTCAGGACCCATAACAAGCTACACTTCCCAGCATTCTTTGGGGTAAGCCATGACTGTTTAAAGTGGCATCATAATGCTTTAAAGGCACAGTGTGGCCTGAACCATTTCTCTTTATGAAGGCAGAATGTTAGGTTGTTGGGGTTGTTTTTTTAAAAGAAAGCATGGAGTCTCGCAAACAAAATACTAATGGGTCCTTTCCCACAGTCACTCGTTATTTACACGCCAGGCAGGCTGGGCCAGAGGCATTACGCTAACACTTTGACCTAGCAGGGGTATAAATAGTGTGGCAAGTTCTAAATAATTTGTAGCAGAAAAGAGCTATAGTTGTGCCTTTCTAGGTCATGCTGCTGTGGCACCTGTTCCCATTAATGGAGACCCACATGAAAGGGGGAGGGAATCCAACTTGAAAAAGCAGTGATCTATCTCTGCCTCTGGCACGAATCTTATGCGTTTTCCTAGGGAGGGGAAGGGGGTTAGGCAGGAAGGGTTGTTTACGCTGCTAGTCCTACGGAATACTGTCTGAAAGCCTGAAAGCAGCAGACCATTTAGCAAGCCTAATTTGTCGCTGAGGAGAAAGCACCCCCTTCCACGTAGGAACGGTGTAGGGAAGCACCACTTAGCAAAGGCAAGCGGCGCTATGCTGTGACACGCAGCCTTGCCTTACCAATCCTGACCCTCACCTCACAGCTATCTGCAAGTGCAGCAACCAACACACCTCAAACTTAATGGCTGTCACGTTTCAGCATAAAGTGTCGGGAATGAATACAGGCATTCCGACTTTGTCTGGAGGCGCAAAGTTGGTGCAGGACCTGGGAAAGCCGTGAGATATTTGTCCAAAGTTTGGGGAAAGGTAAAATGGTCAGAAGGATGGGCTAGACACGAAGCAGACTGAAAGGAAGCTGAAGCAAAGGGGTAAATGAGGCAAGGTTGTTAATAATATTGGGAGAGGAGAAGCAAGGGCTTAAGGGAAAAATGGGAGGGGGGAGGCACTCAGCTACAGCTCCCATCCTGACAGCTACATTTCCAGCATCCAAATGTGATCCATACCGAACAAGACACGCTGGTTGGTAAAAGGAGAGATTTTTTTTTTTAAAGGTCCTTGTAAACAAAAGGATATCATCAGTCACCCAGAGCATTTCGTTCCTAACTTCCCTTCATCATAACATTAATTTTATTGCACTGCCTCCCTTTTCTTCTTCACAGGCATATTAGGAAGATTTAAGAATTGTGGCATAAATAAATAAAGCTCTTAATGCAGGGCCCGAGACTGGCTCAATCTCCCCTGCCCTTTTTGGTTTAACTGGCTATAAATAATGGATTTATCATACTCCTTGGGGAGAAGCTTACATCTAATACCAGCGGGCAAAAAGCAGCGCGTTCCCTCGCAAGCTCCTGGCTTGTTAAAATAACTGACTAGGCCCAAAGCCGCCATCGCAGCGTTGCTCCCAGAAGATGCCGGCTGCAGGGTAAGAACAACAGTGTTGTTCGCCAGGGCCAAATAACGTTCACGATGCTGGGATGGCAAGCTTTTGAGTCACACAGAAATCCTCTTCAGGGTGTGCATTGAAAAACAGGGTTAGGGAAACTCACTCAGCCCGAGGGCCACATTCCATTCTGGGTAGCCCCAAGGGCCGCATGCAGGTGATGGCCGAGGCCAGAGGCAAAAATTCACCCAACCAAAGCCCAGCTGCCCACTAAGGAGGACTATAACTAGAAGGAGAACGTTACTAACGGGAAGGTGGCAGCCGTGGCCAGTTTGGCGAAGGCGGCGAGGCTGGGTGGGCCCTGCCCACTGCAGGTGAAGTAAAATGGGGGCGGCAGGCGGTGCTTGTAGCAGAACTCGGCCGGCGAGAGGCCATGTTGTGGCGACGTCTCTGGCAGGTCTGCCTTGCAGGCCACGAAGAGGCAAGGGATCTGCCCGTCCATGTAGTGCTGCTGCAGAGGAGATAGTTAACAAACAAATATCAAGAGAGGCTTTTCTGCTGGATCAGGCCACTGGATCTGGCCCTGCGCTCTGATCTCACCAGATGCCTCAATGGCAAGCCTGCAAGCAGGTCCCAAGTGACACCACACAACTCAATTATAAGGGGAATAAAGTTGCTTTGCTGCTGCCAAGAAACCCTTGCTGATCAACTGCAAATTATCCAGAGATCTACCAGTAGATCCCAATCTACTTCTTGTTCACCCCTGCTTGCAGACTTGTCGCCCACCAGTAAACCTACTTGGATGTTCTTGAAAGCACTGGCCAAGCAAAGTGTGCTCCTAACCCCGCTTCCCTGGGAGTAAGCTCCACTGAATTCAATAGGACTTACTTTCTGAGGAGACACAGTTAGGATTTGCACTGCTAGCCGTCAGTCTGAACAGCTGCTCCTCAGCCAAGGGGGGAGCAAGGACAAGGGAAGGAGTACCTTATAAATGCTGGCACAATAGTTGAAAGACTTGTGGTCTGTCACATCGTACAATAAGCAAGCAACGTCGCAAGCTGCATCAGATGCCTTCGCAAACTCTGTCTCCACATTAATCTCGTGCAGCTGGCAAGAAATACAGGGAGGAAAGTATATCTGAAGCATTTCAGGACAGTCTTTCTTTTAACATAAAAAATATCTCTCATGTCACTTCTTCTGAACAAGGGATGGCATTGTTCATTCTTCTTACCAAAAGAAACACACAGACTTCAGGTAACAGATGCACAGGCAACTTGTACACTTAATGATGAATAGGCAATGTTCTTTCAGCTTCTGCTGCCCCTATCATTTCCCCCCTACTTCTCTCTCTCTCCCCCCCCACTAGAATGTAGACTGGAAGCTCCTTGGGGCAGGGACCTGTTTTCTATGTCACTTGTTAAAATGCCATATACATTAATGACACGAAATAATTATAATAGCTATGAATATGGTAAAGTATTTTTTTAAAAAAAATAGTTAACAGGAGCCAAGAGCAAAGTATTTTATTTACTGCCCTCACAACCTGCTTCTACACGGATGAGTATCTACCAGAAGTCCCTGGTTCCGGGCCAGATCTGTGCCTGCCACATTAGCTGCTCCCAGACCACTCACTGCGTCCTCTGAAGAGCTACTCTGGGTATCAAAATTGACATGCTCCCCCCCGCCCACATTTAAGAGAAGACATTGGAAGTAATACCATCAAACTGTTTTGGGAACCCACCCCCCCTTCTTTCAAAAGTGGTGTACTATATATAGACCTCCTTGGGAACAGTAATTCAAGAAACGCTTATCAACAGCCCTCTCTGGAACAGGTGGGCAAACCCACTTTGCAGCCAATGACTAACTGTATCACAGAGCTAGGGGTAAGCAACCTTTTTGGCGCCACAGGCCAGATCCTTATCAGCATAAGGCCCTACGGGCCAAATATGAGAGGTAAGTGGAACATACTGGCTTAAGCAGCCACACCATGCAGGATTTAACACCCCACTCTCCCCTTAGTTGATGGGCAGGAGATTAAATGTTGCTGCACTGGCTGCAGGGAACTGGTGTGAACAGCCGCTGCAGTTGAACCTCACTCCCACCCCACCCATCAGCTGATGTCACTGACCCAGGTGGGCGTGGTTTTGAGAAAATTGGCCAAATTGGAACATCTAGCTGGCCAAGACTGGCCCATGGATCAGACGTTCCCCAAGTGTCACAGAGAGAGAATCGCCACAGAAGTGATGTTCGTGTGTATGGATATGTGAATGATGATGTACCTAAGTCTCTTAGGTTAAAGGCGGGGAAAGAAGCGTTGACATTTTTATGTCAATTGACTAAAAATTTACTTCCGTATTTAGGACTTAAGATCACTGTAACTGAGCAAACTTACTATCAGATGCTTTTCCTGCCCATTGACTTGCACTGTGTTAATTGAATAGAAGGACTCCTTCCCCTCGGATTCCCTTTGGGCCTGGAAAAGGAAGGAGGAGCAGGGATTATTTGTATTTTATTTATTACCCACAGGTTCATCACTCAGGAAAGAACAGGCAGCAGAGGACAAGAAGAGAGACTTCTAGACTCACAGCCAAGTTCTTCCCAAGGAAGGCTTGCAGGAATGCAGACTTGCCAGCTCCTCGGGATCCAATCACTTTGCACAGGAAAACATTCCGATGTGTCTGGCCCTTCTCCAAGTCAATCCTTTTCTCCCGTGTAACTGGAGCAGAAGAAAAGAGGGGCTGGGTGAAATGATGAAGCCTTCCCTTCTTTCCTGCTGCTGGGGACACAGCCTCCAAGCAAGTGCTGTCGTTGCTGGACAGGAGGCAGCTATGATTTTATGGGTGCAATGCTACTGCAAGGCGCTCTACGTGGGGCTACCTTTGAAGGTGACCCGGAAACTACAACTAATCCAGAATGCGGCAGCTAGAATGGTGACTGGGGGCGGCCGCCGAGACCACATAACACCGGTCTTGAAAGACCTACATTGGCTCCCAGTATGTTTCCGAGCACAATTCAAAGTGTTGGTGTTGACCTTTAAAGCCCTAAATGGCCTCGGCCCAGTATACCTGAAGGAGCATCTCCACCCCCATCGTTCAGCCTGGACACTGAGGTCCAGTGCCAAGGGCCTTCTGGCGGTTCCCTCGCTGCGAGAAGCTAAGTTACAGGGAACCAGGCAGAGGGCCTTCTCGGTAGTGGTGCCCGCCCTGTGGAACGCCCTCCCATCAGATGTCAAAGAGATAAACAACTACCTGACATTTAGAAGACATCTGAAGGCTTTTAAATGTGTGACATTTTAGTGTATTTTTGGTCTTTGTTGGAAGCCGCCCAGAATGGCTGGGGAGACCCAGCCAGATGGGCGGGGTACAAATAAATAATAAATAATAATAATAATAATAATAATTATAGTGTACATTGATCACTGGGAGCTGATGCCCATTGGGACTGGTGGGGCAGAAGGCGGGGACAACGGTAGGCAGATCCAGAGCCAATCGCAGGCAGAGCCAACTAATTCTGGTTTCGTTCCCACCTCCTCCCTGCCGAGTTCTACAAAGGCAACACTGAAATGCAGCCGCCTCCACTGCCCTTCATAACCATTGGAGGGGACAGAAAACCCACAATGCTCAGGCTCATTCTCCATTCAACATGGAAGCAGGTGCTCGATAGCTCTCGACAGAGGAGGGCAGCAAGCAGAAAGGGCAATAGCTGTGCCAGGACAGAGGAGTCCCCTCTCCTCCCGATTCCAAGGGGCACTGAAGCAGGAGTGGGGCCCACCTGTGATGGCATGGATCTGGGAGTCCTGCTCAGAGAAGATGGGGTAGCCAAGGTAAGCCAGGTGCTCCAGGCAGCGATGGACATCCAGGTAGGCAACCAGCCTAGGGGAAATCCAAACAGAGAGAAGGTTGCCCGTTACTGGGATCGCTGGGAGGGCCCGCTGCGTGTGAAGCGGACAGGGTGATTGAGGGAGGAGGCAGAGAAGGGCTGCGCTTACGTCCACTGGCAGAGGAATCCATGCAGGGAAAGCAGGCCTTTATCAGTGGTGCATACCGTGTGGTAGAGCTCAGGCCCCCAGGGCATGTAGGGGAATACACTAAAGAAGCTGTGCAGCTCGGCGGGAGAGAGGGCTCCATCACCGTCCTAGAGACACGGAGGGGAAGAAAGAAATGGGCACCTGAGTAGCAGCTCTCCATCGAATGGAAGTCTACCCATTGTCACACAGGGTGGGACCACACGTGGTTAGCAAGATTCAAACAGGCAGTCCCCGAAGTGTCCGTGTTAAATATTCACATTGGTTTTAAATGGCGGGGTTTTTTAAAATTACTCCTTCAGTTTCTAATACTGCATTGCATTGCGATCTGAATTCTACGGAATGCAAATTGTGATACAATGAAGTACAATATGTAAGAGATAAGAGAGTTGTAACAGCTGTAAGCAGTAAGAGCTGTTCAGCAGTGAAATGGACTACAGGCAGCAACCATTTTAGACACGTCAGATTGGTCACTGCCTGTACTTCAGAAGGGGATGGACTCTCCTTCACTGGAGGTTTTTAAACAGAGGTTGGATGGCCATTTGTCAGGGATTCTTTAGCTGTGATTCCTGCATTGCAGGGGGTTGGACTAGATGACCCTTGGGGTCCCTTCCAACTCTACAGTTCTACGATTTTACGAAAATAAGCAATACAGAAACACAGTCAATACAGCATCTAGCATAGCAGAATACGATCGCTTCAGAAGCCAGGGAAAAATCATTTAATGGCCCGCCACGACCACTGGTCAAGACCACCAGCTATGTCCAAGTGGTCTGCAGGGTGGGTGGGAAGGTTTGGGCACTGCTGTTGTTCAAGTGACATCCCTTTGCTCAACTCTGGAATGGCCTACAAGCCTATTTAGGGGCAAGCAGGGCACAAAACAGCCAGACGCGACTCGAGTGCCAACGGCAATCATGCAGCGGAGATCAAAGAACTGCAACCCTTGGGGGTGGGTGTGTGTGGCACTGGCAGCAGCACTGTTCTGCACAGCCAAGGCGTGTGTGCTTCTGTGCAGCTCACCTTGTCATGCTTCTCAAACATCTTCTGCAGGAACTGGTAACCAAAGTGATTCAGCTCCGTGGAGCTGTCATGAGGCACCCGGATCCTGAAAGAAAGGAGGGCAGCGCTGGTCAAGGCAGGTCCTCAAGAAGCCTGGGACTTTTAAAAACCAAGTACAGCGGTACCTCGGGTTACAGACGCTTCAGGTTACAGACTCCGCTAACCCAGAAATAGTACCTCAGGTTAAGAACTTTGCTTCAGGATGAGAACAGAAATCATGCGGTGGTGGCGTGGCAGCAGCGGGAAGGCCCCATTAGCTAAAGTGGTGCTTCAGGTTAAGAACAGTTTCAGGTTAAGAACGGACCTCCAGAAATAATTAAGTTCTTAACCCGAGGTACCACTGTAATACCTCCCAACAGGTGAATAATGGCCACTCTCTGAAACCCATGGCTGGAACTGACCCCAAAAGGAGGGGAAACCAAGACTTAGGAATGGAAACCAGTAAAGGACTCTTTCCAGATGGCAACTAAACTTGCAAATGCTAAGGAACAAGCATGGTGGGGGGGGGATCACAAGGTGAACACAGAGAATGAGCACCTGCTCAACATGCAGAAGGTCCCAGGTTCAATCCCCAGCACTTCCAGGTAGGGCTGGGAATGTATCCTGTCCCAAATCCTGGAGAGTTGCTGCCAGCCAGTGTGGACAATACTGAGCCAGATGGACCAATAGTCTGACTCAGTATAAGGCAGCTTCCTGTGTGTGAGTTCAGAATCATGTCTTCCCATTGTCCCATATGTCAGTGGTCCCCTCTTTCTCCTTCCCCTTAACATTCAAGAGGGCAACAATTTACGCACGGCGGGCAGAGATAGTCGTCTGTCAGCTCCAGGGCATCATCATAGCCAAAGCGACGCAGGATGGTCCACGTAGTCTCATGACGCCCCCTTTGGATGAAGAGCGTATTGAGGAAAAGGAAGCCTGGAAGAGAGGAAAGGATTTTGGGTCCCAAGTGCATAGCATGATCAGCTGGCAATGGCAACAGAAATGCCAGAAAAGCTGATCTGTAGTGATCTCACACCACACAGGCAGCAGCTCCGAATCTTCGCGAGATTCAGCTGCTGGGTGCCACTTCCTGGTGCACACTGAAAGTCACATGACACAGGTGAGACCGTGTGCCTCTGACTGGTTTGCCCTGACCTCGTCTAGGACACTGTATCTGACTTTTCCAACTGCTTCCATCATAGGCACCACATATCCTTTGTTTCTATTGCCAGACCCACACTCTGTAACAGGGTCGCAACTAGGCCATGAGTGAGATTTCTGCAGCTGGAGTTGCCAGCTAGAAGATCTTGGCACAGGAGATTCTGGACAAGTTAAATCCCAAACTCTCCTATACAATATTTAATTAATGGATGGAAATCTCAGTGTGACAAAACTCACTTACTGCACAAAAGGTGACATTCAGACTTATTGCTCTGCCCACTTTTACCTCTGGCTCCGCCCACTATTGGCAGGTGGCTTCCAGACGGCTGTCCAGAAGGGAAAGGCTGCCCAGGCTGAAAAAGGTTCCTCACCCCCTGATTTAACCCAATGAGTCTTCCCTGCCTTCTCAGTCGTTCAATTTATTCCCATGTGTAGCAGTAAAAGCACTCCCCATGTTCTCTCGTCTGATACTTTTCCTCTCCTGGTGCAACTGCTAAATCGTTCCCCAGCTTGTTCAATCAGAATCAAACGAACACAGAGAGTTGCAGCAGTGAACAAGGAAGCTCTGTTAAAATGAAAGCTCATTCAAGCAGGAAAACACGCAAAGCAACTGCCTGCAGCCTGTTTCAAACCAACATCAATTTTGCCCTTGGGATACGTGGTCTAAACTGGCTGAGCAGCCCTGGCTTCAAAGGATGCCCCTGGGCTATCTGTGCAACTCTGCAGTGCTGCTGTCCCTCTTTCTGATCCGCCAAGATGGGCTCTAAGATGATCCCCAGAGCCAGGCATGCAAGTTTTCTGCTGGAGTTACCATTGAGGGTCAGTCCGTTGTCCTGGACTCCATCTGTTGTGTTTTTCCAGACCACCATTTTCACATCTTCCAGAGCCTGGGGTGCCAAAGGATTTCCGAAGCAGGACTTCTACCTCCCAAGAGAAGAAAGGTGGGGCCAAATCAGGAAAATAGGCAGTTCCAGTTTATTTATTTTTAAACCTATTCCACTGGAGCCAAAAGGAAGAACCATACCACTTTAGTAGCTACTGTAAGGTTATTACATCCTATATTCAACAATACCCCAAGTTAGGTAAAGTCAGTTCATGGGATCTGACATTCAACGATTTTAGAATCACAGCATTTGGGGTGGGAAAGCCAGCACTTCTAGCCTTTAGGAAGACAATAGCATTTATTTATTTCACTTCTAAAGAAACATCCTATTTCACTTCTAAAGAAACATCCTAATGGGATTTAACAGTAAAAACACCACCACGATGGGTTGCCGCCAACTGCCTTTTACTCAAGAGTAGACCCACTGAAATTGATGGACCCAAATGACTTCATGCCCATTAATTTCAATGGGTCTGCTCTGAGTAGATCTAGCACCGGCTACAACCCAATAAAAACAATTGCAGATTCAATACAGGTCCCAGTAAAATCTCAGAAACTGAGAAAAAAGAGACTTGCTAACCCTCTGCTGTTGCAGCTTGCCTCCCCACCCAAAATTAAATTATCCAGTATGCACAAATTTGCATATAAGCTTTAGAATCTGGGTCTTTCAGGAAAGCTGGAGCTAAGAAACCAAATTTGACAGCCTTGTGCAAATAGCTGCTGACTCAAGCTTTCACCTTGCGAGAAGAATGGAGCTGCTAACTCAGGTAAACACTACAGTTCCTTTTCCATTGACTGGAAAATGTGATTTTCCTCCTCTCACCTGCTTCATGGAAGAGGAACCAGGAGAATTCACGTCTGCAACATTATACAGTTGGGGAAAGCAGGTTGTTGGCAATACTAGCCAATCCTACTCCTGCTCAAAGCAGACCCACTGAAAACAATGGACATGATTCACTTATGACCATGAATTTCAGTGGGTCTACTCTGTGTATAACTTAGTTGTATGCAACCAAGACTGTTGATTGCCAGCGGCTGATTGTCAGAATAAATTCCTAAGAAGTCAGGACTTAACCTGATGGCAAATTAACTGGATCAGCAACATTTGTCCTCCCCATATGTCTGGGGGCGCAGAACAAATTCTGTTGCCTCTTGAATGGAAACATCGAAGCTGATGCCCAAGAGGATCTGCAGCAAAGCCAGGACAAAGTAGGATGAGGATCAAATGCTGGAGTAGGCCACAAAGTCAGGAAGACCCTTGACAAAATAACTAGTATTGGGGCTATCTTGAATCGAATTAAGAAAAAAATAGAGTCCTTCACCAATCAAAAGTCTAGCCCAGGAGCCATTTTTATTTTTATTTATCAAAATTTATATTCTGCTTGTTCATAAAAACTAAGTGGTTTACAAAAATATAAAACAAAACATTAAAATTATTGATTAAAAACAGGTATTTTAAAATATACAAAAGCTGATTAAAACCATCAGTAGCTAATAAGAAACCAAACACATGTAACTTCAACAAGTCTGGATAGTTTTGCCAAAATAAAAATGTTTTAAGCAGGCACCGAAACGGGTATAGTGAAGGCACCTGATATCAATCGGCAGGGAGTTCCAAAGTGTAGGAGCTGCCTATACTTGAGGGCTTTCAAGGTCCACTAACAGCAGAGAATGATGTAAAATTTGGGCCATAGGGCTGTATCCAACTAAGTTAGAATACACCCACTGAAATTAGCGAACCTAAGTTAGTTGTGTGCATTAATTTCAATAGGTCTACTCTGAGTAGGACAAGTACTAGTTATACTCCATAGCCTCCACATCTAAGTGATTAAACACCTTTCAATAACCTTCTGCCAAATTTGGGGGTTCTTTTTAAAAATCTACCTCAAGAATCAAGGAGGCAAAAGCAGATTATGTGAACTGAAATCATTGTCAAATAAAACCCTGCCCAGAGAAACAATCTGGAAGCAATAGAAGGCTTACTTTAAGATCTTAGACCATGCTAAAATTTCAAATTTCGGTGGCAGGAAATTATGAGAATGCAAAACTTAATTTTCACCAAGGAAAAGAAACAGTGTGACAGTTAACGTGACTTTAAAAAATATATTTTGTGGGTGTTGCTTTTTTAATCCATAGAATAGCAGGAAAAATGAACATAGATGTGGAGAAAATGAAGGGAACTGGAAAAGTGCCGGACTGGTTACACTTCAAGCAGAGCAATAAGAGGCTTATGATCAAAAGGCTGCAAAAACTTAAAGGTCTAAATTTTAAAGGATGGGCATCAGCCGCTGTCTGCAAACAGGACTCTGCATACCTGGCACTAAAACACATCCAGCAACTCAATCATGTGATTTATGTGAATTGTCATGCTTCCTGTCCATAAAATTTATTCTAATTTCTCTTGTCATAAGGAGGTGCAATCAGGAACGCGTAGCATTGCTCACCGTCTGCGCTTTTTGATTTCTTTGCTTTAACTTGGTGTCAGGCCTCAGCTTGATGATTAACTGCTCTAATTTGTTTCCTATTTTTTAGCTTGTTCGTGTTCTGATGTACTTATTACAGCCTGTCTTTAACCCATTTTATTGCCGCAGGATTGCAATGTAATGAAGGACAGTTTATAAGTGAGGCAGACAAAATACATTCTTATTCAGCTATCCCACCTGGCTGCTGAGGCTTTGGCAACTGCAGCCCCCAAATAGGAAGGTATATTAATTGTGCCTGTATGGGTGAAAAACTTGCTTAGGTTAAAAAAAAGGGGGGGGTGATAAGAAGAGATTGCTGGATTAGGCCAATGGTCTACATAAACCAATCAGATTGGGAAAGATTATAGAGGGAGGATTTGAAATTCACAGCATGCTGTACATTGAAATAAAATTATATGAAAATGATGTGCAGATGGTATTTGACTTCCACACTACCAACGTATGTTGGAAGTGTAAAGAGAATGAACGCTCATTCTACCACATATGGTGGATGTGCAAGAAGGCTAGAGCATCCTGGGAAATGATATATAATGAACTGAAAAAAATGTTTAAGAAAACTTTTGTAAAAAAAATGGAAGCTTTTTTAATAGGCACCACAGGAGAAGAAATACCAAAGGACTTAAAAAGACTGTTTACATGTATGCAACGACAGCTGCAAGAATGCTTTTTGCCCAGAGATGGAAGGAAGAGGAAAGACCAACCAAGTGGATAGTGAAAATGATGGACTATGCTGAAATGGTGAAAATAACTGGGAAGCTCAGACACCAAGATGACAGTAAATTTTAAAAAGAATAGTATAAAATTATAGAGTACATTAAGGAACAATGTAAAGATTTAAAGATGTTAGTAAGATAGGGTTGACTGTAATTTTTAACAGGTAAAGGATTAAATAAGGATTTAATTGAAGTTGGATATATGTAATTAGATGCGGTTAAAATTTAAAAATGTATCTGTGGAAAACCAGAAGGGGGAGGATGGAAGTCCAGGGGTTCAGGGAATCCCACAATTGTATAAATATTGCTGAATTTAAGTTTGAATGATGTTAATGATGAAAAACTGTACACACACACACACACACACACACACACACAAAAACTATATTAAATGGTCTACATAAACCAGCATCCTGTTCTCACAGTGGCCATTCAGATGCAAGCAGGACTTGAGCACAAGAAAACTCTGCTCTCCTGTGGTTTCCAGCAACTGGTAGCAAAAGCAAAAGAGGAAAGCCGATATTTACCAGAAGCTGCATGGAGTTACCCAAAAGTATGTTCTGCATTGTTTTGTTACATGGGAACATACCTGGAAATAGTTCAGCTCCTCATCACTTAGGATCTGGTTGTTATCCTGGTCAGACATATTGAAGATCCGAGTGAGGGCCCGTGCGCATGCTGGCCTCAGCTGGTGGTAGAAAAAGAACACGATTTATTAAAGCAGGCCATAGGAAGCACTGGTTCTCCACTCCTCTTCGTTGCACAGAATGCCCTGATTACAGGCAGAAAGGATGACAAAATCAAAGCCATTGTCCAGGCAATCTAGGAACAACAGAGAGGGCTGGTGTTCAATGTAGTATTACATCGGGGATGGAGAACCCACATCTGTCCAGATGTCGTTGGACTACAGCTCCCATAAGCCCCAGCCAGCAAGGCCAGTGGTGAGGGATGATGGGAGTTGTAGTCCAGCAACATCTGGAGGGCCACAGGTTCCTGAGCCAAACTGGTTCAGAGGTGCAGCTGCAAGGCAGCTTGAGCTGGCATTGTAGGATGTGCCTGGAAGTGATGGAACTCTCCAATCTAAAGAACTTTAGAAGACAGCTGGGGTCCTCTCTGGGTACAAAACCTATTTGCGACTCTGAGACGATGTATCCTACCTGCTTCTCCTCTGGGTCGTAGAGAGGAGCTGTTGGGTGCAGAACAGCCTTCTGGGCGTAATAGAACAGCTCAGAGATGTTCTTCAGGTTCTTTGCAGAACACTTGGGAGAGCAAAGAGGGGAGGGGAGGGAGAGAGAGGCAATTTGAGAGAGGCAGAAAGGAATGCTGAACCAACACAAACAGCACAGGCTGGAAAGAAATGTTTCAAGATCTCTTTTTCAGGCAGGCCACAGAGGAAGAAGCCCAGGACTAGAAGATGTTATAAACAGGGAAGCTTCCTGTTTAATTTCCACTCTGGAGGGCAACTCAACAGAGGAAAGACAAGACCACTGTCTGTGCATTCCCTTTCAATTATGGTCACATATATCAGAGCACTACAATTCCCATAATGCTTTGGGGTGGCAGTGGGGGAGCGAGAGACCATGAGTCCTTCAAGTAGTTTAAATAACTACCATGGGCAATTTTAATAAATGCATACATGACATTTAAAACAAAGATCTTGACAGATCTGCAACATCTTGTATAGCTTTAAAAGACTGGACAAATTCAAAAGGATAAGGCTATCAATGGCCTCTACCCACGATGCTTCTACTGTCAGCTGGGAATCACAAGTAGGTTGAGGGTTGTTGTGCTCAAATCCAGCTTGCAGGCTTCCCATAAGCATCTGCTTGGCCATTGTGAGAACAGGAAGCTGGTCTAGATGGGCCATTGGCCTAACCCAGCAAGTTCTTCTTAAGTTTGTACAGGACTTTTTAAAAATCTGTCCTGAGTCTACTGAACTCAGTCTGTGCGTACTGGACTTTAAGAGGAAGTGGGACATACAAATTCAATGAATAAATAAAATAATAACAATTCTGCCAATCAGTTTTGTTGATGACCATGGCAAAGGTGAGGAAGTCCTTTCTATCCACTGGCTGCGTTTGGCCTGCCTTCTACCATCAGCTCAGTCATAAGGGCTGGTTTGACTGGTGTCGTAAGTTTCCCAGCCATGTGAAAGACCCCAGTCATTTCCCAAGGTATGCACATGAATGGACAAAGTTAACATGTGAACTAGACAATTCACTTTGGCTGTGGCAGTTTTGCCATGATTCTGGTCATAGCTGTGAGCCTTATATACACAACTGTACAGCTCAAATGGTAAATTTTGCCCAGGGTGGCACAGGGAGAAGAGGTTGCTGGGAAAGAAAAAGCATGATATGAGACAACCACGAAGGCTGCCAATCAGAGGAATCCTTCCCCTGCTCCACCTCATATGCCCAAGCAGATTCCCACCTCCACACAGGTCTCAATTTCCGAGAATTGGTTCATGATGGGCAAGATGGTTTCCATGGAGCTCCCAGTCTGCAAGTCGGACTTGTTTCCTACAAGGATGATGGGGATCCTACAAAAGAGGGAGAAAGGGGGTGGGGTGAGGAGAGAGAAAAGTCGTCGGAAACGAGAATGGGCACACAAGCACTGGCTGAAGAATTTGGAGCAGTCTGCGTGTCAAGGCAAATGCAACAACTGGAGGGGAGGGGGAGTAAACGGGGATCTGCATTTCTTAATTTGCTTTGTCCAATTTAGGCAGGGGCTCCCACCGACAACAGATGAAGGGGACAACTGTTCCTGGCAGAAGAGTTATTAAGGGGGCCCAAACCTGTTCGACAGTGGAATTTGCTGCCAAGGAGTGTGGTGGAGTCTCCTTCTTTGGAGGTCTTTAAGCAGAGGCTTGACAACCATATGTCAGGAGTGCTCTGATGGTGTTTCCTGCTTGGCAGGGGGTTGGACTCGATGGCCCTTGTGGTCTCTTTCAACTCTATGATTCTATGATTCTATGAAACCTCGGGGAAGACACAAAGAGGCTAGGTCTACTCAGAGTGAGCAGGACCCAAAACTTGGGTCTTTCACACCTGGTCTAGGATTGGCCTCTTCTTCATTTCTCTCTGAATTCCTCTTTGAAATGTATAATCTAGGAACAGTTTGCCCACCACATCTTCTGCTTTCAGGAATCAGACCTTAGCCTGCTTCCAGCACTGAATAATGGAAGGCTTTGAAACAGGTGTGGGGAACCTCTGGCCCTCCGTATGTTGCTAGGTTGCAATTCCCATCATCCAGACCGTTGGCTATGTTGGCTGAGACTGATAGGAGTTGTAGTTCAGCAACATCTGGCAGGCCAAAGGTCCCCCAGCCCTGCTTTAAAAACAGGGGAAGCAACTGGGACCCAGACATGGGCAAAATGTAGCATCCCATCTTGTTGGGTGATACACTACCTGGAACATTTTTCAGCTCCACCATTCACCATTGGGATCCATTTTGTCCGAATCTAGGTGGGGGGAAACAGAAGGAAAAAGCAAGTAAGTGAAGTGGGAAACTAACAGCAATGGCAGCCACAGAAAGAGAATCTTGGGCATGGCAGGGTCCCATGGGATCAACAGGTTGGCAGGCACCTAAATGCTACACAGTTTGGCCCTGTAAAAAATGCCAGCCCTGCCCCTGTCAATCAGCCCATGCGATCCAGGCCACTATGAGCACGATAAGAGAGTAGGTGCACCTCTAGCAGATGCCCAACAGAGCCAATGCCAACGAAGGATGTAAGAATGGCCCTGTTGGAGCAGAGCAAAGGCATTCCTGGCCCAGCATCCCATTTCCTGCCCCTGGGAAGCTCACAGGCAAAATGAAGGCCACAGCTGTCTCCCAACTGCAATCCTCAGTAGCTGGCATTGAGGCACACGGCCTCCTATTTCTGTAAGCAGCAAATAGAGCCCTTATGACTAATAGCCACTGATAACCCCATGTGAATGGATTGCAGTTCATGTCTTGCCACCCCTCAGACTGCTGTGTGCAACGCTAATAATCAGCAGAGTGTCAGGCAGAAGCACAGCTGCACTTTTGCCAGGCCCCTGTGAAACGGGTAGGAAATCCCAGCCCTTACCTTGTCAATGGTGGATTCCTCCGTGACATCGTATACCATGCAGACCACATTTGCCTGCAAAGGAGCAAAAAGGTAAAACAGAGTAGCTCAAGTCCAGGAATTTTTTTTTTACTGCTTGATTCTGCCCATTGTATGAACCAATATGCCAGGCTGCCAACTGAGAGGTGGCATCTCAAAACCACCAAGAGGGTCAGAAAAGCCCTCACTTTTCAGTAACAAAAGTCCAAACATCGGACCCTCCCTGCTCAAGGAGGGCATCTGCCTGCTGGGCTCCCCATGCTCTGCTCAAATCCGACCACCAGCTCAGCTCAGACAGTGGCAACACAAATGGCTTTTAGGAAAAAGCAGATGGCAGGATCACTTGCCCTTTGGGAAAGCGAGCTTATCGTTTAATCCCCCAATTTAGGGGGATTTGGATGGGATTCGGCATGGCAGCTCTAAGCCCCCAGTATGTACATATGTATGGATGTATGGGTGTATGTACACACACACCATTGCTGTGGGTCAGGAGAGGAAGGAGATGGCATATAGCAGTTTATAAGCAACCACAGGGTTAGGCAAATGGTTAACAAAACTGATGACGCTAATCTCCAGATTCGACTATTTGGGATTCTTGCAGAGTTAACAGGGAAAGTGGTGGGCTCAAGATGAGCCTGAAGAGCAAAATTCAGAGCACAGGCTGTAGGGAAGAGGCTGGTGGAGCTGCTACAACAAGCCTCCCCTGCATCCAAAGTTTTCCTTCCTCACCTTGGCAATCTCCTCTTGGAGCTCCTCGTCCGTCTGCTCCGATTCTGAAAGGCAAAGGAAAGACTGTACATTGCTGTCGGGGATCTTTACTGTGCCCCAAAAAGACACTTGGGGATGTGGCAGGAATGTGAAGAATGAAAGAAAAACCTTGTTATTTCAGGCCAGTGGCCCATCCAGACACAAGCATCCTGTGGACAACCAGATGCTCAAGTATGACTTGAGCACAGGAGCAAGAACTCTTTCCACTTGTGATTCCCAGCAACTGGTGTCCAGAGACTTGCTGCCTCCAACAGCAGAGGGAGAACCTAGCCATTCTGGCTAGTAGCAACTCATAGCCTTGTCCTCTATGAATCTGTCTAATCCCCTTACAAAGTCATCCAAATTGGTGGCCATCACTAGCTTGCTTGCTTGCTAATTTATTTATTTTTAAATTTTATTTATGCTTTTCAAGTTTATACATTTCACCAATTTTACAATCATTTTAACGTTTCAAAACTTGACTTCCTTCCCCCTCTTTCTGTGGTTCCTTATATCTTCTGCATATCCAAATTAACTTAATTTGCTCATTTATTCATCTACTTTAAATATATACTCTTATAAAACTGCAGGTTATTACAATAATCTTGCCAATGTTCTTATCTGTTTACAATTTATCTGTAAATATTTAATAAACTATTTCCATTCTTTTATAAAAAGTTTGTTATCTTGATTTCTTATTCTTCCAGTAAGTTTCACCATTTCTGCATATTCCATAAGTTTTTGTATCCATTCTTCCTTTGCTGGGAGTTTTGCTTCTTTGGCTTATTTATTTATTTAGCCATTTGAACATTTATGATCTGCACTTTCATAACATATATCAAGGCAGCTTACAACATAGATACAATAAATCAATAGATATCTGCAAAACATAATTCAAGACATAGAACATAGCAATAGAGGCTAGTTGGTTAAAGAGGGGAAGAATAATAAAGGCCTGGGAGTTCCATGGGGCAGGACCTGCCACACTAGAGGCTGGATCCCTGGTGAAGACCAAATGAACTTCCAGAGCATGGGGAACCAGCAGAAGTGCCCCACCAGGGGTCTCAAAGTTCAACTATATGCTGGGTGTGAAAATACTTTATTTTGCCTGTTCTCAGTCTTCCCATATTCAACTTCACTAATGCCCCCTAACTCCTAGTGTTATCAGAAAGGGAGAAAAACCTCACCCTAACACCACCCTATCTGCTTTCTCTGGGCCAGGCAGAGTTTTATAAACAGAATTCGCTACCACAAGACATGGGGATAGCCGCTAGCTTGGATTGCCTTATGTGACTTTTATCTATTGTTTTATTATTACTTATTCAGTTCATATCCTGCCATTCCTCCCGGACGAGCCCTTTTAAACCCATTGGGGGGTGGGTGCCTACCTGAGTAGTCCACAATGTGGGTGGGGACTTTCTCAGGCGTGACATCCGCCGGAATTGTGATCTCTTCCGCACGAGACGGTACCTGGGAGGGGGGGAAAGGAAGATGATCATTTCCACATTGTGCCCAAGATAGCCTTACCATTCGTGGATTTGGCCACGTACAACTTCTAATGTCGGACACAGTATGTCTCTGAATACCAGTTGCTGAGGCTCTCAAGAGGGGAGAGTGCAGTTGCTCTCAGTCTTGCCTGCAGGTTTCCTATTGGGGCATCTGGCTGGCCACTGTGAGAACAGGTTGCTGGAGGACTAGAGGGGCCTTTGGCTTGATCCAGCAGCCAAGCTCTTCCAATGTTATGCTGTTAATACAGTGGTACCTCTGGTTGCAAACGGGATCCATTCCGGAGGCCCATTCACAACATGAGCAGAACGCAACCTGCGTCTGCGGGTCACAATTCGCCACTTCTGCGCATGCGCGTGACATCATTTTGCGCATCTGCACATGCGGGAGTGGCGAAACCCGGAAGTAACCCTTTCCAGTACTTCGGGGTCGCCGTGGGACGCAACCTGAAAACGCACAACCTGAAGCAAACGTAACATGAGGTATGACTGTATTAACGGGTCTATCTTGCAGTTGTAAGCAGGGCACATTCTCCTTGTGCTGAGAACTGATGAAGAACACATGTTTCCATTGCCAATTTGGGGGGGAGGATGGCAGTGCCCCAGGTGCCCAGAGTTTAGAGAGAGAAGCTCCCTTGTGTAGGTGGATTAGATGAAAACAGAATTTTAGAACGAACTAGAAATTTCAGGCCTGCATAGTATGAAAGCAGAAGCATGGAATAGGCACAGCCCACTCACCCCTCCTGAGAAATGGCACTGAACCACTTCCCTCCAAATCCCCTTTCAAGCACTCCTGCAGCCCCTTAAGTCTCAGCAAGCAGTGACCTGATCCACTGACCTGACAGCGTCCTGGGGATTGGGGCTGGGGTAGCATTAAGCCGCTTGCCTGGGGCTGGAGCAGGAATGTGGGAATGGTATTTAGAATGATCCCAGCACCTGATTAGGAGACTTACTGCACCAGTGGCGCAAGGGTCAGAGGGGTCAACAGGGGGGCAGGCACCAATGCCATCTGCCTGCTGCAGATCAGAGGCCGGCAGGCAGAGGGGAAGTGCGGCCACTGGAGTTATTCAAGACAGCCCTTCCCAGAACATGAGGTAAATGGCAGGGAGGGTGGCTGTTCTTGAGAGCTTTCGAACAGATGGGCAATGCTGGGGGCGTTGCATAGACATCCGCAGCAGTAACTGCTCCAGAGGAACCGTCCTGGCCAGATGCTGGAAAGGACAGAAGAAACCAGCAGCCGAAGCAGTTTTTTTTCCATATTGAATTTTCACATTGTTGTAACCTGCCCTGAGACCTTATGAGGAAGGGCAGGTATCAAATCAAATCAATGGAGAAATGATAATAATAATAAAAACAGAGCATAAGAACAGTCTCACTGGATCAGACCAGAAGTCCATCCAGCAGGGAGCAGGGTCCATTAGGTGGGCGCTGTCCCACCAGCCTCAGTCTGCTCTCAGCAAGTCCCTATGGGACCTGCCTTTATCCTTACAACCAATCCAGGGAGAGGCATTGCCTGCCAGCTTCCTCCTCCTTAGCAGGCTAATTTACAAGCCTGTGTTAGTGATGTAGAAAACTGCCGTAGACCACTGACCCATCTTGTTCAGTACTGTTTACACTGACTGGCAGTGGCTCTCCAGGATTTGAGATGCAGGACATTCCCAGCCCTATCTGGAGCTGCTGGGGATTGAACCTGGGACCTTCTACAAGCAAAGTGGAGGTTCCACCATGGAGTTATGGCCCTTCCCCCCAGATTCTGTGCTTAGTAACTTAAGAAGCTGCCTTATACAGAGTCAGGCCATTGGTCCATCAAGTTCAGTACTGTCCCCACTAATTTGTGGTGGATCTCCGGGATCAGAGATGTGGGGCATTCCCAGTCCTGCTTGGAGATTCCAGGGATTGAACCTGGAACCTCCTGCATGCAAACCAAGTGCTCTGTCACTGGGCTACCGAAGATGGCTCTGGCTTGAAGTGGAGTACGGGAAAAGAATGACTCCTTCCAACTCTCATGTACACACCAGAGCATAGCTTGCCATTTCTTGCAAGCTGCTCATAGCCACTGACTGAGCTGCTCCAGTGCCATGAAAGATGTTAACAATTAAAACTGCTCAGAGCAAAAGGTGTGAAACCATGCAGCTTTAATGGAGGAATCAAAGTGCTGTTTTGCTTTTGTTGTTTGCATGGGAGAAAAACTTCACAAGGAACCATGGCAGGATCAGTTACATAAACGATTGCATAAGGGATGGTAATTGTGGGAAGAGGGCCTATCACAGGCCTTAGTAAGTAGCCCAAACAGGTCCTTGCCAAGTGTGTGTGTCTCTCATCGCTGACATCACACAGAGCTCCAGAGGGATTTGCAGCATAAGTGCAAAGATGGAACCTCCCCAAACTCCAAGCTTGCAAGGAGGCTTATTCCTTTGCATCCTACTTTGCATGTGCCAAAGCAAGAAGGAGGAGTGGTCCTCATGGGAACCCCGTGGTGTCATGATGGCAAAAAACTTGAATGGCTTTAAAGGAGGATTAGGCAAATTCATGGAGAATGAGGCTCTCAGTGGCTACTTGCCAATGGTTCTCCCTTCACTGTGGAAGGCAGGATGCTTCTAAACACCAGCTGCTGGGAATCACAAGTGGTGAGAGCGCTGTTGTGCTCAGGTCCTGCTTCACATTGGGACATTTGGTAGGACACTGTGAGAACAGGAAGCTGGACTAGATAGGGCCTTAGGCCTAACACAGAAGGGTTCTTTTTATGTCCTCATGGACTTAACCAAATCTGTGGATTCCTGGCTTAGAAACACAAGGGAAGAAGGCAGTGCAGGTAGCGGGACTTCAAAGTGAAAACCTGTCGGTCCTGGGGTGGGGAACCTGTGGCCCCTTGCAGGTTTGGGGACTCCACAGGCCCTAGGCAGCATGGCCAGCGGTCAGGGATGATGGGAATTGCAGGTCACAGCAGCTAGAGGGCCACAGGTTCCCCGTCTCCTGTAGAAGTATGAGACCAGAAGGCAGGAGAAAAGTCCAAGAAAGAAAAGGAGCCGGGGGGGCGGGGAACTTATGACATCTCAAGGGCAGAATGCCACTTGGGTGCTACTTGGCTGGCTAATAGGCAGGCAGGGAGTGGTCTGGCAAGGGAGTTTTGTGGACTTTGAGCAAAGGAGCAGAGAGCACCAAGGCAGCCACAGAGCAGGCAGGCGATGGTGTAAATTCACACCCTGAGTTGATATTATCAGCCAAATCTCTTGGCTGCAGGTCTATGATGATTCTATGATTTTTTTTACACACCAACAGGAAAGAGAACCATCTTCCACTCACCTCTTCAGGGAACTCCTCGCCTACCAGGGCCATGATCAAGGAGGTCTTCCCCACCTGGGCTATGAGAGGGGAGGAAGGAGGGAGAGAGGTGGGGTGGAGAGAAGAAGAAACAAGAAGATCATTACAGGAACTTTTACCAAGTTAAGGAAATTCAGTGGAATGTAGTAGCAAGTAACCTAGTGGTTATTCCATGTTATCTTCTCAACAGCTGTGCATGTTAATTGAGACAGAGAGAGCGCACACACACACCCTTGCAGAAGGCCATCCAGTGATCTTCCCGGCTTTGTAGGAATTTGAACTCAGGAGTCTCTGGCCCAAATCCAACCATCTATCCACTACAGCACACTGGATCTCTGCAATGCGGATGCTTATGTTGGGGACAGATGTGCATCACTTCAAAAAAGCTTACAGCTTTGCAGGTCACCAACAGACAGAACGCACCGTCCCCAGTTTCGGTTCTGTCACATTCAATGACTAGGGGAACTGGGTGGGTGATGGCATCCCCATTCATATCAAAAGGCAAATCTGACCATTTCAGTGGGGGTTGGGCGCATATTTGCAGCTAGTGGATACTACTTCTGCACAAACATTTCCTGAGCTGAATCAAGGAAACCGACTTCTGTATGACAGAGACATGGCGGGTCCATGGTTAGATACAGCAAAGCTCAAATGACAGAGTGGCATCTAGGCCAGAGCTGGAGAACCTGTGGCCCTCCAGATATTGTTCAACACTATCACAGGGATGTTGAGAGGATAAACATGGAGCAGCCCCTTTCATATGTCACACTTGGGCTCATTGGAGAAAAGGCAGACATGCAAATGACACAAGTAAGGATTTGTTTATTTTAATGGTGCAAACTTGGAGAGTTTGGTCTCTCTTTCACAGAGAAGTGGATTTGTGATTTCTCTGGTGTCATAGTGACACCAGGTGACAATCCCTCCCACCCACACTTTGCGCAACAAGACTTGACAGCTGATTGTTTGATCTCAAGAAGTTCCATGCACATGCTTTGCAAGACCTGACAACCAGCTCATGGTTGGTGCTTCTGCAAATATGCTTTCAGATGAGTCAGCTCCTTACCTGTCCTGCACCTGACCCATATAAGGTGTAAAATAGAGGGGCATGGATGGCCAAAATGGCCTCAGAGTCCTGTCCCATCCCATCTGCCCCCTCCCCCACCCAATAACAGGACAGCCATGTGCCATCAGTTCATCAACATTGCTTGTCATTTATGACATTTATCTCCCACTTTTCCTTCAAGAAGCTCAAGGTGATATACATTCCCTTATCCCCCTGTATCTCCACAACAATCCTGTGATGTAAATTGGGCCGAGGGACTGTGACTGGCCCAAAGTCACCCAGTAAGCTTCACAGCTGAGCAGAGATTTGAACCCCGGTCTCCCAGGTCCTAGTCTAACATCTAATCTCACCACCACACTGGCTCAAATAAGAGGATCAGAAGAAATCGCCAGGCAGTAATTGGTCCGTTTAGTTCAGTACTTTCTAAATTGACTGGCAGCATCTCTTTGGGGTTTCAGGCAGGAGACATTCCCAGTCCTTCCTGTGGATTGAATGTGGGACCTCCTCCATGCAAAGCAGATTCTTGGCCCCTGAGCTACAACCCTTCCCCAAAGACACTCATTTGAGCAGAAATAGAAAAAAACGCTAGTTCCTGCTTACAGGCTCATCCTTAGGGGAAAAAAGGCATGCAATAGAAGGGAAAGGGAGATAGAGGGAAAGGACGAAGTCTTGTGCCAGCTGGTGAGAGGGTAAAAGCCAGTAAAGAATACAACCATCACCTGGGAATAGGAAATTGTCATTTTAAAAAAAATTACTAACATAGATGCAAGGCCTGGCTAAGGTACCTGGCTAGTAACTTTTGAGGACTCGGTTACAAGCCAGGAGTATGCATAAGCCACTAGTTGAAGATTAAAGTAGACAAGAAACCCCAAGAGTCCAGTTAAGAGTCAAGGAATAGCACCAACAGGACATAGGAAAAGGCACTGGGGTGCAGGGGGTTAGGGTTACCTCCCAATCCTTCATTCCCAAAGCATAGACAGCTATCTGCTAGTGAATCTGCTATTTCAGGTTTAAATCCACAAAGCCCCCAATATATTGCCTCCTATACACACATATATATTTCAGAAAAAACTCAGATAATTAATTATACACAGTGCCCCGAGCCAAGATTTGGAATAGTAACTACTCTCAGTAAAGAGGAAGCTTTTTAAAGTTATTAATATTTGAAAATGTTGTTTGCAGCCCACACAAATAGGAAAAATTCAGTTTGTTTTAGCTGTATGCTCCCAGAGAGACCATGGCAGCTCCTAATGCTGTTTACCAAGACACAGTTAACTTGAGAAGGGAGGCGGTGAGCAAGATCCATAGACCTTGACTGGAATTCCTCCTTCTCCTTTGCACCTTACAACATTGGGTGACCAACCTACAAATAAATAATAATAATAATAATAATAATAATAATAATAATAATAATAATAATTTTATTATATATACCCCACCTATCTGGATAGGTTTCCCCAGCCACTCTGGGATGCTCACAGCATATATCAGAACATATTAAAACATCAAACATTAAAAACTTCCTTAAACAGGGCTGCCTTCAGATGTCTTCTAAAAGTCAGATAGTTGTTTATTTCCTTGACAACTGAAAGGAGGGAGAAGGCCCTCTGTCTGGTTCCCTGTAACCTCACTTCTTGCAGTGAGGGAACCACCAGAAGGCCCTCGGAGCTGGACCTCAGTGTAAGGGCTGAGCGATGGGGGTGGAGACACTCCTTCAGGTATATTGGGCCAAAGCCGTTTAGGGCTTTAAAGGTCAGCACCAACACTTTGAATTGTGCTCAAAAATGTACTGGGAGCTAGTGAAGATCCTTTAGGACTGGTGTCATATGGTCTCGGTGGCCACTCCGTGTCACCAATCTCGCTGCCGCATTCTGGATTAGTTGTAGTTTCTGGGTCATCCGCATACTGGTGAATGCCCAGCCCAACCCCCCAATGATTTCTCCCCGCAGCTTTATATTGATATTAAAAAGCATGGGGGAGAGGACGGAGCCCTGAGGCACCCCAGAAGTGAGAGCCCAGTGGTCGGAACACTTATCCCCCAACACCACTTTCTGGACAAGACCCAGGAGGAAGGAATGGAACCACTGTATAACAGTGCTCCCAACTCCTTTAGACGGTCCAGAAGGATATCATGATCAATGGTGTCAAAAGCCACTAAGAGATCCAGCAACACCAGGAAATAGCTTCCACCTTGGTCCCTGTCCCACCGGACATCATCGACCAGCACAACCTTGGCAGTTTCAGTCCCATGATGAGGCCTGAATCCCGACTGGAAGGGATCCAAGTGGTCCACATCCTCCAGGTGTGCCTGGGGTTGTTCAGCGACCACCTGCTCAATCACCTTGCCTGTTTGTTTTATATCCCATTCTTGTCATCCCTCTGTAAAACTTGCAAGTCAGTGTGGCATAGTGTTTAGTGTCCAACTATGACTTGGGAGACCAGGGTTCAAATCCCCACCGAGCCGTGAACCCCACCTTGAGCCAGTCACTACCTTTCAACCAAACCTACCTCACAGGGTTGTTATGAGGATAAAATGCAGAGGTGGAGAAGTGTGTACCCCACCTTGAGCTCCCTTGGAGAAAAGGTGGAATAAATGTAACAATAAATAAAAGTGTGGGGGGGGGATTGGGATAGTGATGCAAAATTGTCTTTGTTAAAAGAAGAATAGAGGGCATCCATCCTTCCCTTGCAACTTCAGTGTTTAAACTAGGGATGGGCAAGTTGTGGCTTTTGGCCTAATTTCATGGGGGTGGCAAGGAGGAGGGAAATGGAAAGGGGGCACCAGAAAGAGACAGAAACAAACAAACAAACAAACAAACAAACAAACAAGGAGGGTGTTTTAAAGGGCAATCTCTTACAAATGGCTGAGAGAATAAACATGTCTTAAACCAACTGAGAAAGGATAATAAAGTGGGCAACCATCAGTACCATCATGCCCTCTTCCTGTGAGCTTTTGTAGGCTGCTAGACAGCATCCTGAAACAAAATGCTGGACTTGATGGAATTTGATCTGATCCGTAAAGACTCTTCTAACGCTTTAATTTGTAGGCTGCAGGAAAACCAATACCACCAGAATACACCAAATAGTTTCTGTGTAAGAATGCTTGGATTCTAGCAAATTCAACCCAAATTCTGAGCTCTACATTATCCAGGTTAAAACATCTTAAATGCATACAAAAATTGAGAGTGGGAAAATTCTCCCATTAAATTTAGAAAAAAATGAATCTAACCCTTTGCTTCCCCCACCCCCTTTTTCTGATTACATAAATACTTTGGGCAAGGGACTTCCTTAAGGCAATAACAAAGCCCACAATGACTTTCTGGGGTGAAAACAAAACATTTGGGGATGGCTGGATGCAAGGAAGACACTGAGACCCTGCGGCAGAGTGACTCTGTTCCAATGCCTGAGGGCTATTCACTCCAAAAAAATAAAATCTACTGCCAAAAAATCCCAAAGGGAAGAATAGCAAAGAAGGATGGAGCAAAATGAGGACACTGACATGCAGTGGACAGCCACACACACCTTTGGAACTGTAAAGAGCTTTCTTTACATTTAGGCCAGAGATGGGGAACATGTGGCCTTTCAGGTGCTCTGTGGAGTTAACAGAGTTTATACTGCTAATACAACACACTCACATCTGCTCTGGCCAATAGTTAAAGGCGATAGACATTGTGGCCCAATAACAGCTGGAGGGCCACACATTCCCCACTTGTGATTTGTGGAAAGGTGCTGCCTATATGGTCTACAGCCACATGACTCTCCAGAGACAAGGTTGCCCCTCATGTGGACTTCACCAGCTTGCAACAAAGGCAGGCTCAGTTCTGCTTCTGAGACCAAGTTATATTCCACCTCAACAGTTGGGCATACATACTTAGGTCACTCACACATGTTCATAGGAACTTAGGAAGTTGCCTTATTTCGGGTCAGACTGCGTGCCCATCTAGCCCAGGATTATGAACTCTGATCACCATCAGCTGGCAGACAGAGAGCAGCCTTTCTCTCCCATCAGCCACCACCTCCTCTTTTTAACTAGGGGTGGATGCAAAGTCTGTCCTCTGTCACTGAGTTGGTAACAGTGCCTCGCAACATGAACACGATGCTCATCAATCGATGGACTGCAGTATTAAAGGGGCCACCATCATTCAAACATAGTAGATTAGACTAAGGGTGGAGAACCTGTGGCTTTCCAGACATCACTGGACTCCAGCCCCCCAGCAAGCATGGCCAATAGTCAGGGAAGATGGAGAACCAACAATCATGGTTAAGCTCTCTCCTCATTAAGCTGAGCTAAAGCCAACCTAGTGAGGCAAGAGATTAACCACAAGTCCTGGTCTGAATGACACAGTAAACCCAGTGTGGACCAGGAGCAAAACATGACAGGGAGCGGCAAAGCAGCTGCAAACTCCTTTCCCCAAGCCTATACTTTTTCGTGAAACAATGCTGGTGACTGAGACTTTAGATGAAGTCACAGGCTGCTTCCTTCTGATCCTTTCATACTCCTCCCAGCTATGATCCACCCCACAATATTTGCCCTTTTAATTTTCTTTCAGAATTTCCATAAACAGCAATTGCTGTTAAATCTTTACCAATATTCCACTGGTTTTTTCTCCAGTCATTGGGAAAGGACTGCAGCTGAGCTTGTTAATTTCTGCATTTTGCGGTCTATTATATTTAAAATATTTGCATTCTGTGTATGTATCCAAAAATACAATATAGTGCTGTTGACTTTATTTTAAGCTGCTTTCCACGTATTTCCCAATCTGCCTACAGTTTCGATTGCCAACGGATTTCGGCAAAAGATTAAATATTACCCAAGAGCCCGAAAGCATCTTAACAACAAACCCACCAGGGCTTGAGTTCTCAAAAGCCAGAGACCAATGTGTCAGACGTATAAAGATGCACTCAACAGTATGCTATTGATAACCCTTAGTTAATATTTTGTAATCAGAATAACCTATTTATGATGGTGATGATAATTCTCTTTTTCTCCAAGCTGAACCCTTAGGGTTGTTCCAAAATGTCAGTCTGTTTCAGCAAAAGCAAAAGGCGCCTGGGGGGCACTTGGGATTGTGTTCCCCCCATGTTTCGTCTACCAGCTTTCATTCCCTCCGCTTCTGTCAAAAATGCCTCTAAAAGGCTCGCCCCCCCCCATTCTGAAAACCTGCCTTCCAGCATTATAAATCCCTCTCAGGCATCCATATCCCCCAGTTGCAACCCTCAGAGACTACCCCATGACCTCTGACCCCCTCCCCAACTCCACCCTTCCCGACCTCTGACCCCTCCCTCACCTGCATCCTCCATGACCTCTGACCCCCTCCCCTAAATCCACCCCTCATTTCACTGCACCACCTCCAGCCATAGGGAGGGGGGGCTTCCCCAGTGCTTACCCTCCCCCAGCAGGAGGATGCGCACATCCCGCCTCATCGCCGTCGCTTCAGGAGCCACCACGACGCTCCCCGCCTCCTGACAGCGCCCCACCCACAAGACAGCAGCGGCTTCCCAGCCCGCCGCCTCCTCTCCCGCTTCCGGTTCCGGCTTCCTTCCGTTTGCGACCATAGAGCCGCCGGGACAGAAGAGCGCCAGTGACAGCAGCGGCACCTCTCGGCCGGCGGTCAAAGTGCAGCGCCTTTTGCTCTTGAAGAGCGGACTGGACTGGTTTGGAGGCTGCGGGTGGGCGGGAGCGTAGCGCCACCTAGAGGCCAGGGAGCTTGCTGGGATTCAGCCCCGATTCCCAGCGGTAATGCCGCCTGCGCAGGGAATCGGCGTTTGGAGAGCGGCAGCTGTAGTAATATCGTGTGTTTAATGTGCTAGGATTATTGAATAACGTGATATATTCTGCCAATCAACTAAGTACAGGCTGTGAGATTCAGCATTTTTGGTAAAGATGTTTGCAGAATAAGGAGGCAGGCATTACCTTGGCATGTCGCCAGATTTTAGCAGTTCGTTTTTATCTGCCTTGAACCCTGACAGAGAGAAGAGGGTAAATAAATAAATAAGATGAAATTTAAACTGATTTTTAACTATTTAAAAATTTAAACTGAATTTAAACTAATCCTGCTAACACTTTGTCCTGCTTTACATAATTCTTCAGATATTCTGCAAAGATTTTCCATTCTTCCTTGCCAGTTCTACATATTCCATTAATTTTATCTGCCACTTCTCCTTTGTTGAAGTCATTCTCTCTCTCCTTTTCTGAGCATATGCCATTCGGGCTACTGTAATTGCGTAAAGAAATAAATTATTTGGTCTGTGGGGACTTCTGTTCCTAATATACCCAACAGGAAGCTTTCTGATCTTTTTGTTAAAGTCCACTTAAACATTTTCCCCCCATTTCATTATATATCATCTCCCACAATTCCTTCACATTTTTACAAGCCCACCACATATGATAAAAAATACCCTCCATTTCTTGACACTTCCAGCAAGTACCTGACTGATTTATACATTTTTGCTAATTTACTTGGTGTAAGGTACTATCATTGTCATGAAGTTTTCTTTCAGCGTATAACAAGCTGTAAATTTTAAATCTTAACTCCATGTAGATTTTTAACAGCTGTGTGTTGTTACAGGCATTTTTTTAAAAAAAAATAAGATAAATAGCTCACACATTTTGTAAATTAATAAATAGAAATATATATATTTATTTTAAAAACAGACATGAGCTAGCTTCAGTAGTTATTTTCAAACTGTACGCTCCTCTTGCCTTTCCTTGGGAAATTTCCAAAATCAGATGAAAAAATATCCAATTCTTCTGGTTGATACATCTGCAACACAATTGCAATCCCATTCCATTTGTACACTATTTCCTAGGATGGACAAGGACCCAGAAAGAACCCAGCTTAAACTTCAGAACTCACACACAGACTTTGATAGGGCTGATAGTTATAGAGAAAATGAAAAGGGCACAATCTGTTGGGAAGGAGTCCAAAAGCCTCAGAAAAGAAATTACACAAGAGCTCCAAGAACTGATGTAAGAAAGAATTTTTCTGCCAACTGTGTCCTTCCTGAACTAGCCACATGTCACCTGAAGAGTCTTAACAAACAAAACATCAAAATAAATCATATAGAGAAACTCAGCATTGATGCATATGACTTTTGGGGATCCAAACCTAACAACTTAGGTCACAAAAAAACCCAGCTGCCACACAAGTGTTTTTTCTGATAAAAGCATGCCTAGAAGCGAAGCAGATGCGTGAGTATCTGTGTGACTATTGTTGAATTCTGTTTCACTTGCTTTTCCTGACAAAGATGCAGGTGTGAGAACAAGATACGCATTTAAAAACAACACACACAGAAAAATATTTATATCTATATAGTGTATACCCTTCTAACTTTGCATTTAAGGCAATTTACAAAATAAAAATGAAACAATTAGAGTGTCATAGGCATTAATCATAAAATGCAGATCACATTAACAGTAGCATGAGCAAGCCAATCCTATGTGTGCTTTCTTCGAAGTAAGTCCCATGGGATTCAATGGGGCATACAGGAAAGCATGCAAAGGATTACAGCCTGGGAATGTAATCAAAATGACATTTTTGTTGCCTACAGTCAAGCGGCTGCTTTTGGTGAGTGTGTGTGTAAAATAATTTCTCTCCGCAGCTTTTGACCTTCTTACTTAGCACCCAATGCAATTCACAAAATAAATGCAACCCATCAACATGTCAACAAAAAGTAAAAATTAAGCGTAAAATACAATGACGCTATTGTAAAAGAAAAAGAAAAAAGGGATCACCTGCACCACTTATCCCTAGGCAATCTTGTGAACTGCAGGTCTCCAAGGATTTAGCCTCCACTTTAGCCACTCCAATTTGTGTGGCTGAGCCAATCCAGTCCAATCCAAATCTGTATGTGTGCTTGCACCCATGGACATTGTTTCAGAAGCCACGGGTACAAAATACTGCATCACACCCCATCTCCTCTGTGTTCTTTTGCTTCAGCTGTGAGATGTAGCAGCTCCTGAACAGAATGTGCAGTTGTAACAATGTAGGTGATCTAAAACACATCTCCCCCTCCCTCTTTGCTGCACCAATGCTTGTGGGGCTAAGTAAACACCCATGTTACACTGACATCTGGAGGCCGCTAATTTTGGGGAGAAGGCTGCTGCTTCGGCACTTCTGTTCCTGCAGGCCAGCCAGCCCTTCTGGTTCCTTACTGGTTCACGTGGCTGACAACGATGGCATGACTTCTTGCCATGCGCATGGGGTTGTCCCAAGGAAGAAGATACCTGCATTTCTGAAGACATCCCACTTTGCTTCCAGATGCTTAGAAAGCTGTCACCTGAAAACTTCAGGTTTCTTATACCGAGGGTGAACCTCCAGATTTTGCTGGACTCCAGTTCCCATCAATCCCTAACTGCTGGTTATGCTAGATGGGGTTGATGGGAGTTGGAATCCCAGCAACATCAAGGGAGTGGGCCACAGGGTTCTTCACCTCTGCTTTATACAATAAATGTCAGCAAAAAATGTCAGGGCATTGTGGATTGGTCTGTCCAGTAGTAGGAATCTGGCATATCTTCCTACTGCGTTAACACCCAACTCTTTGTTCACCCCCTGCTCAAAGCAGTCGAAGTGTCCATAAATTGGAAGAGTTCAGAAAGACGGATTGCCAAAGCCAACTTCTAACTGCACCTCATGGATCTCCTGGAGCAGTTCCTCATTGGCCAGCTCCAGCTGCAATGGAAGGAGAAGGGATGAGACGAGGCTAAATCAAGTGCCTATTTAAAGATCTGTCATGTATGCTTTGGTTCAAGGAGGAAGGCTGGGCCAGTTAATCCCTACTTCAAGGCCACACAAGACAACCAGAAATACTTTCACTGTCGGCCTGCCAAAAGCTGGCATCAGATGTGATAGAACAAGTCAGGATGGTGAGATAGCAGCACGCAACAGCAGCTGATTGAGAAATGCCACATTTAATTCAATTCCATTTTCAGTGTGTGTCTCACTTTTCATCATGGGAACATTCGGAACCCGCAATGATGCCTGATATATAATATAAATATAGCATAATGTCTACACACGGACGTTGAACAGCCCTTTTTGCATTGACTTTAAAATACAACCAGTGTACAGAAAAGCACTTTGGTCACAGAGAGTACTATGTGAGTGAGTGCTCATGCACAAAAGGTTTTTCCACTTGATTTTACTTGATACTCATGTTTGTGTCGCCTTCATTTATTTGTACTGTAATGGTTTTGTTACTGCTTCATCATCCTTCTTGTTCTTAGCCTCCTTGCATTTTTTCAAGAAATAGAAAGAAGGGATATGCTTTCTAATATATTTATATGAATGATGACTAAATTAATCCTGGCTTAAAGAATGTGTGACTTGCTAGTCACACCTGCTGGTTGCTTCTGAACCAAAGTGTAACACCTTTCCACAAATCTAACAATCGTGAAAGAGAGAATAGGGTGACAAACCTTGACAGCATATTTGTAGGATTGTTCTGCCTCCAGCTGCCTTCCACCCTGAAGAAGAAGAAGAAGGCAGTCCACAGTAAGCTGATCTTTTACAAAACAATATTGCAGTTGCAAGAAACTGCAAAGGGTTTAATTATGGGTTAAGAAAAAGAATGGACAGCAGAGAAACACCACTCCCCAATGAAATACTTGTTAGTTGTCAACTTGAGGATAGAGGCAAACAAAAGGGAAATGGTGTGTGGGGGGGGTTTGACACCAAATTTCTTTCCACATTTCTGTTTTGATAAATAGCATCATTGGACCCATTGATTTACCAGTTAAATATTTGAGGATTCCACCCCCCCCCCCAAAAAAAAGATACACAGATGAACCATGTTAAGCTTGGGCATCAGAATGGTGGAGTACCTGTTTCCATTGAGAGCGTCCTTGAAACCCTCCACCTAACATACTCACACTGCTGTAAAGAAAAGCAGATACGTCTTTTGCTGGGTTAAAAGGCCCTTGAGAGTTCACCTGCATGCAGACGAGAGCCAGATACGCCCACACTTCAGCATTGTTGTTGTTGAGGGCATTGGCCTCGGAGAGGGCATCTTCTGCCTCCACCATCTCTTTGAGCTTTGGAGAGGGAGAAGTAGACGGATTAAAAACGTAAGACCATGTGCTGTGCACTTGGGTTCAAGCACCAGCAGTGCGAGCGCACTGCAGCCAGATTAAAGAGCATCAGTCTCTTACCCTATAGCAGGCAATTCCTACTCCCAGCCATGTGAGACAGGAAGGTGATTTCTTACTGGCCAGCAGGTAAATGTCCTTTGCCTTGTCATACTGTCAGAGGAACAGAGGGTGGCAAATTACCGTACTCTCCATGCTATGACAATTGAAAGAATACTCTGTTTGTTTTGTTCTTGACAGAACCCTTCTCTAGCCATCGTTTCAAAGAGAGCTACTCACAACGGACATTGTGTTTTTTTATTATATTTATTAGCTGCTCAGTAACTGTTGGTGACATATAAAGGAATATGAAAAAAACAAAAAACAAAAACAGAAAAGGACTACTAAAACAAGAAAAAAATCAACCAATACAATCTGAAACGTGCACTTAACATAATTGTAAAAACTTTGCCCAGCAGAAAACAATAGCCTTTAAAATTCCAGAATGTAAAACAAGCACATTAAAGGGCAGCAGATTCAACTAGTCCAGTGGCCCTCCAGGGCTTGAAGGCAACAGGCCTCCCCAGTCTGAGTAGGAGAGGTTCCCCTCAGATTTCATGCCAAGACTGCCAGCCCACCCAGCTCTTCTGTGTCCCGCTGAACTCCCCATTTTCTGTCTCCTCACCTCCTTCCTCTCTAAGTAGATGGATCCTAACCGCAGGTAGACAAAATGCATATCCTTTGCATCAGTCACAAAACTGATGGTCCGCTCATAGCAGGCCTTTGCCTCTCCAAAGTCCCCAGTCAGGTAGCAGAGATGCCCTTTCTGAGCCCAAACCTCTGGATTCTGCACAAAAAAATAAAATAAAAATGGTGGCAGGAAATGGAATAAGCGGTTCCATGCACAAGTGGTTCCATGCAATAAGTGGTTGGCATCATAGCTGTCAACTTTCCCCTCTTCTTGTGGGGAATCCTATTCGGAATAAGGGAATTTCCCTTAAAAAACGGGAAATGTTGACAGCTATGGTTGGCATGCATATTTGAGGTATGGCAAGGTTAAAGTACATAGAGCTTTCTTGAATCATGTTGTAAGAAAATTGGTTTATGAAGTATGGGAAAAATATAAAAATTTAATAGAGCAAAAAACACCTGGGTGGCTCTCCCCATTAGAAGCGATATCCTTAAAAAAACTGAATATGAGAAATGGTTGGGCAATGTGCAAAGAACTAGGTTTGAAGATATAAGAGAATTACTAATTGACTGGTTACTATCAATTAAATAATATATTTAAGGTAGACAGAAAGAATGGTTTTTGTACTGAAATCTCTAAATTTGAAAAAGAGCTGCTAGAGAATAAAACAAAATTACTTTCGAAAATGTATAAATTAATATTAGAATGGTATACAAAAGACAAACAGGTCAAATCAGTAATGATACACTGGGCGAGAGACTTCGGGTATAATATACAACTGGCAGCATGGGAGAAGTTATGGAATTGGGACTTAAAGTTCACGGCATGTTATACGTTGAAAGAAAATTATATGAAAATGATGTATCGATGGTATTTAACTCCTAGCAAATTGGCAAAAATGTATTAAACAGGCTCAAATGTATGCTGGAAATGTAAGGGGGAAAGGAGGCACCTTTTATCATATGTGGTGGAAAGGTAAGGTAGTAAGGGGATTTTGGGAAAAGATATATAATGAGTTGGAAAAAAAATGTTTAAAATAACCTTTGCTAAAAAACCTGAAGCCTTCCTTTTAGGAATTCTAGGTGTCGAAATCCCAAGGAAGCAGAAAGGAATCTTGTTTTTATGATTTATGTTTGATATATGATTGTAAAATTTTAATCTGAAAAACCAAACAAATAATTTTTTTTTAAAAAAGAAAGGAAGAAGGAGGGTGGGGGTGGGGGGGTTCAGAAGAATGAGTCTGACTAGGGTAGTAGTTAAAAAACATCTCAAAAACAAAGGATGTGGTCAGGTCTGTGCAGAGTGAAGCAGCTGGGTACACTTGCCCCAGGCTTTGAAGGGCTAAGCTGGCTGGAGGGCCCCACCAGCGGTCTGCCGGACTTACACTGCCGTGCCAAGAATGCCCTGCGTCTCCCAGCAGACCGGGGACTCCCACCCTGGGCCTCAGACAAGCCTGCACAGGCCTGGATGTGGTGATGGGGAATTCTGAGCTTTTCAATGCTTTCTGTAGGAAACTTTTACACAAGGAATCTCTGTCCTGCACAGAGGCAACAACCTGCTTGCCGAGGCCTCTGCTGCTGCTGCTCATCACTCCAGTGTGCTGCTGTCTCAGATCAGTAGGCTAGCAGAAAAATGCCCCACAGCCTTGAAGAAGGAGCACACCTTGTATCACAGTAGAATCTGGTTGGCCGCTGTGAGAACAGGATGCTGAACTCAATGGGCCATTCGCCTGATCCAGCAGCCAGGCTCTTCTTATCTTTTGATGTTGCAGGAAGGGCAGCTGTGTTAGTCTGCTGCAGTAAAAACAACTAAGAGTCTTCAGCCCCCTTAAAAGTTACAGCATAAACTTTGGTGGAATAGAGCCAACTTTGTCAGATACATGACATATTATTCTCAGTTTGGGGAGGTCTATGGAGATATATATTTGGTGTGTGTGTATACATATAAAATCTCACACGTGCTGCCCTTTTTTTCTGGTAAACAGTGGAATCAGATACAAAAGGTATTAAGAAATCTGGCATCACTGACGTGATGTTCAGGCGCGGCTCTTTGGGAGGTGCCAGTCTTGTTGATGCTGGGTAAGCAGAACGAAAGGGTGCTAAAAAGAGATACTTGCCAGGTAATCAATCTGAACGGCCATTTCCAGGCATTCTTCCGTCTTGCTGTATTCCTTCTTGAGCATGTATGTCTGGGCCAGCACCAGGTAGTAGTCACAGCTGGGGCCTCCTTGAGGGCAGAGCAGCTCATGTGCCAATGCCCTGTGAACAAACTGAGAAGGAAAAGCCAGCCCCAGGGTTTGTTATGCAGCCACAAAACCTCCTGACCTGCTCAACCAGATGACGCTAGCCTTCATTCACAGTTAAATTTGCTGTCTCTTGCTCTCCTACCTATCAGTTCCACACAGTCCTGCTCCACATTGTAGCTGTGGCCTCTGGCTTCCAAATTTAGCTTACCTGGAATCAAGCTTGTAACTCTGTGAGGCATAACCTATAGTGCCCAGAATTCTTTGAGGGAAAGGAAGAGCTTTAAATGTATAGTGTGTACCCAGAGAACCCACAGAGTTGGTGCCTATGGTTAGAAGGAAAAGCCACCTTGAAGGTTTCATTTTTCACTCCCTTCATGAACGCACAACCAAAATATCATCAAAAAGCGGAAAAGAAGTAAAACACGTGCTCCCTCAACTTATATTCCTGTCGATTAAAACTTGCCCTCCCTGTCTGTTTTTTGATGATTAATCAGTGGAGTCTCATTTGATTAATCCACCAGAGAAACCTGAAGCACTAGTTGATTCTCTATGGAAAGGGAGCAGCTCTACTTTGCAGTTGCCTCCACCCCACCCCCTGCCCACCCCCTGCCCTGTTAGTTCCACATTCACCTGGAAGGCATTGACGTCCATCAAAAAGTTAATTGTCTCCATGAAGATGGTGGTGGTGGGCTGTGGGGGAGGGGGAGGCTCTGTTTCAAAGACAACCTTGGGTTCTGAAATGAAGCAGGGAATTCAAGGAATTTAACAACAAACAGACCTTAGATGCCTTTCTTTAGTACAGTATGATCACTTCTTGGGTAGGGGTTCTATTCCAGGGATGGCATGTATATGCAAGAATGCATATATTCAAGCCATCCCCTTGGAACTGCCTCTGTACAAGCATCCTTACCTTTCCAGAGTCCTGCACTGAGCTGGCCTTGCCCCCCAAGCAAGGCAGAGAGCGTTGAAGCTCTTTGTCTTGCTTACCGGGCTCATGGGTGCTCTCATGAAGACTCTGAGATGCTCTCGTGAGATCTCATGGGACCACCCAAGTCCCCCAGAGATCTCGCAAGGGAAAACCCTGTGCAAAAAAGAGCTTTTAAGCTCTCTGCTTTCCATGCATTTAATTTGTGCAATTTCAGCTGGCTAGCCTTCTCCTGTGTAAAGTTGAAATTGCACATGTTAAACATGCATAAGCTGTAATCATACTGTACTCAATTTATTAAATAAATGCAGCAAATACACATCTTCATTTTTCATTTAAAGTTTTCAGCAAACTTCCACTTTGCAAAGTGTGCCTGCTCCCCACACCACCACTACCAGCAGCAGTGTTTATCCACAACCCAGGTGTGAAGCCTAAGCGAAGCCAAAAGCCTATGTTAAGAGAGCAAGTTGAGGAAATGCAAAATAAGCACAGCACTTAGGAGAATGCCAATGAAAAGGGAAATTGCTGCAGTTCATCTGTTTGCCTGTAGTCAGCAATGGAAATCAGTCCCTCCAGGTCTGCAGCTCTGCTTTGTTTGGCTTCACTCACCCCTGAGCAGAAACTCTGTTCAAATGCAGGCTAGTAGTCCATTGGACAGGTCACCCTATGCAATCCAGACCCTGCTATGACTGCCCAAGCACATCATTTTGATTTTGGCAGCTGTGCCCCTTAGATTGCTGGTGTCGTTTTGCTCATTTGTGCAGCAAGAGTGGTTCTGCTGCAGCTCATTCTCTTGCTTCCCAGTCGTAATCATCATTTGCCTCGAATCCTAATCTTGTGGCCCCTAACCTTTCAGAGAAGGCAGCTTCATTCTACTGGGAGCCATCGACATCCTCCTGGACAGCTTAGGCACTCCTTCCTCTTCTTGCAGGCGGTGAAAGGATTCATCATCAGACGCTAAAGGGAAATCATGAAAAATGAGAAAAATCAAAACGAGAACATCTTGATCTGCCTCTCAGATCCCTGACATTCAGCTTTGCCCAGTTATACAACAAGACTGGTATTGTAGCTCATTCTATTTCTTCAAGGAACAGTCACACCCTCTCCAACCCCAAGGTTGTGGCCCCAAACCTTTCGGAGGCGCCAGCCTCAATCTACTGGGAGCCAGGGACATCTTTCTGGCAATCTTAGGTTTCTCCTCTTCTACCCGATGGATGGTTGTGGGCGGCTCTGGGATGTCTGAAACTTCAACAGATGCTAAGGGGAAATCCGGAAAAATGAGAAAAGTCAAAGAAGAACAAAACTATCTTTGCATATTTCTAACTGGATAGCAAGTCTCAGTACAGGAGGAATGAGCTTACACACTCACACCCACACCCCCATGCCTGCAGAAGCTGATTGGTTGGGAGTTCTCTATGAACTTACTGGGTTAGCTAGAGTTACTGAGGAGCTCAGCCTTGCTGTTATTTTAATTAATAATAATAATAATAATTTATTTATAGCCTGCCCATCTGGCTGGGTTTTCCCAGCCATTCTGGGCAGTTCCCAATCGAATATCAAAAACACAATACAGCATTAAACATTAAAAACTTCCCTAAACAGGGCTGCCTTCAGATGCCTTTTAAAAGTAGGATAGTTGCTTATTTCCTTGACATCTGATGCCCCTGCAGCTTCTTGACACTACAAGCCCCCATGATGCCTTGGGAAGGAGTGCAAAGCAAATGCTTAAGCCAGGGAACAGGAGTCTGTGGCCTACAAGACCCATCATGCTGGCTGCGCTGGGGATTCAAACCACTTCCTCCAAACAGAGTATTTCCCCACTGCAGATTTCTCCTTTAAACTTTTGACAGTTGTCAATCACCTGGTGTTGTCATGACATCAGGTGACTGACAGATGGATGGGACCACTCCTTGTTGAAGCCCACCCCCGGGTGCAGGTGAATTAAGGATCTGGCCTGTCAGGTTCCCCACCCCTACACTAGTAAGATCAAGAAGCAAAACCAACACTTCAGAAAGGGCGAAGGAGTCCAGGAAGGGTGAGAGAGATTATAGGCATGACCAGTATGTGCAGGAACGCACACACTCGCGCAGTGCCAAACTCAGAAGTGACCTGGAAACGTCATAAAAGATGTCACTAAAAGGGCAGAAAGGGGGAAGAGCAGAGTTGGAGCAGAGGCAGGATGGGGCAGAACAGGGTGTTTCAATTGCACATTATTTAACGGACGCACACAATGACCTCCCGGACCGCAATCCTCATGCAAATTGGGTTTGCCTGTAGTCATAAAAATAAGTTTTCAGAAAGATGAGAGGAAATGTTTTGGGATAAACAGAGTTCTAATCCCAGAGACACAGATGATGTCCCTTTTGGCATAATATATTCTGTCTGTTGTGAACATGAATATTTTTGACCTGCTGTGAACATGCTGCGCCTTTTCCAAAACCCCATTGTTTACAAATTCCCTGCAGGCAGAGTCTCAGCTTACGCAGCTCCTCCTCCGCTGAAACAGAAAGAACTTCCACCGCTGAAGGAGACATGGAGACCTTTCGTACTGCTGCATCTCCAACCTCAGGTGGAGGTCGCTCCTTCTGGAGAGAAGCTTTCTGGAGTTTGAAAGCCTTCTGAAATGCCATCTCCACCCTAATGTCATTCTCCTGGATATCATAGAATAGCCCTGTGGGAAAGGCAAGCAAGAGAGTTGCATCACTGCTGGGAGGTGGGAGGGAGCCTCTCAACCTGCAGTGCCCCCAGCTGGTCAGGCACCTTAATGGGTCGCGGAGGAAGAAGGCGATAAAATTCACCCTCCTTTCCATCAGGGAGTAAAGATGGGGGGGGGGGTAATTGACCTGCATGAAAGACTCTACAATTTGAAAACAGAGACACTGCATGAAGTCTCGTTACTTATGGAAAATATTTTAATGAAAACATATTAAAGGAAAAAAACTAGTCCTACTTAGAGTAGATCCACTGAAGTTAATAGAATGACCAACTTAGGTTCATTAGTGTCAGTGGGTTTACTCTTGAGTAGGACTTAATTGGCGACAGCCCACTGTGCTGGTGCTGTTATTGTTAAACCACTTTTTTGGAAGAAAAGAGAAATCCATTCCAAAGAAGAGAAATAAATACTGTTTGTCTTCATAAGGGCTAGAAGCTTGTTCCCCCACTCTGGGATTCTCAAATCATTCTACACCAGGTGTGAGATTCCATGCTTGTACAGTGCATATGTAACTTGAATACAACCCATGGAAGAGATGCCCAGACTCTGCAGCCAAGGCAGTGCGGCTGAGATGTGCTGGGTTGGAAACAGGCGAGAGAGCGGATGGTGAACTAAAATGGAACAAAACCGACAGCTGCCTGTGAACAAACGTACCCGAGCCTTAAAGTTCCTGTATGTGTGCAGAGGGAATCCTACGATGTCAGAGGTGTGCCCAGTACCGATGAAGAGAATACCATGATAAAGCGCATTAACAAGACCACCCCAGCAAATCCAGCTGACCTACCTAAGATGGTCCAGGCCAGAATGCTGGAGGGTTCCAAGCAGGTGGCGTCCTCAAAGAAGACCTCAGCATCTTCGTAGTTCTCCAGCATCACAGCCATGATGCCACAGAGCAATATGCTGGGCAGACAAAACCAAAGATTGAAGCAGCTGCCCACTTGCAAAAAGCAAGCAGGTAAGAGCCCACTGCACTGTGTAGCCTATGAGCGTTCCTACTACAGTAAGGATGGAAGGCAACTAAGTGTTACTCAGACTAAACCCGTTGAAATTATGAGCCTAACTTAGCCATGCTCATTAATTTCAATGAGTCTACTCTGAGTAAAACTTAGTTGCCTACCACCCAATGTCTCTTTCTGGATGCTCACTTGGAAGCAAGTGCCACACTGTGATCAATGGGGCTTTGCAGTTTCCGGGTCACCTTCAAAGGTGCTGATGCCTGCAACAGACTGTGAGCAGGAGAGCAGCAGCATGAGCACTAGTGACATATATATGCACAGAAGCCCATGTGCCCAGCCATTCTATTTTTTTAAATTTTCCTTTAAAAAAAGGCGGGGGATCATCAGGACATGTTACAGCTCAGCCTCCAAGTGTTGTACCTGTGGTATACTATAGTGTACTATTTTTAGCTGGAGGGGAGAAATGCCCTCAATATTCCTCAGCTACACGAAGCCTTTCTTGCCCCATGAGAATTGTCTAAACAAGGCCGCACATCTCCCCTCCCTGCCTGCCTCCTGATACCAAGTACTACCTGGGCAGGTGATTGGGGTCCAGGCTAACAGCCTCGCGGAAGCACTCCTGGGCTTTGAGATTGTTTTCAGTCAGCAGACAGAAAGTGCCATAATCCAACCAACTCTGGATATCCTGGCGGTCACGAGACAATCTCTGGGGATGGAAACACCATTGCGTAAGTTGACTCCCTGATGTTCCAGGGTTTTGAATGGATAAAAACTGCACATTAGAAATGGGGCTCCATCCTTCTGATGAGTCACCTGATCATGCTCCAAATTCTGAAGGCTGACAGACATCCTATTAGTCTTCTTTGATTTTAATTCGGCCTCAGGGTTTGTGAGCCATTATGCACCTGGACAAAACCCCTGCAGAGGTTCTCTGGTCCATCTAACTATATGTGTACTGGAGCTGCCTTATACTGAATCAGACCAAAGATGATCCATCTAGCCCAGCATAGTCACTGCCCAGCAGCCCTCTGTGCCACAACCTGAAAAGAGGCTAATGGCATATGGCTCCATGCAGCAGAGCAGAGAGCCCCACTGCTGAGCTAAAGAGCCACAAATCACAAGACTGTGATATTTAGCTTGGCAGTACATGCAAAGAGGACTGAAGAAGGGGAATATTTCTTCCAGTTCCCACAGCAGCAGAGGCCTGGGGGAAACTCTTCAGCATCATTCACCCCCCCCCATTTCTTAGCCACCCAACTGGTGAGGGATGAACAGCGTTTCTTGAATTGTTTTAGATTTCTTGTAAGTTGATTGGAGACCATTTGACTGAATAGAAATCTTTCAAAAATAAATGGTGCTAAAGAAGCAAAAAACAGTGCCAATTATACAAACAAGCCAAGTCACACATTATTAGAGAAGTAGGCACTGTCATGCACCCACTCAACAGTAAAGGCCATTACTAGTCAATCTTATCTGGGAAATAGTCTTTCTGACGCTCAAGATCTCAGTCCATGAGGCCTAGTTCAAAAAAAGAGCAGTTTAGGTGGCATGAACTGTGAGCAGGGGTGGATGCATGGTTGAATGCTTCCCATCAGAGGAGGCGGGGACCCAGAACAGAGAAATCTAGCATGTCAGGGAGAAAGCTGGCATAGAACACTTCTCCCTTATATACTTGCCTTCCATATGTGGGCACTTCTAAATGGAGGAGCATTTACTCATGTAATCCTTTGCCTGCAGTCCAAAGCCATACAGTCTGGGAGTTGTTTTACCACCTCAGTTTTTGGCCTTACAACCTTATTGAACAATATGCACCCCTTATGTTTCCCCAAGAAAATGAGCTGTATTGGTTCAAATCCCACCTCTCTCACATCTTGCCTCTAGCTGCAAAAGACATGGATACCCCCCCAAAAAAATCCCAACCACCCTCCCACAGCCCCTTAGGATTTTTAACACATCCTAAAATGCAAATGATGAAAACATCCTTTCTAAATGCCTCCAATTCTGCCTTAACACCAGAGAGACTCTTTGTTCCTGCAGCTGTTCTGCTTGGAGAGGAGCAGCAGTTCTGTCACCTCCTGGTAGTAGGTCGCTGCCAAGTTATAGTCTCCGTTGTTCTGGGCTTCGCGGGCAAAAAGACGGAGCTGCTCGGAGGTGGTAAAGCTGGGAGGAGGAGGGCTGGGGGTCTGCTGGGACAGCACCTGCCCAAAGGTAAGAGAATAATGCAACTATTACAGATCAAACGGCAGAGGCTTACACTTGAATGGGATTTTCAGTAATAATGGGGCGGTTGGAAGATTGTCCCTTGGTGCGTAAATAATATGTGATGGGGTTACAGAGCCACCTGGGCTAAACCTGCCTACGTCCAAGAAGATTCCTGGACAGCCACTGCCAGTCAGTGTAGACAATACTGAGGTAGACAGGCCCAATGGTCTGACTCGCTGTAAAGTGAGTTACCTCCTTATGTACGCCAAACATCTGGACAGTGATGGGTGTGGCTGGATTTGTTTGCCTTGGCTGGCAACTCCCTTATGTTTCTCCAATGACGCTTGAAAATATTGTACTCCAACCTTCAGTGCCTTCCAAACATTTTGGACTACAGCCTTACCTTGGTTCTCGAACAGAATCCGTTCTGGAAGTCTGTTCGACTTCTGAAAACGTTCGAAAACCAAGGTGCGGCTTCCGATTGGCTGCAGGAGCTTCCTGCACTCAGTCGGAAGCTGTGGAAGCTGCGTCGGACATTTGTGTTCCAAAGAACGTTCACAAACTGGAACACTCACTTCCGGGTTTGCAGCGCTTGGGAACCAAAATGTACGAATACCAAGGTGTTCAACAACCAAGGTACGACTGTACTACTGTGCTGGCTGGGGCAGAAGGGAGTGGTAGGGCAACCCCAGCATAGTATAGAAGCCATAGACTAGTAGTTGACAGTCCAAAATCCTGATTAAAACATAAACAGCTTCCAACCCTGATTCTTACTCCAACCTCTGACAAGTCCTCAAACAGTCCCAAGAATAAAACAATGGTTTGTAGACGTGACACTTTTTAAGGTGTGCCTTTCTCTTCCAAGCTGGCCTTACCTGATTCAGAGCAACATGCATCTGATCCACCAGGTACACGTACAGCTCACTCAGAAAAGCTTGGAGCTGGTCCAAGTTGTCAAATGCAGTTGTTTTCAAGTACTTTTCTCGCACAATTTTCACCACGGCATGCTGCAGGGAACACAAACCCTCCAGTTGACCCCAAAGGACTCAAACACATTTTTGGGAGTAGGGAGACAGAAATCCAGAAAATACAGGTTTTAATCCCCCTATTGGGCTAAATGAGATTTAAAGAAAACGTGGCTTTTAAAATGCAGGGGGATTCAGTAATATATCGTTTTATCATAGAAAGCGATGAAGAAATTCACTGATGTAACAACCATGTACGAAAGAAATGAATTGAAATGGAGCTTATACCTTGATTTGCTCCTTAAATGCAAAGTATTTCCCAGAGCTGTTGAGCTCATAGTTGAGCTGGCATTTCTGGTTCTCCAGGGTGTGGCTGTCAATGGCATACCCTTCAACCAACTGCCTGCCAAACAGCTCGTGATACTCATCCAGAATGGCCTCAGCAATGCTGGTGACCTGAGTGTGGTAATCTTCTACTGCCTAAAAAGACAGAGAAACAAAGGCAGAAGCTCAGTGGGAGAACATTTGTCTTGCATGCAAAAGGTCCCAGGTTGAATCCCTGGCATCACCAGATAGGGCTGGGAGAGACCCTAGTCTGAAACCCTGGAGAGACACTGCCAGTCAGTGTAGTAGATAATACTGAGCTAGAAATACCACTTGTCTGGCTCAGCATAAGGCGGTTTGCCTATGTTCCTAAGAAAAGACTTAGACAATGAGTGACTCATCTGAACTCTTGCTTGGAAAGAACCGTTCTGACAGAATATACCAGTTCATCACCAGTGAAGTCTCTGAAAGACTTCCCTCCCAAAAAAGTGCAAGGTGCAGTGCAAATCTGTGCTTAGATACCCAGATAAGGAAAACTGCTGTGATGTATGTTCTGCAGCATCAAAGCACTGAAAGCGAATTGAGACCAGAAAAACCCATTGTGGGTGTTAGAGTAGGGGCACAGGCAGCACGGCTGGGTGATGGCTGAAAGCAAGAGATAGTGTTTATTGTCATCCCATGCCAGAGGTAGCACAGCATGGCAGACAGTGTCAGACTAGGAGGACCAAGGGGATCTCAGTTCAAATCCTCACTCAGCCATGAACTTCACTGCATGACCTTGGGCCTGTGTCTCAGTTTAACCTACCTCACAAGACTGCTGCAAAGATAAAACAGGAACCCTGTACATGGCTTTTATTCTTAATTTATTTGGCAAATGTGTGTAAGGTGAGTAGGATCCCTTCAGAATCACAGACCACCACTCAGAAGACAGGTTAGCTTTCAGCCCAATGACTCACCACATAAGGAAGTGGCATGTAGATACTGATAGAGTACCACTTAACCAAATTCTCAGGGCTGTGTATGTGTTGTGATTCTACAGGGAAGCAAAATATCTGCTTAATGCAATAATGAGGATTTCCAGCAATTCTCTATTTTCCCCCTCCCCCCTTTTAAAGGCATGTTTATAGCTCTCATGGTAACAAATAAATGCTTGGAAGTATGCGTAAGAAGACAATGCCTGTTGAGCTTTCAGAAGCCATAGGGTGGCTGAACAAAATTTCAAGTGGTTGGGGGGGGGTGTGCAGCTTTTGTGTGCTGCTTAAGTCCCCATAACAAGGCAAACCAGAATAAATTGTGTCAAGTGGGCAAAATAAATTACACACAGTAAGAGATAATATGCACGTTTGTGCAAACTATTCGGTTTGCAGAATTAAGCTTTTCCTAGCACAGAATTTTCAATTCCCCACTCCCCCAGGCAGAGTACAGAAAGCTGGGTGAGTACACTTATTCTACTCTATACCTTCTTAGCTCCTGCTGTCCTTCGAGGGAGTTGAGGGCGTGGAGGAATCATCTCCTTTACCCTGTATGTGCAAGACAAAATTCAGTGGGTTCCAAGTCTGCAGTTCTATACACAAATGTTGACCCTAGACCCAGATCCCAACATTTAAGTCTATGAGCCAGGAGTTATGCAAGTCAGATTCCAGACTGAAAACTGTGCATTAGGGTCATTTTGCTTTTAAATGCAAACAGAATCTACCACCATAACACGCACGTAGTTTTTAGAGGAGGAAAATCCGTAGGCATGCCACCCGTTGGCATTCCCTCCATAACACGCACAGACATTTCCCTTTACTTTTTAGGAGGAAAAAAGTGAGTGTTATGGTGCAAAAAATACGGTAATTTCTCCCCCAGCCCTAATGATAGTGTGAATAGGACCTTTGTAAAAGCATGCAATTTGCTGGAGCTGTCCAAGGTCCTACAACTCTAGCACGACCTTTCTTGCTACCAACCAACTGACTGTGCCACCTTCAGATGTTTTCCACTCTGGCTCACGGTCAGAACAGGGCACCATGGAAGATTAAAAATCTGTAATAACTGGCCTGGCTTTGCCCATGGAGCAAATGGAAGGAATAACCCGTCTCAGGAGAACCTCCTCCACTGAAGAAGAATTTACAGAGCACTTTAGGATACATGATAAATTTTATAGAAAGTGTTCCTTGACATCCCTCCCTCCCCAGATCACTGCCCATGCGCACCGGTTGGCGAGCTCCTCTGGCAAACGCTTGGGCACCAAAGGTTTGTCCAACGCAAACTCTATCACAATATACGTCCCGCTTTCTATATATTGCTGAAACGACAAAGTTTACACTTTCTCAGTCTTAAGATCTTAAGAGCATTTTCATAGATGAAGATTAAACAGTTTGCATCTCTCTCACACCATATACCGGCCAGTGCAAAAGAGGAAGTGGAGGAGGGGAATTCCTAATAGCAACAAGCATTCTGGCCACCATAGGCTTTACATTAACTGTTTCTCTGCCTTCATGTTGCATTCAACAGATGAATCTGTCAGTGATTCTAATTCCGATCAACACCTGCTGTGCCCTTCCTGCTAGCTTTAGGTGAGTTATCCACCTTTTAAGAATAAAGTTTCAAGCATTGCATGAAAACTGCTTATTTGTCACAAGGAAAAATGGTATAACAGCTCCAGGGATGGCAGGCATGAGGGAGTGGGAATTGACACTACAGGCACTCGCTAACCAGCACAGTGTACAGGCAGCTTCTACTGTAAAATGGCCAAATCAGTTTTCTATGGAGTTCACCCGCTGAGAGTAAACTGTACATGATAGGGTAAGTGTGCTTCTCTAGTGGTTCAATCACACCAATTAATGTCCATTTTGGAATACATCCAAAGTTTTGCCTGTGAAAATGCTTTGATCCACAAGATCCCTTCATTCTCGTCTCACCCACAGAAAGTCCAAAAAAGTACAGCAGCCAGGAGCTGGTCATCAATATCCCTCCCATTAGTGTCAATGGATTATTATTATTAGTGTGCTGCCCACGTTTCACACGACTGTTTTTTGCTATTCTATTTACTCATGTTTTTAACAGTATTGTAAGACATTTGGGAGACCTAAATATAAATAAAATAATCTAAATAATGATAATAACTAAAAACCGACTGAATAGGGAAAATTAAAAAAGGAACATCCACCTCGAAACACACCTTGAACTCTAATTGTCACAAGTGGATGGGGCTTAGGAAGTGTTGGTCTCTGCCAGAGATTCTCCCTTTGCACCACCTCATTGATTGCTCTGATTAATTGGAATCGTCTTGGGTTCCAATTTAAAAGCAGCAATAATGTTTGCCACTAAAAGCATATATCCCTACTAACAGACACTGCAGCACAATCCTTAATATTACCAAACAGTATAATGGAATTTTAATGGAATTGCTCTCAGAATAACATATATCCCATTATATTTAATTGCAACTTTCCAATAATTCTTTTTAGGGGCAATCAAATCTGCTAAATCTGCCTCATCTATGCTGCATCTTCAACATTTTGCTCAATTTATATGCCCCCGTATAAATGGTTTTATTTAATATTCACACACAGGGAAGCAATTAGGACTAGAAGTCAAGATAGATGTTCCACTTTTCATCTGATAACTTTCATCTATATTTCATTTCATTATTTTATATATAAGAAAGGAAATTACTATTTTATAATAAAGAAAGCTATGACAGTGCACCATTTCAGACTGGTGGATCCTCATTCTTTCACCTGTTTCAAATGAGGAAGAAATGAAAAAACTGATTGGTTGACAGATTGGTAGACTGATAAATAAAACTAAAGAATAATGTTTAAACAAGCAGGGGAGAGACTTTAAGAAACAAGGGAGGCAGAAAGAAATATGGGAGGGCAGCCCATATTTTCAGAAAATCCTTTCTGGTAGATGAAGGAACACATATTTCCATATCAGGATCTTGCTTGTTCCTTTTATTAAGAAATATTAGCTCCTTGTTGTCTACACTATTGTATAAACTCCACCAACAAAGGCTTTTGAGTGGCACATCATTAGCTTTCTGACTAACAATCAATCAAGTTCTGCAAATTCAGGCCTTGTATGATGGGAGCGAGAACGATACAACCAGCCAGTGTTCGAAACTCCCATTGTTCTAGGTGCATTTTGTGATATGGAATTTCATTAGCGCAAGCAGTTTCTGAGCTCTGGGTGCAGTACTGTGCCTAAGATTTCAAACTAAAACTGCAGAGTGGAAGGAAAGGAGGACCTTTTTCTGCCTTCCCACTTCCAGCTACTCTCTGAAGACTGGAGAAGAGACCCTCTTAAGAATATTAGGGGTGTAGGCAGGGGAAGGACTAGGCCATGTGAAAAATGAACATAATATTTTCACTGCAGTTCATTCATTTTCAGTTTTGTATTGTTATAAAAAATGCGCACCTAGAGTCCACAATTTCCCAGTCATCCACTTAAGGAATATATTTACCTGCCCTTCAATGTTCTGGCATATAGATATTGCCGCTTCAATTGTGGTATCAGATGTGTCCCTTCTCACAATATTAGATGCCTTGTAAAAAATAACAATGATCAGATTTAGCACAGCTGCTATGTGGGAAGCTTCTGTCCAATCAGCTTCTGCCTTTCTGTTCCCCAAGGCCAGAACTATGGTAGCCATGTGACCTAGAGCCTATCTGCAGTCCCACATTCCATACTAAGGAGCTCAAAGCATTTCCTTGAGGCATTGTAAGAAAACTAAATAGTGGATAGAGCCAGCCAGCTGTCTCAACTTCAGCATTGCAGCTGCTGCCCACTTCCACTGGCTGAGCAGCCCACCACAAGGCATTCTGCTATGGGCCACCACAGCCCAAAGAAAACACCGCAGCTGTTACAGGCCTGGTGCTGCTTTGACTTGACCCTCAGGAACAGACACGGGGTGTTCTCCCCATTCATTATCCATGATTCCACAGTCATTTTGGGATGTGGCATTTACAGTGGTTATATAGGAGGCTTCCAGGTGGGAACTTTGGTTCTTCAGATGTTGCTGATCAACAGCTGCCATCATACGTAGCCACTGAACATCCTTGCTGAAGCGGATGCAAAGTTCCGCTTCATCTGGAGGGCCAAAGATTCCCAGCCCTTGTTATGCAAAGCACAATCCCCTCATTGCTGTTTGCCCTCCTTGCCAAGTAACTTTTTTGTTTTCAAACACATCAGGAATTTCACCAGGACTTTCTCTCCACATTCACCTTTCTCATTACGACCTCTTTAGCGGGCCTGTCTTCCTTTGTAGTCTTCCCAAGGATACCTTTGGTATGTGGGGTGAGCAGCCCTAATTTATTTAGGGCTGTCTGGTGGCCGATGTCACGGAAAAGACTGAAGAGACACTTCGTCTGAAACAAGAGAGAAGGAAAGGGGTCTACTGTCTGCATTTTGTTCAAGCTCCCCCACCCCCCCAATCTACCTGATCAGCTAATGCACACAACACCGGCAAGATACCTCTCCTCTCCACTGCAGTCCCTGAGAGAGTTTGGCTACTGTCTGAAAATGTTCCCTTTTAAAAATAATAGGAAGGAAGACTGACAGGACTGAAGACTGACTTAGTGTCTTGGCAGAAGCTGGTCTCACACCATGGGTGAAGAACTCGCTGCAATTCCTCTTTCAATATGACAGGCTTATAAACAGCCACTTCACCTGTTTGCCTATGGCATGTAGTAACTGCTCCCAGGCAACCAATTGGCTCTTGTCTTCCCCTTTTAGACCAGATATTCTAACATAGGTTGGGAGGGGGGGGCTATGTTTGCAACTCCGTAATCTTAGTGCCTTAAATATTTGAAATATTACATCTGTCTTCAGCGTGGTATTCCTAGCTCCATCAAGATATATCCTAGGATAGGCTCAAGCCTTTCCTATTTTCTCCTGTTCAGGCATGGGAGACTCCCCTCACTTGCTGAGACCCATGGCAAGAGCATCAAGTGAAAGGCAGGCCACTTAGTGCAGGTTCTTACCTTTTCAAACACTTCATTGTCAAGATAAGGGTAGACCCGGAATGCACCCCGGATCCGCTTCACCCCAGGATAGAGCAAAGGCACTGCATTGATGTAAGCCACACCATGAAAGGAAATCTGCTCTTCTTCTCCGCCACCTCCTCCTCCCTGGAAATTGAAAAACAGAGATTTATAGATCACCTCAATCTATAGTCCTGAAAGCTCACAGCAAGCAGGCAAAGCAAAGAGGGAACAGAATCACAGCAACAAAACAGAAGAACATTTCAGCAAATTCCCAGAACTTTTCCCATTATTTGCTGACTCAGCTCTGAGCACTGAAAGTCATCCTGAAATATGCAAGCTTCACAGGGCTTGTGAAAGGTGCTCAGGTTTGGACTTCGGAGAGTCTGCAAGGAAGGGAGTTCATAACAGGAGGCAAGTGATCAAAATGATCTCGGAGATAATCATGGGGCAGATGGGTATAAGTGCTCTCGAATGTATGCTGGGTGAAAGCCCAAGCAAGTGGGACAAGGCCTTGCTTTCAAGAAAAGGTTTTAGTCAGCACTATGGCATGAAGTCCTGGCAAAGAAAGGAACTTCCAGCTGAGCCTCCCTGAGACAAGGAACAAAAAGGCAACCAGCCTCTTGCATGGGTAATAAAGAAAAACCAACTGATCAATAATCAGAGCTCATTTTTGTCTCAAGAACACATTCAGGCAAGTAACAACAAAAGAGAGAGGGCAATGACTCGTAGCATCCATGAGGGCTCTACCAGTATGATTAAACACTTTTAATTATACGAATGCTCTTCTTTTGCTTTGAAACCTTTTTATGTTTCTCTGGGTAATGCAAAATATAAAATAATAATAATGTGTATACGTGATTCAGGTCTCTAATACGCACACATTCTGCCTCCATTAATGCCAACCAAAGTCCACACTTGGTTCATGACTGACTCTCCTCTGGAAGAACTTCTTCATTAAGCTGCAGATTTTCCCCAGGCATAATACCTCTAGCAAATGAATCAAGGCAACATTTAAGCATCCACTTGTTCTCACCTTTCATGCTTAAGCATAACAGATGCTTTACCTTGTCTCCTTTTCCACCTTTTGTTTTGGTGGAAGTGACCACAGGCACTCTGGTCATCTCCACAGGCCAGTACCGACAATCTGCAATCCGCTTTCGAAAACTGTGGCATAGAGAAAGACAGGCAGAAAACAATAATTATTCTAGACCAGGGTGATGTAATGGTTAGAGCGCTGGACCAGGATTTGGGAGACTGGGGTTCAAATTCCCACTTGCCCCTGAAGTCACCATCTGTCAGCCTAATCTACCTCACAAGGCTATTGGGAGGAAAATATGGAATATAATGAAGATGAAACACCAATTAGTCTTTTGTATCAATGAACAAAATGGCCACCAATGGTATGAATACACCTGAAAATGTGGCTATACCATACATCTTTGCTCAGAAAATGTGTGTCAGCCAGCAGTCACAGCCAAGTAATGGAGTCCTGACTGACACTTCTGGTTTGGCTCTAAATTTTGTTGCCACTCTCACTGCTAATGCCATGAGTTTGCATCACAGAGAAGCAGACACAGAGCAATAGCTGCTTTCTGTTCAGTACCAGAAATTTAAGCAACATGTCACTTGCTCATGTTATGGTTATTCCTATTTGCTTTGCAGAATGCATGGGTTGTTTGCACCCCTGCAGTCACTGGCAGTCAGTACGGTTGCCTATTTAGGACTAGGAATGGGGAAAATCCAGGTTTATATTCCCATAGCCCTCCCCAGAAGTTCAGTGGGTGACCCTGGGCTGGTCACTTTCTCTCTCTGCCTAACCTACCCCACAAGGTTGTTATGAAGATAAAATGGGGTGAGGGGGCCATGCTTAATACCTTGAATTCCTTGAAGCAAAGGCAAGATATAAATGTTACAATACAATTACTAATAATCTGATGTGCCACGGACACCACTGCAAACCAAGCCATAGATGCACACAGGTATGTAGGAAGCTGCCTTTTACTGAATAAAACCATTGGTCCTTCCAGTTCTGTTTTGTCTATGCTGACTGGCAGCAGGTTTCAGGAAGGAAGTCTCTCCCAGTCCTACTTGGAGATGCTCGGGTATTGAACCAGGGACCTTCTGCATGCAAAGAAGATGCTCTGCCACTGAGCTCTGGCCATTCCCTTAACACTTAGCACTGATGTAGAGCTTTATCTCAGTAACTGTCATAATAACTTTTGTACAGCAGGTCAAGGCCAGCCAGATCTCGGCCACCCAATAGTGTCTGAAGTTGTCTCCCACAAGATTGCCAGTTCTTTGCTATTAGCCACTATATTGCAGTAGGCCTCATCTAGTTCCTTTGGGCCACTCTATGTAAGTTATGAGCCCATGGAGAAAGGCCTATGTTTTCTCACCAGATCACAGCAAGAGGATCTAAGTAGCAGCGCCTTTCCAAGTCCCACATAATCCGTTTTTTAATAGTTTCTGCCTGGATCCTGAGATCTCTATCCTAAAAAGAAAGCAAGAAAAGAACCATTTAGAAGCTCTAGAAATCATCATGCAAAGAAAATGATAAATTCTGCAGCAGGAAACCCTCATTTCAGTCACTATATAAATTAGTGCTTATTTTCAATGGTGGCACTAGAAACAAATTTGGGGGGATGGGACAGAATGGGCAAAGTACATTCTAGTGTGGAAGTTGATGAGTGGAAGCAAACATATCTTGGAAGATGCTTCCCTCCGGACACCATCCTTCTGACACTTCCTACGCTTGTTTTGCACATTAGACTTAGAAGTGTAAGTCATCGCATTCATTCCCAGCTATTATACTCCCTCTTGGCTCTCCAGTACCAAAAGACAAGGTTTCAGGAAAAACTAGGCACTGGCCTGACTTATCCCAGCAATTATCACATTTTTATGATTCTAAATAGCTACTCTGGTTATAGTCTGTCCCAGCTATTTCTTTCAAAGTCACCTCCAGTGTGTTCAGCTCTCCATCCTCCTCCTCGTAAGCACCACCAACGATAAAGGAGTCTGGGATATTCTGCCCCCCTGGTGCTAAGATGTTGGTGACCGGCCACTTTTTGGGCCGGGGTAGTGGTTCTTTCTCACCACCAAACTTCAGTACTCCATTCTTGAACAGGAAGGGGCATTCTTTCTGGAATGATCATAAAGGATAAAGGATTCACGTAATCAGAAAAGTAACACACACACATATGCAGTATAGTATAGAGTGGCGTGGATACAAATGGGGTACAGACACACCCTAATAAACACCCTAGTATAGTTACAAAAGAGAGGACTAAGAATGATTTATATAGATCTTTTAATTTGCAAAGTGCCTTTTAAGTTTCCACTGTGGCATCTCCCAAATGGCTCGTATGAGACAGGCCACTGTTTTCCAAATTTTACAAGGGAGGTGGAAAAACAGTGGCTCAGCGTGTTTCTAACACAAAACCCCAATTTGGCATCACATGAGCAAACCTCAGGCTCACATTCTTCCTCCTCCCTGATCCTTCATCCCTCATAGGGTCCAATTTCCCCTCTGAGTTCCTGCTTCACAGTATACCACAGCCTACCATCACATCCATACTGACAAACTATGACTTGCACTTGCCCTCCAAATCCAAACAGGGGACCACCATTAAACCTGAGGCTTGTTCAAGGAATGAGCCAGTGACTTGCTGAAGGCCACACAACAATTCCAGGGGCAGAGGCAGGGGATGGTTTGCCACCTCCACATCTATCATGTGGTGTATGGATCTGAATTCACAGGGCTGGCCCTACCATTAGGCGGGGTGAGGCAGCCATCTTAGGGAACAAACGCTGAGGGGTAGGGAGTGTACAGTACTATGTGTTAAGTGTACTGCACTCTGCATTAAGTGTACCATGCATATGGATGTAAGGAGGCAGTGATTTCCATCCTATTCTCTGCTCCTGCCCTGTGTCCACCCAAATCTACATTGTTCATCTTGCCATCCACTATGCCCAAAACTATTATAATTAATTATAGAATCAATTATGTAACTAACTAATTAGAAATCTAGTCTCTTACAACTGGAGTGAGAAGCCTCTGGTTTTTACCTCAGTTAATTGATTTACTTCATTTATATGCCACCTTTTCACAGTAAGCTGTGGCCAAAGCAGTGTACAATGGACATCCATTTATTATCAAATACACAACATTGCAGGATGGAGATTGCAGAAAGAAAGGTTTATAAAAACATTATATAAATACAAAGGAAGCAAAAAAAAAAAAATCAATTATTTAGTAGACAGAGAATAAATTCAATTATTACAAAATAATTACCGGTAATATAGACTCATGTACAAAGCAAAAAAAGAAAGTTAACAGGCAATAAAATTCTTGTGATGGTGCGGGTCTTATTCTAAGAAGCCTCAGAAGCCAGGCTTAAATACAGTTCAGAGGGGACTGGTCTTCTCACCAGACTAGAAGACTGACAGCTGGCTCTCCCATTGCTCCTCAGAGGAGACTAACAGCAGCAAAAGGGAACTGCGGGGTGGGGGAGTGATGTTGAATCCTCTTCTCCAGCCTCCTGGAAGCTCCAGCTGCTGCCGGAGGTCTTATTGGCTATTACGAACTAGTCACCCCAATCACAGCACCCTGTGACTACAGCAAGAGAAGCATGAGCAAGAGCACAGTAAAGACAAGAGTTCAGGATCTCAGCAGGACTCACCTCGCCAACAGCAGGCACTTGCAAGCCAATCATATAGTTCTGTGGAGGCCCAGTGGGCAGGAACGTTTCAGGGACTGAATAAACACCTTCCACGGTCACTCTAAGGAGATTGCCCTCAGACAGCTGCCATGCGGACAGCAGACTCTCCTGCACAGATACTGTTACGTTGATGACGCACTACAAAAACAAGATCAGGTTTGGGGTATGCCAGCACTATAAACTTGTATATTGCTTTTATGCAGGTTCAAATTGCCATGGTGTTCCTCAAGGGATCCCAGGGATTTTCAGAGTTCATCAGGAAGATGGAATGATGGCTGTATCAGTTTTACGTCAGTGGTGTCAATAAAATCCTTAGAAAACAGCTGAGCAGAAAACAGTCACGTTGCTTCATTTTTAGATTAGTGTGATGCAGCTGGGTCAGGTCTCTCTGCTAAATCCAGTCATTAGGATATTTCCCTCCTACCCACTTCCACTCCACCTAGCCAGCAACTGAGGAAAATGAATGTGGAGACAGATTGGTGGGTCTATCCCCCGATTCAGGAGAAGGAAGCTTAAGAGGCGGCTGGTGCCAAAGACAGTCCTTGGGGGGTTCCTGTAGCCCACGCATGATGAGGGTTCATGGATGAACCAGCCCATGCTTCCAAGGCAGGAGCTGCAGACAATCCAGTTGCCCAAGAGAATTCTGGGCAATAATTCAGATAAGAAACAACACATTAGTTTGCTTTTTCCCTCCTGTCTCTAAGTTCCTTTTCCTTCTGTGTTGTGTCTTTTAGACTGTGAGCTTGGGGGCAGGGACTATCTTATCAATATGGATGGGCGAAATCTCTCAGTTCTCATTTTCCCAGTCTTAAGTTCAGTTCTCCACATCAGCTTGGAATTTAAAACAAATACAGGTCCTCATCAGCATTTTAGTGGAAAATTTTTGTAATACATTTTTCTATGCAGTTTCCCCAAATATACACATTTTTGCAAAACTGTTTCCCATAATATAATGCATTCTTGTATGTTATTTTTTAGCAATATATGCATTTATATGTACACTTTACTGTAGTATATCATTATTGTACACATTACTTAGTTGGGCAATGCACTGCAGAATTCAGAAAAGTGTGAATCTGAAGGATGGCTGTGTTTCAGTTTGCATATTGTTTCAGCGAGTGCAAATTAGGTAGATCCTCCTTTAAGTGTGAACTGAACCAAATTTCTCCCCATCCTTACTTGTCACTGACACTTTTGTAAGACAATCTGGGAGTAATTTTTAAAACATTTTTGCTTTGAAGCTGGATAAAAATGCTTTGAATGATGAGCACTGCACACACACTAATATGCAAATAAACCATGAGGAGGTGCTTATTTCAGGCACAAAAACGAAATAGGGGGTTGGGGGTGGGTGGATTTCCACATCTCACTAAACAACCCTTGGAGAGAAGCAGTTGGAACAGAGTACGGTATATTTTCCAGTTAACTGTCTTACGTTTAAAAAGAAAACCTTATGTTTATTAGATATTTAGTTTAAGCTGGAAACATATAGCCAGGCAAAAAGGCAGGATAGAAACAATTTAAATAAAATAATGTGTGTTAGGATTGAAGTGCTAACCACCAATATTTCGAAGCCAGAGATATTGAAGTTAAGTTGCTGCATACAGTTTCTTTGAAGAAATGCCTCTATTATTATTATTTTTAATACCTTGGCATCTGGCCGGAGGGTCTCCAGGGGAGAGCCTAGCACAGGGTATAGTGGAAGTGTTGCACTAAATTCACAGAGTCCTGCAGAGAAAGAATTTTTGGAAGGGAATCACAAAAGATGGTGTGGCCAAGCAGTATTAAAAGGAAGTTTTTTGGGAAAGCACCAGGAAATGCTCCTGCTCTTGCCAAGCTGCTCTGGAGGTTGGCAAGAATCTGGGATGGAGCAGGCAAATGAGCCATAGTTAACAAACCAAGATGGGTTCATAGGTAATAACAAGCCAACGCTAGAACAAGCCATGGTTTGTAAGCTGCCAACAAACCATGGCTTGTGATCGTGGGTTGTTGGGAACAAACAAAGCATTGTTAAGCTCTGGAGCAGTCAGTGTGTAGATGTGGAGCTGCCCTCCTTCCAACAGCCGCTTACCTGTATGGGGTATGCCAGTGTTTGGGCAATGGGAGGGTTGTGCATGTGCACCAGTAACAGCACCAGATTGGCTCCACCAGGTGGCCCACACAGCCGGACCTCAACCACCACCCCACCCCACCCTGTCCAGACCCACCAACCCACCTACCACACCAGCTGCTCTTGGTCAAGCTACAGGACTGAGTTTGCATAATCAAACAAGCCAAGTTTAAACTAAGCAAGCCATGGCTTAGTGTTAAGTGCGAACTAGACCACTGTATAACTTCCATAGTGTGAATTCCAAGGAAAGGGATAAAGCAAACCAAGGATGAATTCTATCACTAACCTTCCAGTAAAGGTAGAAGGTCCATCACAGCTTGACCAAGGGTCATGGTCTTCTCTTCTTTCTGCTTCTTCTCCTTTGGTAAGACTTCTGTCACAGTGACTGGGAATACCAAACATAAGATTTGATAACATTCCTTAAACATCTGTGATGCAGAAGCACCCAGCAGTATTGAAGTGGGACGCTTGCTCTTTTGAAAATGGCTGCTACCCCCTACCATCATCTCACTGAAGAACTTCTCAAGAATCATTAGGCTTCTCAGAAATCCTAGGGACACTCAGAAAACTACTGCCCCTGATCATCTGAATAACCCTAGTCTAACTCTCTCTGGCATGCCTTTCCAGGGTCCATGGGTTCCCCAAGCCAGGCACAAAAATAAAAACCCATCCTGTAATTTGGCCAATGAAAAAATCACATATCTAAGTAGCTCAGCCCTGCATCTCCCACTTAGCTGTCCAAACAGGGATCCTGTCCATAATTTCAAAAGCATCACATTTTGGAGAAATCATTCAGAACAATATCAAGAAAATGAGCAGGCATGAGTTGCATTACGATACCCTGATCATGTTGAAGGGATAGATCACTGACGGAGGTGCTGTCTGTTTTTACAATATGTGTTTAATCTCAACTATAGTTAACTGAAACAAGCCAGCTTCATAATTCGTGGCCCATGTTTTCAAGCATTGCTAAGCCAGGCCATGACTTGGTGCAAACATGTGGGATCCTGGAGAGAAGATCCCAGCCACTCTGCTCTTCCCTAAATGTATTGGTGCTTCACACCAGTAAGTCACAGTTTGACTTACCAGATTGTCTGTACCTGGGCTCATGGTTTAGCTCTCTCTCTATAAACCATGAGCTATAACCAAGGTTGATTTAATAAAACTTAAAAAATACAGAAATAGTGTGACATGGTAGCTACAAAACAAAGTTCAAAACTCATCTCACTCACAAACTCACTAGATAGTATTTGGCAAGCCCTACTTCTCTCATTGCTATCAGTGCTACTTTTCTGAAAAAGGGGTATCAGAACTCACCATGAGTGCCTCCTTTGTTCTCTTATAATGGCAATGTCACCCACCTGAGAGGAGGCAGAACTGAGTTCCTGCAAGTTCTGGCTGCAAAAGAGCTCTGGTTGCTATAAAGATTCTAATAACATAAAAAGAGCTTGCTGATCAGGCCAGTGGCCCATCTAGTCCAGCACTCTGTTCTCACAGTGGCCAACCAGATTATTAAGATTAAGGAACAAAAGTGCTTTGAGGGTAGTTATTGCAGGCCTGTTCTAGTGGATGAAATATGCACAGGATACACTGTTTCCCTTGAAATAATCAAAGAACAAAACCAATCTCTTCTTTCCCAATTTCTAAATGACTAAGTGACTGTCAATTCAGAAGCATCTGTTTAAAATGGGGAAACAAGGAAGGGAGGAACACTCTTACTCACATAGCAAAGGTTTGTGTGCAATGTCATCCAGGCTGTGTGGCCCTTCAGGCTGGCAGTCAAAGGTGGTAGTGAAATTATATTTCGCACTTCCTTCTGCTGAACTTTCCACTTTTGCAGAGTCACCAAGGACGATGCCATTGTATTCGGTACGCACAAAGGTAACTGGCCCATCTCCTTTGACACCTTTCTATCAAACAGGAAGATGGTGTCACTCCGTCTTTTTTTGTATGGGACAGATTCAAGTATCACACCACCTGAACAAGATCACACACTCCTTCTTCTCCACATACCTGTATGCCTCTCTCCATCCATTTAAGCAAGCAAGAGGAATTATCTCACTTTAAGGACACATTCCAGCTAGGCAAAAACACTCAAGGAGGGTTGGAGAAGTCCAGGGAAGGAGGCTATGGACCCCCCCCCAAGGGTCTGGGGACCACAACCCCTGTTCTAGATCAAACCTAACTTGAAAGGTGGACCAAATTTGAGATTCAAAAACATCAGAGAGAAATATAAGCATGTGTCTTTCTTTGCCACCCTAATCTGAGGGGTCTTGTCTTTAGCTTTAAACTTTTGAGCATGACTTGTTTTATTTTTCATTTATGTGCAGCACCTAATAATACTGATAGAGTGCGGAAGAGAGCACCTACACTTTGGAACTCCTTGCCAATTGACATCTTCACTCTTTTTGGCACTTGCTAAAAGCATGTTTGTTTAGGCAAGCCAATCTAGACAAGTAGAATGCTGATATGTGCTTTAATCTGATTTGGACCTTATCAGTGATTTTAATTTTTTTGAAAAAATGTTTTAAATTGTTGTTTTTAAATTTTTTTTTTACTGATAATTTTATTATTTCATTCTTTATTTAAATTGTCTTGATGTTTTCTTTTGTTTTACAATCAAATGGTATATAAATATTGTGAAATAAATGCGGTAGTACTATATAAAATAAAATAAAATACCGAACTCAAGATAAATAAAAATTGCCTCAAAAGGAAAATTTACCAAGTCATGTCCATCCAGCACTGTGATGTTCACTAGTTTGGCAAATCTTTCTGGCACCTCGGGATGCAAAAAGGAAGGTGAGACAGCCATTAGAAGGAAGAATCTGCTGGTGAATAGAGGTGTCTATACAGAAAATAAAAGAAGAAAAGAAAGAGGAACATGAACTATCATTTATTTATATCTTGCCTTTCCTCCAAGGGGATCAAGCTGATTTTGTTGTTTAGTCATTTAGTCGTGTCCGACTCTTCGTGACCCCATGGACCAGAGCACGCCAGGCACTCCTGTCTTCCACTGCCTGATATACTTAGGTTTCTACCCAATTTTACCATTCCAACAACAACAACCTTGCAAGGTAGGCTAGGATATGCAGAGTAGTATAGAACAAAGTGTTATGTGATGGCTAGAGTGTCAGAATAGGACCAGGAAGATCCCAGTTCAAATCTCCACTCAGCCTTGAAACTCACAGAGTGACCTTGGGCCACTCAACTTTTTTTGAATGTCACCTATCTTGCAGTGTTGTTCTGAAGCTAAAGAGGAGGGATGTACCACTGGAGAAAAGGCAAGGATAGAAAACTAATAAAATAAAATATACAGCACAAAAATGCAGTAATATAGCACAATATAACCCTGCAGCTGATTGCTGCAATAAGTCTCCAACTTCTCAGATCACTTCCTTTTTGAAAGTCAACAATGCGATCCAACGGCCATCTCAGTAAGTTACTTCCAAGTAACAGTATTGCAGCCCTAATTTGTACTTATTATAGTGTTGTATCCCAGCCCCCCCGCCCCGCCCCGCGCTTATGAGATTTTCTGTCTTAGGTGCTAAAATAACTTGGCTGGCCTTGAGTACTAAGCACTTAGACTTGAGTGATAAATACATCATTTGCTGCTCTGCCTCAGGCAGCAATATGTCAATTACTGCTGCAGGGCTTGTGTGTGCAAAAGGGTATGTTAAATAACATTAAACCGATTTCTTTTTTTAAAAAATCATACAAACACCCCCTTTTAAGAGAAGGCGGTGGAGGAGGTTGTGATGCAAACCACTGCAAGTATTCTTGGATGAAACAGCTTATCTTGACCCTGTATCCAACTAACGTCTACTCAGAGCAGACCCTCTGAAATCTATGGGCCTGAGCCAGCCATTAAGTACATTAAGGTCTACTCTAAGCAGGAGTCACGCTGGATGGATACAACCCTGGGAAGCTGAAGTTCACTTTTCACTGGAAAATTTTCGACTCTTCCAGGTTGGGAATCAAAGCAGAGGAACACACCTTCACGCCCTGCACTGGATGGAAATGGGTGCGAGCGCTGAACCGGGGGCAGCGGGGAATGAGAGGCGCTCACCTGTCCACCCGCCCGCAGGTAACAGAAGAGCGCAGAGGCCCAGCGACGGTTGCGGGAGCATCTTTCGTTGCCATAGCGACGCGGGGTCGCCTTGAGCTCTTCTCCGTTCCTTCGCCCGGAGGGAAGCCTCGCGAGACCTTCCGGCTGCCATGTTTGTTGTGGGCAAGCGAAGGTTTCGCAGTTTCGTCGCCGCCTCCTGCCTAGTAATAAGCCTGCCCGGGCACACGTCTATTGTACCAGCGGTGTCTTCACCACAAGAGTTGCATTTACTGGGCGCAGCAGAAGCCCACAGAACCCTAGATTTGAAGGGAGTTAGCAAGTGTTTTTTTTTTGCAAGCTGTAGTGGTTGCTAAGACTTATACTTGGAGCCTGGAAAGAGAAATACCCATCATCTATTACACAATGGTCTGAAGACCTTCATGCCCTTGCTACATTGGAACACCATTTTTCAGCCGGAAAAAGAGGGCCAACGCAGTTTGGATACCTGTTTGGAGGGCATCGGTGGTTATTTTATTGTCAATGTGAACTGACAGTTTTTCTGGGTTTTTATCCCCCGGGTTCCTTCCCTTTTTTTATTCTTTTCTCAACACCTGCTTTCTTTAATAAATTTATGAATAATAATAAGTGGAGGGAATTATAACCATCAGATGAGGTGCAAGAAAACAAAGTGCATGTTCCTTATCATTTCATATGTTCTGAGGGCATATAACTTTCTGTTATCGGAAAGTCTCTGAGGCCCAAATGAGTATCTTCTTGCAACCAAAAATGTTGGACACACGTCTTCCCCCGCCTACCCCAGCTAAATCGCTGGGTGATCTCTCCCCACAAGAAAAAACCCTCATACCAAACCTCTTGTTGACGGCTATTTTAAAATAACCCTTCTATATTAATATTTGGTGGGTGAAAGTCAGGCGTTCACATTGGCCATTTGCCGCTGTTTTACTACAAGGTGCCACTGATGGCATTACCAGTGTTAAATTTTCAACTCAGCCAAGAGACAGCAGTGGAAGAAACAGCAGCAGCATGTCCCTCACATGGTGGTGCAAACTGCTTACAAAGAAAGAAGCTATGGCTTCTCAGAGGGATCCAGATGGCCACTGTGAGAACAGGGTGCTGGTCTACATGGGCCTTTGGCCTGATCCAGCAAAATTCTTATTGTGTTCTTAAAAGCTATCTGCTGAAGTTGTTGTTGTTTAGTCGTTTAGTCGTGTCCGACTCTTCGTGACCCCATGGACCAGAGCACGCCAGGCACTCCTGTCTTCCACTGCTGCCCGCAGTTTGGTCAAACTCATGCTGGTAGCTTCGAGAACACTATCCAGCCATCTCGTCCTCTGTCGTCCCCTTCTCCATCTTTCTCAACATCAGGGTCTTTTCCAGGGAGTCTTCTCTTCTCATGAGGTGGCCAAAGTATTGGAGCCCCAGCTTCAGGATCTGTCCTTCCAGTGAGCACTCAGGGCTGATTTCCTTCAGAATGGATAGTTTGGATCTTGACTTCCGGTCGGCGCCAGCGCTTAATGGCGGTCCTCCCTTCGAGCTCCGGAGGAGGACTGCTCCGCGAGTTCGGGTCTGACCTGCTACGGCGAGCGGGGGACCCCTAAAATCACAGGCGCGGAAGCCTGTGAACAAGGAGACTCGGTGGGCACCTTTGCGCCCCGGTACTGTGAAAGAGCCTTTTTAAAGGCTACGGAGCGGCATCGGGGGTGAGCGCGGTGCTGAGAGTCGCAACCCAGCCCGTGGAGTGAAGCCGCGTCGCCATGAGCGGAGAGCGCCGATTCCTTCCTGAACCAGAAATTCGACTCTAAAGCCCGTGAGTAAGACGGAGGGACTGAAAGGGACATTTAAATTTAAATCTTGAAATTTGGCTGAAAACGGGAAAGGCATAAATTAAGGAAGTCTGCCTCCCGTTCTGCATGGCAAGTAAAGCAACGAAAGAGTAAAGCTGCATTTGAAAGAAAATTACCTTTAAGCTGTCAAACCTGACATTTGACTTAAACCTCCCCCCCAGTAAGCAGGAGAGTGGGGGAAGAAAATTGAACACTGTTAACCTGCTTGAAATTAAATGAGGGAAAAAAACATCTTCCATTGCCAAACCCCCAGGACGGACTGCCTGAGTAAGGCACCGGCAAAGTGAACTGTCAGTTTAGACTGGATACAAAGTTGGGGTCTTGTCTGAGACAAAGTTACGGGACTTTAATGGAATTACTTTGTTGAACTTGTGATTTACTGAAAAAAGTGCGACAGAAACTTTCACTGTGGACTCTTGGACTTTTTTTTTTTGTTGATTGCTCTGTGCTTCCTTGTTTTTTCTCTTTTCACTTGGATACAATTAAATGCTCCCTCTAGAGGGTATAAAGAGAAACTGTTACAGTGAAAAAGAAACAGTGGGATTTTCCACTTGCAAGTTTTTCCTGTGAGAACGACCTTGAGGATATGAGTGGCCCAGCAGAAGAGATAACAACTAGATCCAAAGCAAAACAGACACAAAAGAAAAGGGGCTCAATACCCGGCATACCACCAGCTGCACAGGAAAAAGTGGCAACAGCATCTATGGATTCAATGACACAGGCACTGCTCAAAATAAACCAATCTTTAGAAGCACTGACAAAGCTATCTACGGAAAATTCAAAAAATTGACAGAACTGACAGCAAGATTGGACTTGAATACTGCAAGTGTAACATCTAATACAGAATCTATTAATAAACTAATTCAAGAAAGTTCTGAAACACGAAAGATTGCTGAAAGTGCAAAAATACTGCGGAGGAGACAAGGCAGGAGCTTGTGCCGATTACAAAAAAGTGAATGAACATGATGCAGCTCTATCTTTGTTGGAACTACAGAGAAAAGAGAGAAATTTGAAATTGAGATTGGTTCCCAGAGTGAGGGAGACAACCTTGTGGATTTTCTTACACAGAACTTTATGGAATTCTGGCAAGAGGAGCTGCAGGAAGAAGAACTTGAAATAACAACAGCTTTCCGGCTCGGCAGGAGGCAGGGGAAGAAGCCAAGGGATTGTTTGATCACATTGAGATCCAAAGGAGAAAGAGATAAGATATTGAATTTGCATTATCAAAAGGCATTGGAGATTGAAAATAGTCAAGTACAAATTTTTAAAGATATCCCTAAATATATTTTGGAGGTGAGAGCCTTCTATAAAGATTTGGTCTACCTGCTGAAGAAAAACATCATACCCTTCAGGTGGGAGTTTCCACAAGGATTGTCTTTTACTTTCAAAGGAAGGAAGGTTAAAATAAGAACAGTTCAAGATAAAGAACAGTTTCTGGAGAGATATCAGGAGGACTTGCAGAAAGGAACAGTAGAAACAACAATACAAGAAAAAGGAGTGACAGACATTGCAAACTTGTCATTTGGACTCATACCATCACCTGAAGAGGAACAAAAGCTAGGAGCAGTCGGAGGAACAGGTACTTAATAACAAAATGTCTCTGCAACTTCTTAGCTGGAACTGTAATGGTTTGAACCTTCCCGAAAAAGACGCCAAGTTTTTCATATTTTGAAAAGAGAACAATTAGATCTAATATGCCTACAAGAGACTCATGTGACCAGGACACATCGGAAATTATTGGTAAATAAGAGACTTGGACAAGAATTTATTTCATCAGATAAAGTTAAGAAAAGAGGCGTGGTGATCTATGCAAAAGAAAAATTGGCTCCAAAGATGATATTTAAAGATGAACAAGGAAGATACCTGGCAATTGAAATACAAGTTCAAGGAGAAAAATTTTGATAGTTGGAATCTATGCACCAAATGATGGGAAGGCGGAATTCTTTAAGAAGTTGCATGAGACTTTAATGGACTATTTAGACTACAGAATTATAATGATGGGAGACATGAATGGCGTAGTTTCCACAAATATGGATAAAGCACAGAGACAAGTAATTTCCAAGGAAGGGAGACTACCAAAGACTTTTTTTGAAATGACTGAAACTATGGACTTGATTGACATTTGGAGAACAAGGAACCCTCTTGAGAGAGAGGGAACTTTTGTCTCTGAAGCAAAAATGACATGGACAAGAATTGACCAAATTTGGGTAACTAGCAGTATGGCGCCAAGGATTAAAAAGGTAGAAATCTGCTCAAAGACTTGCTCCGACCATAATGCTGTAAAGATGGAGATGAAACTTACAACAACTGGATCCTTCAGATGGAGAATGAATGACACCCTATTCAGGGATGAAGAGATTTATAAGAAGGCCCAAAAACAGTGAAAGATTATTTTGAGATAAATTTGAGAACAGAAGTGGAAAAAGAATAATTTGGGACGCAAGTAAGGCCGTGATGCGAGGTTTCCTAATACAACAGAACTCCATAAAAAGGAAAAATCAAAATGAAAGGAAAGGAAAAATTCTGGAAAAAATAAAAGAAGGTGAAAAGAAATTGAGGTCTAAACCAAAGTCTCATGAGATTCTGAAAGAAATAAAGTACTATCAGGTGCAATATATGGAATTGATGAATCAAGAGATAGAATGGAAAATAAAGCAAATGAGACAAAAGACATTTGAATCAGCAGATAAATGTGGGAAATTTCTGTCATGGCAATTGAAAAAGAGGCAAAAATTGAACACTGTGACAAGTTTAGAAGTGGACGGAAAGATTATCCACAAACCAAATGAGATAAGTAATTGTTTTCAAGGTTATTTTAGGAAATTATATGCACAAGGGCCAGTTAATGAACAGGAAATAGAAGAATTTGTTAAGAAACATGGATTACCAAAAATTTCAGAGCAAAGCAGAAGGATTTTGAATGAGAAAATAACAGGACAAGAAATAGAGGGTGCCATTCAGAAGATGCAATTGGGAAAAGCTCCAGGACCAGATGGTTTGACCGCCAGATACTATAAAGTGTTGAAGGAATGGTTAGTACAACCACTGAAGGAAGTATGTAATGAAATTTTGGAGGGGAAAAAGGCACCAGAGTCGTGGAAAGAAGCTTTTATCTCACTTATACCGAAAACTGAGACTGAAAAGAACCAGGTTAAAAACTACCGCCCTATATCATTACTCAATGTGGATTACAAAATTTTTGCGGACATTATGGCAAAAAGACTGAAGAGAGTGTTGGTAGGGGAGATTCATAAAGACCAAACTGGCTTTCTTCCAGGGAGATATATGTCGGACAATGTGAGGAACATTATAGACATTTTGGAACTGTTAGAAGTGGACATTAATAGGAAGGCTGTTTTAATTTTTGTGGACGCGGAGAAAGCCTTTGACAATATTGGTTGGAGTTTTATGAAGAAGAATCTCCAAGGGATGGGGGTAGGTCAAGGGTTTGAAAATGGTATAGGTGCAATATACTCTAAACAAAAAGCAAAGTTAATTGTAAACAATGTGGTAACGGAAGAAATACCTATAGAAAAAGGTACACGACAGGGGTGCCCAATATCCCCTCTATTGTTTATATTAGTCCTGGAGGTTTTGTTAAATATGATTAGAGGAGACCAGTTGGTTAAAGGAGTACAAGTCGGAGCCAAACAGTACAAGTTAAGGGCATTTGCAGATGACCTAGTATTGACCTTGCAACAGCCAGATACTAGTACTAAAAGAGTATTAGAACTAATTGAGATATTTGGTCAAGTAGCAGGATTTAAACTGAACAAACAGAAAACGAAAGTGTTGGATAAAAATTTAACATTGGCCGAAAAGAGAAGTTTCAGAATGAAACAGGACTAGTGATAACGAAAAAGTAAAGTACCTGGGGGTAAACTTAACATCTAAGAATGTGAATTTATTTAAGGACAATTATGATAAATGTTGGACAGAGGTAAAGAAGGATCTAGAAATATGGTCAAGGTTGAAACTTTCTTTGTTAGGCCGAATTGCTGTTATCAAGATGAATGTATTGCCTAGAATGTTGTTTTTATTTCAGACATTGCAGATTTTGGACAAGATGGACTGTTTCAAGAAGTGGCAGAAAGATATATCTAAATTTGTCTGGCAGGGCAAAAAGCCCAGAATAAAATTTAAGAATCTAACTGATGCTAAAGATAGAGGGGGGTTTGCCCTGCCGGACTTAAGACTCTACTATGAATCGGCGGCTTTCTGCTGGTTGAAACAGTGGCTACTTCTTGAGAATACAGATATTTTGGATCTAGAAGGGTTTGATAATAGATTTGGTTGGCATGCATATATATGGTATGATAAGGTAAAACAGCATAAAGGTTTCAAAAACCATATTGTTAGGAAAGCATTATACAATGTTTGGATGCGGTATAAAGATCTATTGGAAAGTAAAACTCCCAGGTGGTTGTCACCAATGGAAGCTAAAGAGGTGAAAAAACTTAATATGGAGTCTAAATGGCCAAAATATTGTGAAATTCTAGAACAAGATGGGGAAAAAGTTAAATTACAGAGCTATGAGAAATTAAAGTCCAAAGTGCGAGATTGGTTGCACTACCTTCAGATAAACGAGACATTTAAACAGGACAGGAAAATAGGTTTCCAGATGGAGAGGTCAAAATTGGAAACAGAACTGTTAGAACCCAATACTAAGAATCTGTCGAGAATGTATAATCTGCTGTTGAAATGGAATACACAGGATGAAACGGTGAAATCAGCTATGATAAAATGGGCACAAGATATCGGTCATAACATTATGTTTGCTGACTGGGAACAGTTGTGGACCACCGGTATTAAATTTACGGCATGTAATGCCTTAAGAGAAAACATTATGAAAATGATGTATAGGTGGTACATGACCCCAGTCAAGCTTGCAAAAATTTATCATTTGCCCAATAACAAATGTTGGAAATGTAATGAGACTGAAGGTACTTTTTATCACCTTTGGTGGACCTGCCCGAGGATAAAAGCTTTTGGGAAATGATCTATAATGAAATTAAGAAGGTTCTTAAATGGACCTTCCCTAAAAACCAGAGGCTTTTCTCTTGGGCATTGTCGGCCAATTGGTGAGAAGGAAGGACAGGACGTTTTTATGTATGCGACAACAGCAGCAAGGATTCTTCTAGCAAAGTATTGGAAGACACAACAACTACCCACACTGGAAGAATGGCAGACGAAGGTGATCGACTATATGGGACTGGCCGAATTGACTGGCAGAATCCGTGACCAGGGGAAAGAGACAGTGGAAGAAGATTGGAAGAAATTTAAAGTTTATCTTAGAACTTGTTGTAAAATTCAGGAATGTTAAAATGTCAAGGGGTTGGGAAACAGAGAACTGCAGCTGTAATTAATAATATTAGAAGAACTTAAAAGAAATTGAATTGAATAATTAGTTGATTGAGGAGTTGCTGAAGAAATATAAAACAAGGATGCAGAAAAGGGAGGTATGGGGAAGTCCGGAAAGTAAGGTTTATGAAAAATGGCTATGAAATTATACATGTTTATATGTTTGTATGTCGGTGTTTTGTGCATTGTTTGCTTTCTTATCTTATGTTTGGAAAATTAATAAAAATTTATTAAAAAAAAAAAAAAAAGATAGTTTGGATCTTCTTGCAGTCCATGGGACTCTCAAGAGTCTCCTCCAGCACCATATGGAGACTTTCGAAAAGACAGGACCAGACACACTCTTTAGGTTAAAATGTTGTTGTTTCCTCCTCTGCTCTTATCTGGGTGTGTACAGAGCATATCTTTAAAGCGCCACCACCTCAAGAATCCTGGGAACTGTAGTTTACCCTCACAGAGCTGCGATCCCCAGCACCCGTAACAAACTACAGTCCCTGGGATTCTTTGGGGGAAGCTGGGTGCTTTAAATGTTTGGTATGGATTTGACATATGGTGTGGAAAGGACCAAGTCTGACTGAGCAAGCAGCATGTCGGGCATGCTGCTGCTGAACAAGGCTGTTTGTAGAGAGAAAGAGCAATAGAGAGCTCTTGCATCAGTTCCTACCACTGATCTTCATTGACCATCTGTCAGGGATCATTCAGCTGCGATTCCATCACTGCAGGGGGTTGGACTAGATTACCCTTGGGATCCCTTTCAACTCTTCACTTCCATGATTCTGTGTCCATAGAGCATTACAGCCTTCACCTTTCTCACAATAACCCCACAAGGTGAGTGTATATGATTTCCCCCTTTTTACACATGGGAGAAGCCACAACTGTGAAAAGTAGTTTGGTGGTGGTAGTTGGAGTGTGGGCCTCTTGTAGTGTCCTCTATTTTCCTCTTGGGGGCAGCTGGCTCATTACGATCCTGATACTGTACAAACTTTTGAGCAATTGAGAAAGCTCAGTTCAACCCCCCCTCCCCATCCCTCCTGTCCATTTGGAAGGAGCCCTCCTTCCTAGTCAAGATCTGAAACTGCTGGCAGGATATTCTTAGACTGAGATTTTCTTCCTGGCATTTCTGCAGTTGGAGGCTGAGAGCAATACTGGAGAATTCAAGAGATATTTGCAGCAGAGGAAGAATCCAGCTGCAGAGACGTCTAGCAGGTAAATTTCCCGTACTGCGCATTGATCTTTAAATTTAGCCTGTTGACTTTCTCTGATTTTCTCAGAACTTGCTCTCACAACCTTTTTACCTCCTTGCACATTGTTGCTGCCCTGAGTCCTTCTGCCTTCAACCCAACGGCAGACCCCAATCAACTTTTCACAATCTCTATACCCTGTGCTCCTCCAACAATTTTAGTTTCACAGGAATAATCCCTGTTACCTCTCTCCCTGGGGTGGGGTGGGGGTTAATCGCTACTCCTATTTTGCCTTTGGAATATGTTTCATAAATGCCCTTTAAGGTTTTTATTTGTATACACTCACACACATGTCCCTGCAAGTGGGTTCAGCCTAGGGATGGTGTCGCTCTCTCTCTTAAAAAAAATTATTTTTATTAATTGCGAACACGTAAATACATCAAATATACAGAAATAAAACTAAAAAAAATAGGGAATATAAAAAGAAAAAAGAAACAGAACAAAGAATAAAAAATAGAAAGATAGATAACAAATTTCAGAAAATAAAAAATAAAAATAAAAATTTTCATGTCAACTTCTGCATAGGGAGTTCAAGCTTTTTTTAAACAGCTTCGGCTTGGCTCCTTATTTCATATCTCTTGACTTCTTGCTATCGATGAACGTACTTGTAAATCATTTTTTTCCAGATAACTATATTCAAATGGTAAATCTTGGAGAGACAGTCTGATTGTCAATGACAGTCACTGAGGGATGGTGTGTCTCTTAACTGTAGCAGTGGCGGACCTTGGGCTCTCAATTTTCAGCGGCACCCTGTGCGACGCCAACATTCAGTGCCCCCTTCGCCTCTCGCCTTCCACTCTACGGCGCCCCCTGTTGCACCCCCAAGGCTCCGTGCTCAGTGCAACTGAACCGGTTGCGCCCCCCTAAATCTGCCTCTGACTGTAATGCAGATGGATCTAAACGCACATACAAAAAACCACAATTGTTCGAGTAATTGTTCTTCTAGTATTGCAATTAACCTACATTAAATATATTTTTGCAGCCCCAGTAACTAGAAGTAATTTTTGTTAGCTACCTTTATTTCTGTTTTGTCCGACAGAACTTTATTCCTGCTTCTCTATCCAAGGGCATATAAATGTAACATCCAGAAAAGGAGTTGCAGCAAGTTTTTCTATTGCATACGGAGCCAAGCTTCCTCTCGCTAGTGCAAAATAAATGGCAGGCATGCCTGCCAGCTAACTAGATACTTGCGCAGTTGTCAGTCTTACCCCTTTTCTCCACCTGCCCTTTTAAATTAATTATGTTCATTCACAGAAGTATTCATTTGATGCATCACAAATCACAGTGTGCTGGATGGATGGGTATTTTTTCTCAGCATAAGGCAGCTGTGTGTCTAATCTTATTGTATAGAAAAGCCCATATATTAATTGTTCCTGTCTCCATCCTTCTGTATTTGGGCACCTCCAGGCTGTCTGTGTTTTGTGGGAGGGGCTCAAGGGCACACTGGGAAATCTAGCTTTGTGCAAATAGAGTGAAGTAAAGGACTCTGTCACCCGAGCACAACAAATCCTCTTTAAAAAAGAAATGGACTTCTTCCCATTTGAAAAGCGATGGGGAAATGCATTGAAATGTGTGGGAAGAGTAAATGACTGGCAGGAAGACATAAACAACCCCAACAGAGAGGTGCTCTGTTGCAACAGATCCACTTCTTGTTTAAAAAGGAGAAAGAAGACATTTTGCAGTTAGAAAAGGGATGTGGAAATGCACCAAAAAGGGTGAGACGAATGTGTGATTACTGGGAAGACTCGTAAACTACCCCACAAGAAAATCAGGATGAATGCAGGAACAGGATGAATGCTCACTGTCACATGACCACTACACAAACAAATCAAAACAAATGTTCATAAAAGACTAGATATAATCCAACCTTTTGTTTGCATAAACTTTACGCAAACAAATCAGGATGAATGCTTAATAAATAGGTCATCTGGAGGAACCCTTCTCAGCTCATAGCTTTTAGCTGTATATCTTGATTTGACATCAGTAGCCATGTGTCTAAATTTGAAAAGGACAGCCTTTCTCTTTGAAGGGTCATCAGAGGAGAGTCCGGGGCTGTCCAGGCCAGGTCCAGTTTAAAGAGGCTGATCCACACCATACAGCATATTCAACGCATATCTGAAGCGCACGACATTCCCCCAAAGAATCCTGGGAACTGTGATTCCTATACACAAAGAACTACAATTTCCAGCACCTATAGCATACTAAAGTTCCCAGTATTTGGGGGTGGCGGGGGTCAAGTGCTTTAAATGTGTGTTGAATATGGGACTATAAGTGGAGGCCTTTTATGAATGAATATAGAAAAAGTCAGAATTTGAAGATTGGAGCCCTGCTTGAATTGAAGAAGGAAGGTTGGATAGACTCTTTCAAGCAGAGATTTACTGACCTTTGGGTCCTGAATCTGGGTCAGGAGGTGATTGGAGTTGTGGGGGCCTTTGGATCTGGAGGAGCCTTGAAATATGATTTGAGACATTGTATGGACACTGGTTTTAGCTGTGGAGAGTTGGTTGGTCTGTCGAGAGGGAATGGGGGCATGGTTGGATCGGGGCCCCCCCAAGACCTGCGCTTCAGCACCCTCAGTATCAAAGAATATGAAGAAAAACTGCAGAAGGGACTTGGAAAAGATTTAAGAGCCTCGGACAGAAGATCTCCAGGTTGATGAACTATATGGAATGGACGGAATTGACTGGCAGAATCCGAGACCGGGGAGAAGAGATTGTGGTAGAAGATTGGGAAAGTTTAAAGTTTATATATAGAAATATTGTAAATTTAATGAGTGTTAGAAAATTGTTGGAATGAAATTTTATGGCTTTAGCAGAAATGTTATAAGGAGTTAGGTATAAATAAGTATTTCAGTATTAATGGAAAATAAGGTACAAAATATGTTAAGATATTCATAATGATAAAAATAGAGAAAGATGGAAAGGAATTGCTGAAACAAGTAATAGAAGTGGAATACAAAAAGGGAGGTGAGAGGAGGTCGATGAAATAAGGGAATGAAAGATAGAGTAATGAAATGGTTTGGTATATGTTTTTAAATTGTTGTTCTTTTGTTTTGTTTAGGTTAATGTGTTAAGGTTGTGTTTTGTATTGTTTATTGTATTGTTTTTTCTTTTCTCTCTCTTTTTTTTTCTCTGTTCTATTTTGTCTTTTTCTTTTGTCTATTTTCTTCCTTTTTCTTTTCTTGTAAGTTTTAAAAGCAATAAAGATTATTTAAAAAATAAATAAATAAATGTGTGTTGAATATGCTTTAAATGTATAGTGTGAATCTTCTCATAAGAGGAGGGCAGGCTTAAAGTTGCCCATCAACAGATCTCACCTGGACAGCAGGCAAACAACTCTCCTGGTCACAGTTTCTTCCACTAGGCTGAGATGAATTGCATTTCTGTTTCAATTATAAAAATTATTTCTGAATTTGCATCTATACCTCTCAATCAGAGTATACAACTATTCTGCAGATCCCTGCTTATTTTACCCTCCTCTCCCTTTTTGCATGATGCCTAAATGTTTGACAAATGACTGCTGGATTCCCCCTCCTGCAAAACACTGGGCTTATTGTATAAGGTGAGCTGGGGAGACCTCCTAGCTCCCTGTGCAGCTCTCAATTAATGGGGTGCCTTTTGCATCTGTTCACCCCCTGTTCTACCCCTCCCAGCTCTGTTCGCCAGCCAGTTGGCCAGCTCCAGGGAAGGCACAGGACTGGAATAGCATTGCTATCTCATCCTTGTTGGCAGAGCCTGCTTTTTTGTCATCTTGGTCTCTGACATTTGAGTGTGTCTTCCCCCATCCCCTGTCTCTGACTCCAACCACCCTTAACTTATCTCCTTCATTCCACCACCAAAATAAAGTATTCCGCAAGGGCATCTCTTGGGTATGTGCAAATTTAGAGCGGGGTTTCCTCAAACTTGGTTCCCCAGCTGTTGTTGGACTACAACTCCCATCATCCATGACCGCTGGTCCTGCTAGCTAGGCATGATGGGAGCTGTAGTCCCAAAAGCAACCCAAGTTTGGGAAATCCTGGTTTAGAAGAAAAGGCAAGTAAGAGGGGACGTGATCGGATTTTATAAAGCTATGCATGGTGTGGATGAAGTGGACAGAGAAAGGTCTTTCCTCCCTCTCTCATAACACTAGAACTCGTGAACATCCAATGAAGTTGAATGTTGGAAGATTCAGGAGAGAAAAAAGAAAGTACTCCTTGAGGCAGTGCATGGCTAAACTGTGGAACTCCCTGCCACAGGAGGCAGTGTTGGCCACCAACCTGGTTGGCTTTAGAAAAGGATTGGGCATACCCATGGAGGATAAGGCTATCAGTGACTACGAGTCATGATGGCAGTGCTCTGCCTCCATGTTTGGAGGCTGTAATGCTTCTGAATACCAGTTGCTGGAAATCACAGGAGGGAAGAGGGCTCTTGTGCTTGTCAGTTTACCAAAGGCATCTTGGTGGCCAGTATTAGAAGAAGAAGAGTTTGGATTTGATATCCCGCTTTATCACTACCTGAAGGAGTCTCAAAGAGGCTAACGTTCTCCTTTCCCTTCCTCCCCCACAACAAACACTCTGTGAGGTGAGTGGGGCTGAGAGACTTCAAAGAAGTGTGACTGGCCCAAGGTCACCCAGCAGCTGCAGGTGGAGGAGTGGGGAAGCGAACCCGGTTCACCAGATTACGAGTCTACCGCTCTTAACCACTACACCACACTGGCTCGATGAGCACGATGCTGGGCTAGATGGGCCACTGGCCTGATCCAGCAGGCTCTTCTTATGTTCTTAAAGAACCCTGAGGGTTGTAGCTCTGTGAGGGGTAAGCTGAAGGTTTCTCTGAGCGAAGCCATGTGCTTTAAACATGCTCTGAATGTTTGGGGTGTGTGCAGCCTTAAGCTACTCAGCTGAAACAGAATGTAGAGCCGCGAAAGGAAATCGTCTTCCTTCCTTTGTAAAGCCAAAACACAGCAGTGTAGAAGATAATAAACGGACGGTGCTGACAGGAGCTCTATCCAAGGGTATCAGAGAAAATCCCTTGCTCAATTAAAGAGCCAGAGGAATTTCAAGAGGTGTGTTATGAGCTGAAACCTGGCCTGTAGCATTGGCTCCAAGTTGTGCCTCTATGTGTGTGCAGCTTTGAGAGACTGTTGTTTTCTGTCAACTGAGAGAGAGGGGGATGATGGCTGTCTAACGAGAATGCAGGGGACTGTCAGGGTAGCAACGCCAAACCAGCTGCCTGGAATTAAATGATCCCGTTTATCATGAGCACAAGTGAAGTTCCCCCAATTAAAAACCACTTAGACCTGGCAGAGAGACAGGCAGTCAAACTCAATCCAGGGGCTCAGCTACGCAGAGCATTTTTATAAGCCCACATTTCAGGCTGTAGCTGCCTGCAAGAGAGATCGTGGGCAGGTCCGCATCACACATTTAAAGCATGTTCTGCACACATTTAAAGCATGCAGCTTTCTCACAAGGAATCCCGGGAACTAGTTTCACACGCACAGAGCTACAATTCCCAGCACCCTTTGCAAACTACAGTACCCAGGATTCCTGAAGAGGTGGAATGAAGTGCTTTAAATGTATGGTGTGAATCTGTCCAATATCTATTTTATTAAAGTTTATATACCGCATGATTGTTAAAATAAAAAATCAACAGCAGCTACAATTTTGTTAGCCAAAAATTGGAAATTACAAGAAGTACCAACAGTGGAGGAATGGCAGATGAAGCTGATGGACTTTTGGGAGCTAGCTGATCTGACCGGAAGAGTCCGCGACCAGAAGGAGGAGGAGTACCAGGAGGAATGGAAGAAATTTAAAGACTATTTAGCTAAATATGTTAAGATAACTTAAATAGAATTATTGCAAGTATCAGATTGGCCTAGGATTTAAATATGTGATGTTATAGAATAATATGTTTAAAGTTAAAATGAAAAGAAAGAAACAGGTTAATTGACTTAAGTAAATTTTAGGTGAGATTAGTTTTGGAAAACTGCTACAATGATATATGGAAACTCAGCCAGAGGGATTTGAGGAAGTCAACCAACAATGTTAACAAAAGTGGAACTACTACAGTTAGGATCTATGTTTGGGTTTTGTTTTTGTTTTTTTTATGTTTTCTTTTTGTATTTGTCGATATGTTTGTTACAAATTTGGAAAATTAATAAAAAAAATGGGGGGGGGGAATCAAAATGGGTAAGAAAGAGAATAAAAAAAATGAAATTATCAGTAAAAGCAGTTCCAAACAACTATTTGCAACATTCAAAGAATAACTAAAATAAGTGATAAGCTAAAAACAAGTTTAAAACACCTGTCAACATTCTACCTGCCTGGGTAGTCTTGCCTAAACAAAAATGTTTTTAGCATGTGCTGCAAAGAGTACAGTGAAGGTGCCTGCCTGATGCCAATAGACTGGGAGTTCCAAAGTGTGGGAGCTGCCCCAGTAAAAGATAAATTTATTACAAATGCAGAACAAGTATTATGTTGCACCTGTAACAGGGCCAGTTCTGTCAATTGAAGTGGTCAACTGGGCACATAGGTAAAAGGTAAAGGACCCCTGGACAGTTAAGTCCAGTCAAAGGCGACTATGGGGTTGCAGCGCTCATTTGCTTTCAGGCCAAGGGATCCAGCGTTTGTCCACATACAGCTTTCCGGTTCACATGGCCAGCATGACTAAACCACTTCCGGAACAACGGAACACTGTGATGGAAATTAGAGCACAAGGAAATGCCCTTTACATTCCCGCAGCAGCAGTACCTGTTTATCTACTTGCACTGGCATGCTTTCAAACTACTAGGTTGGCAGGAGCTGGGACAGAGCAATGGGAGCTCACTCTGTCACTGAGATTTGAACCACCGACCTTCTAATCGGCAAGCCCAAGAGGCTCAGTGGTTTAGACCACAGTGCCACCTGCACATATGGGGTAGCCAAGTTGTTTAGGGATTTATATGCTAATAGTAACACCTTGGACAATAACTGACTCACATTATTACTGCCAGTGTGATATAGTGGTTAAGAGCGGTAGACTTGTAATCTGGTGAACCAGGTTGGCTTCCCTGCTCCTCCACCTGCAGCTGCTGGGTGACCTTGGGCCAGTCACACTTCTCTGAAGTCTCTCAGCCTCACTCACCTCACAGAGTGTTTGTTGTGGGGGAGGAAGGGAAAGGAGAATGTTAGCCGCTTTGAGACTCCTTCGGGTAGTGATAAAGCGGGATATCAAATCCAAACTCTTCTTCTACTACTATTTTTTAAAAAATTAAAATGAGATAAATAGAATTTCTGAGCCAAAATGAACGGGGTGGGGGGTTGTTCTCCCTGAAATTTCAGCATTGCAGTTTCTCCAAAATTTCAGCTTTGCAGCTCCTCTGATTTTTGCACATTCTTAGCTGTCTCCTTTGGGGGCTACCCACACCCCACCTGAACTCTGGCAACAACGATCACAAAAAAAATCATGTTACAGGGCTCGACCTCAACTCCGCCAGCCACCGCTGCCTCTGAGCTCCTTGTAAGCAGGCTGACAAACCATCGGATGAAAGGTGCAGTATCAAGTGAATATCAGTTGTGGTGTCACTGGATGCTGGTTTTTCTGGCTGGGGGCCAGGCGAATGCCTTGCTCTCAATCTGATCCTGCCCACCCTCCAGTGGGTATCATATAAGGATGGGGTGATTTACTGGAGCAGGTGTGAGGCTGAAGAGAAGAGGCAGGCCTGTTAGCCAGCGGAGAATGTATTCTCAGCTAACCTCGGGGAGACTCATACGCTTGCTTTGTGAACATACCATGCCAGGTCAGAGGAAGAAAAAAAGAAAGGGGAATAATAGAACTGCAGAGTTGGAAGGGAACCCCAAAGGTCATCTAGTGCAACCCCCTGCAATGCTGGGAAAAATGATAGCCGCATCAAAATCACAGGTCCCTGGCCCCACCAGATATTTATTCATATAGAACATTTGTAGCCCATTCTTCAGTCAGAAGGTCTGGCTTACATGCAATCACTGAAAACAGGGCAGTCCCTGCCCACAGGCTTGCAGTCTAAACAGCATGACACACAAGGAGAAAGGGAAGAGGAGAAAAAGCAAACTCTGGTGCCAATTCTTACAATGGTCTCCTGGCATTGAAACAGCTCAGGAGGCGCCTGGTGGAGCTGGTCTTTTGGCAAAGCCACTCATCTCTCCCACTGAGGCAGCCTGATGGAATCAGCAGGCTATGTATTCAGACCAAGGGACTATGAGGGGAGGAGGAACAGATTATATGTTTCCTCTGAGGCTTTCAGTCACTTAATGAAGAGACATGCACAGCCAACACAAGCAGGATTTAACCCCAGCTCAGCTGCTGACCAGTACAGCCTGTTGACCCATTTTGATGAAGCATGTGGTACAGTCCTCCTGTTTTCCTGTGTCTCTCACCACCATAGCACACTTTGCCCCTTGACTAAAGCATCTCAGCCTTTTGCATTGTTGGACCTGGCTGCTTGTTGGCTCTGGCGCCACCTACTGTTGAGCTCCCTGCCTTGCATCCTACCGTTCCCAACAGGCTCCAGGCACCACTGCCCTGCTGTAGCTTCTTCCTGGAAGATGACCCATAAATACAGAAATAGGTATAAATAAAAATCTTTCTTTACAGATTGATTCAGATTCTGGATCCTCCAACAACCCCCAAAGATGGCTCACAGGAACAAAGCTGGGGCTTCCAAAGCCAGTCGCGCCAAAAAAACTCCCAAGGAGACGCCAGTTGTTACAGGACCCAATATGGACTCTCTGGGTTTCCTGGCTATGGACAGCAACGTCCCGGGTTTGTCACAGGTCATCCTTCAAAAACTCAACATGAAGAGCTACGATGACTACAGGTGAGGTTTGTTGGTAAACGTAAGTGGGGTGGTGACATTTCAGAGGATGCTGAAAATCCTGGTTTTGGGGTGTATGTGTGTGTGTGTTGATAGCTTCACAGAAGTTGTTAGGATCCAGGCCGGCAAGTGAGAATCTGCACTCTGGGAGTCAGGAGATGTTCATTCCAAGACTGGGAGCTGAAATATGAGCCTTAGTAAGATGGGGGGGGGGATATCTCTTTAGCCTCATACACGCCAACTGATCCTGCTCATCATGGGCTGTGCTGATTTCCTGGTCCCTAATAAATCACTATCCACATTTATTTGGCCTTTTGAGAATGCCTTGTTAAACATTTTGGTTTTGTTAAGAGTGAGATACAAGCTTTCTTGTTTTTCAGGTTTCTGCTTCCTCTGCTGAGTCTCTAGCCCAGTCTTCCCCAGCCAGATATTTTGGACCACTACTCCTTCAGTCACAAGCAGCATGTTCCACAATGCACAAACTAACCCCTAATCCTAAAAAAGGAAAGAATAAAAAAATACAGTACATCCCCATTTGCCTAACATTCTGGCAGCTGAATGAACAGTTTTGGTATGGAGCTGCAAGTTTTGTTTTTGAGAACAAACTTAGTTAAAGAAAGAAAGAAGCCTTGCTGATATTTATTTGTATATTTAGAGCATTTGTTCACTGTTAGGTGCCCAGAATAAGCTCACCTACAACTGATTAAAACAAGAGGGTCCCTGTTTGTGCTGTTTCTTCACAGGTCTGCAGTGGAAGGCAGAAAACTGTGCACGGATTTTGGCATCCGGTCCTATTTTGAGATGTTCCAGAAAATGGAGGACACTTTCAAGTTTTGTGTTGAGTGCAAGAAGCTTCCGGAATCAATGCCTGATCCTAAAAGCCTGCGGCGCTGCAAAAGGTTAAAAAATAATAATAGAACTGTTATTCAATGAAAGAAATCCTAGATCAGGAGAGCCTTTGGCCCTCTGGATATTTCTGAACTGCAACTCCCACTATCGCTTGCTGTTGACCATTCTTGCTGGGGCTGGTGGGAGTTGTAGCTCAACAACATATGGAGGGCCAGATGACATTTTTAAGCATAATACATCAAGCAAATAAATGTGTTTGTGACCAAACCAGGAAACTATGGCTGCCTGCTTTGGAACAAACCAGTATATCAAGCTACAAATTGTTTTAGGATCCAAAGCAGGCAACCATTGTTTCCCAGCCAGATGAATCAGGAAACTACGGCTAAGGAGATGCTTCCTGGCTTCACTGTGGTTCCTGCAAAGGGGAAGAGCAAAGCAGCTACGAGCAAAGGCTCGTTCATATCCAAGTCAAGATATGATCGTCCAGATATAGGCAGTGAATAAAGATCACTTCTTGCTATGGATATTGAAGCCAGTGGGGTCTGGTAGGCCGAACCTTTTGGCAACCTTCCTTCCATTCCCAGGTGCCAGAATGTCTATTACTGCGGCTCAGAATGCCAGCGAGCCAACTGGCCCACACACAAAAAGGTCTGCAAGAAGCTGAAACTGGTGGCTCTCGACCGACTAGTGGAATGGCTTGTTTTCACAGGTAAGCCTGCTATGGGCATGAGATTCAGTGCTGGTGTATTTTTTCCCCTCTGCCCTCTTTCAGTTGCTCTGTTAGTATATCTTCACTGGCAGAATGGCTCTACGGGGTGTTCAGTCATGGCCGCGGCCATTCTGATGTGCCACCTGCATTGCAGGGCTTCCACCGAATCCTTTGCTGGCCAATCTTCAGAATTAGGTTATGCGCTTTATTCAGTCATTAATCACAGTTTCCAATTAAAGAAAAACAACTCTACCTGACAATAAACTATTAAAAATATGTGTATTACAGCAGGCAGACTTAAAGGTTGGGCAAGGGCACCTTAAAAACAAACAAACCAATGAATCCCAAGGCCCACTAGGAACCCAAAGGTCTGCCAGTCAATCTGAAGCTTTTGTTCCACTGTGATTCTTCCGACAGGTGACATCCCTTTCCCCACAAGCCCCTGGACGAAGAGAACCCTGGAGGTGAGAGGCTGGGAGGACTACTTCTCGATGCAGGACAGTCTAGAGGAGAAGCTCAGCAATATCATGACGGGGCGTTACATGAACATCCTCTGGGCCAATGCTGGGAAGCCAAAGCCGGAGGAGGCGGAGCTCCTGGAGTCTGTCAAGCGGGTGATGACGGACTTTGTGTCCAGGCCAGCCACCATTGGCTTGGGGCTGTGCCTGTTCCACCTTGACCCCTACGCCAAGCCTATCACGGTGCACGTGGTTGGAGCTTCCCACGTAGAGACTCTGAATGCCCGGGTGACAGACTACGATGAGCTCTCCCGCATGTTTCCAAAGCACCAGGGCATCGAGGTGGTGATGGTGGGCGTTGACGTGGTAGATGGGCCCATCATGAGGCCGCCGTTGGTGGCTTTCGGGCCCCGGGAACGAGTCTACCTCAGCAGCTACAAGGGCCTTTATCACGACTTCTGGGAATCGCAAGTGGAGACCCAGCAGGCTGCTCGGCCTGACATCGTGGTTGGCTTCCATCCAGGTATGTCATTCCATTGTCCCTTCCCTGTAGCTCAGTGGTAGAGCTTCTGTTTGCGTGCAGAAGGTCCCAGGTTCAATCCCCGTCATCTCTGGATAGGAATCCTGGGAGCAGTAACTTGCTAAGGATGCTGGGAATTTCACTTTGCCAGGGGTAAACTCCAGCTCCCAGAATTCTTTGCAGTGGGAGGGAGCCTTCTTTAAATGTATGGTGTGTTGGAGCCCTTCCCATTACAAATGGTGCTTGAAGCCTTTAGCTACCCTCTTTAGCTGGTCTTTTGCATTTGCAGGATATTTGTGGACCCAGCAGAGAGAAAGGGAGAGAGAAGGAGTTTCAGAAATCCTTGTTTATGCTAATGCACTCTTAGGATCATCCCTAAATCTGTCTGTGAGCTACTGGAAATGGAATGCAGTAAATGGCAACAGAGAGATCCAAGTATGTTATCTGTAGGTGAACAATGCCAGCAAACCGACAGCCTTAAGAGCAGTTGTCCATCTCCACCCCAGTGTGAATAAGAACCTATCCCCACTTGCATTTTTTGATCTGTTTGCTAGCTTGGTTTGGAACGCAGGAAACTTTACATTAGGATCAGCTAATTGCCTATGTAGCTCAGTGCTGTCAGCAGCAAGGGAAGGGAACTTCTGGCCAGCAGGGCAAATTAAGCCCAACACAGATCCCAATTTGGCCCATGGGCTGTTTCCGCCAAACTGTTTCCACCAGCCCTATACCTGGTGTCACATTTTGCTGCTTTCATAAAATTGCTCTAATTTTATTGATGTTATGCTTAGGGGTGGAAGGGTCTGCCCCTTTTGGTTCTCTGGGTTTCTCATTTTTCGAATCTCAAATTCAGCCCCTACAGCTCTTTAACACAGCTCTCCCTCTGGGAGTTCTCACCATCAGTGACTCTCTGAGGTCTCCAGCAGAGAAGAGTACCCTCCCCCTCACCAGCTGCCATCTGATCTTTTTAACTGTCTGTACTAGTGATTGAACCTGAGACCATCTGCTTGCAAAGCAGGTGCTCTGTCACCAAGCGACTCTCTCTTCCCAATTTGGAAGGGTGGTTCCCAAGGGTGAAGACATGTGTAATCTTTTTTGAGCAGTGGGGCCATTATGGAAGTGCCCGTAACAAACCAAACATACTGCTTCCTCTGCACCATAGAGCTCAGGGTGTGGGGTGGAAGATTACCTAGTCCCACAAATAGAGGCTGGTGGCCATCAACTAGAGTTGCCATACGTATGGAATCTTCCGGACATACAGTGGTACCTCGGGTTACATACACTTCAGGTTACAGATGCTTCAGGTTACAGACTCCGCTAACCCCAAAATAGTAATAATAAGAATAATAAATTTTATTTATATCCCGCCCTCCCCAGCCAAAGCCGGGCTCAGGGCGGCTAACAACAATAAAATAGTACAAGATTCTAAAAACATTTCATTATAAAAATTAATTAAAATCAAATTGTTGGCAACCATTAAGCTAAAATTCTGTGGAGATTGCCAAAGGAGGGAGTCAGGCTGCGCCCTGACCAAAAGCCTGGTGGAACAGCTCTGTCTTGCAGGCCCTGCGGAAAGATGTCAAGCCCCGCAGGGCCCTGGTCTCTTGTGACAGAGCGTTCCACCAGATTGGAGCCGCAGCCGAAAAAGCCCTGGCTCTAGTTGAGGCCAGCCTAACCTCTCTGAGGCCTGGGACCTTCAGGATGTTTTTATTTGAAGACTGTAAGTTCCTCTGTGGGACATACCAGGAGAGGCGGTCCCGTAGGCACGAGGGTCCTAGGCCGTATACCAGGAGAGGCGGTCCCATAGTACCTCGGGTTAAGAACTTTGCTTCAGGATGAGAACAGAAATTGCATGCTGGCGGCGCAGCGGCAGCAGGAGGCCCCATTAGCTAAAGTGGTGCTTCAGGTTAAGAACAGTTTCAGGTTAAGAACGGACCTCCAGAACGAATTAAGTACCTAACCCGAGGTACCACTGTATCCGGAATACTGCTGTCTCTAGCAGTGTCTGGGCAAAAATTGGTAAAATGTCCAGGAAAATCCGGATGCATGGCAGCCCATGTTGGCAGTGCCGTTTTTGCCTATTTTCCATAAAAAACGCTCAAAAACAGCAAATTTTTTGCCCCCAAAAGCTCAACAACTTCCCTGTCTGGAATTCACATCATCATAGAATTGGAAGGGACTCGAGGATCATCTAGCCCAGGCATAGGCAAACTCGGCCCTCCAGATGTTTTTGGGACTACAACTCCCATGATCCCTAGCTAACAGGACCAGTGGTCAGGGATCATGGGAGTTGTAGTCCCAAAACATCTGGAGGGCCGAGTTTGCCTATGCCTGATCTAGTCCAACTCCCTGCAATGCAGGAATCTCAGCAAAAGCATCTATGACCGATGGCCATCTGACCTCTGCTTAAAAACCTCCAAGGAAGGAGAGTCCACTACCTTCCAAGGGCCAAACGGCTCTTACTTTCAAAAAGTTTTTTTTCTGATGTTTAGTTGGAATCTCCTTTCTTGTGCCTTGAAGCCATTGGTTTGAGTCCTACCCTCCAGAGCAGGAGAAAACAAGCTTGTTCTGTCTTCCATGTGACAGCCCTTGAGATATCTGAAGATGGCTATCTTCAAATATTCCTAAGGCTGTACTTTGCTTTAAACTGTTTTCATGCTGTATAAATTGTTGTGTGACCTGCCGTGGGACCTGTGGGTGAAAGGCAAGTAATAAATCAAGTCATTATTATGAATATTTATAATAAAAATAGCTGAGCATCCTGTTCTCACTGTAGCCAACCAAATGCCCCCATTCAAGCAGGGCCCCTCCGCACGTGCCATTCCCAGCAACAGCTGTTCATTGGCACACTGCCTCTGACAGTCTCCGACTTTCTGACAAAGCATCAGGATCCTCCACATTTTCATTTGTCTGTTTGTGATTTCTTCTGTTTGTCCTGGGTTCTCTACCCACAGGTCCAAGAGATTCTTTTTTTTGTACCGACACTTTCCCTGGGGGAACCCACTGCTCACTACTGAATCAGAACAAACATCAGTCGGGATTTCTGCAGATTGGCGTTTCTTCCGATTCAGCAGTAAGCACCAGGTTTTCCCAGGGAAAGCTGAATAAAATGTGCAGAGAATGTCCTCTAAGCAATCTTTTCCCACCAGGCCATCATGCTAAGGGCCTCTTGTGCCACAAATCTCACTGCCTCTCACCCTAACCTACCTCACAGGGTTGTTGTGTGGATGACATGAGGAAGGGGAAATCCAGGTATGCCACCTTGAGCTCCTTCGAGAAAAAAGGTGGGATATAAATCCAATAAATAATAACAATACTACCATTAAATAATTGCACAAACCTAGATTATACACTTGAATCCCTCCTGCAGGTGATCCCACTCACCAGAGGGAACCTCTGGATGCCAGATGTCTCAGAAGCACACCTTGCGGATCACAACTTGCCTAGCAAGCACCAGATTCTGCCCAGCTGTCTCGTAAGCTATTCCACTTCCAGTCAGCTGCTTGCTGCTGACAGTGTGTTTCACTGCTGGGATTAGACTGAGCACTAAAGAGCTGAGCTGAGGGACCCTGACAGGGGCTGATCAGCTTGTTAGCATACCTATCACTATCGAGTTGGTTAAGTGCGGAGCAGCTGTGGTGGGGGGCATTTAGTGCTCAGCCTCACACACAGCTTGGGTGTTCCTTGCACACATTACAAAACGTACCGGAAGCCGTCATGGTGTGTTGTAATGTGGGGGCAATCGGTACGTGACAAAATGGCCACAAGGGTTTCCCAAACTGCATCCTGCTCAGTTTCTCCAGGGAAGGAGAAACTAGGTTCTATGAGCATGCCTCAGCCCATAATAATAATAATTTCTTATTTGTACCCTGCCCATCTGGCTGGGTTTCCCCAGCCACTCCGGGCGGCTTCCAACAGAGATTAAAAATACATTAAAATGTCACACATTAAAAACTTCCCTGAACAGGGCTGCCTTCAGATGTCTTCTAAATGTCAGGTAGTTGTTTATCTCTTTGACATCTGGTGGGAGGGCATTCCACAGGGCGGGCGCCACTACCGAGAAGGCCCTCTGCCTGGTTCCCTGTAGCTTTGCTTCTCGCAATGAGGGAACCGCCAGAAGGCCCTCGGCACTGGACTTCAGTGTCCAGGCAGAACGATGGGGGTGGAGACGCTCCTAAAGGTATACTGGGCCGAGGCCATTTAGGGCTTTAAAGGTCAACACCAACACTTTGAATTGTGCTCGGAAACATACTGGGAGCCAATGTAGGTCTTTCAAGACTGGTGTTATGTGGTCTAGGCGGCCGCCCCCGTCACCAGTCTAGCTGCCGCATTCTGGATTAGTTGTAGTTTCCTCTGCGAGGGCAGATCTGAGATGGAGGAGGAGGAGGAAGTAGGCAGGCATTGCCTCTCCCTGGCCTGGTGGTAAGCAAGAAGGCAGGCAGGGGAGGGCTGGCTGAGGGCAGACTGAGGTTGGTGGGGCAGTGCCCCATTCACCTAATGGACCCACCTTCACTGGTGCCCCTCCAGGTACAACAGCTGACCAGACTAGCTGTTGAATCTTACATTAACATCCTCTACTGAACCCAGGAGCAGAAGACAAGCTCTGTCCACTCACCACCCCCTCAGTATCTGTCGCCTAAGGCAGCTGCTTCATCTTGCCTCATGGCTGGGCTGGCCCAGGCCTGGATTGATAGATGGCGCATCACAGAACAGTAGAGGGTATCTGGGGACAATGCTGCAAAGTAGGCTTCTTTTTCTACCAGGATGGGATAAAAGAGAAAGAGACATTTTATGAAATTTTATCGGGGAGCTGGAAATGACTTCTGAGAAATTTTGGGTCAGTTCTATACTTAATCTTTTTTATAAATAGAAAGATGATGATATTTAGCCCCAAACAAAAAGGCCTCCCAAAGTGGCTTAAAAATGTGACATAGGGGGTCCCCACCCTCAGGCTTGCAAGCTAAAAGATACAGTGGTACCTTGGGTTAAGTACTTACGTAATTCATTCCGGAGGTCCATTCTTAACCTGAAACTGTTCTTAACCTGAAGCACCACTTTAGCTAATGGGGCCTCCTGCTGCTGCCGTGCCACCAGAGCACGATTTCTGTTCTCATCCTGAAGCAAAGTTCTTAACCTGAAGCACTATTTCTGGGTTAATGGAGTTTGTAATCTGAAGTGTATGTAACCTGAAGCGTATGTAACCTGAGGTACCACTGTATAGCACAAAAGGAAAAAGACTGGAAGTAAGGCAGGAAACTCTCCTTTGGGATTTCAAACCACATATACCATATCCATCACAATGGTGGGCATTTCCATAACATTACCTGTCCAGTCCTGGAAGGCAATCTGAAACTTTTCGCAAAGGATGTTGCAGTGTGTCTTGTCTCAGCGATGGCACTGTGTGGCACTGCAAGGGTGCTCCTTACTCAGGAGCAAGGCCATGTTCCACTGGCGCGCTCCACCACATTCCGTAGGTATTAAGTTATTAGTACCAGGATAGTCAGATGCCCTTGTGAATACGCAAGGCTCCCTTGGCACATCATTCCAAGCTTGCAGAAATGTCAGAGGGCTTTGCAAACTGGGAATTAATCTTCCCTCCGTCCCCCACTCTGCCATCCCCAATCTGATCTGATCTTGGCAGTGTCACGCCCCCCCCCATGGTTCCCAGCTATGACGTGCGAGAGAGTTTGGCATCCTTGTTCTGACAGCTGCACAAACAGCCAGACCCTCACTATTCCCTCTCTCGACCTGCTGGGGATGTTTCCAGCCTCCATCCTCTTTCTGCCAAAGGTGTGATGTACAAGTGGAATCAGCACTTGCTTCACATATCGGCCTTGCAAGGTATAAGCATGCTAAGTTGGCACTCTTCACCAGCAAAAGGTGCAGAGAATGTCCTCTGAGCAATCTTTCCCCGTCATGACATCATGCAAAGGGCATCTGTACGGCATCCAGGGAAAGTCAGCCTCAGTTCTTGCCCTGCAGCTTTGTCTGGCGTCCAGTCTCTGCAAATAGCACATGAGGTTATTAAAGCCATCCCTGCACTGAATTGCTTCATGCTGCAAGCAGTTGCGTGGGGATGTGTGTGTGTGTTGTATCTTGCAGGGGAGTGTTCAGACGTGCAACCAAAATGATCAAGGGATGGAGGGATGCTCCTATGAGGAAAGGTGGTAGCATTTTGGACTTCTAGGTTTGGAGATAAAGCAAGAAAGAGGGGACTTGATAGAAGTGTATTAAAATTATGCATGTCATGGAGAAAGTGAAACACTAGAACTCACGGACAGCCAATGAAGCTGAATGTTGGAAGTTTCAGGACAGACAATAGAAAGCCCTTCTCCAGGCAGTGCATAGTTAACTTGTTCCCATAAGGGGTAGTGATGGTCACCAACCTGGATGGCTTTAAGAGAGGATTGGACAGTGGCTATCAATGGCTACTAGGCATAATAGCTATGCAGTCGGTGTTAGGATATTCCGGTGTCCTACATGCCAGGACACGAAATTCCTGCAGATCTGTTGTGTATGGTTGTTAACAGAGAACAACTTAAGGTTTATGTACAGCGGTTGCAGTTGGGTTAAAACACAGGTGATACAGGTTACACGGAAAGGGGGAGGATGTTAGGATATTCCGTTCCACCTTAAGTACAGGCATGATTGTTGTGTGTCACATGCCTGTTTACACTCCAGCACAGCTTGCTGGGAACTTCCATTTGTGTATAGCTTTTGCTTATGCTTCTTGCTTTGGACACAAAGGGGGTCGGACATGTTTTCCTTTTGTCCTGCTGTACGCTGAAGAAACTGCTTGTAAATATGCTCACACAGCCGTCTCCCTGCCACTTCTGTTGCGCAGCATTATTTACTCTGCTGAGTGTGCGTGCCCAGCTTCTGAAGGCTTCTGCAGCTAGGGTTGCAGTTTCATGCTGATCCAAGGACTGGAGATCGCCCGAGACACCGGCCAGTGGGCTGGGGCCTGCCTATTGCCCCCGATTCCTTGGCTGCATCCCAACAGTCGGAGGCAATGATGCTTCTGAACACCCGTTGCTGAAAGCCACAGGAGGGGAGAGTGTGCTTGTGCTCAGGCCCTGCTTTTGGACTTCCCACCAGTTGGCCACTGTGGGAACAGGATACTGGAGTAGATAGGCCACTGGCCTGATCCAGCAGGCTCTTATTATGTTCTTATGCATGGTGGCACATAGAAATGGCACCAGGGTCAGGGAGACGGCTAGGCTGAAATCCTTCTGACATGTTCTCTGGTGTGTGTCACCACATTGCAAAGGGCAATACCACGAGATAAAACCTTTCAAATAATGCAACCTGGGCACTGCATGCAAATGAGCCATTTCTGGTCTTCTCCATTCCTAGGTTTCCATGCCTGCCATGACCTAATGGAGAGTTGGCTTCCCACCTTGCTGCTCCTTCGAGACTACGAGATCCCCTCGCTCTTCACAGTGTACAGGTAAACAGGCAGGTTCTCCTCTACTTCCTCTCCCACACCCGTTCTCCATTGCTGGTGCCAAGGGCCAAACGAGACGATACATAAGCGGAGGTTGGATGGCCATCTATCATGGATGCTTTAGCTGAGATTCCTGCATTGCAGGGGGTTGGACTAGATGACCCTTGGGGTCCCTTCCAACTCTTAAGATTCTATGATTCTATCTGGTGCTGGGGGCAAAAGTGGGCAGATGTAACTGTTACCTTCACAAAGCAGGCTGCATTCACAGGGACATAGGAAGCTGCCTCATGTTGGCTCAGACTATTGGCCTCTCTAGCTCCATATTGCCTACACTGACTGGCAGTGGCTCTTCAGGGGTTCAGGCAGGAATCATTCCCAGCCCTACCTGGAGATGCCTGGGATTGAGCCTGGGCAAGGCTGATGTGCTAACCACAATATCACAGGCATTCCACTCTTCTATTCTCCTTCCAGGACATTTTGACATTGGCCGCTCATTTGGATGTCCAGCCTGCATTAGTAATGTGCAGGTGAGGCTGCAAAGCGTTCAAACAGACTAGGAAGAGGGAGGCATGGGAGGCATGGCTAGGGGGCTGTTGCAGCTGCCTCCCAACATCTACCGCCTGAGGCATTTGCCCCAGGCAAATGAAAAGGATCTTGAAAAGGATCTAGGAGTCTTGGTTGACCACAAACTTGACATGAGCCAACAGTGTGACGCGGCAGCTAAAAAAGCCAATGCAATTCTGGGCTGCATCAATAGGAGTATAGCATCTAGATCAAGGGAAGTAATAGTGCCACTGTATTCTGCTCTGGTCAGACCTCACCTGGAGTACTGTGTCCAGTTCTGGGCACCACAGTTCAAGAAGGACACTGACAAACTGGAACGTGTCCAGAGGAGGGCAACCAAAATGGTCAAAGGCCTGGAAACGATGCCTTATGAGGAGCGGCTAAGGGAGCTGGGCATGTTTAGCCTGGAGAAGAGGAGGTTAAGGGGTGATATGATAGCCATGTTCAAATATATAAAAGGATGTCACATAGAGGAGGGAGAAAGGTTGTTTTCTGCTGCTCCAGAGAAGCGGACACGGAGCAATGGATCCAAACTACAAGAAAGAAGATTCCACCTAAACATTAGGAAGAACTTCCTGACGGTAGGAGCTGTTCGACAGTGGAATTTGCTGCCAAGGAGTGTGGTGGAGTCTCCTTCTTTGGAGGTCTTTAAGCAGAGGCTTGACAACCATATGTCAGGAGTGCCCTGATGGTGTTTCCTGCTTGGCAGGGGGTTGGACTCGATGGCCCTTGTGGTCTCTTCCAACTCTATGATTCTATGATTTTGTCCAATAGTGGGGATGGCCCTGAACTCATTGAGTTATAAGAAGCTACACAGAAACTGGGAACAGTTTCCTAGGACTGTCACCAAACCCAGTGTGGTCCCATTAGGGCAGAATGCCCAGGAAGCCAAATCAATATTGGCATTCTGTCTACTTTTGAATATCTGTTTGCACACATATTCCTTTGATCTCTTCCCAATCCTCCTGTTTCAATTGCTGTGTTGTTTTATTGCCTGTTTTAATTATGTAAGTGTGTATGCATAATTTATCTTTATTCAATTTTCAATATAATGAGATACATACTTACATTAAAACAAGGTGTGGGGGGGAGAAGATTCATAAATACATACCTAAAAGGAAGGAATGAGAAAAATTCACGAACATGGAGAATCCATTGCTTTGATGGAATTGTGTATTTTAATCATGGATGTTTATATATTAATATTTCTGTAAATTGGATTTTATGTATTAGAAGCCTAAAATTATCTTCATTCATTTTATTATGACATTTATACTGCATCTTTCCTCCAAGGAACTCAAGGTTGCATTACATAATCCTCCTATTTCTACCCTTAAAACCACCTTGTTGAGGTAGGCTAGGTTGAAAAGCAGTGACCAACCAAGTAGGAATTTGAACCCTGAACCCCAGGTCCTAGTCTAACACTCTAATCACTACTCTATGCCAACTCGTATTCAGTGGATGCTAATGAAGTCCAGGCAAGGTTGTGTTAAAGCATGTGTTATTTCACACTTTCCAGTGCATTTTTCTGTTGCTTTCATTGCAAAAAGTCTGATCTTTTGAGGAAATGGGTTTGCTGTGCAAAACCTCCCCATCCATTATAACAGCACAACTATCATGGGCCGATACGTGATTGAGTTCCACCCCAAAATAGTGACTATCTAGATGCACTTGAAAAACCATTCAGGGTCTAAAATGACCTAGGCAGTGCGAACTGAAAATGAGCTAGCAGCACTAACCAAAACCCCTTCCTTCTTCCCCCCAGTGAACAGGAAATGAAGAATTCGCTCAAGATCTTGATGGAGCTAGAGACCCAGATCACAGGCTGTGGGGCCAACCCCTTCGCCTCCCTCAAACCAGAACAGGCCTACTCAAACCCCAATAAGCCTCCTGTCTACTGCAACTCCCACTACATGATGTTCCGGGGGCTGTCTGCTCCCCCAGATGAGCTGGACATAGGAGGGCTGGATGGGGGCGAAGAGGAGCGAGATTAGATGGGGAGGCTTAGAGCAAGTGACCTCCTAACTGAAGGCAGCAGAGGCTTATTCGTTTCCCCACATCTGTTCAACTACTTGCTTGGAGCGGACTGAGATGTCAGGAACGCAAGTGGCTGTTTTGTGTGCGTGCTCATTCTCAAATCTGGCCCCGTCCTTGCAGCTGAAGGGCAGATTCCAAGGGTAGCAAACAGGGAAGGGCCGTAGCTCAGTGGGGAAGCACCTGCTTTGCATGCAGGAGGTTGTAGATTCAGTTGACAGTGTAGGATTGGGGGATATCCCTGCCTGAAACCCCAGAGAGCTGCTCTGAGGCCGTGGATGTTGGCTCTCCCGAACTGGAACTCCCATCAACCCTAGAAACCATGAAGCTACCAGCCATGATGTCTGTGCTCTGCCTCAGAGGTTGGACGCAGTAATGCGTCTTGAGTACCAGTTGCTGGAAACCACAGGAGAGAGTGCTCTTGTGCTTGGGTCTCACTTGTGGGTTTCCCTCTAGGTATCTGGCTACCCTCTACAAGACCAGGATGCTGGACCAGATGAGCCTTTGGCCTGATCCAGCAGGCTCTACTCATGGGTTCCATGGTTGGAGGCTGAAATGCTTTGGGATACCAGTTGCTGGAAATTGCAGGAAGAAAGTGTGCTGTTGCACTCAGATCCTGCCTCCTAGCTTCCGTTCCACAGGCATCTGGGGGTGGGGCACTGTAAGACCAGGATGCTGGACTAGATGGGACATTGGTCTGATCCAGCAGGCTCTTCTTAAGTTCTTAAGCATGGCCAATGTCCTGTGGACCTGCTGTTTTTCAAAAGCCAAGCCACGGACTCCCTACTTTTGAAAATGTTGGTATCTTTGTGGTAGTTTTTGTTATGTGAATGGTGCCACGGCACCCTCCAACACATCCCAGTGCAAAACCAGACCGTGCTCCCACGCAAGTCACATGACCTGTGCAAGGATACAGCATACATTTTTGGGTGCCACAATCTCAAGCATTTTGGGGCACTGCGCTTGTTCACGAGAGCACAACCCTCCCAAAGCAGGATGTCCTGAAAAATTGACAGGTATGTGCTACGGACCCCCTGGGTAGGTTATGCAAACCAACAATTGGAAGCCACTGGTTTGGACCATACTGAGCAAGATGAACCAATGGCCAGCCATGTATCAGTTGAACTGACAGCTAGTCCCATCCCATAAGAAGTTGACACAGACATGGGATCATGTCACTGGTATCTCCAGCTCAGCAGCTCTCCAGGGTTTCAGGTAGGAGCTTTTACCAACTTCTGCATGCCAAACAGATGCACCACCTGAGCCATGGCATAGCTAGCCACCTTTTAGTCAAGCAGAAATAAATAAGAAGGGAGAGGACTGTTTGTGAACATGGAGGGTGAGGAGAGGACCCCAGGATGCACTGCCTTTTACTAAAAATAAACCTGCACACTATTCAAATTTCCCATCAAGTATTCCTGCCACGGGGACGCGGGTGGCGCTGTGGGTAAAAGCCTCAGTGCCTAGGACTTGCCGATCAAAAGGTCGGCGGTTCGAATCCCCGCGGCGGGGTGCACTCCCGTTGTTCGGTCCCAGTGCCTGCCAACCTAGCAGTTCGAAAGCACCCCCGGGTGCAAGTAGATAAATAGGGACCACTTACTGGCGGGAAGGTAAACAGCGTTTCCGTGTGCTGCGCTGGCTCGCCAGATGCAGCTTTGTCACGCTGGCCACGTGACCCGGAAGTGTCTCCGGACAGCGCTGGCCCCCGGCCTCTTAAGTGAGATGGGCGCACAACCCTAGAGTCGGACACGACTGGCCCGTACGGGCAGGGGTACCTTTACCTTTATTCCTGCCTTCTTACTTACAGCCAGCCCAGGTGGTGGAAGCCCTGGCTGTCAGCTTCTTCATCCTCTTTAGGCTCAGTGTTAACCCTGGTAGAACTCGGCAGAGAGGAGGCGGAATGGGGATGAAACTAGAATTAGTTGGCTCTGCCTGTCAATGTCTCTGGTGCCACCTACTGTTGGCCTCCTGCCACCACTGATTTTATACGACACCCCTTTAGTGTAAGTCCAGAGGTTTTACAAATGATGCCTGGAAATGTTTCCCAAACAGTGTGGGCAGACACCCAAAGCTGTATGAAAGGTCGCTCAAGAGAGCCAGAGCAAGAGCAGTAAGGACCCAGGGGATGGAAGTGTAATAAATAAAATACACATCAGGTACGATTGCCAACATCATGTTGACCCCTGCTGAGCCAGTTGCACAAGCACAAGGATGGTTTTCCCATGAGAAACTGTTTTATCACTCAATTGTTTTTTAAAAAATAAAGCATAACAGAATGGCTCCTACACAGATCACAAATTATCTACATAGGATTTTCCCATACACACCAATTTCCCCCCCATTTCCAGGGCCCATGGAATGCAGGGAGCCTCTCCGCTTATACACTGGATGAGAACAGGCCCCGATCCATGTTTGCCACCCGGGTTCTCAAAAGGCCCAGAAACACAAGGGTGTTCCATACATTCTCAGACACTTCCCCCCAAAATCTGGGTGAGAGATGGCTGATGAGGCTGCAGTCCTAGTTCCCCATATTTCAGCACACATAAAAAGTGTAAGCATAGTTCATAGATGGCTAACTAAAATACATATTGCTGGATCATCTCTCTGCGCCATCTATTCTTCCTGGGAGCTTGGATAGATCTTAGGGGTCAAAATCCCACCCAAGCAACACTTCAAAACTTGTTTGACCTCGATAGATAATGTGCATCAAACACCAGTCCATGTTCCTCAACTGGCAACCCTGAACCACACGGCAGGCTTTCTGAGGATGTTTTTCTCGAGGTCTCAGTTTGGTCCCTCCAAAAAGGGTGAGGATCCAGCAATTTCTGTGCATTTAGAGGCAAAATGTAGCAGCTGGGATGGCAGTCTGGGAATCAAAGGGACCAACCACAAGAGAAGCTAGGAGCTGATGCCTACACTCAAAAAGGGCAGCAGTTCCGTTCTGCGACAGAAAGCAGTGCAAATTCCAGTAAGGATGCTTGTACATTGAGGTTCGGAGAGCACATTAAGACTTGAGAGGCTGACATCTGAGGAATCTGTGGCACCGCCTTGAAGCCCCCTTCCAGATGGGAGCTGCACTTCTGGTTTTCTGCAAGGCAAAGAAGTTGGACGCCGGTGATGGCAGGAGAGTTGGCAGGCGATGGCCTCCGAGTGTCAGTTGCTGGGGAGTCGACAAGAGGGGAGACGGCTGTTGTGCTTGGGTCCTGTTTGCAGGCTTCCCAAATGCGTTTGGTTGGCCTCTGTGAGAACCAGAGGCAGGAATAGATGGGCCATGGGCCGGATCCAGCAAGGCGGTTCCTACACTCACATTAAATTTATGGGCAGGACCTGAGGCAAAAGAAAGCAGGGCTCATTCCTTTTTGGGGAGCCTTCCAAGAGCCACATGGGCAACCTTTCCTGGAGGATAAGGCTATTCATGGAGAATAGGACCATCAATGGCCACTAGCCAATATGGACATGTCCTACCTATGCTGTCAGAGGCTTCTCACAGCCACAACAAAGACAGGATGCTGGACCAGATGGGCCTTTGGCCTGATCCTGCAGGGCTCCATTTATGTGCATGCCCTGGCTGCAGCTGACGGATGCTTAGGGCACTGATGCTTCCCACCTCCCATGAGGAGGGGATTCTGCAGACATTTGCTGCGGTAGTGGGAATGGTCCCTGTTCCAAAGGCACAGAGGAAGAGGTCTGGGGGCCACTGTGTGAGGGAGGCAGAAGGGCTGGAAAGGACTAGGACGCTGGCTCAGCATCACAAAGACCCAGAAGAATCTTACTAATTTAAGACACGTAGGGAAACTGGAAACTGCCTTAGGGTAAGTCAGACCATTGGTCCATCTCGCCCAGTATTGCCCACACTAAGTGGCAGCAGCTCTCCAGGGTTTCAGGAAGACTGTGCTCTCCCTCTGAGCATTTGTCTCCCATTGATCCGTGCAGCTCAGTATTGTCTATGCTAATCTTTGACAACCTGGTACCCTCCAGATATTTTGGACTGCAACTTCCATCAGCCAGCATTGCCGTACCAGTTGCTGGAAACCCAGCTGCTTGATTCTGCTTGCAGATTTCTCACAGGTATCTTTCTGGCCGCTGTGAGAATAGGATGCTGGACTAGATGGGCCACTTGCCTGGTCCAGCAGGCTCTCCTTATGTTCTTATGGGAACTGTAGTCCAAAACAACTGGAGGACCTTAGGATAGGGAAAGCAGGTCTACACTGACTGGCAGCAGTTCTCTTGGGTCTTAAAATAGGGGCTTTCCTAGCCCTACCTGGAGATGCTGGTGATTGAGCCCGTGCCCTTCTGCTCTTACCCCTTTATGCCAGTGTAAACAGATTTGATTAATTTGTTCTCCTTTTGCTAGCCTCAAGGCACTGGGTGAGAGCTCCAAAAGCAGCAATCCTGACTACCTAGCAGTCCTGCTCAGTCCCGGCTTCAAAAAACATTACCAGGTATTGCCTATACAGTAATTTCAAGTTGCTCTCTGTAGCCACAGGGACTAGAAGCTTGTTTTATAGCAGCCCCCAGAATGGAGATCCTTAGCATGCACAATGCTGAGCCTTGCTATCAAATTCTGCATGAGGGTGGTGTGGAAAGTATTGGCAGGTTTGCTCTCCAGCCTAGCTGGATATTGGCACATTCTGAATAAAAGAGGGGACAAATAACAGGAAGTCCTATTCAGAAAAGGCCTGTCTGTGTTACAAAGAACACTGTTAATCAGTGTTAAGGCCCCTCCAGACATCCTTTATATTGTGCATTCACCAATATTTGTGCTCACAATGGTATCAGGGCAGTTATGCGCAATCCTGTTTTCAATACTATTTGCACTTACTAAATATTCAGGGCAGAAATCCTGCAACTTTTTATATACCACTAATGTTCCAGTATTTTTCAGGGGTGGTGGTGGTTCTTGCTTTGTTGCACTAGAGAATAGGAGCTGCCCGTCCAGGTGTCATAAAAGTGATAACCTTTGGGAAGCATCACAGAGCAGCTAAAAAAGTGGAATGAAGTGTGGACACCCCAGGATAAATCCACTATGAACGCACTATGATTGTGTCAATGACACACTGCAGAAAACTTCTGCATAAAACAAACAAACCCTCAGTCTGGAAGGGTCCTTATTCCACTGATGATTATTAAGACTCTAGTTGTCCCAGCACACAGACCTCAATGGCAGGGATTGAACCTGGGACCTTCTGCTTGCAAAGCAGATGCTCTGCCCCTGAGCTATGACCCCTGTTACCACGGAAGTCCCCTTGCATGACTGCTGAGCTGGTGGGAGACAAGCAGTCCAGGCCTGCCCACTCCACTGAGTCCCAAAGGAACTTAAGATGGCGCAGTAAATTTCACTCAACATTGCTGTAAGCGAGGAGAAGCTCAGGATGTGTGTGTCTGGACTGAGGTGTGTGAGTTATCCTGCAATACAGGAATATCACAAGTGCCCCACGTCAAACAAGGGAAAAGTCAGAGAATCCCTGCCACGTTTGGATGGACGCCAGCCAGAACAAGTCAGAAAGGTTTACTTTTCAGGAGAGCTGCCGAAATCCGGGGAAGGGAGTGGCGGGCCACAAGTCGTAGGCTTTTCCTCAGTCCAGCAGGTGGGTGTTGCCCAATTCAGGACAAGGAGAAACTCAGAAAGGTCATTAAAAAAACCAAAAAAACCCACACATAAATAATTTCTTTAAAAAAACCAGACGAAAGCAAGGTACATGCCTTCCTGTGGAAATGAAGTGTGTGGGGGGGGGCAAGTCTCTTTGACGAAGGAAGGCGTGGGGAATCAGGAGCTAGGGTGAGCCTCGTGGGGCCAGGCGTCACTCTGCGTTGGCACGCTCCCTCAGGACCGGCAGAGAGAGCATCTCTGGGGCAGATTTCTTCCGCGGTCTGTCCTTGGGCACACTGAGGAAGTCTGGCGCGTCGCCGCTGAGGGGAGTGGAAGGGGCGCTCTGGGTGTTGGGGGGCAGGCGCATTCCGCTGAGGGTGAAGGTGGGCTCCGCCATGCCGACAATCTCGTTGGTCGCCTCCTGGGTTTCCTTCTCGTACAGGCGCACCTCGTCCATTGTCATCCCTGTGGGAAGAAAAGGTGGAGGGAGGCTTTCTGAGAAGAGGTTGAGGTTGGGGGCGGGGCGGGCGCTTGCTGCCTCTCTTTGGGTTAGGCCCGAGCGGCTGCCTCTCCTCCCTCAGGGCACCACTCGCCTCTCTCTGGAGCCTTAACGGGGAGGAGAGCAAGGCAAGGGTCGATTTTAGCTTCCCCTCCATCCCCAGGTGCGAAAGCGTGGTATAGTGGATAGAGTGTCAGACAAGAACTTGGGAGAGCAAGGTTGCAATGAAGATCACTGGGGGACCTAGAGTAGGTCACCTGTCTCTCAGCCTACAACACAGGGTTGTTGTGAGGGGGAAAATGGAGAGCGGGAGAACAATAAAAGACCACCTTAAGTTCTTTGGAATACTAGTGGGATAGAAATGGTAATACTAATCTGCCCTTCACCCTGAGGAGGACTTATAACAATTATTATTATTCATTCATTCAGCCTTTATTGGCATAGCATTATTCTTATTTGTAATAATGTACAATTACTGTATCACCACTGAGTACAGCTCACTATTGTATCACTGATAACCCTTAAACATAAAGTTGAATATTTGTTTTTGAAAGCCCAAATCTAAATCAAGTGTAATTTAAAATAAAAACAATGATTACAATAATAAAATCACCACTGTCATGAACATGTCACACTCAATTCTGGGCAGTGGATCAATTTTATTTATTGACTGAATTTATATTCTGCCGTATACCCAGAGGTCTCAGGACAAGACCAACCCATCAATCCATCCCTTCTGGAAGCAGAGGACTCAGATTCAAATCCAGGCCAGCGGGTTACCCCCTTTCCCTCCCTTTCTGAGAGCAGCAGGAAACCACTAGTGAGATACTCCATTCCACTCGCCATCCCACCCAACACAGGTGCTTGAACTTTCCTGGGCTGGTATTGTTGATGCTCCTTATATGTTTTCTCCTCTCTTTCTTTCCTCCATTTGTGCGTATACTTCTGAAAACTTTGCCATTCCCCAAGTACAAGGATCCCTGTCCCTATTGCACTGCATGCTGCTGTGTTTGCTAGGTAAGGATTGGCACTCTGAATGCAATTCCCCCTTCCATTCAGGTTGGCTGGTGACCCAGCATCCCTGCACATCTATCGGGGAAAGCCATGAAGTCAGTTTAATGCTCACCACAGGAACAATTGGTAGCTGCCTTGGACAGAATCATACCATTGGTCCATCTGGCTTAATATGGCCTACACTGAGTGGCAATGGCTCTCCAGGATTTCAGACGGAGGTGTCTCCCAGCCCTACCTGGAGACGCCAAGGACTGAACCTGAGAGTTCTGCATGTAACGCAGATGCTCTGTCCCTAAGCTACAGCCCTTTCCCAACATGCTCCAGACACCCTTTGCACTGCTGCTGCTGCTCTCATGCATCTTGGGCACAGAAAAGGCATAGCTGGGTCTCCAAAGGACAGGGGAGCCTTAGCAGGAATAGGGCTGGGACCTGCTATGCTGAGATCCAGGAGAAGAAAGGAAAGACCAAAAGGCAAAAACAAAACATATACATACAAAACGGGAGTCCTGGGCAGGGCTGACCAGGTGGGGCGTTAAGGGTCCTGGGTGCTGAAGTTTTTATTTGTGGCCACGTGCATCTGAGTCTCGAAGGCACGAACCTCTTCCAGGGACATGTCTGTAACACGCAGAGATGCTCTCAAAGCTCAGTAAAGCAAGCCGGGCTTGGCGGAAGGAGGCGCAGGAAACCCGGAGGCGCCGAGGCCCCACAAAGAGCCAACGAGGGGCCGTCCCGAGACGCTGGTGCTGCGAGGGCCGCATCTCCGCTCTTTTCAGAGAGACAACGGGCCGGTCCCAAATGCACCACCAACTGCAATGGTGTCTGTGGACAGGATTTCTCCTTCTTGCTGTGGGGAGCACATTTGGCCCCTTGGCCCTAACCCCACCCAACGGAAAATGGGCTGCGCAGGATGAGATCAAATCCTGCCCTCTAAACAGAGCCTGGCCATCTGCTTGGGGTAAGAAAGGTGCAAAATGTGGCGACTCAGTTCAGGGGGCCTTTCCCAGATGTCTGCCAAGCGATGATCTGTACACTGAGACGGCGTGGGTTAAGGAACCCTTCTCTCTCAGGAGCAGAACTATCACAGCACAGATCATCAGAAAAGGGGGAGGTTGAAGGCGAAAAGGGATGAGAAAGCCCTGAGCAGCAGTGGAGGGCAGAGTTGTTAGTACCATTATGCAGGAGACAGAGAAGGGGAGGGAAAAGCTACCAGGATCCCTAACAGGAAGGGCACAGGAAGTTGTTTTACGCAGAGGCCAATGACCCATTTAGTCCAGTCCTGTCAAGCTGCAGCTTGATCAGCACTCGTCTCTCCATCTTGTCGGCGGCAGCCTCCTTCGCTGGCCACAGCTAATTTGGGTCACACTACACAGAGCTTAGGAGGCAGCTCATGGAACACAACTGCCTTCCTTTTGAAAAGCAGCTACAATCTTAAATTGTTCAGAATTATCGATGGGGAGCACAATCCAAAGCCCTGACAAAAATCTCAGCTTGCATTAAATGACTACAGAAATGCACCAAGTTTCTAACCCTCCTGCAAAGTGAGGCCCAAAAATGTGCCCCGTTTGGTGGAATCTCAGAAAATAATGAGAGCAAAACAAACGTTTCCTTGGCCAGGGAGGTTTTTCTGCGGTAGTTCGTTGCTCCAATCCCTATGTAATTTAACTAAACTTTGTGAATTATGCCCTATGTGCTTAAATCCAAATAAATTAAGCAACCACGAATGTTAAAATGTATTTTAAACAATGAAAACAACACCGAGTGTATTTGGCGCTTTGGCTTTGTTATCTATCCTCTGCATAAGTTTCCAAGTTCTAGTGCCGCATTCTGCCAGCAGGTGGTGCTACAAGCGAACAGGCACTCTTCCTGAAACCTTCTGCACAGACACTGGTGGTTTCTTCCCAGCTATTCTGTTTGGTGCACTGCTCTCTCACCTCAGGTGCTTATAAGAACATAAGAAGAAACCTGATCAATCAGGCCGAAGGCCCATTTGGTTCTCCCTCCTGTCCTTTGCCTCTGCCTCAGTATGCCAGAGCACTGTTCCAGCTCTCCAGGGTTTCAGGCAGGGGTCTCTCCCAGACCTGCCTGGAGAAGCCAGGGACCGAAACTGGTACCTTTTGCGTAGCACGAAGCCACAGCCCTCCACGCCCCAAAGTCTCCTCCTGTTTGCCTTTAGCTGTTGCATTTGTTTCTGCAAAATGCTAGTTGCTTTGTGCTTCCTTTCAGAAGGACCAGTGGAGTGCAAATAAAATGAGGATGGCAGATGGTGAAATAAATGAGAATATAAGAACGCAAGAGCAGCCTGATGGACCAATGGTCCAGCATCCTGTTCTCACAAGGGCCACCCAGATGCCTGTGGAAAACCTGCAAGCAGGACCTGAGCTCAAGAACACTTTCCCCTCCTGCGGTTTCCAGCAATTGGCATTCAGACCGTAGAGGCAGAACGCAGCCATTGTGGCTAGCATCTGTGGATATCCTCCATGCACTTGTCTGATCCTCATCCCATCTCACTACAAAGGTGGCCAGCATTAATAGGCAAAGTAACCTAGCCAGCACCTGCAAAGAGCCAACAACTGACAGCAAAAGGGACAAGCCTCATACAATGCCTTGTTGACCCCTGTAGCTGCCATGGGCTTCTCCCAAGACATCGCACCCTCCCAGCTCCTTTTGCAGTGATCCTCGTTTCCCCTTCTTTACTTTGCTTCTCTGCTACCACCAGGGGGCGGCACAGGCAAGCACACAGCTGGACCGATGGAGTGGCCCCAGTGTGTGGGGGGAGGGACTGCATGGCCCATAGGTCCTCAGTTGTGGATCTAAAATGGGGAGTCAGGTTCTGTGTGCCCTCTCCTAGCAGGGAACCCAGCCACACAAACAAGCCCGCCCTTTCCAGGCTGCAATGCGTCCCAGGATGTTGCCTGACCCTTATAAAAAGTACACTCCTTGGTTGGAGTTGTAAGAGGGTTGATTGCCTTTGCATCACTGCCCTCCCAGAGTCTCAGATGCCAGCCTGACGTGAACTGCACTTAATTCGTTTTTTGAGGACCTTATTCTCAGTTACTCCAGAAGGCAGGATGATGTAGGAACACAGGGTCAGACCATCACTCCATCTAGCCCAATATCCCCTACACTGACTGGCAGAGGCTCAGACAGGTGTTTCTCCCAGCTCTGCCTGGAGATGCCAGGGGTCTTTTCTGCATGAAAAGCAGATGCTCCACTGGCAAGCTACAGCCCCTTTCCCTAACCTAGAATTAGAACCAATGGGTGGAAACGAGCAGGGGATCATGGCACATTCTGGCTGCAGAGTAGAATAAGCTTCCACCTGGTCAGATATGTTCGATAGTGGAATGCCAGCTTGCCTCGGGAGCTGGCAGGATGCATTTAAAGAGAGGCGAGGTAGCAAGCAATGTCACAGATCCTGCAGTGAGGAAGGGTGGGCTGGATGGCTTCTGGAGGTCCCTTGTGTTGACTGTGATATTATAATTGGGCAGGAAAGGCCTAGGAGATCAGCTCTACTCTCTGGAAATGAAATATTCCTGTGTTCCCTTGTGGTGTTGCAGTAGAGATGTGGTTCTGAATCCACTGGCTCACTCTGTATGTCTGTTTTCAGGGTTGGCATCAGCTCCCAATAACACCAGGCAGCTGAGAGCCCCCTTGGCACTGCTGCGTGCTTAAGACCTCCTCCCTGGGGGGGGGGGTCCTAGGAATCAACAAGCTTCCATTTTAAATTTCCCAGGATGCCCCAGAGCAACACTAAATCAGGCTCCTCTGGGCATTATGGGAAATTTGAAGTGGCCGCCAGCACTGGTCTGAGAGCTGCTGCTGCTATGTAAGCCCACTGTAGGGGGCAAGGAGGAGAGCCCCTCAGCCCCCACCAGGCTGGAGTTGATCCTGTGCATGCACACTCAAGAGACCTTAGACCCAGGCAGCATTGGTACAAGACAGCACAACCTCGGTCAACACTGGAGCAAAACTCAGAGGAAGAGGAGGCTCAGGAAAACATTGGAGAGGGGAAATGAAGAGGACAGGGGTTGAGGGGAAAAGTTAGCTGGGTTAGAAAAGGAAGGTAAGAAAAAAGTGGGGTCAGGTAGTAATGTTCTGCCTTCCACTTACCTGCGGGAGTCTAAACACCTTTTTCGCTTACAGTTCCTCAGAAGGGGATTTGTGAGGTAAGAAGGACGCTGTGTCTCAGATAGTTTAGAGGGGTGAGAAATTTTGTGGCAGCTCCTAGCCAGAGGTGGCTTAGCAGCGGTTCTCAACCTGTGTGTTCCCAGATGTTGTTGGACTACAACTCCCATCATCCCTGACCACTGGTCATGCTGGCTAGGAATGATGGGAGTTGTAGTCCAACAACATCTGGGGACCCACAGGTTGAGAAACACTGGCTTAGAGGCACCACGGGGCTCTTTAATACAAGGGGTTTTTGTATGAGTTCTACAAGGGTGACACAGAGACTAAGGAGGAGCAAGATGACAGCCAGGGCCACACCTTCGATGGGCTGTAAGTAGGAAGGCAGGCAGGTGGGGGCTGGCTGAGGGCAGCAGGAGATGGGTGGGGCAGTGGTCACTCTGATGGACCAGCCTCCACAGCTTTGGGTGATCACAACCCCACTCCTTTGCCAAGAAACCTAGAACTGCACACAACTGGACACGTTAGGTCAGAATTGATTTGCTACTTAACATTCCCCAAAGCGGATCCCAAAAGTTTGCGAACACTGATCACTGCTGTTCCTCCTCTCAGCTGTAGACCTTTTTGTTTCAATATGAATTTAATTAACGGTGTATTGCTCTTTTGTGCACTTTGTAGAGATCTTCAAAATCAAGAAGAGGGCTAGAAACAGGTTTAGTAAATACAGATAAATAAAATAAGCGAGGCTTGAGATTTATGGGAGACACCAGTGACAGCTTTTAGCTCCAGGGGGAACAAAGCAAACGTTTTCCAAAAACAACATTTCCATTTGTGTGCAGTTGTAGGATCGCATCGGAGGGGCCCACACTCAAGAATGCAGGTCACAGATTAGTTACTGTTTAACCATCTTGTTGTACTTCCAATCAGGGGATTTAAAAGCACAGTGAAGGGCAGGAGGCTCTCCCCATTAATTCAGTGCATGCTTAAAGTTTAAAAAAACGAGGGCCCTACTCTGTGTTGCTGATTAGGAGGAAACAGGAGGTCCATACTTATGAATGCAAAACGCAATGATGTAAAGAGCAGGGCAGCCTAGGGAAAGGGGACCCTGAAGCTTGATTCTCCCACGGCCCAAAGAGTTTTCACACACTCTTCTTCCCACCCACTCTGCCACCAGCAACACAACAAAAAGGCTCACTTACCACACCACTCGTCCACCCAGGCAAAAGCTTGCCTGTGGCCGATCAGCAAGATGTCCCGGATGGCCTGCAACCCAAAACTAGGTTAACAACTCCTCAGGTATCTTCTATCTTTTGGGAGGCAATGATCACAGCAAGCCCCATGGGGAGGGTCACCCCCCTCCCACTGTAACCACCGAAGGCTGCTATGCTAGCAGAGCGGTTGAGAGCCCTGCCAGCAGGAGGCAGCAATGCACAGACTGATCTCCTATTCTCCAGAGAAGCCTTCCCTGTTTTGGATTGCACCTCCCATCAGCCCCAGCAAGCATAGTCCAGTCAGTGACTGCCTAACCCTGCTATGAAGCCAGTTGCTCCACGACCTTGCTGAGACAACATGGATGGTTGGCTCAGCTGCAGAAGCACTGTCTGTGGTCCTGAACACACCCTGATCCTCCTCCAAGGTGCTGACTTTTGCCTTCCCCAGGAACCCAGGAACCTTTGAACTCCCCTGGCTTGAGCCACCAGCCCTCCTTGGAGGCGGACATTCCTGAGGATCACAACAGCAATCCATTGTGTTTCAGGGATGATGGGCTTTGTGGTCTAGCAGCATCTAGGCAGGCACAGGTTCCCCACCCCGGCACAGAATATTGCTTTGAGGCAGGGGGATAATCTGTCTGATGAGAATCAAGGACTTCTCAAAACTCAGGAAGTGTACCTTCCACACTCCCTGCAAAAGCAGGGCCCATTCCATCCCTCCAGATCCCCAAATGTCTCCAGGCTGAGCTCTCACCTTGTGAGCAAACTGCTCCACCCGTGTCTGCAGCCCCCACACCTCAAACTTGACCGTCACCAGCTTGTAGGAGCACATGATGGGTTTGGTATGCTCTCGCCAGCCCTCCCGCAGCGGGCCACGGCCAGTCTTGGTCGAGCTGAAGTACCGGAGATCCTACCAACATGGAGAAGACAAGTCTAAGGAGCCGGTGGACCACCATTTGAATAGTTTTAGAGGAAGACTGGACAAATTCATGGAGGAGGAGGCTACCAATGGCTAGTAGCCATGATGGTTGCAATCTGCCTCCATGGTTGGAGGCAGCAGTTGCTGGAAGCCACAGTAGGAGAGAGCGCTCTTGCACTTGGGTCCTGCTTGAGGGCTGCCCTCCAGGCATCTGGCTGGCCACTGCGAAAACAGGATGGTGGGCTAGATGGGCTGCTGGCTGATCCATTCATTTTGATGGGTCCATCAGACCAACACTGGGTACAGCCCAGGATTCCTGGACTACACAGGCCTTTGGTCTGATTCAGCAGGGCTCTTGTTAAATGGAGCCTCCACACTCAGAGGCAGTGTACCTTGGAAAGCCAGTAGGTGAGGGATAAACGCAGGCAGAAGGCTTCCTGCCCTGCCTGTGGGCTTCCCAGAACATCTGAAAAGCCACTGAGGACGATGGACAAGATGGGCCTTTGGTCTGATGCAGCAGGGCTTTCCTTACAGTCACAGCAGGACTCAGGCAAGGGAAAGGCCACACACAAACCTGGCTAGACAGGTGCCTCCCTGCCTCACGTTACCTCTAGGCTCCGGTAGTAGCGCTCTGGGATTTCATCAAAGGCGATGTCCAGGAATGTCACATCGTGGTCTCCCAATATGTTTTCCTTGTGGAAGATCTGGGAGGGCAAGATGTAGAGAAAGAGATGGGGCTGTCAGGCCAGCAGCTTGGATGTAGGGCAGGACATGATGCACAACAACTGGGGAAGGCCGTAGCTCAGTGGCAGAGCATCTGCTTTGCATGCTGAAGGTCCTGGGTTCAATCCCCAGCATCTCTAGTGCATGCCTCGCACCTGAAATCCTGGAGAGCCTCTGCCAGCCGGTGGAGGCAATACTGAGCTAGGTGGACCAAGGGTCTGACCTGCCTTCTTAATTTGTGTCCCTCCAGATAATATTGGACTGAAACTCTCATCATTCCTGGCTCCTAAAGAACTGGGAGCTGTAGTTTGTTTAGGGTGCAGAGAGCTGCTGGGAAACCCCTATTCCCTCCAAACTACAATTCTCAGAGTTCCCTGGGAAGAACGACTGATTGTTAAACCCTTCTGTTAATTGTGGCTCTGAATGTGGGTCTCCTCTCAGCACTCTTTACAAACTACTGTGTCAACGATTTTTTTTTGGGGGGGGAATCTAGATTGTAAGCTCCTCAGGGCAGGGACCTGTCCTCTGCAAAATGCCATGCAGCAGAAAGCCCCTTGCCAACCTGTCTCCAACTAGAGGACATCAGCCTGAAGTTTCAAAGAGCCGCAGCCAATCAGAATAGGACCTGCTGGCTAAATGGGGGAATGGACCACCGATTCCATACAAAGGAGAGGCATGTTTCCCCCTTAACAGAAGCTCCTGATTGGCCACACTGCAAAACAAGGAACCCAAGGCACCAAAGGACACCCTCCCCACCTCCCATTGCATCCTGTTGCCTCTTGGTTAGGGATGGCAGACATTTCTGTGCCAGATTGAGAACTCTTCCCAATTAGCACTTACATTTGTGCTGTCTCCGCAGTTGTCCTCGTACTTGGTCTCTATGTAGATAGAGAACTTTGGCAGGAAAGAGCACTGTAAAAGAAGCGAGGAGGAGAATCTGAGAAGGTGAACCAGGGATGGGGAACCTGAGGTCCTCCAGATGTTAGCCATGCTGGCTGGGGAGGGGGAGGACAGATGCAGCTGGCAAAGAGGAAGGCAGGCAACTACCCACTGCTAGTTGCTGCTCCTTCTCGCCTGCCTGGTCATGGATAACTCAACACCCAGGGGCATACTATGGACTCAGCTGCACAGCTGCAATTATAACGTTATAAGTGCATGTTAAAAATGTGACTCCAATGGCACTGGAGAGCTCAATGGCAAATTGCACATATATTTTATAGCGTGTTCCCCACCCCACCCCATAGCATTTTCATGGTGTTTTCTATATCTGTGTAGATCCAGCCTGTGTGCCAGGGATGAAGGAGAGAGAAGTGAAGACTGCAGCACTTGCTGAAAGACACCAGCTCATAAAATCAGGAATGTGTGTCTAACAGTGTGATTCTATACACAGTCACCTGGGAGCCAGTCCTATTGGACTCAACAGGGCTTACCACTGAGCAGAAAGGATTGAATGGGTGCAATGCTGCAAAAATGGCCAATAATTTAAAGGGCCAGGGTGGGAGGAATAAAGGAAAATGGAGGAATGGGAGGGTTCTGCCCAGACTGATCAGGTTATGCTTCTTTAAAATGTACAGGTCTGGTAGCAAAGCCTAGATTATCTCTTTGTTTTATCTATTGATTATCACATTTATACCCCACCTTTCCTCCAAGGAGCTCAAGGCGGCATGCACGCCTCTCCGCCTCTCTATTTCATCCTCACAACAAGCTTGCGATGTAGGTCAGGTCACAAGAGATAATGACTGGCCCAAGGGCACCTAGTGGGCCTCATGGCTGAGTGAGAACTTGGCCCTAGTCCAACACTCCAGTCACTACACCACAGTGCTATCATGCATTATAATTTTGCGGGGAGGGAAATCCAGCTGCCATCAACCGCTGCTAGCATGGCCAACGGCTGAGGGATAATAATAATAATAATAAATATTATTTATACCCTGCCCATCTGGCTGTGTTTCTCCAGCCACTCTGTGCAGCTTCCAACAAAATATTAAAAACAATACAGCATCAAACATTAAAAACTTCCCTAAACAGGGCTGCCTTCATATGTCTTTTAAAAGTAAAATAGTTGCTTATTGCCTTGACATCTGCTGGAAGGGAGTTCCACAGGGCAGGCGCCACTACCGAGAAGGCTCTCTGCCTGGTTCCCTGTAACCTCACTTCTTGCAGCGAGGGAACCGCCAGGAGGTCCTCGGCACTGGACCTCAGTGTCCGGGCTGAACGATGGGGATGGCGACGCTCCTTCAGGTGTACAGGACCGATGCCATTTAGGACTTTAAAGGTCATCACCAACACTTTGAATTGTGCTTGGAAACATACCGGGAGCCAATGAAGATCTTTCAGGACTGGTGTTATATGGTCTCGGCGGCCACTCCCAGTCACCAGTCTAGCTGCCGCATTCTGGATTAATTGCAGTTTCCGAGTCACCTTCAAAGGTAGCCCCACGTAGAGCGCATTGCAGTAGTCCAAGCGGGAGATAACTAGAGCATGCACCACTTTGGTGAGACAGTCCGCGGGCAGGTAGGGTCTCAGCCTGTGTACCAGATGGAGCTAGTAGACAGCTGCCCTGGACACAGAATTAACCTGCGCCTCCATGGACAGCTGTGAGTCCAGAATGACTCCCAGGCTGCGCACCTGGTCCTTCAGGGGCACAGTTACCCAATTCAGGGCCAGGGAGTCCCTCACACCTGCCCACCCCCTGTCCCCCAAGAACAGTACTTCTGTCTTGTCAGGATTCAACCTCAATCCGTTAGCCACCATCCATCCTCCAACCGCCTCCAGACACTCACACAGGACCTTCACTGGTTCTGATTTAAAAGAGAGGTAGAGCTGAATGGAGCTGTAGTCCAGCAACATCAGAAAGGCCTGACCTACCTCACAGGGTTCTTGTGAGGAAACAGTGGTGTTGGGGAGGCCACGTCAGCCACTATCAGCTTCTTGAAAGAAAGGGGGAGGATAAACCGGGGGGATTTCACAGGCTGACTGCGACATCCCCAAACCGGTCTTTTCTTTCCTACCTGTCGCATATTCACTTGTTCCCATGTGCAGCCTCCTGCCTGGAGGAGTTGGTGCTGCCTCAGGGCCACTCCGGAAGCCCATGCTACAAGCCGTTCCTTTGGAAAAGCAGCAAAGTGCCTAACATGCAAGCACATCTTGGCACTTACCGTGTACTCTGAGCCGATGGCGAGGCGATTCCAGGAATCCACAGGACAGCAGAGGAAAGAAACAGAGAAAACCAGCGATGAGATGGGGAGGGACAGTTGCCGCGGGAGCCATAACTGAATTTCCCTTGACAACTTAAGCCACCCAGCTCCAGCACAACAGCCCAGGCAGAAAGGAGAAGCATTGGCTGAGGTTCCCTGCACTCAGCCCCGTTCCTATCAGGAAAGCTGCAAATGGAAATTCTGGGAAGCCTTTTGCCCAACCTGATGGGTGGCTCAGGAGTTGTATCCAACTGAAGTTCAAAAGATTCATATACCGCTTGACTGTGGGAAACCTCAAAGCAGTTTACAAAGAGAATAAAACACTGAGATCATCTGGGTAAGCTTGTCTAAACGTTTTCAGCAGGTGCCAAAGGCAGTACGGTGAAGACGTCTGCCTGACATCAATCTTTTAGTGTGGCAGCTCCTACACTTTCAAATTCCCTATTTTTTTATATATCTGTGTAGATCCATTCTATGTGCCAGGGACGTAGGAGAGAGAAGTGAAGATTGCAGCTACCTCACCAGATACTATTCCATTCTGGGGTTCTCAAGAGGTCTCTATTTGGGCCCTGCAGAAAGAGATTGCTGGGTGAGACGGAGATTTGTCTGATTCAGAAGAGCTCTCCTTACCTGTGATTGTGTATGGGTAATAGTTCCAGGCCTTCTCTGTGATGTAGAATATTCGTGGCGTCACAGCGCGAGCCCAGCTAGGCAGCTTGCTAATGGTGGGACGGCACAGCATAAAGGGGAAAGCAGAGAAAATCTTAAAATGGGCATGTCTAAGCCCAAGTAGGCAAATCTTTAAAACCCAAAAGGGATGTGTAAGTGCTGTAGCTCATTGGGCAGAGTATCTGCCTTGCATTCATAAAGTCCCAGGTTCAATCCCCAGCGTCTCCAGTTAGGGCTGGGGAAAGACCTCTGTTCAAAACCCCGGAAAGCACAGAAGATAAACTGAGGCAGAGAAACGGTAAGGCACCAGGGACTTTGCATTGCAGACTCTGACACTTAAGGCCCAGGCCACTTATTCTAAACAGTGTTTTTGCCTGGCTGGAATGAGTCCTTGAACTCTGAGTCCTACTGCCTCTTGCTTAGCTGGAAAGGGGCAGAGAGAGGTGTGTGCATGTGTGCAGAAACTACTGTACAAAGGTAACGTTTACATCCATTGCTCTGCACATTTTTGCCTCAGGCCCCACACACCACTGGCATGTGGCCCTTGGAAGGTTCCCGAGAAGGAAATACGGCCCTTGGGCTGAAAAATGCCCCACCCAACAGCCAAATGCTTCCATGTGGCTGGAAGGAATGGCTGAGCACAGACACAAGTTTGTAGCACCTGGGACAGGGAAGGGAGAGCGAAGACAGGAGTGTTTCTTTGTCACTGTGTCACGAAGGGCTCTGTGGGGGAGATGCTGGCTCTCGCATCGCTTTAGACCAGCAGCTGAAATCTCACCGGCTTTCCTGCAGATGGATCAAGCGATGCGGCACCCAAACTGTGGGGTGGAAAAAGGCAAGGGCCCCTCCGTCCCAACCGCTTTGATTAGATTCTGCGCTCTATAAATAGCATCCCCCGAGAGGAGAATCGTGAGAATGCAGTCTAAAAATACCGCCCCCTCTTGCACGGATGGCTCCCGCAGCAGCTAGCGGTGCAGTGAGACAAGTCCACGCAGCCAAAGCTGTCTCCGAAAGACACGTTCTGAGCCAATGGACAGTTGGGCAAAAGGGGACAGGTCTCGGCAGCCTAGGAGGGAAGCTTGCAGCGACGGAGGTGCATGTGAGTGTGTGGAAGCAAGGGGAAGAAAAGAAAGGGAGGAGCCGGGAAGCAGAGAGGGGCTGCCTGCCTGATCCATTACGCCGGGAGCATTTGGAAGCAAGGGAATTTAGCCTTGCTGAAGCTTATAAACATTGCCTATTTTCAGCTGGGTGGGTGGAATGACAAGTGAAACTATCTGTAAGGCCAAGTACATGGGCAAGCCAAGATGTTTTGCCATCCTGAGCATGTCAGAGAGCCAGAACAGAGCCTCTGCTTGGAAAAATGCCTGTAGCAGCTGTTGGTTTTGCCGAATGGTAAGGGTTAGGCAACATGGCGCTGGACTACAACTCTTACCAGCCCCCGTGTTTGGGGTGATGGCTACTGTAATCTAGCAACATCAGCGGCAGAGTATCTGTGTTGTATACAAGGTTCAATCCCTGGCATCTCCAAGCAGAGCTAGGAAAGACTCCTGCCTAGAAACCCTGCAGAGCTGCTGCCAGTCAGTGTAGACAATGCTGAGCTAGATGGACCAATGGCTTGGCTTGGTATAAGGCAGCTTCTTGTGTTCTTACCCCATGCTAACACCACCTGTGCAAACTGCACACACGTAGATGCACAGACACACACACTCCCAGTCACGTTCAGCATAACCACCAGCTCCAAAAGGCCTAGATTTGTTTAGCAGCAGTAGCAGAAAGGAACAAGGAAATTATAGCAAAGCACAGTAACTTCCTCATTCCACTCTGCTCTGGTGCTTCTAAGCCAGACATCACTGGAAGTCAGCCAAAGGAGCCAGCACTCCACTAACTGGCTCATCAATGGGCTGAGAGATAGGGCTGGAAGGCAGCTCTCTGCAGGTGGCTACAGCAGCTGCCACAACTGATGGCTGCTACTGTCACAGAGAGGCTTCTCTCCATGTGCAAGCTTTACGTAGAGCTCACATATGAACCAGGGTCACAGCGACAGGAAGCAACTACCACCACCAAGTCAGCTGGACTCTCCCACCAAGATTTACAGAGAAAGAGGATTATTTCAAGGAAAGGCTGTAGCTTAGTGACAGGGCATGTTTTGCATACAGAAGGTCCCAGCAACTGGCATTCAGAGGCATACTGCCTCTGTCAGTGGAGGCAGAACACAGATGTTGTGGAATACTAGAGATGTGCATGTTGGGGCTGATGGGAGTTGGAGTTGAAAAATTCTGGAGGACACTAGATTGGCAAAGTGTGAGCTTGGATCTTCAACCATAGGTCCCCAGATGTTGGTGGACTACAACTTGCATGGTCCCTATTAGCTGAGTTGGCTGGGAAGGATGGTTGTAATCAAGAACATCTGGGGATATTTCAAAAACATCATATGGAGGAGCAGTTTGAGAACAAAACGTGGGAGCATGGTCTTGTGGTTAAAGTTTACAAGGATTTTTATTTCTTAGTGGCAGGAGTTCATCAGATTTCCTGCTCAACTGGTTCTCTGTGTTCTAATGGCTTTTCTTTGTCTCACCAAATGCCAAGATTTAACTGTTATTGTCTCTTGGTGAAACTTTCCTCTGCTCTGTCCAGTTCTCTGAAATTAATGTCTACAAAATAGAGAGGCAGAGCAGCCTTTTCCCAACATGGTGCCTTCAACCTGCCAAAGAAAGACAACTAGACAATGCTCCAATCTCTCGGGGGGGGGGGGGCAAGCAATGCATAGGTGCAGGATCACACACACACACACACACACACACACACACACACACCTCTCTTCTGCCTTGCGTATGCATTGCAGGAAACCCTGACCAGCACCCAGTTTTTCCAAAGTGCAAATGTTTCAGGACAGTGTTGACCTTTCAGATAGAAGGATACGCTTCTCACCCTTCCAGTGTACATAACAGAGATGGGGAAGCTTTCTCGGCCCGAGGCCCACACCCCCTAATCAGGAATCTTCTGGGGGGCATGTGCCAGTGGTGAGTGGGGCCAGAGGCAAAACTAGGTGGAGCAATTTATGTGATTCTTTGTACAGCTGGCTACATTCTAGCTGCACAAAGCCCAAGTTTTCTATACCTCCAGGAAGCTAGAGGTGTTATCACAGTTTAAGGACACATTTCAGGTAGGAAAAAAAACACTCAAGAAGGGCAGCCAGTGAACGGTGTGGCTTGGGGAGTGTCCCAAGGGCCAGACAGAGAGGTCTGAAGGGCCACATTCAACCCCCAGAGCCAAGATTCCATCTAGGTATGCATAATTTTTTGCCATCTAACAAAGACTAGGAAGATACAAGGTCAACCAAGGCAAAGAATCACAACATTTGGGGGCGGTCACTGAGAAGGCCCTTCCTCTTGTCCCTGTTAGCTGAGCCACCTCGCTACGATACGATACACTATCTTTATTGTCATTGTCCCATACAGAACAATGAAATTGAAAAATCTACATAAGATATTCAAAACCCCCTAAAAACTCTGAAACCCCATTTATTTTAAAATACAATATACTCCTATAGCGACTCCTTATACTGTGTTTAAAACCAGAATTGCCTTTGGGTAGAAACTGTTTCTCAGGCGGCTAGTCCTAGTCTTTCCAACCCTGTACCTTCTTCCAGAAGGCATGACACAGAGAAGGGCCTCTCTGCCAGATCTTAGGGTCTAGGAAGTCCTTCACACTCAGCTGTGCGCATACACTAACATGCCCCACTCCATTGACAGGTATGCCTGCACTGCAGAGAGTACCTTTGTGAGGAACGGGGTCAAGTCAAGCAGAGACAGCTCCGTAGGTGGCAGATGTGAGCAAGGGGAGGGGGAGGGCTATGCCTTTTGTCTCCAGCGGTTTTCAAACAAAAGCCAGTCTTGAGTAATTGTCAGAATCCATGACAAGTTAATTGGAAAGCGAAGAACAAATGGGGAGAACAGCAAAACACTGAATCAGCAAGGTACAGCTGGTGGGTGGAAGGGGGACGATCGATGATAAAGCTCAGTGGCAGAGCACGTGTTTTGCATGTACAAACTCATACCCCACTGGCTAATCTGAGCATGGGCATCCACATGGGATGGGAGAGCTCCCCCTCCCAGAAGAACCATAACCCCCAGATCTTCAGCTTTCATTGTACAAAATGAAAAGGCTTGGCCACATCCGTACCATGCACAATACTACATGGCCCCAACTGCACGATACGTGTAAAGCAGTATTGTACTACGTTTAAACAGTCGTGGCTTTCCCCCCAAAGAATCCAGGAGCTTTAGAGCTGTTGTGAGACCCCTATTCCCTGCCTAGAGTGGTTTAGAAGGCAACTCCTCTTCCTAGGGAAGTCTTGAGAATTCTAGCTGTCTGAGGGGTCTCCTGACAACTCTCAGCAACTCTTAACAAACAATGCTTCCCAGGGTGCTTTGAGGGAAGCCATGACAGTAGAAAGTGGCATCAGAGTGGTTTAAATGTATAGTGCTTTTTAGAACACTTAAAAAAATATTGTTTGGTTCTGGTTGTGTTTCTTGCCTGGAGGCTCCTCGGGAGGAACAATGGGAGATAATAATCTCAGATCATGGCAGATGAAAATGATGGACTTTTTGGAGCTAGCCGACCTGACCAGAAGAGTCCGAGACCAGAAGCAGGAGGAGTATCAAGAGGAATGGAAGAAGTTTAAGGATTATTTAGTTAAATATGTTAAGATAATTTAAATAGAATTACTTGTGAGTAACAGATTGGCCTAGGATTTAAATATGTGAAATTATATAATACTATGGATAGAAGTAAAAATGAAAAGAAAGAAAGATGTTAGTTGAACAAGTAGATCTTATACGAAAATAGTGTTGGAAAACTGCTAAAGGAGCTATATGGAAACTCAGCTAGGGGGATTTGAGGAAGTCACCCAACAATGATAACAAAAATGGGACTATAACAGTTAGGATAAATGTTTGTTTGTTTGCTAGCTTTTTGATATAGTAATGTTTTTCTTGTTTGTTGTTATGTTTGTTATAAATTTGGAAAATCAATTAAAAAATTTGAAAAATAAAATAAAATCTCAGATCATGATTTCTTAAAATAATAAAAAAAACCCAACCCAAAACCACACACACAAAGATAACAACAAAAGCCACTGGCTGGCTTCTCACCTGGAGAGGTGCACACGTTTTTCGGTGAACTGGCCACAGCCGTGGACAGGATCTTCGTGGGGCTCATTCTTCACCACTTCCACACCTTCCCCTTTGTCGCTCTCTTGGTGGCTGTGCTTGCTGATGGTGTACAGCTGCCCAACACGGTACTGTTAAGGAAATACAAAAGACTGTCATCTTGCACAGCTCAAGAAGCCGAGTTGAGGGGGCCCTGAGTGGGGAGGACTGAGAGCCCCTCTGCCTGCCATTCTCTCAGCCATACAAACTCTGCCTGCCTGAAGATGGACGGGGGCTGTTGAGATATGAGACTCAACACAGCGACATTCCTGTTATTTCCAATGTGTGGGTGTAAGTGCTGTTCCTTAAATGGCCAAAACAGACCCCTCTGCCCACAAAAGGGAAGGGGAGGCCAAACTTGGGGGAACCCCTAAGTTCAATATACAGTCTACCCTTCTCTAAGCTTCCAAACCTCCCCTTCTGTTCAAAATCTGTAATATGTGGGTAATGGCCTGCACTAGGGAGTTGTCCTAAGAGTTACCGGGACAATATACCAAGAGTGTTTGACCACTCAAAGGCTGAAATCCTTTACACTCACCTGGGAGTAAATCAATGACTTACTTCTTCTTTAAAAAAAAAAAAATTATTAAAGAATTCTTATTGTACAAAAACACGTGTTGTCTCTTTTTTCAAGTTGTGTTTTCTACAATTCAGTTTCATTTGTTGTGAGACATTAGTGTTACGTACAATGTTAAGTTATGAGGAAAAGAGGGAGAGAGAGGGGGAAAGGTGAGTGGGGTGGGGTGGTTATATTAATAAGACTTACTTCTAAGTAAATATGTATAGGATTATGCTATAAAATACCACAATATTTTTTTAAGCCTTCCTCTTTTTTTTTGGAACCTTTTTTAAAATAGCTCTAAACGGTTTTTATGGAGTTTGGGGTTTTTTTGCAAGATGCTCCCCTGTTAATTTGTCTTTTAAAACTGCTTTCATCTGGGTATGATCCCAAACCTAGCAAATGTTCTATTTTTACAAATTCCGCCTCTGTGCCCCCACAAGCCTCTTCAACTGAACCAAGAAATCTTATCTGGAGCTTTACCACAAGAACGAAACATGTAGGAAATGAGATGCTAAGTACCTAACACCCACCCACTTGATAATCTGGCAAAATCCTTGCAAGCTCACATCCCCAACTTTATCTAAAAGCATGCAATGTAGATGTAAATGTAGATGTAGATGTACACATCTATTATTTTCCTGCTCCTTGCAGTAAGAAGAATAGCTCATTAGGGTCAAGGGTAGATGAAACCTTTTCTTCCAAACACTGAGCTTTCAATTCATGCATAGATACACAAACACACACACATATATTTAAAGTTAATCAGGATCATTCAAATGTGGCAACTTGAAACTGTTCAGCTCAGGCTAAGCTTTCCCACTGAATTTACCTGCATTTATTTCATTTTAAAGCATTTCATTTTTAAAGCATTTAAAGCATTTAGTGCACACAAAATGGTGTACTAAAAAAAGGAAGGCTATGTGTACACCATACACTGCAAGCGCGTGGTTCCTCCATCTCCCATCATCCCTGACCATTGGCTATTTTGGCTGAGAACATAGTCCTGGACTAGGTGGTCCTTGGCCTTGATCCAGCAGCCAGGCTCTTCTGACAATCTTACGGTGGACGAAACTCCTCCTGGTCTGGCCTTTCCTCTGCATTGTGAACTGTAAGCTCTTGGGAGGCAGAGACCCTGGCCTCTTGTATTCTGGAACGTGCCATGCGCACTGAGAGCACTACATCACTAAATCAAACAAAACAAACAAGCCACAATGGAGGAAACGTCTCTTGGCTTCCCTGCACCCGGTCACCATTTCATGGACCACTTTCTGGAAAACAGGAGGCGTGATGCGTAGCGCACAGCACCGCAGACAGATCACCCGAGTGCCGGCAACAGAGCCAGGGCAGATAAGGAGGGAGCTCCCCACCCCTGCGCATGCTGCACACCAGACTCCCAAAGTGCCTAGCCAGAGCCTGGGAATGTCCTGGTCTCAGTAAGGGCTGTTTTGCACGCATGGGAGAATCCATCCTGCCTGGAGAAGGTCACGGCTGGGGCACTTTGGGGAAGCCCAGACAGGCTGTGTTTACGGCGAAGAATGACCTTGGCCTGTCCTGAACGGGGAGGCCGCAATTCCCAAGGTAGGAAGGAATCCAGGCACGTGACAACAACGAGAAAGCAGAGTGTGTGTGTGTGTGTGTGTGTGTGTGTGAGAGAGAGAGAGAGAGAGAGAGAGTGCTAGAAGCTGTGTACACCGCATACATTCAAAGCACATTTCCCCCCTCCCCAAAGGAAACCTGCAGGGAAATGCAGTTGGTAAAGGATGCTGGGAACTGTAGTTCTGTGAGTGGTGAACTATAGCTCCCAGGACTCTTTTGGGGGGGGATAATGTGCTTTAAATGCAATGCATGTACACAGTCAGAAAGATGCAGAATCAGAGTGGTAGATTTTGAGGCAGGGGTGGTGCTGCTTTTTTCAGCCTGAGGGCCGCATTCAGCTCTGGGGAACCTTTCAAGGGCCACATAGCAATTCTGGACAGGGCCAAAGGAAAAAAAAACCCCGGCAGAAGCTGGCTGGGTTCTGCACACACAATACTCTCTAACCTCCATTCAGGGAAGCAAGGGGCACGATTGGGGCTCAAGGACACATTTCAGCCAATTTCAGGCTGCAAAGAAGGACCTATGAGAGGCGTGTGGCTTGGGAGATATCTGGGGGTCAGAGTGAAAGGCCCAGGGGGTAGTATTTGGCCCCTCTCTCTTGCTTTATGGGAATATTTTCTCAAATGACAAGTATTCACCAGACATTCCTCCCCCCCCCAACACACAAACACACACTCCACAAACCGGTAACCACACTGTAGTCACAAGGCTAAGGAGGCAACATAATGCATGAAATGTTGCTGCCATACTTAGGAGCACCAGATGAGAATGTAGTTGGGATGCTGGAAGGAGCATGGGAAGCTGGGAACTGAGTCAGACACTTGCGTCAAGCTAGTCCAATACTATCTACACTGACTGGCAGCAGCTCTCCAGGATTTCAGACAGCGTTCTCTCCTGGCCTTGCCTGGAGATGTCAGGGATGGAAACAGGGATCTTCTGCATGCAAAGCAGATGTCCTATCACATCCCTGCAATGTCTCCACCAGCTTGGGCTGGTTAATGGCTCTCTCCAACCTATTTAGACTGGGGCTGCATCTCTCCACTGGTCCTATGCACATGGAACAGAAGCACCTGGAGTCACGGATTCCTGGTTTTGACCTGACTCAGCCTTCTGGGCTCTGGGCTTCCGTTTGACGGCTGCTTACGGCTCGGCTCCAACAATTGCACAAACCACAGCTATTCCTTTGGGGGGTGCAGCACATTCAGTTCTTTTGCCGTCCTGGAAAACGGAAAAGTCATCCAACCACAGCGGCTTGATATTTGCATGTGTGGGCCTGGGTAACTATGGAAAAAACTCACCCGTCAAATTCAGCTCTCCAAGGGATCGGCTCAACCTGAAGCTCCCCAGGCTAATATTCTCTCGTCTCGTTCCTCTCCGAGAGCAACTCCCCTCTTATGCAGCCTCCCGTTAAAAAGATAAGCTTTTAAAGTAGCCGATGTGTTGTTTCCTTATGGCTTTCCATGGTGTGACTGACTTATTTAAAAGAGATGGTTTCAAAAGCAAGGCTGGGGAGGGTGTCTGGCCTGGAGAGAGTCCTGAGGGCCAAGCAGAGAGGAATGGAGGGCCGGATTTATTTCCCCCTCTGTAGCCTGCGAGGGATTTTCACTCAGTTGTACAGCATGTCCTTTGCATGCAGTTGGTTCCAGGTTGAATCTGTCGCATCTCCAGGTAGGGCTGCAAGACAGCCTCTTGCCCTGAGACCCTGGAGAGCTGCTGCCAGTCAGTGTAGACAATACTGAGCTAGACAGATCCGTATAAGGCAGCTTCTTGTGATTCCTAGGTTCCCCATCCCTACCATACAGAGGTGTTTGCGGTCAACTAACTAAATACAAGAATTTTTCTGCAGACATGGAAAAAGCAAAGTAGAGGCTGGTTTATTGACTGCCAGAAAACACTTACAGGAGGGGGATTGTTTCTGCAAGGTAAACACTGATGCCAGGGAAGCGATCAGGTTCCAGCAAATTCTGAATATGCTAGCTGGGGCTGTTTGCTCAGCCCCGACAAAAAAAGAGAGTGGCAGCTGTGTTGAAATGAGCTACTTTTAGCCTGCCATACGGATGAGAAAGGGGGAGCTGACTCACAAAACGTGCTGTGCGGATTTCAAAGCCCATGTGAGGCCTCAGCCGTCAGGGGGAGCCTTGTCCAAGCTGGCTCAGCCCTCAAAAGATGTAAATGGAAAGGCCTCTCCAAGTATGAACAGAGTGCCATCCTCTCCCAAAACTTCAAAAAAAAGAAAGAAGGATTTTTAGAGCAATATCCTGGCAGCTTCCAGGTCCAGCTCTGCACATTTAAGAAACCAACTTTGCTGGTAAAGGTCCTAGGGCTGCAACCAGGAGACACAGGAAAGATAACAGGGACTAGCACCATATGAAGTACTGCAAATTATTAGGGCAAGTATTATGTACCGTATTTTTCGCTCTATAAGACGCACCAGACCACAAGACGCACCTAGTTTTTGGAGGAGGAAAACAAGAAAAAAATAGATTCTGAATCTCAGAAGCCAGAACAGCAAGAGGGATCGCTGCGCAGTGAAAGCAGCAATCCCTCTTGCTGTTCTGGCTTCTGGGATAGCTGTGCAGCCTGCATTCACCCCATAAGACGCACACACATTTCCCCTTACTTTTTAGGAGGGAAAAAGTGAGTCTTATAGAGCAAAAAATACGGTATCTGCTCAGACATAACACCAATGTTCCCCAACAGTCTTCCCCCTGCTCCCAGTTCTGTCCAAACTCAATTACTGATTTGCATAAAGTATGCCTGTGGAGGAAATGTATGCAAAAATATGGTATATTTTATTACATTTATACCCTTTGCAGCAGCCCCAACACCCTTTCAAGGAGCTAAAGGCAGCAAATTGGAGTCTTCCCTTGCATTTTATCTCCACAACAACCCTGTGAGGTAGGGTTCAGCGGATTATTGGGTCACATACACCCCATATGATTAACATTTAGGATTCATATAGTGCTTTCAAAGGTAAAAAATACTTCATGTTGCGTGTATTATTAGTGTAATCTTTACAGTGGCCCTTTAAGGTAGACCATTATCATTACCCCCCATACCGGAGGCTGACATGAAGAGAGTAGATCACCTACAGCCACCTAGTGAATTAATGGCAGCCCATCTTCTCTCTCTGGTTAGGTAAATGTCTGTGGAGACAATTTACCCAGGAAAGCTCTTTCACACAAACACTTCCCCCCATGTGACATGGTTAGAGTCCCGTGCAAGGACTGTGGAGCCTCCATAAGGCACAGGACCCACAAAAGTGAATTAAAGTGAGATAGCTATGGAAATATTGACTCTTCTTCCACCTTAAACACAACCAGAATTCTCTCATTTCTGAGAGTCAACTTGTACGTTGCCTTTGCCTTGGTTTTGTAGATATGTAAGTACAGCTAGAGGAAAACAAACAGAGCAGAAAGTAGCAACACAGAGATCTTACCCCGAGGATGTATAAACACGGAAGTTTATTCCATTTCATGACATTTCCCTTACTATTAATTTCCACATTATATCTGAGCTTTCACACAATGTAAAAGCCACTTCTAGAACTAAAGTGGAATACACTTCAAGTTCAGCACTCTTTTCCACATTGTTTGCAAATGTGTTTTTTTTCTTTTTCTGGAAGCAATTAACATGGAAATAAGCTCTAAGCTTGCATGATATTCCACTATAGTTCCAGAAGTGGCTTTTACATTGTGTGAAAGCTCAACTATAATGCTGAACTTAACAAAAATGGGCAAGTTGGGAAAATGGAATAAACTACTACGTGAATGCAGCCTGGAACAAACCAACATGCTAAAATGAATCCTGCATAGGGCTGATGTACAACTACTCCATTTTTCACACTGCCAAACAACACCATTCACTCAAAAATAATCTGTGGGTTCTCCTTGAGTACATACACACCTACTCATCCATACCACCCATCTACTCCCTCTCCATTGACACCAGATGTCCTCCATGGCATCCATTACATAGCCAAATCTGATCAACTTTGAAGTGTGCTGATTGGCTAGGAAGCATTCTGCTCACATGATCCCTGACTGGCTAGGACAGCTCTGCAGCTGACTTGGACTGAAGCTGCCATCATCCCTGACAATTGGGGCTGGTGACAGCTGTACCCCAAAACATTTGGAGGGCACCAGGCTGCAGAACTTTGAGTTTAGGATCATACATCTGACAAATCTTTAATTTAGCACACAGGAAAAACAATGGCACTCAAGAGGATAGGGTTGAGGGTTGTGTGTGTGATGAATATTCAAAAAAGCAAGTACTTGGGAGAGAAAATCTTTATATGTCCACTACATGGCTAAAACCGGAGCATATTCATCACAAGTCTGAATTTTGTGTTAACTGGAACATATCCAGGGCATGTACACCACCGCCTTGCACACTGCAGTACAGTGATACCTCAGGTTAAGAACTTAATTCGTTCTGGAGGTCCGTTCTTAACCTGAAACAGTTCTTAACCTGAAGACCACTTTAGCTAATGGGTCCTCCCGCTACTGCCGCGCCACCACCGCCACACGATTTCTGTTCTCATCCTGAAGCAAAGTTCTTAACCCGAGGTAATATTTCTGGGTTAGCGGAGTCTGTAACCTGAAGTGTATGTAACCTGAAGCGTATGTAACCTGAGGTACCACTGTATAAGGATCTGGGAGACCAGGGTTCAAATCCCTCCTCTGCCATGAAGCTCACTGGATGACCTTGGGTCAGTCACTGCCTCTTGGCCTAACCTACCTCACAGGGTTGTTGAGGGGGTTCAATGAGGAGGGTGGGAAAACCATGTACTCCACCTTGAGCTCCTTGGAGAAAAAGGTGGGATGTAAATGTCAATCAACCAATCAATCAATAACAGAGGCTGGATATAGAAGTTATGACCTGTGGAAGAGCTGCAACATACATCAGTCCCAAGTCCTCCGTAGAAAAATAGGAATTCTCCTATTGCGCCCCTCCCTCGCTTGCTAGAAACTTAAACATGACTACTACTTTTCTTGCTCGACAAGTAATGTGGGAGGGGGGAGAAGTTCACTTGACAATGTCTTCGCATACTCATTATTTTATTGTTCTGCTGAAGCTTCTTGTCATCACTCTAACTGCTGGAGAGCTATTATCTGTACTCCATCAAATTGTCAGTGTTATCCGCATGTTAACCTGAAATCACCACTCGCACAGCGCATTACTAATCACCACACTTTCCCAGAGCAGGGCAGAGCTGCAGGGAACCCTTGGAGCAATGCAGTGCCTGTTGTCAACATTTATTTTATTTTATATTTATGAGATTTATATACTACCCTTCAATACAAGTTCTCAGGGCGCTTCACAATATAAACATTGCTGTGTCCACAGCAGCGGATGCTTCCAAGAACTCCACTCCCCATAGGTCACCGAAACATGGAAAAAGTGGGGTCGCGGCTCAGTGGTAGAGTATCTGCTTTGCATACACAAGGCCCCAGCTTCAGTCCCTGGCATCTCCAGGCCAACATGAGCAGCGGTTTCTTGGGGAACCACTGTAGACACTGAGCACGGACCAAGCAAGCCACTGGTGCAATAGAAATAGCCTATCATGTAAAGATCCAGTGATGTTTGTGTCCATCCTTTGGAGGGAACCAGGCAGTCACCTATGGCGGGTCAAAATTGTCTACATTAGACCATGGGGAGAAGCTATAAGAAAGCTAGGAATGAAGCAACTTTCGAGTCAGTTGGACTAGTAAAATCTTCTTGTGCATTAGTAACTTTGGTCAATGACCACATTTCACCCAACCTGCAGCATCGAAAACTGCCTTATACCCAGGTCAGAATATTTGTCCACAGCACAGAATTTTCTAATTTCCAGCATCAGATCAGGGTCTTAGGCACGGAGAGATCTTCCCCACAGATGGCTGCCTGGCCCCGTTTATTTGGAGATGCTGCGGACTGAACTGGGGACTTTCTGGGTGCGAAGCATGTGCTCTGGTGCTGAGTCACAATTTCTGCCTGGGGGGTGGGTTGCAATGTTTTCCCTTCGCCAGTATCCCTGAGCCCAGAAGGTCATGCTGCCCTAAGCAAGCAGGTTGGCCACATGAGCGACGAGGTCTGCCACATCCATGCAAATGGTATGAAAACAGTGTTAATTATGTGCAAATGAGCTCTTTCCAAAGGGACAATCAGCCCAGAACAAACTGTCCGCCTCTTCTGCAGGGGATTCATCCTTCTTGGATGGCATCGCTATAGCAGCATTGCACCTTCGTTAGGACCCTCTTCCTAATGGGCCAACTTGCCATTTGCATCTGCTTTGGTGCCAAGGCCATCTTCCTTCTCCTCTGGAATAACACTGAACACGCTTTTGTTGTTCAAAAAGATCAAGTCGATCTGAGCCATTTATCAAACAGCTTCTCCTGAGCAGAGGCTCCAACCAGCGTAAGCTGGTCCATTTGGGCAAATGGGGCACTGCCCCACCAACCTCAGTCTGCCCTCTGCCAGCCCACACCTGCTCTGCCTTCGTAACTTACAACAGGGCCAGCAGGTGGCACTGGCCGTCAGCTTTCCCCTCCGTCCTTATCCTCCATACTGCCTCTTGTAGGGGCAGGGAGGAGGAGAATGGGGACAAACCCAGAATGGTTGGCTCTCTCTGTCGTTGCCTCTGGCGCCACCTACTGGTGGTCTTCCTGCCTTCTGCCCTACCAGTCCCAACGTGTACCAGCCACCACTAACTCCAAACTTTCAGCAGCTTGGGGAGCATCAGGTTGAAGCAATGCAGAAGAGAGAGAAATAAGGGGAGGTGGATGCTTGTAACTGCAGCCCTGCTGACCAAGAGGGAAGTCTTAGATCTAACACCAACTAAACTTGCTAAAATGTATAGGACAAGAAATAAGGAGTGTTGGAAATGTAAAGAAAAGGAAGGGAACTTATATCATATGTGGCAGACTTGTAACAAGGTAAAAGCATATTGGGAAATGATATATAATGAGTTAAAGAAAATGTATAAGTCAGACTTCCTCAACCTCGGCCCTCCAGATATTTTGAGACTACAATTCCCATCATCCCTGACCACTGGTCCTGCTAGCTAGTGATCATGTGAGTTGTAGGCCAAAAATATCTGGAGGGCTGAGGTTGAGGAAGCCTTGTATAAGTACTTTGTTAAAAAGCCAGAAGCATTTTTATTGGTTATAGGGGGTGAAGAGATACCAAAGGGCGATCAAAAACTGTTTACGTATGCAACAACTGCAGCAAGAATCCTTTTAGTCCCAAAATGGAAACAACAAGAAATACCAACAAAAGAAGAGTGGCAGATGAAGATGGTGGACTTTGTGGAATTGGCGAAGCTGACAGGAAAAATCCGAAACCAACGTGATCAAGCTTTCCAAAAAGACTGGAGTAAATTTATACAATTCTTGAAGGACCATTGTAAGCAACCAACACTAGCAGGGTTATAAGAAGACTTGTAATGATAATTGTTACTACCCTTTTATATTTATTTAAAAATTGTGATATTCTGAATGAGTGAAACATAAAATGGAAAATGTATAAATGCTATGATATACAAATGAATTTTGAAAACCATGAGGTGGGAGGGAGGGAAGTTGACAGGCTCATATGAGCAAAAGAAGTGGATAACGAAGATGTGTTTAAATATTATAAAATAGAAAATTAATAAAAATATTATACAAAAGGAAAGTCTTAGACACTTTTCTAGTGGTCTTCAGTACCAGGCACAGAATTCTTCCACCCATCACAGAATCATAGTAAGCTGCATTACACTAAGCCAGACCACTGGTCCATTTAACTCAGTATTGCCTACACTGACTCGCAGCAGCTCTCCAGGATTTCAGACTGGAGTATGTTCCAGTCCTTCATGGAGGTGCTGAGGACTGAACCTGGGACCTTCTGCATGAAAAGCAGATGCTCTCCCACTGAGCCACTGTCCTTTCCCAAGTACCCTAGGAAGCTGCTCTATACCAAGTGAGATCATTACTATTGAGCTGTGGCCTTTCCCATGACTACTTCTGCCATGTACTCCGGGATGGCACACATTGGGTAAAATCCTTGGAAGTAAACTACATTCCTTGTCTGGAATATAATGAGTTTCTAATCCTTATGAGTGAGTCAAACAAATCCACAACTTGTGAATATATAGATATTAAGATGAAATTTTCAGAAGGCAGAGATGCTTTGCTTTAAGCCTGTCTTCCCAATGGCTAACAAGAGCTGAATAAAGGAAGTTCTATGAAAACATAAAAACGTAAGAGCAGCCCTATCGGATCAGGCCAATGGCCCGTCTAGTCCAGCATCCTGTTCTCATAGTGGCCAAGCAGATGTCTGTAAGAGGACCTGAGAGCAACCATATCTTCTCCACTTGCAATTCATAGCAACTGGTAGTCAAGAGGCATAATGGCTCTGAAGGTGGAGGTAGATAGTCTTATCCACCCTGAATGTGTCTGAAACCCTTTTAAATACATTCAAGTTGATGGCCATCACCGCTTCTTGTGGGAGCAAACTCCATAGATTAACTATGCACTATGTGAATAAGTTGTTTTCTCTGCCTTGCAAATCTTCCAACGATCAGCTTCACTGGTTGGCCCCAAGTTCCAGCATTGTGAGAGTATGCTTGATTTGCAAAATTTATTCCTGCTGCAAAGCTCTTTTATTTTTTGCAAGGATGTTAGGGTTTGTTAAGCACTAAACTTGCACGGCTCTGCCTTCTTGAGTCCTTTGAATTTTGCAGCTGCTAGGAAAGGCACTGGCGTCTGTGTAATGATCTACATACGCAGTTACCAAGACCTCGTCCCTTCAGGGCAGCCGGGATACATGCATACTAGCCTTCTTTAATATGCCTGGCCAAGATACAAATTGACAGGGGTGAAGAAGATGTCTGCTGTGCTTTTTCCTTTTTTGGATAAAGACAGACCACAGATCTTTCGGTTGTATCCAAATAAATCCTACTGAAAGTAAACCTGTTGCAATTAATTGTCCTAAATTATCAATAGCATATTAGTATCATGGCTTCCCTCAAAGAATCCTGGGAGATGTTGTTTGTTAAAGGTATTGAGAGCTGTTAGGAGACTCCTGTTCCCCTCATAGAGCTACAACTTCCCAATCAGTCTTCAAAGGGAACTCTGATTTTTGTAGCTCTGTATTTTTGGTTGAAGCATAATAGAGGGGGGGAGGGGTGAAAGCAGGTTTGCAGAGTTACCGGATATTTTTATTTGACCTGTTGGTGAGCTTTATGCTCACTCAAATTTTGGTGTGTGTTAAATAGTTGACTTTTTCTTTTTTTTAGTGCTCTGTTGTAGAGATATTGTACTGTTTATTATGCACTGCTGTTTTATGGCTGCGCTTAAGCTGTTTTTATTTGAACAGCACAGATCATCGAACAATAGAGCTGGAGAGTTGGAAGAGATCCCTCTTTACCAGGCTAAACATACCCAACTCCCTTCTCCGCACACGTTGCAGCTTGCCAATATCCTTCTTAAACTGTGGTACCCAGAACTGGACACAGGACTGCAGGTGGCATCTGACAAAGGCAGAACAGAGCGGTACTATGACTTCCCTTGATCTGGACACTGTTGATGCAGCCTAGAATTGCATTAGCATTTTTTGCTGCTGCATCACACAGCTGACTCATGCTAAATTTGTGATCTACTGGGACTCCTAGATCCTTTTCACATGTACTGCTGTCAATCCAGATGTTCCTCGTCCTACATTTGTGCTCCAGGAAAGACTAGAACCGCACATTTGTCCCTACTGATATTCATTTTGTTAGCTGTGGCCCAGTTGTCCAATCTATTAAGGTCACTTTGAACCCATGAACCCTGATACCTCTCCCAGTTTGGTGTCATCTTGATTTTGATGCACATCCCTTCTATTCCTTCACCCAAGTCATTTTTAAAGACAACCCCGGACCCAGGACAGAATCCTGCAGCACCACATTTGCCACTTTTTCCTGGGATAACAAGGAACCATTGATGTATCTGAGCGCAGATGTAAAATGTGGTATATAAACAAAGCAACAGAGACTACACACTTCCCATCTGAATAAATGGGTCTTTACCACAAGTGCCCACTTGTTAGGGTTTGCTTTTAATTTGTTTTTTGTATTTGTGTTTTTAATGGCTTTTAATTTATACTGTTGTTGCTTTGTCATTGTTTTATTAACTGTAATAATAATAATAATAATAATAATAATAATAATAATAATAATGCAGATTATGTTTGTTACGTGTTTGTGCAAGTGTATACATATACACCCACACAAAATATTTTATAAATACACAAAATATTTTATAAATACACACACTATGCACAAATGCACTCTCTCTCTCTCTGTGTGTGTGTGTGTGTGTGTGTGTGTTCTACATACACAACCATACAGAGAAATTGCAAATGTTAATTATCCAGCCAGAGCAAAGGTGGGTGGCGGGCCCCCAAACCCACCATGTGGGGAAGGGGTGGAAAGCCTTCTGTCTGTCCACAAGATCTGCAGCATACCTTTAGTTTCCGCTCCTCCACAGACCTGTGCATGAGGAAGTTTCCATGACGCACGCTACCACGGCAACTAAGGCCTTTCACGTGAGGAGGCAGGAAGCCGCATGATTGACACTCCTCGTGCTGAGCAGGGGAGGCCTCTGTGAAGCGGGCAGCCTGCGCTCCCAGGCCACAGGAAGGGTGTCGTAGGATGCTGCACACACTGGGCTTGTGGCCTCCTCAAAGGCCCATCTATTCAAACTCCGGGCCACCAAATACACAGCCTGGTGTTGCCCAAAAGATTTCCCCTCCTTACAATTGCATGGGCTTTGGCATTTCCCTTCCCCCAGAAGTTTCACTCTTCCCACAACAAACTGGTTAGGGATGGCAAGAAGAAAGGCTGCCCTAAGGCTGCCCAGAAAGTCAGTGGTTGGGGCCCTCTCGGACTCCAGCTCCCATCAGCTCCAGGCAGCAAGGCCAACAGTCAGGGATGATGGGAGTTGTGGTCCAACCATGTCCAGAGAGCCACCCTGCAGTAAGCTTTGTGACCAAGTGAGGATCTAAACACAGGCCTCTCTGGTTTGAAGCCAAAACATTGGCCTCTAGCTTTCATTAGGCATCTAACAGACCAGCTTATACTGCTATTGCAGGTGTTGGGAACCTTTGGCCCTACAGATGCTGCTGAGGTAAAACTCCTACCACATTGGCCATGCTTGCTAAGCCTGATGGGAGTTGTAGTTCAGCTACATCTGGAGGACCAAAGGTTTCCGGGCCATGACAATTAGATCATTTACTAGTGAACTGCCCATCACCAAGGGCCATTACCCAAGCCTCTGCTATTACCTCAGTGAAGAGTCATATGTGAGAAAGCACGTGCTTTGCCTGCAAAAGAACTCCAACTCCCATGAGCCTCAGATACATCTGAGGGGCACCATGTTGGCTACTTTGATGTAGACAGTATTGTGCTAGAAGGATTCTTTGATCTGCCTTGGTTTGAGGCAGCTGCCTTTGTTTCCCCCTGGGACCAGGTTGTGATCATGCATTCATTATCTTCCCTTGTCCCTTGGTAGCACTTGAGCATGACAAAGAGACAAATCTGAAACTGCCTTTTATTATATTATACCTCTTCTAAGTTTCACGAGCCTTATTGCCTTTGCCCTCGCTTCAACCCAGTGAGGTAGGCTGCTTGTTGTTTTTTTTACAGGCAGCAATTTGACATTTTAAGAGTTTTGCCCAAGGTGGAACAAGGAGTCCAGGGTAAATATGGGACATGAACCAGCTTCTCTGAAATCCTGTGCAAGCCAGTGTGGTGTTGTTGTAGTTAGAATATTTCAGATTACGGCAGGAGAACCAGGTTCAAATCCCCACCAGGAGCCACTTGCCAAATCTCAGCCTAAGTCTACCTCACACAGGGATGTTAGGAGGATAAAATGGGGAAGTATGAGAAAATCATGCATACTGTCCCAAGGTCTTTAGAGGAAAGGTGGGGTGATAAGTAAAGAAATATATTGCTATTCCCTGGATCCACACTACAGTCTTCTGAGATCAGGCACTGCTGGGATGTCCCCAAACAGCTCTCTCTTTCCATCACCACAACATTCAGTTCTGTTTTGGAGACATCATAGCAGTTCCAGTTGCTAAGCTCACAGGAGCTGCTTTATATCAAGTTATTTATTCCTAGGCATTAATAGACCACCATTTGTCACGTAGTCCCAAGGCAGATTACACACAGTGCAACACAATTAAACCATCTTAATGTCTTCCATCCACAAAGCCCTGCGCGAAAAGTTGTGCCCTGAGCCGACATCAAAATGTTGACTACAGCAGCAGGGCACCTGTGGTCCTCCAGATGTTGTTAAACTCCAGCTTCCGTCAACTCCAGACAGCATAGTCAATGGCAAGGATGCTGGGAGTTGTAGTCCAATGACATCAAGAAGGCCAAAGCTTCCCCACCCCTGATTTACAGTAACAAGGCCAGAAGCACCTTGGGAGAGCATTCCACAATTTGGAGGCCACCAGAGAAAAGGCCCTGTCATGCACTGCTACCCCACAAACTTCACAGGGCCTCCCCTGCAGATCTCAAGTCATGGGCTGGTCCATATGGGAGGTGGCACTCTTTCAGCTATCTGGGGCCTAAGCCATAGGGCTTTGTAAAGGGAAGCACCTTGAATTGGGCTTGGAGGCGCACTGGGAGTAGTCTCTCCAAGTCAGGGACAAGGAACCTGTGGTCCTCCAGATTAACTCCCTTCAGCCCCAGCCAGCACAATAAACAAATAATGAAGGTTGAGGGATTCAGAAACATTTGAATTTACCCATCCCTATCTAAGCCTGGTTTATCAGTACTAACAACTTAGGATTTTCACAGGTCAAGATCCAAGGAATTGCATGCCTAGTTCTGTATGCCAGAAGAGGGTTCTGATTTGTGATTCTCAAAAACCAGTCGCAGAGACCAAACCTGCCCTCTCTCTTGGAAAGTGACTGGTTTATAACCTAAGCTGTGTACATTTATGTGGTGATGTCAAAAGTGCTAGTTTCATGAGTTTTCAGTTCAGTTCAGTTTCTTGTTTTTTGGAAAAAGAAAAGAAAAAGAAAGGCTGCGAAAAACCCCTGCCTGAAGCCCTTGAGAGTGGCTGCCAGTCAGTGCTGGCAATACTATGCTAGATGGTCTGACTCAGTACAAGGCAGTTTCTTTGTTCCTCGGAGCTGCTTGGAAGTTGTGTCAGAAGTGCCCACGGAGTGACTGAAGAAGATTGCTTATTTAAGCTGCATCTGTCAAAGGGAGCGAATGTGTCACTCCGCATTGACCAAATCGGCTTCTCCAAGAAGCTCATCCAGATTGAGATCCGACCCCTCCACCTCCTCAGAGCGGCAACTTAAATCTAGTTAGCCCAAAAAGATTGTCAGCGTAACCATGGCGCTGGGGCCTTTACCACCACACAGCCCCTGGCCATCTTGAGAAGGAGCGAGTTCTCCTCCTGACTCATCCTGAATGGAAGGCCCATTTTTAGAGAGTTAAAACATTGTAGAAATAGCACCTGTCACATGAAACTGTGCTCTGAAATTAAATAATCCAGTATACTGTGTGTGTGTGTGTGTGTGTGTGTGTGTGTGTGTTATGACAGCCTCCCCCAACCTGGCGCTCTCCAGATGTTTTGGACTACAACTCCCATCAGACCCAGCCAGCAGGAGATGATGGGATTTGTAGTCCAAAAACATCTGGAGATGTTTACCAATCTGGGAAAAGCAGAGTCAAGAGTGCCAGGCTGGCGTGCTGAACTAGAATTGGGAGACGCTGGTTCAAATTAATATTGGTAGTGGTGGTAACAGCAGGAGCACATCATTAAATTATAGAATTTGCTCTAAAAAGAGGCAGTGACGGTCACCAGCTTGGATGGCTTTAAAAGAGGATTAGACAAATTCATGGAGGAGGATGAGGCTAAACTCCCACTAACCACAATGGCTATGTTCTTCTACCTCCACTGTGAAAAGCAGTAATGCTTCAGACTACCAATTGCTGGAAATGGAAGGAGGGGAGAGCAGATATTGTGCTCAGGTTCTGCTTGTGGGTTCCCCATTCGGGCATCAGGCTGGTCACTGTAAGACTAGGATGCTGAACTAGATGGGCCACTGGCTTGGTCCAGTTCTTACGTTCGCATAGTAGTATTTGTAAGACATAAAATTAATTCTCTGAACTTCTTGCAAAAATAAAACATAACAACGACACAGTATAAAATTCCCACTCGGCCATGAAACTCAGGGGGTCAGCAATTTCTAGTTTCGCCTACCTCTGAGGTTTGTTGTGAGGAAGAAAAGGTGGGGAGGACTTTGTGCATTGCCTTGAGCTTACTGAAGGAAGGGTGTACTATATAGATGGAATGAATAAATGAACTTGGCATGCACAAGCCATCCTTTGCTCTTGCTGCCCTCGAGCAGTGGATTTGCATGCCTGTGCTAGTCCACCTCAGGAGGAAAGCCTGAGGTTATAAGGAGCTGCTGGGAATTGTAGTCCAAAACAGCTGGAGGGCCCCAGTTTGGGGGAAGGCTGTTACCCCTTCAAGCCTGCAGGCTGTGCGATTCTGGGCATGCCAGCTCTGCTTGAGGTGAGAGCAGCCAGTGAACAGTGGGAGTTCTCAGCAGCAGGAAGACCTCTGAAGGCAGCAGGTCCAGCATCCCCAGAACAGGACAATTAACGCCACCCCAGGGAATTTCTCACACCTTCCCCAGAGTGTCAGTATCACACCCATATGACTTCTTCCTCTGTTTACACAGAAAGCCGAGAACTGGTAGTACAAAGAGCTTGTATTGTCCAGGAAAGGCGGTGGGGACTGAGATGCCCCTTCCAAGTCTAGCTGGGTCCAAGAGCCAATTCAAAAACTCAGGCAGCTGTTTTCCCTCCAATAAAAAGGGTGCTGCATGCAGAAAGTTCTAAGCTAGGCTGGGATGGGGTGTGTGTGTGTGTGTGTGTGTGTGTGTGTGGAAATACTCTCACACAGCCATTTTGCTTTTTACAAGCAAGGGGACACTGGCGTGGGGACGCTTTGGAACAAACAGCCACCTACATGGGGCTAGTGCAAAAGGTGGCTGCTAGATCAGTAAGCAGGGCAACCCAATGGGATTGCAGGCCTCCAGTCCTGAAATTGCTGCACTGGCTGCCAAGCTAAATTCAAGGCGTTAGTACCAGTGTAGGAAGTTCTAAATCACTTGGGACCCATGTCCCAAAAAGTGTGCCTTCTTTGATACCAACCCTCTCAAGACTCTACGATTGACAGGTGAGGCCTTGGTGGTGGTGCAGTCACGGGGGGCGGCTGCCCAGCTGGCACTAACCCATGACAGGGCCTTTTCAGTGGTGGTTCCCAACATGCCGAATGCCCTCCCTTGTGCAGTGCACTTGTTTCCATCGCCATCGGCTTCCAGGAGGAAGTTAAAAGCACTCCTGTTTCTGCAAGCATTTGACAGCTGAAGGATAGTGTTTTAATTATGTTTAGAATGTTTTAAACTGCTTTTCAAATGCTCTTTAAAAATAACCACATTATTATTGATATGTTTGCTGCTCTGGCTCCTTAGGGAGGAAAGGTGGGATATAAACAGGAAAAGGATTAAACGATATGGTACATCTGGAAGACCACAGGTTCCCCCACCCTGTAAGGTGCAGCGGTTAGAGCATTGGGCTTGAAACTGGGAAACCAGAGCTCAAATCCCCACTCTGCTATGAAGCTCACTGGGCTAGTCACTACCTCTCAGCCTAACCTATCTCACAGGGTTGTTGTGAGGATAGGACTGGGGAGTGTGTGCCACCTCGAGCTTTTTAGAGGAAAGATGGTATATAAACGTAATAACAGCAGGATGCATGGCCATTTGCTATGGCTCAGCTGGTTAGATCGTAGTACTGATAACGCAGAGGTTGCAGGTTTGATCCCCGTATGGGACAGCTGCATATCCTTGCATTTCAAGGGGCTGGTTTAGACGATCCTCAGAGTCCCTTCCAACTTTACAATTCTACGATTCTATGTACTTCCAGGATGTCCAGCTCCTCACCCAGAGAGTGTATTGACCAGAGATAGGGCACCTGTGGCCCTCCGGATGTTGTTCAACACCAGTCCTCCCTGACTACCGGCTGGCATTTAAGGGAGCTGAAGTCCGAGAACATATGGAAGGCCACAGGTTCCCCATCCCTGGTTCTCCACTTTTAAATGCTCTGAGGCACCCCTCACTGCAAGGAGATCTCGCCCCCCATGTGTGGATGGAGCTCCTAAGCAGGGCCACTTCCTGTACTCTCCAGCTTGCCCTGCTCCCTGGTGTTCATGCAGACCCTGTGTCAGGAGCAGGGTGGTAGGAGCAGCTTCACGCACACGCATCAACACACGCACAAATGAATCTGAACTGGCCTCATGGGAAACAACAAAGAGTTCTGAACTCCAGTCATTGCAAAGCAAGTAGATATTCAACAGGCTGGTCCCAGGGCTTAGTTTCAAACCACCTGAGGATATGTATAGGATATGCATAGAAGCCCCACGGCTGTCAACACAGGGCGAGTGGGTGCATGTGTGCTCACAGAGGCCTTTCTGGTGCCCATAGGGTACATCTCATTCTACAAGCCTAAGAGTGTGTGTGTGTGTGTGTGTGTGTGTGTGAGAGAGAGAGAGAGAGAGAATGCAATATTAACTCTTGCCTCTTCAGCTACGCTCTGCAGAAAGACCACCCCCTTCTTCCAATGATGCTTAGGGGGAGGAGAAGTTGAAGAAATTGTTAAAAAGTTAACTGTTGAGGGGAGAGAGCGAGTACATGCAATTCTGGTGAGACTGTGTGGTTGCGGTGTGTGTGTTGCCCGCAACCAATTTGTCTGTTTTTGCAAATGTGCCCCGGGGTCCCGACCCCACTGCCCAAAGTCAAACCTCTGCTCCAGCCCCCTCCTTGTTCTCTGCTATAATATATTTCTCTCGGGGAATCTGGTAGGAAGAGATCTCTCCAGCCTTTTTCTTCTCCAATTATATTGTTGCCTGTCCACACACACACACAAACACTCTACTCATCTCTGATCTTTCCTCAGTAAAAAGCATCCTCTCTCCACCACTCTACCAGGAGCTCTCTGGAAGTAAAAAGGAAATGGGCTGCATCTGAGCCTGCTCTACACAGCGGGGGGTGAGTACCCCATTCTCCCCCCTCCCCCAAAAAGAGGGGTCGCTGGCTCCGGACAAGGCTCAGAGGCCACTTTGCTAAATGGCAACAAACACCCAACTGCATCCAGCCTGTCCTTCCCTGTGCTATTGCAGGCTGATCACTGCATCTGCCTGACGCTTACCTCTTCGGTGGTGAGGGGCATGCAGATCCGATACTCTTTCACCAGCATGCTGCCTGCCGTCTCTCTGGGCGCTGGGCTGGGTGGACCCTCGTGGCACGGCACACTCCAGTGGAAACGGGGGCTCTTCACCAGCCAAGTGGCCCCTGAGGATCCCTTGGAGAAGGATGCATCCTGCAGCCGAGAAGAGACGTGTTAGAGTGGAGTAAAGCACCGCCTCTGGGAATTTGCTTGGCTGGGCAGTCTTGAGAAGCAATCGGCTCCCTCCTTCGCTCAGATCCAAAGCTCTACTTCTTTATATCTCTCCCCCCTTTGCTACAGGCACAGCTCTACCTGTGACTTCATAATCGGTTGTCATGGTAGCTGTTGTGAGGTCACCAGTCTCCTCAGCCAAAAGAGCTGTAGAAGCCAGACCATGGGAAGTAAGGAGGAGGTAGGAGGTGGAGGGGTTAGGTCGCATCAGTGCTCCTTCGCTGCTGGAACCATCCCACTACCCAACCACCCCAAATCTTCTCATGTTATTTTAGGATATGTAGTGTTTAAAAAACCTCACCCAGTCAGCAAGCTTACTCAAAAGGTCAGGCGTAACGGGTATGCAGGGGAGAAAAACAGCAAGACTCCAATGTATATTGGTACTAGCCATAACCGCAGCCCACTCTGCCATGCCCAGGGTTATAATTCGTGCCCCACATTCTCTTTTTAATGCCAGGGTTCAGGCTGCTCTTGTGAGGCGGGAAGTAAGAAGGATAGCCCTCTGATCATGTGCAGAGTGCCTTTATCCCCTCAAAAAATGATTACAATGCAGATCTTGCAGCTTCCAAGCAGCACACAAGTCTTGGCCACCTGTTTAGACAACAAATTAGCCACCTCTTTGGGGAAGAAGTCTCCTCGTGGGGGGCAAAGCTGGCTGCCATCGGGCACCATAGCCCCAGCCACTTTTCACCACGAGCTCTGCCCCAATGCAATGTGCTGGAGTCCCTGACTAGTATTATTCCAAAGATGCTCAGTGGGGCACCTGGCGGGCCACTGTGATAAGAAGATGCTGGACTTACGAAAGCCTCCACCCCCACATAAGTACCACAATATATGTGACACAGGTGATCCACCATAGGATTTCCATGGATTTTAATTTTCCCTTTAGAAATCGAAGCATGTTGCAGGTGCCTACATTCTCCCCTCTGCAAGCCAGTTAGGCTATCTGCCATGTCCCCTGCCTTGGGGTCCCAATGTGGGTCTGAGGAGCTTTGATTCAGATGATACACTCCTGGAGGAGTCCTCGTACCCTCCTCTATGCTGCCACGGCCTGAGGAGCTGGCTCTTCCATCACCCTCTGAAAGTGATTCCTCTGCAGGCCCATGTGCCCCACAACCACACAGAAGCCACGTGATGACCGAAAAGGCTACTGGCCCCTTTACATATTGCAGAGCAGCCCTTGCAGAGGAAGGAGTTGCTGGCAGATCAAGTCCTGTCAGCCTTTCCAAGGCTTTAAGTGACTCTCAAGTCATTGCTGAGACAACATCTTCTCAAGCTCAGCTAGAAGGGCCCACTGGGAACTATCCAGGGTCCTGATAACTCTTTGCCACACCACCGAAAGAAGTTCTAGTGTTCAAGGTTTGTTCCCAAACAGGGCACTAACAGCACCTGGGGCAGCCAGAAGAGGCATGGAAAGAGATGATGATGATTAGGCAAAAATTGCTGCTCTGATCAAGTTTAAAGCATACAGAATCATAGTTTTGGGAGATTCCCCGAGGATCATCTAGTCCTACTCCCTGCAATTCAGAAATATGCAGTTCTCCCATACGGGGATCGAACCTGCAACCTTGGCATTATCAGCACCACACTCTGACCAACTGAGCGACCCTGACTGATCATGAACACAAGTTGCTTTAGAGCAGAGATGGGGGCAACCCTTGGATCTCCAGGTGCTGCTGGACTACAGCTCCCATCTTTGCTGACTGTTGGTCATGATGCCTGATGGGAGATGGAGGCCTCCAACATCTGGAGAGCCACAGGCTTTCCATCTCCGATTCAAAATAAAACAAAACGGGGATCTGATTCTGGGTCTGAAGATGTTGTTGGCACCACCTACCCCCTGAGCCACCTCTAGGCTAGGAAAACTTGTACCATGGTCCTGCCAGGTCTCATCCGGCACACTCTCCCAGCCTTCAGGAACCTGGTGCTCTTCAGATGTTTTGGATAATTCTCATCAGCTGCTGCTGAGCTGGGGATAACAGCTCTAGTTCAAAACAGCTGGAAGGCCCCCAATTGACAAGGCCTGTGCTAACCTATACTGTCCTTCAGCCACATGGACGACTACAAATACAATACTCTCATCCTATCACATTTCAGGTGCCAGCCATCAAGCAATCTACTATAGAAAAAGCTTTCTGAAAGAGTTGTTTGACAGTAGAAAGGTCTTCCTGGGGAGGTTGTGGACTCTCCTTCCTTGGAGGTTTTTAGGCAGAGGTTGGATGGCCATCTGTCAGGGGTGTTTTAGCTGAGATTCCTGCATTGCATGGGATTGAACTAGATGACCTCCTTTCCGACTCTACAATTCTATGCTTCTAGGTGCCAGCATGTCAAACCAGCCCTGTTAGGTAGGATTCCTTCTTCAGGAAGTCAACACAGGATATGCATAAAATTTGCAAGCAAATCACAAGGGCGGGGAAAAGGAAGGGCTTCTTCAGACAGCAGAGTTAAGCTGTCAAATTCACTCCCACATGAGGCAGTGATGGTCGCCAACTTGGAAGACTTTAAAAGAGACCTAGACAAATTAGTGGAGGAAGCTATCAATGGCTAGTAACCCTGACAGCTGAATGTTCTCCTTCCACTGTAGGGGGCAGCATGCCTCTGAATATCACTTGCTGGAAATCCTGGGTGTGCACTGCTGCCCTTCGGTCCTGTTTGCAGACTTCACCATTGGGGCATCTGGTTGGTGCTTGTGAGAACTGGACTAGATAGGCCTTTGGCTTGACCCAGCAGGTCTTTCCTTGTGCTTGGCTTACATTTGTCACCGATCCTGGCTGCGAGCCGTCCAAGCACAGCACGGTGCTTTGTGTTACGGGCGTGCAAAGTGCTTGGCTTTATTTCAGAAACCAGCTTCTCCAGCTGTCCTCTCAAATCCCTCTCACAACAACCCTGAAAGGTAGGACCAGTCGTGAAAGCAAGGACTTGCCCAAGGCTATGCGTCACAGCTCAATCCTGAATGCTTCTGAAATGCTAATGCTCTGCTGGGTGCATTGCACTTCTCCCAAACAACGCATGCCCTGAATAGAAAGGCTCCCTTGAGCAAGCCTACCCACAATGGAAGTCTATTTCCCAGTGGGAAGATGTGGCTGTTTTGAGATCCTTGCCCCCTTCTGTTATTCAGCAGCATCCCTTGCAGATGGGATCTGCTGCAAGCTTGTTGCATTGCTGACTATGGGGCCTCATTTGAGAGCCACTGTGCGTATTTGCCTAGTATGCAAATAATAAAAAGCTCGCGGAGATGTCTCTCTCTCTCCCGCCTCTTCAGAGAATCCAAGCGCTAATGAACAGACACCACACTTGGTCTTCGCCCAAAGGGCAACTTATTTATAACGTGGCTGCTAATCCGCTGTCAATATGCTTCTGATGATAATACATCTATTCTTAATGGTTAACAACCAGCTGCCCAAGTTAAGACGAAGACAAACAGGAATTTTGCTTAGTGGCGGAGGCAAAGAGGAGCTCACCCAGTTCTGGAATAATTTTTATGGTGGGGGGAGGTTTGAAAATATGGAGCATGGATATGCAATTCATCATCATCATCATTGTATCCCACCCATCTGACTGGGTTGCCCCAGCCACTAGCTATAGATAGTCTGGAAAGGTAAAGGTAAAGGGACCCCTGACCATTAGGTCCAGTCATGACCGACTCTGGGGTTGCGGCGCTCATCTCGCTTTATTGGCTGAGGGAGCCGGCGTACAGCTTCCAGGTCATGTAGCCAGCATGGCTAAGCCTTGATCAGAGCAGCGCACCAAAACGCTGTTTACCTTCCCGCCAGAGTGGTACCTATTTATCTACTTGCACTTTGATGTCCTTTCAAACTGCTAGGTTGGCAGGAGCAGGGACCGAGCAACGGGAGCTCACCCCATCACAGGGATTCGAACCGCCGACCTTCTGATCAGCAAGCTAGGCTCTGTGGTTTAACCCACAGCGCCCCCTGCATCCCTAGAAAGGATTAAAAAAGTTCTCAGATGATGGATCTATTAACTCAGAGGTGGGAAAACTCAGGCCTGGGGGGGGGGAATGTAGCCCTCTGGGCCTCTTTACTCAGCCCCCAGAACAATCCCCAAGCCACACCCCTCACTGGCTCGGCTTTGCACCCATCTTGAGTGTTTTTGCCTGGCTAGAATTTGTCCTCACACAGACTATGCTTCTTCCCTGCCTGGATGGATAGAATGTCTGTATTCAGAAGCTGTGAATGCTGATGATGGATGTGGGGCAGACAGCAGGAGAGGGCTGTTGGTCTGCTTCTTGGTTTCCTCCGTGTTATCTGGAGGACCGCTCCAGGGAATATGATGCTGTATTAGAAGGCTAGGCATAGGATACCAATTGCTGCTTTTGTGCAACGTATTTTGCACTTGAGAAAATCAGTCCCCAGGTATAAAACGCATTCAAATAATGGACCGGTTCTAAAATGCGATGGTGTGTATAAATCAGAGCTCTTGTTCATTGGCTGAGAGACTGTCCAGTGAAAACCCTCCAGTCTGAATCTCATCTTGAGGCAATCCTGACTTTCTCAGCCTCAGCTTTTCCATCTGCAGTGTGGACATAACAACACCGACCTACTGTACGGTGCTGTTGTAGGAGGTTACACAGCAAGAAAGCAAGGAAGCACTTTGAAAGCAACATGTTGTGAGCATGTGTGGGTGGGGGCCCCAATCCTTTTTTTTTTTTGTCCCTTTGTAGAGTATCTTGTGGTTGACAGGGGAAGAGGGAGTGGAAGCTGCAGCCAAGAGAAAAAAAATGCACCATGGCCCAGCAGATGTCAGACTGGGACAGATTCATTCATCCTAGGAGTCCAGCATCCTGCCTCGTAGTCATAGACCTGGAGCCTCCTCCTCCTCCATTAATATGCCTAACTTTGAAAGCCATCTCAGCTGCCAGCCATCACTGCATCTTGTGGCAGTGAGTTCCATGTCTGAACATACAAATAGCAGAGAGCCCCGGTTCAGGGTTGGGCTCAATGCCAGCCTGAAGCTCTGTAGAATCTAGCATCCTGCTTCCCACAGGCAGAGGGTCTTCTCGGGAGTGGCGCCTGCCCTGTGGAATGCCCTCCCACCAGATGTCAAGGAAATAAACAACTATCTGACTTTTAGAAGACATCTGAAGGCAGCCCTGTCTAGGGAAGTTTTTAATGTTTGATCTTTTGTTGTGTTTTTAATAGCCTGTTGGAAGCTGCCCAGAGTGGCTGGGGAGGCCCGGCCAGATGGGCGGGGTATAAGTAATAAATTAATTATTACTATTAATATTATTATTACTACAATATGTCCCCAGGGAGCCTCCAAAGAGATTCTGATAGCTAAGCCTAAGGGCACAGGAGCCAACTTCTATTTGAGGGAGCTGCCCCCCCCAACTTGATGGGCATTGCTATTCAAATGGTGCGCATGCACTGCATCATGTGATCGATTACCTGCTTACCTGCTCCTCTCCACAATATTTTATTCAAATTGGCATACCTGCCTAAGAGCCTTGGGGTCAAACTATGTATTACATGAATTGTGTGGCTAGCAGCAACATAAGCATTAAAAAAAAAAAATCCTAGGCAGGGTGGTGGCGGTTTTCCAGGATCACAGCAAAAATCATCCCACTGCAGTGAACCTTTGAATGAAACCTCCCAGAAGTCCCAAATTCAAACACAGAGTGGAGGAATCTGCAAATTCTGAGCCGTTCCCTTGAGTAGCCAGATGGCTCTCTTTATACTGCTCTTGTTTTTAATAAAAGAACGGTCCCTTACAACACACACACACACACAGAGGATAATCTCATTTCTAGTTCTTGAATTTCTAAAACAGGAGTTGCCAAGCTACAAATCTGTGACCTCAAAAATCCTCATCCCCGAATTCCAGATCTGATTGGACTGTTTATGTTTACTGTGGGGCTGTAGCTACAAGTTGCAGGCAAATATAGCAGGAGCAGAGAGAGAAAGATCGTGTGGTGGTTTTTTTGTTTTTTTAAACAAGAAAAGCTCTTCAAGAGGGAGGAGAGAAGAGGGGCAGTTAACCCTTCCCCTGCTGCCCATTTTTGCAATCCAAATGCACAACGACTTCCCCTCTGCTGAGGCTCAAAATTAAGCACTTGATTTGGAAAGGGCTGCTAGAGGAGATGGAGAGAGGGGTATAGGATGGAGCGACCACAAAGGGAGAGACAGTGAAGCCTCCTATCACCACCAGGAATAACTTTTCTTAACCACACACCCACAGCCACCCCACTGCAGAAATGGTCTGGCTAGGTCCTTAGTTGGAATGCTGTACAAGGGCACTAGGGCTTCATATGCCCCACAGCAAAATCTGACCATGCAACAGGTTGTCAAGTGAAGCCGGATGGCAAATGGACCTCTTTCAAACCTTAAAACTCTCCCAATTCCACACACAAGAGTCTCATTCTGTAGGAAAAGGGCGTCAACAACTGAGAAGTGGGGCGAGTCGCCCAGGCAAAACGTGCTCAGTTGCAGGCTCAGCCCTTAACATGTTAGCAGCCACTGATCCCATGCATCTTCACTCGACCTTTAAGCCCCGTGGAGTTCAAAGTGGGGTTCTCACGATGCTGCCGCAACCTTAAAGCAAATACAAGTTATGGGGCGGAGGTGCCTTGGTGCATGCGCAAAGAGCGTTTAGTACCCCGAGCCCAGCAGCTGGCCCCTTCAAATAGAGGGGGGTTCGAGGTGGTCGTGGGAACCTTCCAGATTGCGGACGAAGGGAAATTGCAGCCCATCTCCTTTCGCGCAGGAAGGACTCAACCTCGCTGCTGCTGTTTCTCCCCGCCTTCTCTCCCTCCCTTCCTCCCTGCTCCGGACCAGTTCTCACCTGCCCGACGGCTGCCAGCAAACAATGGCTAACTGGGGCGTGGAAGGCAGGAAAAAGAGAGGGAGAGGGAGCCGGAGGTGGCGCCGCCGCCGCCACGCCTCGGTGTTTCCACGGGCCCCGCAGGCAGGCAGCCTGGGCGCGCCTCGCCTCTCGCAGGGGGTCGGATGGCCACGCGGGGAACACCCGGAGGAGGCAAAGACTCTCACCGAGAGGAGGCGAAGGGGCGCCCGGCAAAGACCCCGCGCGGCCACGTGCTTCGCCACCTACCCCGGGGTTGCCCAGACGGCGGGAGTTTGATGGGGAAGGGCCGGGAAGCCCTCCTCGTTTCTCCTCCGCGGGCGATTTTCCTCCTCGGCCCGGCTCCTGGCCGATCTCCCCCCGCCGCAGCCCCTCCTCGCTTTCCTCCCGCGCTCGCCTCGCCGGTGCGCGCCCTCTAGGCTTCCTCCCAAGAGCGCTTCTGGGAAGGCAGCCTTTCCAAGAATCGCTCTTCTCGCCCTCCCTCCTCCCGTCCCCTCGGCAATCCCAGCTCTTTTTCTTGGTTGCTTTTTCACCAGCCCGGGATTCCCCAGCCCCACATCCAGTCAACCTTTTTCCACCTTCCACCAGGTCCCCCCCACCCCGTGCGCACCCGTGCCCTCTCCAAATTCTCGCGTCTTCCCTTGCGCAATCCGTCCCCGCTCTGTCTAGGGGACCCGCTTTGCGTTGCCTCCCTGGAACGCAGCCCCGCCACCACAAATGAAAAGGAACGATGTCCTGGGAGCAAATCCCTTCCTGGGGTTTCCTGAATCGTCCCAGTGCCCAATCTTCCACACCCACCCATTCCCCGCTCACCCGGACGCGGGTCGCCCAGCTGAGCCGGCTTCTTCACGACCAACCAGTTCCCCTTCCTCCCCGGCGATCCTCCCTCGCAGCCGCCGCACGTGTCTGGGGCTGCGGGCCCAGAGAGCTGCCCGCTGCCGTAGGAGGAACGGGGAGAGGGGAGAGCGATACGCTCCTGCACCTTTGAGAGCGCCGCTTTTGCACAGCCCTTTTCGGAAGCCGGCCGCCGTCCAGCCCAGTCCTCTTGGGTAGCCGCCTCCGACGACGACCCCTAGGGGAGAGAATCCGGCGTCGCACCTCGCTCTCCTGGGCCGCCCCCTTCCTGGAGCGGGTGGGCGGCTGGGAAGAGCCTGGAGCGTCGGAGGAGGAGGAGGAAATACTTCGGCTTTGTGGCCAAGGGTGAGAAAAAATGTAAAGCGAGGAGGGTCTCTTGGCAGCCAGGAGGGACTCACTGACTTTCCACTTCCTCCTGGGATGGGGTTTGCCAGCCTCGCGGTCACGATAGTTGCATCTCAGGAAGAAATCCAACCGGTGGCGTTTTGGTGCTCCGTCGGTGCAGCTTTGCGCAATACCACATTGGAGGGGAAGCTGCGTTATAAGAACCTAAGAAAAGCCCCGCAGGATCAGGGCCAAGCCGATCCCCATGGGAAGCCCACAAAGAGGAACTGAGTTCAGTAAGCATCTCCCAGAGTGAAGCTAGGACATTTAGCCTTCATGGCTGGTAGCCACTGGTTTTCAATGAATCTGTCAACAAGGCATCCAAGTTGGTGGCCATCACTTCCTCTGATGGAAAGGTAGTGAAATCCACAGTAGACCTAGGCTCTTTGGCTGAGGTTAGCAAAAGAACAGAGTAAGAGCCGGGTTGCTGAATCAGGCCAGTGGTGGCCCACCTCTCCAGCATCCTGTTTCCACAGTGCCAACCAGATGCCACAATGGGGAGCCCCTAAGCAGGACCTGAGGGCAACAGCCCTCTCCCCATTTCTGAGTACAAGCAACTGTCATTCAGAAGCAGCCAGCCTCTGTCAGTAAAGGTGGAACTCCATCAAAATTTGGGGCTAGACATCTTGGGGTGCATCCCTTGTACATACCCCCAATATATATTTAATAGGTATAGTTGTTTAAAATTGCAAGTATTCAATTTTTTTCTTTTTGTTTTAAGAAGTAGAAGCAAAGCCCTCAATTTAAGAGCAATGGAAATACTCAGCGTTTTAGACTTGTGGGTTGCCAGTTTTTGTTTTTGGCAAGAACCGTGCTTCTTGACAGTTAAATGCTACACAGAAATTCAAGAGCCAAAAGCCATTTTTTAATGGAATCATAGAATTGTAGCGTTGGAAAGGACCCCAAGGGTCATCTAGTCCAACCCCCCACAATGCAGGATTCTTCTGCCCAGCATGGAGCTTGAATCCGTAACCCTGAGATTAAGAGTCTCATGCTCTACCAACTGAGCTATCCCATGGAGTCTTGTGTGAAAACCTCATAGGCCAAATTTAACTCAAAGGCACAGGAACCCTTGCAAGTTGGCATCCTTGCTTATCCCCCACTTTGCTGGCTTTTAAAACCTCTTCTGCTCCTGTGCAGACATTCACATGCAATCCCGTGGTGAGAAATTTATTTGGCAGATTTCTACAGACCAGGCTGTTGTTGTTGCTGCTGCTAAAAGCAGAAGAGCAGGCCAGGCTTCATTTTCTGGTCAGATGGCAACAACGGGGCATTGCCTGGCAGCCTTCCCCAACCTCATGCTTTCCGGAGCTGGTGGGACTTGCAGTCCAAAATAGGGCACCAAATTGTTGAAAGAAGGCTCTCTACCCTGGTTTTGACACTTGAGATGTATATTTTTGGGACCCACTTTCTTTCTGTGATTGTAAGGACCGGGCACACGCGGTTCCTCATGTGCCTTTTCCCCCTTGACAGCTTGCAAAACACAGCACCCTGAGAGAGCTTTTGTGGAAGAACACCGCCAGTACAAATCTGTTTACAAGGACAGCAGTGCTGCTTAGTGAAATTCTGACACCTTGGGCACAGGGAGGGAGCAGCCACCAGGATTGGCAGAGAGGCAAAGACAGGAGAGAAGGCTGGCGTGCCTGGCAAGTGTGAAGGATTTAATTTGGAGGCGTGAGTGGCTGCATCTGGAACTTATCAGGAGGAAGAAAAAGGAGAAGAGGCCCTGGGAAATGTACTGGAAAAGGGGCTATTAGCTATGAGGGCTATGCTCTTGCCTCCACAGCTGGAGGCAGCAGCAATGTGTCTGAATATCAGTTGCGGGAAACCACAGGAAGGGCAAGCATTGCTCTTGTGCTCAAATCCTGCCTGTTGGCATCTGGTTGGCCACTGTGAGAATAGGATGCTGGACTAGGTGGGTCACTGGCCTGATCCAGCAAGCTCTTCTTATCTTGTGAAGCTTCTGAGGTCTTCAGATGAAGGGCAGTATATACCGTACTTTTCTGTGTATAAGACAAGGTTTCCCCCCCTTAAAAATCATGCAAAGAAGTGGAGGTCGTCTTATACATGGGTATCATAGGGTGAACGTTTGAATGGTTTCCCCTGCGGCTGTCAACAGCTATTGTGCGTGTTATTGGTTGCTGCCTCAGTGGGTGTGGTTGATTGGCCGACGCTGCAGCAATTGGGCGGGTGATTGGCAAGTTCTGTTGGTGAGGGGACAGACCGGAGATGGATTTTGCGATGCATTTGTTGCATCCCCCCCCTAAAAAAAGCTCAACAACCCTTGGTGACCCCCCCCCCAAAAAAACTCATTAACTCTGGGTCATTCTCTGCCAAAAAAAAAAAAGTACAACAACTTTTTGCCATCTCCTCCCATTTTCTGAAAATTCGGTCCCCAAAAATAGGGGGCATCTTATACATGGGGGCATCTTATAGATGGAAAAGTACGGTAATTCTTCTTCTTCTTCTTCTTCTTCTTCATCATCATCTTATGGAATAAAAGAATTTTTTAAAGCATTGCTTATCAGATCCCAATAAATCAGTTCAGAAGCATCTGGCTGCATCATTGCAAGGCCCAGGTTACTGACCGTTCTTTTCCTGACCCCACTTGAGACAGCATGCATGGTGGGAGAAAAGAGAGGAGATGTTTTGACATTTAGAATTACGAAGGAAGTGCATTTAGGTTTCGCTGAGATTGCTGTGTGTACGTGCAGATTCAGTCAGGGGTGGAGGAGAAATTCAATTCATTTTGCATTTAACGATGAACTTACTGAATTAGCACATTGTGAAACAAGATGGGAACAAAAATTCAGCCGTCCTTTGAAATTCACACTTTTTCAGTTTTTGCGATGAAGTGCTCGGATAGCTTAGTCAGTAGAGCATAAGACTCTTAATCTCAGGGTTGTGGGTTTGAGCCCCACGTTCAGCAAAAGATTCCTGAATTGCAGCAAGTTGGACTAGATGTCCCTCGTGACCCCTTCCAGCTCTACAATTCAACAATTCTATGATTCAGGTAATGAGTACAAAAAGGCACTTACTAGGGTAAAGCGTACATAAAAGAGCATATGTTGGTGAAAATAACTCACATAAATGCATTCTTTTTAGGAAAACTACATTGCAAAATTGTCTGCATGAGGCAAAATTACATACAAAAACGTGTCTATTAGGAGAAATTCACACTCGGGGTGCAACATGGAGATGTCATAGAAGAAGAGTTTGGATTTGATATCCCGCTTTATCACTGCCCGAAGGAGTCGCAAAGTGGCTAACATTCTCCTTTTCCTTCCTCCCCAACAACAAACACTCTGTGAGGTGCGTGGGGCTGAGAGACTTCAGAGAAGTGTGACTGGCCCAAGGTCACCCAGCAGCTGCATGTGGAGGAGCGGAGACACGAACCCGGTTCCCCAGATTACGAATCTACCGCTCTTAACCACTACACCACACCGTCATAGGACACTTTGGTGCTCACAGGTTCCATGTTACTAACCTCAGCATTAAAGGTACCCCTAAACAGAGGTCCATCCTCTGTATATTGGGACATGTGGCTACCCTAATTCCTAGTTTTCTGTGTAGTGGAATCTTTAGTCTTATGGGACATTTGATGGAAGCCCTGCTTCTTGTTTGTGGTGGTGCTGGCCAGATGCAGCTTTGCCATGTCACTGAATCACAAGTGTGGGATGGCAGCAGGAGTATTGTGGGAAAGACCAGCGTTCCTATCCCTCACGAGCCCCAATGGCTCGCTACCATTTCTCTGCCTAACCTACCTCACAGGGTTGTTACATTGTTCCTCAAAGGAAAGGTGGGTGAAAATCAAAGCTATAAATCAAAATGCTTTCATTTCATAAAATAGATATGCCACAAGATTGTAAAAAAACATTTTCATTAAGATCATAACGACACGAATGAGGTAAATGATCAAGCAGAGGCTAGGTACTTCTGTCCTTTCCTTTGATGGGGTTTCTATGTCATGCTAACAGTTTAAATGGCGAGCCTTCATTGCAATATGGTTTGTACTTCTAAATTAAAAGCTAAGGCTTGCATTTCAGCTGACCAAAGATCTTTTGTTAAGGCTCAAGGTATTTTTCAAGTTGGTAATGTGGCCTCTTTCTCTGTAATTGTTATTATAGTGAGAGCCTTTGAAGCAGAGGCTTTTAGCTGCCACCTGTGTTTGCTGTGGCTTACCACAGGATCTAGTTTCGCAATGAATAATGTTTTGATAAACAAGTCTCTTCTCCAAACATTTGAAGATGGAGAAACTGGGCTGGAGGTTACTTCAGTTTGAGTGCAGGGAGCGGTCAGCCTGTATGTCAACTGACCTCAGGATCCAGCAGGAATTTCCATCATCTCCCAGCCCTCCATTACCGCAGCCAGAAAATATTGCATCTATTATTTTGCTACTAGAGAAGAGTGAGAAGCAGACCTGCTCCACCTGGTGGTGAACAGAACTCTTGCATGTGATAGAACCATTAAGAAAAAGATGCTCCATTTGTGCGAAGGTATCTGTCGCTTCTTGAAACTTAAACTCAGGATCATGCAGCAGAAAGGTGGGGAACTTTTTTCAGTTCAAGCTCCAGATTCCATTCTGCGAAACCTTCCAGTAGCCACATTTATCAACTTGTAAAATACACTGAGCTTTAACAAAGGATCTTCAGATGACTATCATATCTCCTCTCAGTCTTCTCTTTATCGGGAAAAACATACCCAGCTCCTTCAAGGCTTGGTTTCCAGACCCTTGGTCATCTTGATTGCCCTCCTCTGCACATATTCCAGCTTGTCAATATCCTTCTTATCACCAGTCCTGCTTAGATAAGACAAGAAAAACTTGGTGGAGCAGACCAGTGGCCCATCTATTCCAGCATCCTGTTCTCACAGTGGCCGTATAGTAGATTTCCTTGTTTTCTTATAAGAACTGTTCAGGAATCATGGCTGACATACATTTTCCTGACTGGAATGTGTTTTTGGGCTCTGATGGTGACTCTTGCTTGTCTGATTGGAGGACAGAGATTTGTGTTTGTGTGTATGCATGTAGAAACTAGCTTACTATACAAAAATGAAGTTTATGGTCATAGGGGTCAGCAAACTTTTTCAGCAGGGGGCCGGTCCACCGTCCCTCAGACCTTGTGGGGGGCTGGACTATATTTTTTGGGGGGTGGGGGAATGAATTCCTATGCCCCACAAATAACCCAGAGATGCATTTTAAATAAAAGGACACATTCTACTCATGTAAAAATACGCTGATTCCGGATTTAGAAGGCGATTGGGCTGGATTCAGACCCCGGGCCTTAGTTTGCCTACCCATGGTCATAACTCTATCCACTTCTGGCCCCACCCACCACTAGCATGTGGCCCCTAGAAGGTTGTCCAGAAAGGAATGCGTCCCTCAGGCTGTAAAAGGTTCCCCACTCCTGAGGGAGGTGCATAATAACATTAAAATAGAGGTACTTCGATGAATCAGGAACTGGCAAGATGCCCAGTATTTATTTAGGCCAAGTGTACTCTGAATTTGGAAACCGCCAGCCAATTGCCTAAAAAAAATGAGAAGGTACAAAGTGGAAGTGAAAGCAGACCCCAAGAGGAAAGGATGGCGTAACAGTGACATAAACATGGAAGCACCATCCCCTGTAGGAAGGAGGAGAAATGGCAGCAGGACCAAAACCAGAAGAGAAGAAAGCAGGAGCACATCAAACAAATACTCTGTGAGGTAAAAAGCCCCAGGCCTAGATAGTTTTGCTGGGGAGATTTACAAGCCACATCAGGCTGCTCTGTCTCCTTGCTTTGTGCCTCCTTTGGATAATCTACTTAATAGCAGTTCTGCCAGAGGTGAATGCCTTCAAGCAAGGCTCAGGGTGTTAGCCAAGCCAGAGTAAAGAGCCCACCTGGGTTCAGCTACTGATTCATTGCTCTGCAGTGCCTGCATCCCTAAACTCACTTAACCTCAGAGTAAACCCCATTGGAATCTACAGGACTTACAGATGAATAGACAAGATTAAGCTTGTGTAAATCAAGACACAAAGCTCTTCTCTCCTGGCCATCCACGGATATCTCCTTGCGTCAAGGAAGATCAAACAGAATTTATACTGTTTGCTTCAACCAGGGTCACTACCAGTAGCACCATCAGGGAAGGACTTTAGGGCAAACGCCTTGGGGAAAAGCACAAGAGGCCTCTCAAATATAATGGGCTTTACTATTTAAAGAACCCTCTTCTATACAATGACTTAAGTGTAGAGTAAAAAACACACACACAACCGAACCTGTCCCCTGTTTCCTGGTCATCCTCCATTTTTTTTTTGTCCCTTTGCCTGGAAAATTAACCATCTTGGATAGTTTGTCACTAGGTGGCGCAAGTTGCATCTAGGTGGAGTCAGGCGTTTCCTGTCAGTGTTCTGGAGACAATGAAGTTATTGTGTTAGCTTCTTGATCAGTGTACCCTTCAAGCCTTCCATGAAAACCTGGAAGGTTTTCATGGAAGGCCACTCTATGGCCAAGCTGGCACCCTCCATCGTGGATGGGGCTGGTGGGAATTGTAGTTGAAAACGTCTGGAGGGCACCAGCTTGGCATAGGCTCTCTATGTGTTCCCTATCTATTCCATTTCTATCCTGCCTTTCACTGAATGAGATCAAGGTGACATAATATAGTTCTCCCTATTTTACTCTTACAACAACCCTATGAAGTGTGATTACAGGCCAAGGATTCAGCTAGTTAGTTTTGTGGCCATGTAGGGGTTTGAACCTGGATCCTGCTAGTCCTGTTCATGCTTTGTGCCGCTTTTATTTCATATTTAGTTATTTGAATAAGAAGCCCAACATGATACTATGAATGATAGGAGCGAGCCAGCAGTAAATCACACAGAGCAAGTTGGAGTTAACTCTTTAATAGCAAAATAGGATCTGCACAGGAGTGTCAGGCCTAATGAACGCAGCAATTCAGGTCTTTCCCCCATGAAACAGTTGTCGAGATTAAAGGTTCCCACCCCTGCACAGCTAGCTATGTCCCCTCCTCTCCAGGGTTCGCCCCCCCCAAGCAATCGGAGAGCGCACCTGCATGCCTGTTTTTGCTCCTCCTACTTCATGCCTCTCCTAGTCCTGGGAGATGAGGGGGGAGGGGAGGGGGAAACACCTGTGACTCCACACAAGCCTTACCCCTCTCTGCCGCTTGGCTTCCTGCTTCAGCTTCTGCCTCTCATTATGGACTTCACTCTACCACGGACTGTTCCAGATCGCTGAGCCCTGTTGCTTCTTCAGCTTCCGGCACCTTCTCTTTTCAGTCTTCTCCCTCTGACCACACATCGTCATCCCACCACCAATCTCCTGGCTCTGAGCCTCCTTCCCTTGGGGGTTCCCCAGCTGGTTCCTCCCACCATTCCTCTATGTCCCACCAGCCCATGACAATAAACATATTTTCTGGGGTGGAAGCCTGTGGCTGAGAGGTAGAGCATCTGCTTTGCATGCAGAAGGTCCCAGGGTCTATCCTCAACACTCCAGGTAGGGTTGGCAATGCCTCTTGTCTGAAATAATGCACTGCCATTCAGTGTAGACAATAATGAGCTAGATGGACCAAGAGTCTGATTCAGTATCGTGCTGCTTTCTATGTCTGGGGGAAAGACGGTATCTCGGTCTTAAGGTTTGTGGTCGATGCCCATCCATGTCATGAGCTTCCCCTGCTAAGCCTTAAGACATTTGAGGTTGTGGCCCATCTTGCATTATTTTGGGAGTTGTGGACAAAGGCAAGATGCTTCCTTCTCTCACCAGCATCCTGGTTTGCATGGGGAATGTCCCCCAATTGTTGTGCTTTGCAGAGGAGGATGAAGATGATAAATTTAGCCTGCATCTTTCCAGGGAAGATGTGCCATTGAATGAAACATGATGGGTATCAGCTTTCTTTGTGGCAAACGTGTGTCAGTATAAATAGAAAGTGCAGGGGTGCTGAGGAGAGGAGCTGCCAATTTAGGCAAGCAGCCGTGGAAAGGTGGGAGTATAGAGCAGCAACAAAGGAACACAGGAGGATGGCTTATGATAAGTCCACCTAGCTCAGTATTGCCTACACTGACTGGCAGCAGCTCTCCAGGGTTTCTGGCAGGGTTTTCTCCCAGCTCCAGCCTGGAGATGCTGGGGATTGAATTGGGGACCTTCAGCTTGCATCTCAGGTGCTCTGCCACTGACCTATGACCCTCCCCAGTTTATGTGCCCTTTGTTTTTTGTATATTGGTTTCGCTCATATCCACATTATTTGGGGCATCCTAATATAAAATGCTCTCTTTTTTGGGGGGGGTACATTTTTTGATCTGTATCCAGATCAAGGGAAGTAATAGTACCATTCTATTCTGCCTTGGTCAGACCATACCTGGAATATGGGGTCCAATTCTGGGCACCACAATTTAAGAGGGATGTTGACAAGCCGGAAGGTGTGCAGAGGAGGGCAACCAAGATGATCAAGGGTCTGGAAACTAAGCCTTACGAGGAACGCTTGAAGGAGCTGGGTATGTTTAGCCTGGAAAAGAGGAGTCTGAGAGGAGATATGATAGCCATCTTCAAATATCTTAAGGGCTGTCACATGGAGGAGGGAGCATGCTTGTTTTCTTCTGCTCTTGAGAGTAGGACTTGAGGCAACAGCTTCAAGTTACAAGAAAGGAGATTCCCACTAAACATTCGGAAAAACTTTATGACAGTAAGAGCTGTTTGGCAGTGGAACAGACTCCCACGAGAGGTGGTGGACTCTCCTTCCTTGGAGGTTTTTAAGCAGAGGTTGGATGGCCATCTGTCATGGATGCTTTAGCTGAGATTCCTGCATTGCAGGGGTGTCGGAGCCAGCCGTCACAAATGGCGCAGTTTAGCATAAAATAAAGACACAGAGAGCCAGCAATATTTTCAGGATGGTATGAGCAGCTCCTTTCGAACTTCTCTTCTCTCCCGTAACTTTTATTATCCTTTGTTCTCTCCTCTCGCATGGCCGTTTGCCAATGTCTCACATTACCTACATCCGGTCATGGCTTAAACCCGCCCATCGCCATATAGGGTTATTACTGCCCAGAGGGGGAACATAACTCCATATAAGGCTATGCACTTAATACACTGCAAGGCACGGACATGCAGGTCACTGAGGTCAGCGAGGCACCAGGTGGCGCTACAAGCCTTTTTCATGACTTCCTGGCTCCCACACAGGGGGTTGGGCTAGAGGACCCTTGGGATCCCTTCCAACTCTATGAGCAAAAAAGCAAAAAGAAGGAATTCCTGCCCTGTCCTTACAATACCGTATGCTTCAGCTCCCAGGTCTCTGCCTGTTCCAAATCAGCTTCTCTTCATTATTCAGCCTCATGGCTACTAAAGGTTCTACCTCCGCCGTCGGAGGCAAAGTTGCTGGAAACTGCAGAAAGAGAGAGGGCTCATGTGCTCAGGTCCTGCTTGGGAGTTTTCCACAGGAATCTGGGTGGCCACACTGAGAACAGGATGCTGAACTAAATGGGCCATTGGGCTGATTCACGATGTCGTCCTTACGTTCTTGTGTTCTCATTTACAGTGGTACCTCGGGTTACAGACGCTTCAGGTTACATACGCTTCAGGTTACAGACGCTTCAGGTTACAGACTCTGCTAACCCAGAAATAGTACCTCAGGTTAAGAACTTTGCTTCAGGATAAAAACAGAAATTGCGTGGCGGGGGCAGCGGGAGGCCCCATTAGCTAAAGTGGTACCTCAGGTTAAGAACAGTTTCAGGTTAAGAACGGACCTCCAGAACGAATTAAGTTCTTAACACGAGGTACCACTGTATTTCAACATTCACCATCCTCATTCTGTTTGTACTGCACTGTTCCTTCTGAAAGGAAGCCCAAGCAGCCATCATTTTTACAAAAAACAAATGCAGAAGCAAAAGCCAAAAAGGATGACGCTTTGGGAGGAAAAGCTGTGACTTAGTGGGATGTAAAAGACATTAGGTTCAACCCCCGGCCTCTCCTGGTAGGGCTAAGAGAGATCTCTGTCTGAAACCCTGGAGATCAGCTGCCAATCAGTGTGGACAGTGTTGGACTAGATGGGCCAATGGTCCGGTTCTTAAGTTCCTTGCATGACAGTTCCTGCCTTTCCCAACCCAGTGCCCTCCAGATGTTGTTGGACTCCAATTCCCATCAGCCCCAATCAGCACAGCCAATGATCAGGGATGATGGGAATTGTAGTCCAATGATGCTTGGAGGGCACCAGGTTCGGCAGGTCTGACCACCAGCAGCTCTGCAGGGCAATAGTCTTTCCCATTAACCTGGTTGTTATTTTTAGCTTGGGAAATGCCAGGAACGGAACCTGGGATTTTCTGCCTGCAAAGCAGGTGCCTCCTCAACCAACTCTGCCAGCCCATTCCCTCCTTGTAATTGCCTATCCACAGCATTGTTCATTGTGTCTGAGTTGTAGTAGCTGTTATCTTGTGCAATATTAAATACCAGTGTAATCTGTTGGTTGCTGGGTCTTTCCCTCTCTCAATGGGAAACTGTTACAGCGAGTTTACTTAAGGCACACCCTGTTTCAGACATGCATTGTGTACAGGGGCGGGGGGGAGCCTCAGCCTTTGCAGGAGTCTCAAGCTGCAATGAGGTTTGTCTAATTGCGCAAAGGAGAGGATTTGTCCCAAAGGAAGCAGGTGGCAACTTGGAACAGAATGTGCAGTAGCATGGCAAAGTATCCTACTTTCTAGAGAACTGAAGGCAGTGAGCAGACAGTCCCTTCTTGGAAGGCATCCACTCTCGGAAGAGGTGTCTGGTCCAAGTCAGTTAAAAGATAAAAGGGTAATAAGAACAGAGGGAGGCCTGTGAATCACCCATCAACAGCTTTACACCTGGGCAGGAGAATAAGCAGGTGCACAGGGTCACTGCCCGTCCCACTAGGGCAAGATGTATTATGTTTCTATTTAAATTAATTATTTCTAATTGTTTGTGTGTGTGGTGTATTTACATAGTGTGGATGTGTGCTTTATGTATGCATTGCACATATACTTCCAATGCACGTTATGAAGATACTTTTTAATGCATACTAATTAGGATATGTGCGAAACATGCTGCTATTTGGAATTCTTACTAACTGTTCAGCTTTAAGTGAGACTATCATAATAAGGCATCAAGGCCAATATCCTGATATTTATAAAACAAAACAAATCTGTTGTAAAATATTGCTACCCCCTCCCAACACAAAAAAATATTTATTATTTAAGAAAAAGAGACAAGAAGAGCTTGCATAGCATGGAATTTGCCTTTTCCACAGTGGTCAACATCTTCATTGAGCTATCCACTATGACCCTCAGGTCTCGTTCCTCATGGGGTCTGAACTGGCAGTGAAATTAAAGGTTTGGTTTTTGTCCGCCCACCCCCCATGCATCACCTTTACACTTGGCAATTGGATATTGAGGGGAGTTATCCTTGCTTTTAGGGATGGAGATGAAATCAGAAGCATAGTACTGTACACGGTCAATTCTTAGTGCTCACACTTACTACGCCTTTCCAGAGATGTTACGATTGCTGTTAAGAAGCGCAATCCGTTTCGCAGCAGCAGCAGTCGAGAGAAGAGAGGATGCTGAAGCAGCCGGAGAACATTTGACTTGCTAAACAGAGCCCAAAATAGAGACACCTGAAGGGGGGAGGCTGCTTTTTATAGCTGCATATCAATTTGGAGAGAAGCTGCTTCAGTTGAGCATGGCTCCCCTACAGACACAGAAACAAGGGGCAGCTTTTCCAGGGCACAGGGCTGTTACCAGGGGAAGGCATTCAGGGACATTCAGGCCTGCCCTGCCCTAACCGAGTGCCTTTGACAACAGCAGAGTGTATTAAAAACCCCCACCTGTTTGTGAAGCTTTTCAGAGCAGACCGTGGTTCTCTGCACCATTGGTGCGATGTTAAAAGCAGGGACAGGTTGGAAAGTTGGCAATCTCAAGGGCAATTGTCACAAGCACAATTATTCCATCTTACCCTCTCCTGCATTAAATTACTGCACTGTAAATCAGAGAAAGGAATTTTAAAGGTTATATCTTGATTCATGGCAATAGGCCACAAATATTTCAGTCGTAATAAATGTGTTCGGTTCTTGAAGGTGCCACAGGATTCTTTTTTTGTTTTGGCTACAACATTCGTGGGCTCCTCAGTTCCATCAGGATGTGGAATGATTGGAGGAGGAGGAGGAGGAGGAGGAAGGAACAGGTGTGGGAGGCGCTGGAAGGCTGGCACCCAAGGAGGGAGGGAGGGAGGGAGGGAGGGAGGGAGGAGGTCCCCCACCACCCTGCCCCACTCAGAGCGAGGGAAGGAGATCTGCTGGCTCTCCCTTTCACCCCTCCTGTGGAGTGCAGAATCTCATCAGGGAAGGGAGAGGACTTCCATGATTAGTTTGTGTTTTGGGAAAACCTTGCTACCTTGCCCTCCTGTACACAGCCAACGTCTGTAGATAAGAGAGAGTGCAGACATCCTGGTCATGGCCAGACTCTTTCTGTGCACTGCTTTGCAAAAGCATGCGCCTCTGAGGCAGATCCACAGGAAGAAATCATTAGGTGCAAAGGGTGGCATCCAGAATTCTATCCAAATACAGGGCAGTGAAATAGCTGCATACAAGCCGGGCAGCTGTCTCTCTCTTCTCCCTCTGCCACTACAGATCACCGGGTTAGACAAAAGGAGAGTCTGCTGGGGGGCAACCGGTGGGGATGTTTCAAGAACATTGAGACTCACGCTCCAGGGGTGAATGCGAATTGAAAAGCTTGTATGTAATCGAACAGAGCCCAGGCTGTTTTATTAACCCTCCTTGGCTGCAAACATCAAGTTTTAAAGCTTGTGATCTTGGACTGAATTTAAGTGGGAAGCAGCTTTGAAAAAAAAAAGCAATACGCCATGAAGATGCTCCATGGCTCTGTCCGTGTCCGTTTGTTTGTTTACAAAAATACGGTACTTAGAAACTGTTGTATCATAAAAAATACATCATGGTGGTTTACAAAAATTTAAAAACATAAAACCAAACAATAAAATATTTAAAAGTTTAAAACAAGTTAAAGCAAAAATAAATTAAAAATGAAATATCTATAGACCATTGTGGGTTAATTGTCTGCACAGGCCTGGCAGAATAGAAAAGTTTTCAGACGGCATTTGAAAGCTGACACAGAAGGTACCCGCTGAATCTCTATTAGCAGGGTGTTCCACAGGACTGGGACAATGACACTGAAGGCTTGGTTTCTTGTTGTCATCAAACGAGCCTCACCAACGTGGGGAACGATCAAAGTCACTCCTGCAGATGATCTCAGTGATCGAGCTGGAATATAAGGGTTCGGGCGTTTCCTGAGGTATCCTGCACCCATGTTGTCCTGGGCTTTGTATATCAATAGAAGAACTTTGAATCTGGCTCGGCAGCAGATGGTCAGCCAGAGCGGCTTAAAAGGTGCCATTTAAAAAGCACTTAGCACATCAGCCAGCATACTGCAAGAACGTGCCATCAGCCGCTGGGCCCAGGAGGATCTGCTCCTTCTCTCCCGGCCCTGCACTCTGAGGAAGGGAACATGGAAAGCTTCCTCTTCTGTTCAGTCTCGGTTATTTAATTATGTCAGCTCATTTGTATTCAGATCACAACAGAAGAAGGGAAGAGAAACTGAGTAGAGAACAGTTTTTTCACCCTTTCTCATAACACAAGACAACTTACACGCAAGGAAGGTGGATGCTGGAGAACTGGAGACAGGCAAATGGGAAGATTTCTTCCTGTGATGCATCATTAAGGTATGGCATTCACTCCCACAAGAGGCAGTGATAACCACCAACCTGCATGGCTTTAAGGAGGATTAGGCAAATTCTTGGAAGACAAGGGTATCAGTAGCCACTAAACATGACAGCTATGTTGTACAGTGGTACCTCGGGTTACATACGCTTCAGGTTACAGGCTCCGCTAACCCAGAAATATTACCTCGGGTTAAGAACTTTGCTTCAGAATGAGAACAGATATCGCGCGGGGGCAGCGGGAGGCCCCATTAGCTAAAGTGGTGCTTCAGGTTAAGAACAGTTTCAGGTTAAGAACGGACCTCCGGAACGAATTAAGTACTTAACCCGAGGTACCACTGGACTTCCACTTCTGGAGGCCTTATGCCTCTGAGCACCAGTTGCTGGAAATTGGAGGAAGGGAGAGTGCTCTTGTACTATGGTCCTCCTTGTAGGTTTACTACAGGCCTTTGGTTGGCCACTCTGAGAACAGAAGGTTGCTCTACATGGGCCTTGTTTGGTCTTATCCAGCAGGCTCTTCTGCTACTGGATCAGGCCAGTGGCCCAACTAGTCCAACCTATTGTTCTTCTCATTCTGTTTCTGGAGTCCACCTCCCATCAGCCCAGCATGAAGGACCAAGGGGCAGGTGTGATGGGAGGGAGTCAGAGTGCAGCAGTGTCTGGAGGGCTCACCGGTTTCAACGGGAGATGCCAGGGATGGATCTGGGTACCATCTGCATGCAAAGCATGTACTCTTCCAATGAACTCTTGACTCCAAAGGATGAATATAAGAAGTCATAGTGGTGTAGGAGTTACAGTGTTGGACTAGGACCTGGGAGACCAGAGTTATTACCCACCTTGGTCAAAGAGCTCTCTGGATGAGCTTGGGCCAGGCACTGCCTTCCAGCCTCACCTACCTTACAGGGTAAAGGTAAAAGTAAAGGTAAAGGGACCCCTGACCATTAGGTCCAATCGTGGCCGACTCTGGGGTTGCGGCGCTCATCTCGCTTTATTGGCCGAGGGAGCCGGCGTACAGCTTCTGGGTCATGTGGTCAGCACGACTAATCTGCTTCTGGCGAACCAGAGCAGTGCACGGAAACGCCATTTACCTTCCTGCCGGAGCGGTACATATTTATCTACTTGCACTTTGACGTGCTTTTGAACTGCTAGGTTGGCAGCAGCAGGGACCGAGCAATGGGAGCTCACCCTGTCACAGGGATTTGAACCACCGACCACTGATCGGCAAGTCCTAGGCTCTGTGGTTTAACCCACAGCACCACATGTGATTAAATGAGGAACGGGATAACCATGTATGCCATCTTGAGATCCTTGGAAGAAAAGGTGAGATATAAATGAAACCAAGCAACCATGGTCTATCAAGGGACACTGGCAGAAGTCTTTTTTCATATTTGGAAGAAGGCATGCATAGAGTATTTGGGTGTCAGAGACCAGGCTGAGGAGAGCTACCTTGATGAGAAATGGTGGGGGCTTCCCCCTCCCCCTGCTCCTGACCAGAATCCTGAAGCTGCCCAGGAGCAGTGGAGCAGTATAGATTGGGAGCGATGGTTTGCAGGGGGGAATAGTTCTGAAGACAACAGCTGGGCAGAACTGAGTGGGGAACAGCTAGGACAGGCTTCCTCAAACTTGGCCCTCCAGATGTTTTTGGCCTACAACTCCCATGATCCATTGCTAGCAGGACCAGTGGTCAGGGATGATGGGAATAGTAGTCTCAAAACATATGGAGGACCAAGTTTGAGGAAGCCTGAGCTAGGAGAAGAAGAACAGGGAGAGAGAGAGACTCTCTTTTGCTGGAAAGTGTTCCACAGATCAGTCCAAGGTCAAGGAGAGCAGATAAGGCCCAATTGTTGTGAGATCAGGTTGCCAGACAAGGAAGTGATGGCGGTGGCTTGGGGAGAAGTGGGTGGAAACCTTAATTGGGAGCACCTTTCCTCTGAGAATGGAGTCTTTGTTCTTTTGCTGTGAACATTAAAAATCTCTTTAACTGGTAAGGGACTATTTTTGCTTTGTTCCGCTTATCCACGGCCAAAGGGAGGGAGGAAGCCGTTTTCCCGAAGCCTGACATTGGACAAGGGAAGTGGTCCTATATGGAGTCAGGCCTTTGGACGGAGGCAGTCTTTCTGATCACCTGATAACAGCCACCCTGAGATCCACAGATGAAGGGCAGTATACAAGAAGAGAACCTTTTTAATGTCTCACTGGGCATATGGCCAAATAATTTCCAGGCACCGGTGCCAGATTCCAATCATCCCTTTAAAAAGAGAAAGTTTAAGTAAAATTATTTGCACCATTCAGTTTAAAATATATATATTTACAAATCCACACATCACATCATCATACAATACATAGCTATAACAATGCAGTGCATAGCATTTTACTACATGTTGGAAGTGGAAATTCAAAAGCACACTAAATCCATCCACTAAGCAATGACCATCAGTGACTGCTTAGCAGGGGAGGTGTCTCAGTAATAAATGTAACTTGAAAGTTTTTATTGAGAGGTTGTGGTTGCACTATAAGGCCGACTCTGGGGTTGCAGCACTCATCTCGCTTTATTGGCCAAGGGAGCCGGCATACAGCTTCCGGGTCATGTGGCCAGCATGACTAAGCCGCTTCTGGTGAACCAGAGCAGCACACGGAAACGCCATTTACCTTCCTGCCGGAGCGGTACCTATTTATCTACTTGCACTTTGACGTGCTTTCGAACTGCTAGGTTGGCAGGAGCAGGGACCGAGCAACGGGAGCTCACCCCATTGCGGGGATTCGAACCGCCGACCTTCTGAACACCACACAAGGCAAGAAGAAGTCTCATGTACCTGCAACCTGGTCCCTCCTGCTTTCACCCCTCGTTACCCTATCCCTTGGCATAATTTTTTCAACTAGGGCAAGAAGCCAGACTTTGGACCATCATGCCTGCAAGGAGAACTATGTGGAGAATTATCAAAGATGGGCTATCTCTTGCCAGGCAGCTGCAAGATTAGTACAAGATTAGAACTTCATGCAATAAGGCATTCACACTTTCCAGAAGTATTGCGAGAAGGGCTAAACTGAAGTCAGGGCAGATAAATCCGGTTAACAATTGTTGCGATCTCCTGAAATACTTGAACCCACCACACCTGTACCACAGGCCAGGACCACCTGGAACATCATGCAAACCTGTTTGCACTCTCTCCAAAAGAGCATCCTCTGAGCTGGATTCATGTGACAGAACTTAAGAGATGGTATACCATTTAAAGGATTGTCCCTCGCAGTCTCACCGAGATCCAATTTCCTTGGGTGTTTCAACTGCATTACGTTCCATGCATTCTCAGGAATTTTTTCATCCTAGATCTCCTTCCCTTAATCTATATTCATATGCCATAGATAAAAGGGGTTGATTCAGCACTGTTAGCGCACCTTTCAAATTTGGACCTGCAGCAGTGTTCAGAAAAAGCTAAGCTCCCTGGATGCAGCTCTCTAGAGTGAACTTTGCAAAAGTCCGCCTATTGATTAATTGCAGTCGGTTATGACACGTTCCCTCCAGCTTAGCTCTCAACTGAATGCTACCTAGGAACTGACCAGCCGCAAAAAAGTCATTTATGCTTTGCAGCCCCTTTGTCTTCCCCTCTCCCTCTGTCTTGCTGTGCTTTTGTCTAAGATCTCGAAACACTGGTGAAACTAGAAGTGCAGCAGTGGCAACAGGATGGTACCAGATAGTGTGCCCACTTCTGCCAAGTTTTCAACGTCGTTCTCAAAAATGGATTCAGGACCTCTTTACGTTTGCCTGAAGAAATCATTCTTAGCTAAAGAGGTCCTGAACCCACTTCTCAGAGCAACATTGGCCTGGAGGGCCATCTTAGCACAATTAAAGCAAGACCCAGGGTATACCTCTACTCCCCTATGGGATGCAAATTAATTGCCACAACTGGCATGGATCATGGTTTACTCGTAAATTTAGAATCATGGATCACTGGCAGCCCTCATACTATACAGAATGTTTTGCTGACTGTGCCTATTATTAACAGGGCTGTTTGCAGTATAAAAACATAAAAATACACCACATAATAACAAACAAGAAGAAGAAGAAGAGTTTGGATTTGATATCCTGCCTTTCACTCCCCTTCAGGAGTCTCAAAGCGGCTAACATTCTCCTTTCCCTTCCTCCCCCACAACAAACACTCTGCGAGGTGAGTGAGGCTGAGAGACTTCAGAGAAGTGTAACTGGCCCAAGGTCACCCAGCAGCTGCATGTGGAGGAGCGGGGAATCGAACCCGGTTCCCCAGATTACGAGTCCACCACTCTTAACCACTACACCACACTGGCACAAACAAAACAATACCCCTGCCCAGTTCAAAAGGCCATAGAGTTTATTAATTTTTTAGCTAAAATCCTGGGAGACAAGGAATGTATGAATAAGAGCTCTGTTGCCCCACCCCCAGCAATTAAGGAAAGCTTGGTAGATTAATCAAATTAATTTTGAATAATCGATTGGGAGGAAAAAACATTAGTTTTGGAAGAAAAGCACATACAGCCTTTGTTCTTAGACACCGGATGTGTGTGTTGCAGGAAGAGGTAAAGTAAGCTGTGTTTGTGCAAATAGTATCATATGCATCACCACCTTCGTACAAAGGTGAAATATTAGTTCCTCTTGCCAAGGTGCCAGATTCAGCTGTGATAGGATTCTGCACCCGGTGCCCTTCTCAGTTTTTTCTTGCCCAAGTTCTTCTTCCCGTTCCTGCAAACACCTCCCTTCCTCTTACCAGATAGCTGCCTTATTGGGGGGGGGGGGAGCAGCAGCTGATACAGAATCACTGACCGGGCTTTTGCAAACCCTTTCTCTTTCCACGGAGAAACTCTCAGCAAGACTTGGCAGGGTATTTCTAATAGCTGCATATAAAACATATGAAATGATGTGCTGGTGGCGTCTGCTCCCTCAGGAAGCAGGGTTCGGCAGGACAGGTTCAATCCATGCATGGAATAGTTCTAAAATGAAAACTAGTATTAAAAAGAGATGAACAAACAAAAACCACCCAATAAACGAATCCGGGCAAAGTCTTGGGGTGGCCTCTCTGTCTTACACATTATGAACGTCATCAACATTCCTAAGTGGTTTCAGTCCTACCCAGGTGAGCCCGCTTAAGCTGGTGTGGTAAAGAAAACCATTTTGGTGGAGAAGACGAGGTCCACAATGTAGGCAATGAGGTTGAAGATGGTCAGAAAGGTCACCCCGAGCTTATTGTCCCATTTGATACACTGCGGGTTAGTCCTGAAACATGTCGAAGGCCTAGAGGAACCCTCGAAGGCATATATGGGCCATACAACGGCCGCCGTGAGGTACAGGAGCACAGCCAAGCTGTTGAAGCCCACCAGAGATTTCTCCAAGGGGATGGGCAGGGTGGCAAGGCAACGGCCGATGGTGAGGATGACAATGAGCAACGTGACAATGAAGCAGATGCAGTAGACGGCCAGGCACCACTGCAGGCCGGGCTTCTCTGCATAGATTTGGTAGCTGGCCACCAAGGAGAAGATGAGGCAAGCCAGGTAGGTCTCAAAGACTTTCAGGAGGCCGGGGATGGTGGCCAGGAAGGTGCTGACTTCTCCGACTTTGGCCTGGGTCAGTCTCACTTCGATGGCGTAGGTGATGAAGCAGAGGCAAGACACGGCAGTTGCGATCCCTTCGTAGCTGCAGTCACCCGTGCAGCGATCCGGGATGAAGACCGACGGGTACAGGATGGAGGTGGTGAAGATCATGAGAGCAGCCAACATGGAGAAGGCAGAGGTGAAGTCCTGCCAGGACAGAGGCAGCGACTGGGCCACGCCGATGAACTCCATGACCACAACGAAGACAGAGAGGCTGAAACAGAAGCACCAGGTAAACATGGACCAGGCGCCTTCAGAGCCAGCATAGTTCCTGTGGACAGACACCAAGCTGAAGGCCGTGCAAGAGAAGAAGATCTCAAATATCCGGACAATCCCCAGTGGCGAGATCAGCGACCTGGCATTGAGTGTTGGCATGGTGCCCCCGACACAGAGGAACTGGCCCACCAAGCGTGTTGACACACAGCCAAGGAGACGGCGGAAAGAAAGAGCTTTGCTGGGCGTGGGGGCAAGGCTGCAAAGCTGGTGACGGAGCGCAGCGGGTGTGTGCGTGTGGCACCAAGTCTGGGTGCTGCCTTGAGGAACAGGAACGCCCAGCTGGAGTGGATGGGCTTGGCTATCCCTCCTTCCAGGGGGAGGGAACCTGGTGGTGCAACGGGCAAAACAACCTGAGTCTTGCAGCTCCCGAGTGAAAGCGGTGCGGAAGGTCTCTGCTGAAATCGGAGGGAGAAGCCGAGAAGCCCTAGAAGAACAGCCGCAGCATTATTCCTGCAATGTCGCGTCAACTTAACTTTTTAAAAAATGAAAACAATGACACAAAAACAAAAGCTGTCTCTCAAGGCAGAAAGCAGTTCCTGGAAGATGATGGCATCATAGGGTGTGTCAGGCTAAGAGAAAGCCCCAGGGCAGGCCAGGAGGAGGAGGGAGAGCGGTTGGATCTCTGAGCCCTAGGTTTTATACTTCTCTGGCTCAGAGCAGGAAACCTGTTCAGGAAGTGAGAGGCAGGTGGATGATTAATGACAGAGGATTAAAAAGTAACCATGTCCAAGCCCTCATTTTGTAGCTGGTTGTGTGCTTTACGCAGGGCTTTTTTTAAAGACGGAACTCAGTTCCGGCACCTCTCAGGTGGGCGCCATTGCCATTATAAGAAAACAAGAGAGGAATTCATGGTGAGTTATGGTCTAGAAAAATAGCACTAGGTTTACCTGCCCCCACCACAAGACTACAGGTAACAAGGGATTTCTGCAGGTGAAACTGGGAACAATCCACATCTAAAACTATGGGATTTTTTGTTGTTACAGTGGAGGCTCAGAGTAGGTTTCTAATCAATGAAGATGTAAGGAAAAAGCATCCGGGTGTTCCTGCTCCGCAATAAGTATACCTGCTTCTCCCTTCTAGTCAATAAGGCAAAAGCACTGGAGTGACAGACGCACCTTTGGGCACTTTTGAAATTTGATTAGAAGCACATTCTAGGGAAAAAATGTAATAAATTCAAGGAACTTTGAAAATGGGGATATATGTTGGCTTTGCAGGTTTGCAAGATTCTCATCAATCAGGTTTGCTAGAGCTAACATAATGCACCAGTGTGTGCATGCTTATGTTCACTTTCATCATACAGATGCATTATTGCAAAATTGCAAAAAATAAAATAAAATGGAACAATAGCTGTGCTTCTGTGAGAAACATTTCATGCACAGTGGCTTTTTTCTTTCTTTCCTGCATACAGGTTGGAGTCTAACAATATCTGGAGGGCTACAGGCCCGGCCAGCCCTGGTTTAGTGGAATATCTAATCTCATATACTGGATCTCGGCTTGCTTATTGCAAAACAGACGAAACTCAAATGCATTATCTGAACGTTCCGTTATTTAGGAACACCACACCCAAAACATGCAAAATAGGGCCATTGATTTCCATGAGATATAGTTAACATAAAACAGAGACAATCTCTGCTAAAGAGGCACAATTGACACTTCTGCTGTGCCCATTGCAGTCTCACGGGACAAGATCAACTTCTTGTTCCCCATATATTGCTCCACTGATAAGATAGGTTTTAATTTGCACAAGCCACGAGTCTTGGCAAAGTGTGTACAAAGTACAAACATGCTACAAATGCAGCTAAGCAGTACAAGGGGGGAAAAAAGAATGAGATTATTTAAAATGTAGGGAGCACCACCAGGACGCTTATTTTAATGGCAGTTCCTAAAATCTTTGTAGTCTTTGGTGCCACCAACTTCCCTTGCTCCATATATCCCCCTGCAACTTTGTGGCTGAGACCATTTGCACTTTGGCTGGGTCTGCGAGCCAAGGTAGGAAGAGCACACGTCACACAAAGGCCTCCCTTACCAGGACAGCTCAGTCCAAAGGTGTGCTGTTTTTTTGCAAGGCCTTTGGAAGGAAAACGAAGAGCCTTTGGACAAATCAAAGCTGGGAGGGAATCCAGCACCTGGGATGGTCCAGACTCTGCCCCAAAGACTCCTTTGTTCTCAGAGCAAATGGGGTGACTTGTAATTGCCAAGACCAGGTCTGGCAAAACAAAGGCACCAGTTTATTCTATGTGATTCAAAATACACCCTGAAATTGCAAACAAAACAAATTGAAAAGATTAAGGTAGTTCCAAATTAGTAATAATTAAGGGACACTGTTCTTGGATCCTCTCTATAACTTTTTTAACAACAACAAAAACAATAGTACAGTGGTGCCCCGCAAGACGAATGCCTCGCAAGACGAAAAACTCGCTAGACGAAAGGGTTTAGCAATTTTTGAGTCGTTCCGCAAGACGAATTTCCCTATGGGCTTGCTTCGCAAGACGAAACGTCTTGCGAGTTCTTGCGAGTTTGTTTCCTTTTTCTTAAAGCCGCTAAGCCGCTAATAGCCGCTAAGCCGCTAATAGCCGTGCTTCGCAAGACGAAAAAACCGCAAGACGAAGAGACTCGCGGAACGGATTAATTTCGTCTTGCGAGGCACCACTGTAGCAGCAGTAGGTTATTCACTTAAATATTGCACCATGAACATAAAAGGCACACGTTTTAATGGCCCCCCAGAATTTGATGTCCAGGTGCCCAGCACCCCTTGCACCTCCGGGTAAAGACGGCCCTACTGCCAAATATTCCCCGATTTCAGTACAGTAGTACCTCGGGTTAAGTACTTAATTCGTTCCGGAGGTCCGTTCTTAACCTGAAACTGTTCTTAACCTGAAGCACCACTTTATTTAATGGGGCCTCCCGCTGCTGCCGTGCTGCCGGAGCACGATTTCTGTTCTCATCCTGAAGCAAAGTTCTTAACCTGAAGCACTATTTCTGGGTTAGCGGAGTCTGTAACCTGAAGCGTATGTAACCTGAGGTACCACTGTATTGTGCTATGTACTGCTGTCTCTTTGAGTGTAATACTGAACCAACATACCTGCCTACACTGTCTGATTTCTTGTGGGACGCGTGGCTGTGGGCTGTCATGATGAGCTCATGTCCTTCAAAATCACACCACCAGGCCACTGGCCCTGGGTGAAACAGCCCCTCTGTAAAGTAGGAGACACAGCCACCTTTCGTGAGAATAAATATTTAAACTACACTCCCTCTTTGGTTATTTAACTTATACAGTGGTACCTTGGGTTAAGTACTTAATTCGTTCTGGAGGTCCGTTCTTAACCTGAAACTGTTCTTAGCCTGAAGCACCACTTTAACTAATGGGGCCTCCCGCTGCTGCCGTGCCGCCGGAGAATGATTTCTGTTCTCATCCTGAAGCAAAGTTCTTAACCTGAAGCACTATTTCTGGGTTAGTGGAGTCTGTAACCTGAAGCGTATGTAACCCAAGGTACCACTGTATTTGCTTCAAAAGCAGCATGTTTGACGTAGTCGTAGAAATGGAGGGCTGTGTGGGGTTATTTTTTCTGTTTCCCATCGTGCCGTTATTTCTCTGATTACAGATTCTTGTTGACACCATCTTCCTTTATGGCTGCCCTCATTTGCCCTCTTCTTTTAACTTCCAAGTTGGCTGTGGGACCCACTCTGTGGATTTGTTTATGAAAGTTTAAGGAAGACCTAATCTCATAGCTCAACTATTGTTTGTAGCAACACATTTCATTGGATTCAACAGCAAAGTACACTTCTGAGCAATTGTCACCCCCCTTCCAAACCACCCCTCCCCATGCCAGGAGAAGTGGGATGGGCAATGCCACTGAGAACAGGCACTTGTGGGAAAGTGGCTGTCAATGCTTTTCATCTGGAGAGAGAGGGTGCGATGTAGCAGTTAGGGTGCAAAGCCTGGCATGGATAGACCAAGGTTCAAATCCTCAATCGGCTGTGAAGCAATCAGTGGACAATCATTAACTACCTTGCAAGGTTGTTGTGAAGAGACAACCATACACGGTACCCTGAGCAAATTTCTTACTATGCAAATAATGGGTTTTTAAAATGTTTGTATCTTTGAATAAAAAGGGATCTCATTTTATAGACACGCCTCCCTTCCAGGAGGTCTTGGAAATGGGTCCGTTTTCTTCTTGCTGATCTCTCTCTTTTTGGCTCAGATCCAGCAAAATCATAACTCCAACGCTTAGCTGCAGCTCAGAGAGGAATCCCAGCTGCTTTGCCTTGATGGATGCATCTGTGGATACAATTTCTAGCAATAACTCAGGCTGTCCCCCAACCCCACCCCTTTCTCTGTGCTGACATCCCCCTCTCCACCCATTGCAGAAAAACAAAATGAAAACATTTGCACAAAGCATGATGTAATCTTTTAGGTTATGTATTGAGCAAGCTCCTTGAAGTCACTGGTAGGCCTTTGGATGTCTCCCAGATGCTGTGGAAGTCCAAGGGATCTGTCCATGGAATGAAGGAAGTCAGTGCAGGCCAAAAACCCGAGGCCAAAGGAGATATGTGGGTGGAAATTTGTGGGGGTTTCAACATGGGACTGCCTGACTCACCAAGAAAGAAGTTCCACAGAGTGGAGGATTTTATTTTATTTGGAGTTGAGTTGCGCTGGCTGATGAATAGAAACTCTTGAATCTGAGGCTGTTGAACAGAAAATCCCAGAGGATCATATCACCCCACCAGGACCTGTCAGACCAGAGCCCAGACCCTCACAGGCACCCTTCTCTGAGCAACCAGATCCTTCCCAATGTACACAACCAGTGCAGGCAGTGCAGCAGAAGGAAGGCTGTGGAACAGAGGAATGCCCATCTTCAGGTCAGAAGCTCTGAAGTCCTGGACCAGGAGATGGAGCCTGCAGGACAGAGACTGGAGGCAGAGGCTTAAAGGGTCTCAGTTGACTCTCAACCATTGTCAGAGCAAGTGGCTCACTCGGAGCTGTCCGTGGTCTTTCAGTTTTGCCTCCACCATCCACCCATTATTGTGTTGATAGCAGTAGACCAGGGGACGGCAACCTAAGGCGCATGGGCCACAACCGGCCCATGGGGGTCATTTAACCGGCCCACGAGCCGCCCCCGAACCGCCTGCTCGGCGAGTCCCCGCACGCTGTACTAAGCCAGCGCAGTGTGGCACAGGAACTTGCTTCTGCGTCACCGGAAATCGTGGCTGTGCAGACGCAGACGCTGGAAATCGTGTCTGCGCAGATGCAGACGCTGGAAAGAGTGCCCGTGCGATCTGGCCCAGGCAAGGTAAACCTTGCTGACCCCTGCAGTAGACCTCTCTTTCATTGCCTAACAACCCTGTACCTGGCAGTGATTGGGATGTCTAAGAAACCAACAAAATTAGAAGGTTCAGCATGCCATATTGATTCACGATGGCATCCAACAGAGATGGGAGCCTACTCCTCAGGAACCATAGTGGAAAATTTACTTTTTTCACCACTATCACCAGAGAACAACAGGAGAGGGAGACATTTGGCTGCCTTAGCAAATGCTGTCCAGTTGTTGCCTACTCAGCCCCCCCCCACTCAACTCCCTATGGTGGATCAGCAGCTAGGGATAGGCAAATATGTTCACTGAGGTTTCTCTCAGTTTCATCTTCTTCTAGTCTTAAGTCCAGTTCTCCCCATTTGCACATCATTTCCCAACTTTATTTAACATCCTCATGAAAATTCATCAGCATTTTGTGCAAATTTCTCATAGCATACCTCTTTGCAAAATTTTGACTATTCTGCACATTTTGGCAAAGTAACGTGCCCCAATATAATGCATTTTTAATCCCCCCCTGGAATATATGCATTCGTATGCACTTTAGTATATAATATGCATTTTTGTGCACAGTACTTGGCTGGTGAACTGCATTGCAAAATTTGGAGAAGCGTCAGTTCTGAGGGATGGCTGTGTTCTGAAAGTGTGAATTAAATGGGTTTGCCTTTAAATGCAAACTGAATCCAATTTCTTCCCTCACCTGCCCCTCCTCTCTACCTCCTCAGTACAACTTCCTTCCAGTACATGAGGGAACAAGACCGAACCTGAGAACCTGTAGAAGCATCTGTGCCACTGCTACAATTTTGCTGCGGCAGCAAAAACTGTTTGAAGCTTAAACCCATTCAGCAGGTACCCAGAGAATCATAGAATTGTAGAGTAGGAAGGGACCATGAGGGTTTTCTAGCACAACCCCCTGCAATGCAGGAATATTTTGCCCAATATAGGGCTCAAACCTATGACCCTGAGATTAACCATCTCATGCTCTACCAACTGAGCTACTCGATATCACCTGGCTTTCTTTCTTAAGTGGGCAGGAGGCACGGGGGCCTGTAGTGGACAGCAGCAGCAACTGGGGTGGGGGAACAGCCTTGTGGGGCAGCCAATAGTAAAAAGTGTGTGGATGATCTACCATCTCTCCTGCTGCCCTGCTTGAACCAAACACCTTATATTGGCTCACTGAAAGGCAAGCCCTGAGCCGAGAGAGGTCCCCAGCTTCACCCTCGAGAAGGACTCAAAGCAACCAGGCAAAACAAAACCAAAGAACCCAACAACCTTCTACAGTTGCTCTTTAATGGATTAACTGGAGAAGCACAATCTGCCCACAGGCCCCCTGCCCAAGAGTATAAAAGTAGAAGGATGAAAACGTGAGCCTGGGCAGGCTGACCTCCTTCCAGGAGATGGCGCTGTTCTCCTGTACTGCTCCTGCATCAACAAGGGACCAGCTGGAAAATGGTCTTCTCTTAATTCCCAACCCCAGACTCTTCTCTGGGGGCAAGAGATATGAAGAGGGAGTTTTGCTTCAATCAGCACAGATGTTTTTATTGTACAAGCGGGTTATTGGCCTCCTGGCTCGATGCAGTAGCCTTCAAATGACGCCCCCTCCCTGGCTCTTGCAAACTGAGGATGGTCCAAAGAGCCAGTCTGAAGTCCTGCAGGAACACTGGGAGGCGGAAACTTCTCCAGAAGATTCTCTTTGCTTTCGCATGTGGGCTATGACAGTTGCTAGAACCCCAGCCTAGGAGGGTCTGAAATGGGGCTCCCTCTTTGCCCTCAGGGATGGCGGGCTTAACCTTTCATGCATTACAGGCCCTTCAAAAGCTCTCTGCTACCTGCCTTCCCCCCTCCCCCTCTGCCAACCAACGAATATGAAGGAGAACTGTCCTAGTATTGCCAGCATATTGGAGATAAAAATGTCATAGAAGAAACACACATGGGTGTGGTGTCATTTAAGGGTTAAGGAAAGAAATTGGCCAGCTCTGCCAGGGCCCATTGGGACAAGTGGGTTGCCTGACAAAGCAGTGGAGTCTGGAAGGAGGGGACAGCCTCAACAGGCGGCAAGGAGGTCTCCCCAGGGTCACATGCACTGCTTGGCTCAGAAGCAGAGGCTGAGCCAAGACAAAGAACGGTGTCCCACATGAGATGCCAAGGGTGGAGAGGGGTAAGGTGGGCTGCTGGGCTCTCTCACCCTCCCAGTGTCCTTCTGCTCTGAGGTGTGAGGCTGAGCAGGAGGCAGACGGAAAGGAAGGGGCAGGAAGGCGCCCGGCAGCAAAGTTGAGATTTCCCAGTCAAGAGCTGCTGCTTGTCCTCGTCAGAGATGGGGGCTCAGGAACTCTGCTCCAGCTGTTCCCGGAAGAGGGGGTTCGGGGGGAGGGAGAGGGGAACCAGTCCACTGAAGCTATTGGTGGAGGGTGTCTGTTGAGGCTGGAGAGGAGGAAGAGGGGCCAAGCTGTCCCCGCAGCTCAAAGTTGGCTCTCCAACTCTCCATTGAGGCAGCTCAGGGCCAGCTGCTTGCCGCCCGTGGCCAGGAGGTTGTTCTCGTTGAGGCGCTGGGCGCGGTACTGCTCGTAATGCACGCTGTGGGTGATGTCCTTGAGGTCCTGCAGGTGGGATCTGGGAAGGGAGAGGAAAAGAGGAAGAAGTTGGAGCCGCCTGGCAAGTCAAGGTTTCCAATGACCCTTCCCTCCTGGCCAGATAGATGGATGGGGAGGGTGCTTCTTCTTCTTCTTCTTCCTCCTCCTCCTCCTTCCCCATCTGTCAGACCCTCTGTCCTCACCCCACAAAGAAGGACTACAATGGTCACATTCCTGTTCCAGGCTCCTGGAGAGCCCTAAGAAAACAAGGTCATCTTGGTTGACCCCATCTATGCCCAATCAAACCCTTTGATCTGCAGAGCTGATCCTTTGGTGCAGTGACACCTGAATCTTTGGAATTCCCTGCCCATTGGTATTAGCCAGGTACCTTTGCTGTCCTGTTTTTGGCAGCTGCTAAAAACTTTGTTGTTGTTGAAGGAAGCATACCAAGGCATAAACACTTTGACCTGTATATTAATAGGCCATGCTGTTTTATGATACAGTCAAACCTTGGTTGTCGAACATAATCCGTTCCAGAAGACCGTTCGAACTCCGAAACATTCAACAACCAAGGATCAAAGGGCGTTCAGCAAAGTCCATGGAGAAAAAAAAGAAATAAACTCCCCGGAAGTCATTTGGCTTCTGAAAAATGTTCGAAAACCAGAGCATTTACTTCCAGGGTTTCGGTGTTCGAGAGCAGAAACGTTCCAAAACGGAGCCGTTCAGGATCCGAGGTTTGACTGTATACGTATTTAAAACTGCTAGTTTTATTTACATATTTCACCCCCCACTGCCCTGTCAGATAGTCATGCTCAAAAGCTTCAACAGGGAGCCCTTCCTTCAAAGTAAAAAGAGTAGCAAGACTTCCAACTCCCACAACTCACCGGATGAGGAGGTCCCGCAGCAGAGGAAACTCACAGTGGCCCGGGTTTTCCACTGAAAGGAAAGCGCAGATGACAGCTGAACATTTTCAGTGACAGCGAGGCAAATGTGTCAGAAGGGGACAAGGATGGACTGAGCCAGGTGTCTCTGTTGCTCACCCCACCCAAAGCTTGAAAGAGCAGTTCCATGCCATCTCATAGCAGACTTCCCTAACCAGATGTTTGTGGCCTACAACTCCCATCATTCCCAGCCAGCATGTACATTTTGGAGTACAACTCCCATGAGGCCCAAACAGCATGGGCTGATGGGAGTTGTAGTCCAAGACAGCTGGGTCGAGGAAGGCTGCCTTGTAGGAACATGAGCTAAGAAGAGCCCTGCTGGATCAGACAAAGTGTCCCTCTCTCCTGCTTTCAGCATCGCCCCCAGCTCCCCAGCTGCTGAGTTGGGTCTAATCGGGAGATCATAATGCAATGCTTTGGAACAGGGGTCAGCAAACTTTTTCAGCAGGGGGCCGGTCCACTGTCCCTCAGACCTTGTGGGGGGCCAGACTATATTTTGAAAAAAAATATGAACAAATTCCTATGCCCCACAAATAACTCAGAGATGCAATTTAAATAAAAGGGCACATTCTACTCATGTAAAAACACGCTGATTCCCAGACCGTCTGCAGGCCAGATTTAGAAGGCGATTGGGCTGGATCTGGCCCCCGGGCCTTCGTTTGCCTACCCATGCTTTGGAAGGTCCGGGCTCCCTAGAGGTACGCCTGCAAGGAGACTGCTTAACACCAGAGGGCAGCAGATTTCTAAATACAAGCCAGTGGAGAGTGTTTGTGGTGGTGTGGAGGGATGGGGAGAGACAGCTGGAAAGTATGAAGGCAGTTCTGGTCAGGAACTTCACTTAGCCCTTAAGATCTTCCTGCAAGCTACAGCAGAGCTGGGCCAGTCCTTGATTCCCGATCCTCACTAGTGACACACTGGGAAATCAGCAGAACAAGCTCAGATGGCGCCACCCAAATGAGGAGGCCTGCAATGTAGAACCCACAACTGCAACCTTTAGCAAGTTAAAACTAAATTTGGTGAAGCAACATCAAAATTCAACCTGGTGAACCGACAACATGTCTGCAACTCAGTGGCAGATGACATGGTCACAGGAACCTATACTGAATCAGACCAATTGGCCTCTCTCTGTCTCTACTGTCTACACTGACTGGAAGCATCTTCCCAGGGTTTCAGGCAGGGGACATTCCCAGCCCTACCTGGAGATGACGGGGATTGAACCTGTGACCTTCTGTCTGCAAGGCAGGTGCTCTACCGGTGAGTTATGGCCCTTCCCCAGAATTCTCGCAATCTGTGCAACTCCTCAAGGCATGAGCCCTCCAAGGCATAGGAAGCTGCCTTAGAGCAAGACTCCATCTAGCTCAGTGTTGTCCTCACGGACTGGCAGGGGCGTTCTGGGATTTCAGACTGAGGGCATTCCTAGCCCTACCTGGAGATGCTGGGAACTGAAACCAACACTTTCTTTTGTGCAAGCCAGATGTTCTGTCACTGAGCTGTGGCCTTTCCCCTTGGATCTCTAGGTAGGGAGATCTCACTCCTTGGGGCCATCAGGTAGGAACGGGAAAGACCCTGGAGAAATTCTGGTGAACGGCTGCCACTCAGGGCTCGTCCACACTTCTGTGTGACTCATGCCTAGAAATCATGAATCCAACCATTTTTGCTTTCACCCCACTGCTTCCCCCCAGAAAACCTGCTCTTTAGTGCTAAATCAGAGCAAACATCAGTCTGGAGAAAACCCGGATGATGTTTGCTCCAATTCAGCAGTAAAGATTGGCTTCCCAGGGGGAAAGCAGGGCGTAAATGCAGGTCTGGGTCAGCCCTTAGTGTTGACAATACTGAACGAGATAGACCAATGGCTTGACTTGGTACTATGAGGGAACTTCCTATGTCCCTGTGGATTGCAATGCATTCTACGTGGGGCTGCCCTTGAGGATGGTTTGGAAAACTTCCACTGGGGCAGAATCTGTCAGCTAGAACAGTTTTGGGGGTGAGGCATTTGGGTCAGATCACACTATTGCAAGCCAGTCCACAGGATCTAGCGCTATTGCAGGCAGTTCACACAAGCATTTATTTTGATGTGCCAAACAGGATTAATTTGGGGTGAGGATTCTGGATGTCCCTGGGAAACAGGGGTGCTTCTGTGCACGAGAGCACGGCACTCTGACAATACAGCTCAAAGGCAGGAAAAAAATTCCCCTGCTTGATTCTTGTTCCGCCAAAGCACCTCTCCCTCTGCTTTTGGCCAGCATCCTTTTCCCCCCAGGTGGGAGTAGCAGGACTATGCTGGCCCGTGGATGGGGCAGATTGCTGCTGTCAGTGTGGAATGCACCGTGGGGTGGTGGGGAGGGGAGTGGAAAACCATGCTCTGCAGGTTGAACTCTGCGCCTAAGATTGGAGAGGAAGCAGAGCAAGACTCCCCCAGATGCCTCTCTCCTGGGTGAGCAGTTGGCAGGAGGACCCAAAGCCGCAGAAGCTGTCTTATACCAAGCCAGCGCATTGGGCCGTCTAGCTCAGTATATTGCTTACAATGACTGGAAGCAGCTCTGCAAGGTTTCAGGCAGGGGGTCTCTCTCTCCCTTCCCCAGCCCTACCTGGAGATGCTGGGGATTGCACCTGGGACCTCCTGCAGGTAAAGCAGATGCTTTGGCACTGAGCTATATGATCCTTCCTTGAAAGTAAGTTTCTAGTCCTCATGATCTGGACTAAAGAGCTGATTTAAATAGGAACATAGGAAGCTGCCCTTATGTGGAGCCAGAACATTGGTCCTCCTAGCTCAGTATTGTCTATACCAGGGGTCAGCAAACTTTTTCAGCAGGGGGCCGGTCCCCTGTTCCTCAGACCTTGTGGGAGGCCGGACTATATTTTGAAAAATAAAAATGAACGAATTCCTATGCCCCACAAATAACCCAGAGATGCAATTTAAATAAAAGGGCACATTCTACTCATGTAAAAACACGCTGATTCCTGGACCGTCCACGGGCCGGATTTAGAAGGTGATTGGGCCGGATCCGGCCCCCGGGCCTTAGGTTGCCTACCCAGCAACTCTCCAGAATTTCAGGCAGCCTGAAGAGAGCCTGGGGATTGAACCTGGGATCTTCTGCATGTAAAATGAGATGCTCTGACACTGAACTACAGCCCTTCCCTCCAACCTGCACAAGTTCTCCTCCAGGGCTTCCCCAGTCCAGAAGGGTTTACCTTCGATGATCCCCCACTTGGTCTTGCGGCCCAGGACTTTCTTCCCGTTCACCTGGTGCTCCTTGTCGGCTCCCACCACTGCAAAGGGGATTTTCTCCTGATTAAGAGAATGAGAGGGACATCAGTCCAGGGAAGAACAAGGGTGTTTCTCCCCCTGCCGCCACACCTTTTCTTGGAAAGCTCTAGTATTACAGCACTTGAAGTGAAAAATGTGTAGATGCTGTTAAAGGAGCAGAACACCATCTTCCCTGCCTTGTTAGTGAACATCTGGTACTTGCAGACTGTGGATGGTGCTGATAATGGGTTGGTTCCATTATCTTTGAGTTTTGTTTTTTTAAACAATATGTAATTTTTGTGAAATGAAATAAATAATAATAAATAAATTAGCACAACATGGCTAGCACCACCACCATGCCTAAACACTAGGTTTTTTTAAAAGAACACAGAACTTCAGCTGAACTGAAGCACACTTCCATTTCCTACTGGAATCCTGAAAAATGTTTTTTTTTAAAAAATAATTTCTTTTCTTTTAATTTGCTTTTGGAGGGACACTTCAAAGCCTGGGCCCTCTGGTAGACCTCAAGGCAACCAATGTTTCCCTCCTTCTGTTTACTGAACTGCCTTTATCCTGGATGAGACCCGGCCAATCAGGGATTGCGTCGTTGATAGGGAGTGTGTCAGAATACCACACAGTCCTTTACATTTTGCTTTCACTGAGAGCAAACTGAATATATCTGAGAGGGAGGACCCTGCTCCCTAGACTTGGCCTATGGATAATCCCAGTCAATCAGGGATCACATAGCAAAAGGAAGTAGGCCACAATGCTATATAGCCAATCAGATTTGGCTATGTTTGAAGGCACATAATGCTGATTCAAACAGAGGGTACTGTTTTCTGAAAAGGCAAATACTTCCAACGCAATATTATAAAAGAAACAAATCACCTGTGTGTGTGTGTGTGTGTGTGTGTGTGTGTGTATGTAAAGAGACAAGAGAGAATACAGTCGTACCTTGGTCTTCAAACAGCTTAGTTCCCGAACGTTTTGTCTCCCGAACGCTGCAAACCCGGAAGTAACTGTTCTGGTTTGCGAACTATTTTTGGAAGCCAAGCTTCCTGCAGCCAATCAGAAGCCGTGCTTTCATTTTCAAACATTTTGAAAGTCGAAAGGACTTCCGGAACGGATTCTGTTCGACTTCCAAGGGACGACTGTAGTGCCAACAATGTATTAAAGAGAAAAAGCACCAAACAACTCTTAAGTCAATTTCTCCCCTTTCCAGATTGCCAGCACTTACCCGTATTTTGTCGTTCAAAAGCCTGTCATCGGGGTCGCTATCCAAGTCCTCTTGGGGGTAAACATGGATTCCGTGGGCCTTCAAGTCATCCTGAATCTGCCAAGAGAAAAGTTTTTGGCACTGAGACCAGAACTCCCCCTTGCTGACTTGGAAATGTACCTTCTTCGTGGCCAGGGCAAAGGAAAGTTATGTGAGCAAAGCAAATTCAAGCCCAGTGTGTGGTGATACTCATGAGGAGCCTACAGGGTGCCAGGGTCTCTCTCCTGCTTTCCGCCTTGTCTTTGCACCACTTTGCACAAACAGCAGAGAATCTCCTTCTGGCTTGCACCATGTCAGAGTGCAGGTGGGTAAACAGATGCTTGCTGAGCGCTACAGACACTTGAGGGTTTCATTCCACCTGCATTTTAAAGCAAACTAACATGATTTCACATTTCCTGGACTGACACGCAGATTGGAAGGCAGCTGTTAGGGACCGTGAGAAGGGCTGCCGAGAGTGGACTTGGGTGCCGGTGAAAAAATGTTTTTGGGCCCCCCAGCAAGGGTGGACCAGCTAAAAATCTTTACATAGGATATAAAATCAAAGTGTGACCTTGATTTTATGCTAATAATAAAAATGACAATATTCATACCTGCTGAGAATATTATGATCGTAACAACTAATATAAGTGAGATATACCCACACGATTGTTGCTGAACTAAGCATGCACTTCAAACATTACCCTTCTATGTGTAACACAACACACGTATCACACAACAACTTGGTTGTACAGTATTCACATGGTGTTCTCTTACAAAACCACACAAATGCGACCGTGCACAGTATGAAGAGACTGCAGTCTTGTACTGTCAAAGTGAAGAAGCGAATGTTTAGTCAGAACTGCCGTTATTCGGAATTGGGAATGTGTTGAACATGAAATATATATTTTGTTAAGAATGACATGACTCTGTCATGTACTGTGCCTGGAAAGGAAGGGGCAAAAGTTAAGTGTGGATTTAAGTCCAGTTTTGCAATTAAGCTGTCTGTAGATCTTTCTGACTAAATAATAAAAAAATAACAGTGCAATTCTAATCGTGGGTGCTTCCAGACCATCAATATTTTGGGGGAAGGATTCATCACATAATAGCAAAGTCAGGCTGCGCAATTAACAGTTGATTGGGAGGTCTTGCGCAACAAACCCATTTCCTGAAAAAGGTCAGACTTTGCGTAGTAAGGAGAACGACGGAAAGCTGCCTTGGGAAGCATGTGGGATAACATTTGCTTTGACACAACCCTGCAAACAGACCAGAATGGGAACTCATTAAAAAGCCAACGCTCTCTTATCTCCATACAAGCAAATCAGGATGAATGATCAATAAATAGGTGGTCTGGAAGCACCCTTGTGTCTACTGAGAAGCAAATCCCATTGGATTCAATGGGGCTTACTCCCAGGTATGCAGGGCTAGGATTGCAACCCAAATTTGAGGAAACTTTGCCATTGCCTTCTGCTTCCACCAATGCTCTTCTTACCCTCCGTTTGAACTCTGCGCGTTCCTCTAAGGTCAGAGTGTCGGCCTTGGCGATCACAGGCACAACGTTGGTGATCTTGCTGAGCCGCCTCATGAACTCCAGATCCAAGGGGCGCAACCTGACGGGAGAAATACAGGAAGTCTCTTGCAGCAGTGATGTAAAGGGCCAGCTCAAGACATTACATTCTATTACATTCTATTGACTGCATTTATATCCAATATAAATGCATTTACTGCATTTATATTGCATTTGAACTGTGATCTCCTCCCAGGTCCTAGTCTGACACCCTAACCACTTCACTTCCACTGGCTCATTTTGCAGCCTGGGGTGAAGGGGAATACAGTGGTACCTCGGGTTACACACGCTTCAGGTTACATACGCTTCAGGTTACAGACTCCGCTAACCCAGAAATAGTGCTTCAGGTTAAGAACTTTGCTTCAGGATGAGAACAGAAATTGTGCTCCAGCGGCACGGTGGCAGCGGGAGGCCCCATTAGCTAAAGTGGTGCTTCAGGTTAAGAACAGTTTCAGGTTAAGAACAGACCTCCGGAACGAATTAAGTACTTAACCTGAGGTACCACTGTATGCTCCTTGCACCTGAAGAAGTGGGGCTCTGCTCTTTGAAAGCTTACACATAATAACATTCCTCAGTTCTGCAATACTCCTTGATGATAATGCCCTATAGAAGTTACCCCTTAAAAATAAAATAAAATAAAATAAATTTATTACAAGTTTAACCTAACAAAAAAGGGGGGAAAAGAAGAAAAATAAACCACCAGCCCACATTAATAATACAATGGCCATCAATAAATCTATCTCAGTTGATATTAGCCATCCAAATGTCCCAATAAATATTAAAACAAATTTGATGTTGAAATATGTTTAATTGTAGGAGGGGCAGTAAGGTCCTTCAACCCTGCATAATTGATGGTGGGTATTTGTCCTTCTAGGCTTGAAGTATAAGGTCAGATCCTTACCATACAATTACCACACTTTGAGAGTCATGTCTTCCCCCCGAGAATCTTGGGAACTGTAGTTTGTTGAGGGTGCTGAGAGCTGCAATTCCTCTCCCAGAGCTACAATTCCCAGAGTGGTTAAACCATCAATCCTTCTTCCCAAGCAACTCTAGGAATTGCAGCTCCATGAGGGGAATTGGGGTCTCCTTAAGAACAATACCACCTTTAATAAACTACAGTTCCCAGGATTCTCTGGGGGAAGCCAGAGTGGTATGATGCTGCTTTAAATACATTCTGCGGATGGAGCCAATGTCTCGGCTGCCAGAAAGGCTCAGAACGTTCCCATCTTGCTTGTGGAAAGATTGGGAGTGTGTTTGTGACATGTTACCTGGCCTTACTGCCCAGCCACCCCATTACTTGAGGAAGCTGGAAGTTACCATCACACTCGCAGGGTCTGTTGTGTCATTTAATCCAAGTATTTAAGTCTGAAGTTGCTTTGAGTCGGCGAAATCTCCCTGCCAGCCAAAGAGAGATTATTCTGTCCGTTTGTATGCAAAAGCCCTCGTGTTGAGAAACTGGAGATCCATTTTCTGGCAAACAACTAAACAAGAGTGGCTGCTACTGATGGGATTTATTAGGAAAGATGCCACTCTCTGCTTCTGAGCTGCGGCTTAATCTGAAGGTGGATAAATCAAGACAGGCTGCATGCTTTTCTTCAATCACGACCATTTGCTAATCAGCGTCCTCCGAATGGATCGCTCTTTCCCGTAAACTCACGTAACTAATTTTAATGGGGAGCCTAAAATCTGATACAGAAGGTCTTGCCACTGACACGGAAGAGTCAGCCTCGACTCCTTCCCAATATCATGCTATGAAGAAATCTGAGCAAGGGCTTCTTTGTACCATTGGAAGCCTCGGTCTATTGGCCTGCATACTTGGTGTTTGCAAAAGAGATGTCGTTTGGAGTCATGTGCCCTGGGCTCTTGCGGCAAGGGATGGCAGGGGGCCTTTGGAATTGGGAGCGTGGAAGGCAGGGAGCCCAAGAATAGGTGCAGCCAGAGCCAATGACAGGTGGAGCCAACTAATTCTAGTTCGGCCCCTGTTCACGTCACTCCTGATGAACTCTACAAGGGCAACAACCAAGACTGAGAAAGGAAGCAGCCAAGGCCACTGTACTGGCTGTAAATGAGCAGGAAGGGAGGTGAGGGCTGGCTGAGGGCAGACCGAGGTTGGTGAGGCACTAGGAAACAGGCCAGCCTCCACAGGGCAGGGATGAGGAACTGGATCCGGCTACTGGGCTGGTCCCTCCCCTCCTCGAACCTTGCAGGTCCCTCCGGTAGGTAGCCACCCACCTGTCAACTGCCTGATGTCATCAAGTGTTTTTCCTTCCTCCTGCATGGTTTATTTTGCTAAAGATTTTCTTGATTTACAAAAGTGTGTGCAATGTCTCTCTCTCGTATTCCCCCCCCCCATATAAAATGTTTACAAATCAGTTTCATTTGTTGACACAGCCAACCACAAATGAACAACCACACCCTAGGCCAACCCCAACCTTTCTCACCACCGAAGGAACACAAGTGAACTGCAAAGAACCTGCACAAGCAACGCTGACACCAAACCAAACCCTACATATAGTAAGTAAAATAGAAACATCGCCACCCGACCTCACCCCCCCATCTCCCCCCCTTTCTTCCTCCTGCATGGTTTGAAATCAAACTGCGTGGGGATCTGTGGATACTGCTGATCACCTCATCATGGTGCTTGCAAACCCTGCTTTTGGCAGGAAGCCACATCCTGACAGAAGCAAGGGGGCCACAGCACAGAGAAGGCACAACTTCTCATTGGAATCCCCTCTAGAGAAAACATAAGCTTTGGAGTGTGGGCGCAGCTGGCTGCAGGGCGTTCAGTGGGGCTATGCTGGGAGGGATGGCCATTTATTTTGCCTCCCAGCCAGTGATGCAGTCATGGGAAGCTCAAGACCCATTACTATTTTTGTAGTAGGAGCCCTGTCTCCAGTGCCCCAGAGCTGCCCAATCAACATGAAAGGGGGGGGGGGGCTTCCTTTTTTAAGCCACTGAGAAGTCATGTCAACCTCTGTGCTGATGAGAGCCAATCAGAGTGAAATGAGTTGAGTCGGTAACAGAGGATTGGCTCCTAGGGTCACTCTGGAGAAGGTGTCAGAAAGAACGCCGAGGAGTTGTTCTGTATGCTCCAAAGCCAAGCACTTAGGAACACTGAAAACACAAGGGGTGCTTCAGATTCAAGAGCACAGTGCGCATGTTCTGTTTCATACAATGGAACTTCCAAAGTTGCGCCGAAAGAAGATATCAGAGCACTCCAAATCATTTGCCCATGCAGGTGCTGAAAGGCAACTGTTCTGTACTGAGTTGAATAGGATCCAAAAGGCAGCAGTATGATTGGTCCTAGAACAATAGGATTCAGAATGCAGCAGTCTGATTGGTCCTAGAACAAAAGGGTCCAGAATGCAGCAGTCTGATTGGTCCACAGGTGAATCCCGGAATTAGCCAATCACGTGGGGCCCATTGTGTAAATAATGTATCTAAAGCAGACATTCTGGGGGAACTTCCATTCTTCCTCACCACTATGAGCTGAATAAAGAGCATGAAATCCACTCTCGACTCCGAGTACATTTCAGCAACACACGGAGATCTGCACTGATTGTTGCAATGCATCCCGCACTGCTATTTAATAATTATGGAATTATTAGATAATCTTAGAAGGGGCATGCTGTGAGGGGGTAGGGCTGTGACTATCAGAAGTACACGTCCTTCTGGATTTGCCACTACACCACTGCTCTCAGCCCACGCCCACTGCAAGAGCAAGGTGTCCTGGGAGTGTTCTCACCTCCCTCAGTGACTGAGAGCACTCCCTGCCCCACCCTCCAGCAGCCCACTCCTCTCTCCTGGAAGCCAGTGGATTCTTGGCCTCAACACAACTTTCTCCTCCCACCTATGCTGGGTGGAGCAGGGAGAATGGCGAGGAAGCAGCTGTGGGACAGATGTTGGAAAAGGAGCGATGGGGCTAACGGTACCCACACACGGAGGGAGAGGAGGGGATGGGGGACAAGGAGCCTGGCAGACATTTTTATGATTTTGTTTTAATTGAAAGTGACAGGCATTCCTGGCGAATACGAAGGTATGCCTAAGTCAGCCCCGGTGTGCTTCTCTGTGGTGCCCGCAGGCTCAGCTGATGGGACATTATTATGATTATTTATTATGTTTCCTGCATTATTATTATTATTATTATTATTATTATTATTATTGCTGCACCAAGGGGTCTCAAAGCAACTTACAGAATGGAAGTAGAAAAAGCATAGGCTTTCAAACTAGACACACCAAGGGGCAGGGTGGGGCCTAATATAAATTTCCAAGAGCAGAATTCATAGTGTCTACACTGGTTTTTTCCTCGACTCAGCGGGGAAATGGGGAACCTGTGGCCCTGCAAATGCCCACCAGCCCCAGCCAGCATCGCTGGAGACAGGCTCCCACAACCTATGGAGGGCTACAGGATCCCAGTCCTGCCCTACACTCTGTTGCAAGCAAAGTGACAACACTTGCAATATGTTACCTGAACCGATGGAGGGTGGGGGTGATAGACAGAAAGGCAGCCTACTCTTCCCTGGCTGATTCCTTCCTGAGTAACTTTGTCTGTGGGTTTTCTCTCAGGCTTTTCATATTCCTGCCATGGGCCATCCTTTTATTAACTTCTCGACTCCATGACGGCTACATGTAAGCTTGTGGTTGCTTGCTACAAGCACTAAGACTTAAGTTTCTTTATCCTTAAGGAATAACATCAACTCCTGACAGACGGAACACAGGAAGTCATTAAAAAATATTGAATTCGGAACTGGTTAATTGGCTTTTTTGATTGTATTATGATTTGGTATTGTATTCATGTGGCCTCCGTTGGATTTTTATGAATGAAAAATAAATTATTATTTTTTAAAAAAAGTTTCTTTATCCTTTCCACCAGCTGTTTTACTAGACTACTTATTTCTGCGCTCTCGCTCTCTCTCTCTCTCTCTCTCTCTCTCTCATATTCCAACACACCCAAGAATGCCTGATGATAACGAAATAAGAGTATCTTTAATGCAAGATCTTCTTCACCATCAGAGATAAAGTGGGTGAGGTCAGGGAGAAAACGATGACTCTTATCACCTGTACTTGCCTCCCTACCCCCACCTGCAAGAAGGGCTTACCAGTGGCCCGTTGGTGGCACAAAATATACACAGGCATGGACTCGGGTGTCAGGGATCTTCCGTTTGCGGTTGATGAGGATCTCTTCTCTCAGGTATCGCTCGTACTGGTCGTTGATATATTCGATGATTGGGTCCCAGCTATGGGGAAGGAGAGAGGGTGATTCTTATGCTCAGAGAAAATTCTCCCTTCAAGTTGCTCCTCTCCTGGCATGTGAGAAAGGAAAACCATGTCTGGGAACTCTGGAGGAAGGAGAACAGGCAGTGGTGTGGGGAATAATTTGGAGTAGAGAAACTCTGCAGTATAAATGAGGTTAAGCACACCCTTCCGCCATCACCTCTCTGTTCAGAACAGGGGTCAGCAACCTTTTTCAGCTGTGGGCCGGTCCACTGTCCCTCAGATCATGTGGTGGGCCGGACTAAATTTTGAAAAAACAACAATGAATGAATTCCTATGCCCCACAAATAACCCAGAGATGCATTTTAAATAAAAGCACACATTCTACTCATGTAAAAACATGCTGATTGCTGGACCATCCGCGGGCCAGACTTGAGAAGGCGATTGGGCTGCATCTGGCCCACAGGCCTTAGGTTGCCTACCCCTGGTTCAGAATCACCCCTAAGAAAAGAAAGCTTCACATGCACATATCCTCGTAGCAACAGTTTTGGAGTAGAAGGCTCTGCTTTGCGCATTTACTCAGAAATCAGGTGTGCTATGCTCACACAGTGGCAAATTCAGGTTGTGTGGCTCCAGTCGATTGGGAAGACTTGTGCATCTGCACCCCCCCCCCCCAAAAAAAAAAGATTGGACTCTGTGCACTAAGGAAAGGGGGGGATGCACTGGAAAGTGTGTGATGACACTTGCTTGATGCAATTATGAGGAACGGCTAAGGGAGCTGCCTTATGAGGAACGGCTAAGGGAGCTGGGCATGGTTAGCCTGGAGAAGAGGAGGTTAAGGGGTGATATGATAGCCATGTTCAAATATATAAAAGGATGTCACATAGAGGAGGGAGAAAGGTTGTTTTCTGCTGCTCCAGAGAAGCGGACACGGAGCAATGGATCCAAACTACAAGAAAGAAGATTCCACCTAAACATTAGGAAGAACTTCCTGACAGTAAGAGCTGTTCGACAGTGGAATTTGCTGCCAAGGAGTGTGGTGGAGTCTCCTTCTTTGGAGGTCTTTAAGCAGAGGCTTGACAACCATATGTCAGGAGTGCTCTGATGGTGTTTTCTGCTTGGCAGGGGGTTGGACTCGATGGCCCTTGTGGTCTCTTCCAACTCTATGATTCTATGATTCTATGATTCAATGCTGTATTACAAAGAAATCTGAACGAATGCTCAAAAATAGCGGAGAGCGTCCCATCTCCCTGGAAACAAATCAGGAAGAATGTTTGATAAACAGTTTGTCTGGAAGCAAACCCCAATTTATAAAAGGCAAAAGACAGAAGCCCCACCAATGTTTCATGTACACCTCAGAAACACTTTTAACGGTTGTGTTGTTTCCACTCCTAGTGCAGCCCCTTTCCCCAAGAAAGAGAAGTGAAGCAGCAATCAGTTCTCTCTCATACCAGTTTTGATTGTTAATCTGATCCCCAAATCCTGGCGTGTCTGTCACCGTCAGCTTCATCTTCACACCCTTCTCTTCAACGACTGTTGGGAAACAGAGCGAAACGGTGTTAGTTCACTGCCTCTGAGGGGCCCTTCTCATCCCAAAGGGAAGCTCGCCTACTTCCTTCTCGCAAAATGTGAACTTAAAATTTGAAATATGAAAAACTGAGAGCAAAACTGATGGATTTATCCTGCCTTCTCTAACACAGAAGTCTCTCTCACATACACGGCTTCCATAGAGCTCCTCAGAGACTCACTGCGCATGCCCCCATGCCCTCTTCCCCTCCCTCCATGGAGTAAGAGAGGATTCTTCCCCGTTTTGCCTGCAGACACTTTGGGCTTGCCTAAACTTCCACTTGTTCTGTGCCCTGAAAACATCGGACTGAGCGTTTTTCTACTTGTCCTTTGCTTTTTATAGTTTACCATATAAATAATTTTTGTTGTTGTTGTTAAAAAATAAGAAGACAGGTTTGCATGAAATGCACATGTGCTAATTTATATGCACAGATGCAAAGGAGGCATAGAATTTAAACAGAATGGCAATTCATCTCACCAGAACAGCCAGGTGACCCTGTCTCCCTTGTCTGCCTTGTCTCATGCTAATCAATTCCATCAGCTCATGTGCTTTCCAAACTTTTGTTAGCCATTCTTTCACTGTTGGTGGCGACCTATTCCCCTCCCCCATTTTGCACCACAAGTATGTGAGCAGCTGCTATTAAATTCCACATTAAGTCTTTATGTTTTATTTGTGGATCTAACTAGCCTAATAAAATTATCAGGGAATCCAATGTAAGATGTTATTAATGACTTTGTCTTTACTACCTCTCCCTAAAAGACTGATTTATTCATTGCATTTTACTCAGAATATTTATACAATGGCCTTCAGCAGAGCTTCTAAGACTGAGATGGGGTTCTCAGGGCTAGGAGACAAATATGGCCCCAAAGGCCTTTCCATCCGGTCCCAGCATTAAAAACTCCCATTGTTCTAGGTGCGTTTTGCGACAGGGAATTTCCTTAACGCAAGCAGTATCTGAGCTCTGGGCGTAGTACAGTGGTACCTTGGTTTAAGAAGAGCTTAGTTTATGAACAAGTTGAATTAAGAACGCTGCGAACCTGGAAGTAGGTGTTTTGGTTTGTGAACTTTGCCTTGGAAGCAGAACATGTTTCGCTTCCTGTTGAGTGTGTTCCGTTTGTAAATTGAGTCCCCCGCTGCTATGGGAAAGCACACCTTGGTTTAAGAATGCTTTGGTTTAAGAATGGACTTCCGGAACGGATTAAGTTCGTAAACCAAGGTGCCACTGTACTGCGCCTAAGATTTCAGATTAAAAGTGCCACTGTGGGAAGGAAAGAAGGACCTTTTTCTGCCTCCCCACTTCCAGCCACTCTCTGAAGACTGGAGAGGAGACCCTCTTAAGAATATTAGGGGTGTAGACAGGGGAAATATGGCTTTGCATTTTGCAGGCTTAAGATGAGGACTAGACCATGTGAAAAATGAACATAATATTTTAGCTGCAGTTCATTCATTTTCAGCTTAGTATTCTTGTTATAAAAAAGCGCGCCTAGACAATCCATTGTTGTGCCCATAACCTTGGTTTAAGGTGCCATTTAGCTCCTTGTTTTCATCTCTCAGTTTCTAACACTTTCTGGCCCTCAGAGCTCTCCTTAGGCCACACCCCCTCCTAAGCCACACCCCTCAAGGCTTGATTGGCACCCCCCAAAAAAATCCTCAAGTGATTTTGCTAGGCTGGAACGTGTCCTTGAACCCTGAGAGTTATTCTTGCTTGCCTCAATGGAGGACAGAGAAGGGGGAGTGTGAAATGTGAACTAGCCTAGTGTAAAAAAAGGTAAAAAATTATGGGAATGAGGGCTGATAGTAGGACAAAAGGAGCCACACTAGGTAAATTATGAGTTTATTAGGATTGTGGCTGGCAAGTACAGGAGAGAAGGGGAAGCAGATGTTTCCCTCAGAACACTGAAAGTGCAAAAGAGGAGGCAGCGTGGTGTACTGGTCACAGTGTTGGACTAGAAACTGGGAGACCAGGGTTCAAATCCACACTCAGCCATGAAGCTCACTGTGTGATCTTGAGCCAGTCACACACTCTCAGCCTACGTCACAGGGTCGTTAGGAAGATAAAATGGGAAGGGGGAGATTCATGGATGCTGGCTTGAGTTCCTTGGAAGGGAGGTGCGACATAAATGTAATAACAATAATAATTCTGCCAGGGTCCTCACCGCGAGTGACGGAGAGCAGCTGCAAGGTCTTGGGAATGCATTCCTCGTAACCGGAGCCTGTTGGTTTCCGGCTGACCTTGGATTTGAAGAGCGTGTTCACCATGGTGGACTTGCCGAGGCCACTTTGACCTGCGGGTAAAAGGGCAGAGGAAGAGAAGGCTGTGAAACCAAACCTAATACACTGGCAGCCTTCAGATCTCAGAAGGACTCTTGCACGGGAGAAGATGGAACAAGCATGTTCTTCATTGCTCCAGGGAGGCAGGATTAGAGCAGAGATGGCTAAGAGACCAATTTCAGTGAAATCAGAGACCCTTATTCGCCTCCCAGAGCGACAATCCCCCAGAAACTCTGGAAACTGTAGCTCTCTGAGAGGAACAGAAGAGTCTCCTTACAACTCTCGGCTCCCTTAACGAACTACAGCTCCCATAATTCTTTGGGGGAAGCCCCGGCTGCTTAAAGTGGCATCACAGGGCTTTAAATGTTTGGCGTGGGTGTGGCCTTGCTTGTCTTGGGCTCTGGCTCCACCTAGTGTTGGTCTCCCTGCCGTCTGCCCTACAAGTCTCAACTGGCACATTTCAAGGGCAAGGAGCCACAGGGATGAACAGAAAACTGTAAGCTATGGGGCACAATCCCATCCGGCCAGGACCCCAGGGAGACCTCCTTGGAGGAAGACCCATGAGAAGAACCTGGGTACCAGGAAAAACTTGCTGCAGTCCTAAGGCAACTTGGAGTACTTTGGCCAACCTGGTGCCCTCCAGATGTTGTTGGACTACAACTCCCATAATCCCTTGCCATTGGTCATGTTGGCTGGGGCTAATCAGATGGAGTCCAGCATCTGGAGTGCCACAACTTGAGGGACACTAGTCTAATGGGCATCTTGTCTGCCCCCCTGATGACACCTTCAAATACATAGCAAAACCCTGATATGTCTTTGTTATGTACTGAAGTTCTCACCCTGGACCAGCAGGGGGATATTGTAGATAGTTATGCAAATGAAGGATCGAAAGTGACGTTCAGTGATTGGATAGTTTGTATGCAAATGAAGGATTGAAAGTGACATTCAGTGATTGGATAGTTTTAGAAAATGGCAACAGTTACATTGTTCTGGAGCTCTATATAAGCAGGCTGACTGAGCTCCTCAGTCAGTCCTGTTCCAGCTTACAAATAAAGAGCTGCTTTGGAAGAATCGCTGTGTCGTCTGCTATGTCTACCCACAACTTAACAGTCTTGACTCTTGATTTCCGCCATGGCCCCGACTTCAAAAGTTGAAGGAAATTAACAGCGGCAAAAAGCTGGGTCTTCTGCCTCATTCTGTGACCCTGATCCAAATCCCTCATTTCTTCACAGCTGCTTTTGGGGGTCCTGGCTGGCTGAGACTGTGCCCCATAGCTTACAGTTTTCTGTTCATCCCTGTGGCTCCTTGCCTTTGAAATGTGCTGGTTTTATCATCATGTCTTATCACTACCACCATTATCATTCTGTTATTCCATTGCACATATCTGTGTAGGAGGAAGGAAGCTCTGGAATGATGTCAAAATATCCATCAAGTGGAAGGGAAAGGGAGGAGAATCTCCCATTAGTTTGCCTGATGATGGATGCAGTGGAACCCAGAAGCTTGCATACTCTGCAACCAACCTCAGCTGTTCACACCTAAGATGCTAAAAGGTTTGGTAAAATGTTACTACAAATGTTGGAGAGCCATCTTTATCCACTATGCATGAAACACAACGGCGTTGCTGGTTTTGTCTCTCTCACTTCTTTTAAAAACCCAAATGTTGACTGGGCCTCTCCTTGTCTCTTGTTTACTTCAAGCTCTCCCTGGAGAGGGCTTATCTGGCTTGATAGGGCTTTCCTCTCCCTGTCACAGGCAGCTCCAATCTGCACCCCCATGCTGCCCCTTCCACAAGCACAAACACACCCCTTTTAAGTTCAAAAATGTCAAACTTCTCCGCACGGGAAAAAAATGTTTCCCAGGATTGATTGAAACCAGATGTGCAGCCTCCAGAAAGGGTCGGAGGAGTCACAGCTGGAACAGCTTTTTGCTTTCCTGGTCCTCTATTCCAATTGCCCATCGTGGCTGGATTGCTTTGGCACGGCAGGAAGGGCGCTTGGGCAGACGTCCAGCCTTGATGCCCTACTGATGGGGCAAGGACAAGATCAGGACCAAGAGGGGGTGAAGGAAGAGGCTCCTTCTTTTAGTTATGATGGGGAAGAACTGTGGCAGAGCATCTCTCAGTTCCCAGCATCTCCACATTAAGACTGTGAGAGACTCTTGTCTGAAACCCTGAAGAGTCACTGTCAGCAAGAGTAGTTCAGAGGTGGGGAACTTTAACCATTCAGTCTAATTCGGCCGAGCATGGGTCCCAGTTTGGCCCAGGAAGTCACCCCCCCAAACCCACGCCCAAGAGCTGCCTCAAGGTGTGCTACTGACTGTCCATTGGCAAGTGTTATGTACTGTTGAATAGGATACAAAATGCAGCAGTCTGACTGGTCCTAGAACAATAGGATTCAGAATGCAGCAGTCTGATTGGTCCTAGAACAATGCAGCAGTATGATTGGTCTGCAGGAGCCACCCAATCCAGCTCCAGATGGAAGTGAATCCACAACCTGATTGGCCTACAGGAGAATTCTGGAATTAGCCAATCACGTGCAGCCCATTGTGTAAATAATGTATATAAAGCAGATACTTTGGGGAAACATTCATTCCTCCTCACCACTATGAGCTGAATAAAGAGCATGAAATCCACTCTCGACTCTGAGTATATGAGGCTGTCACTACCCATAAGCTGACTGGCACTGAGAGTACACCTGTGGGGACTGGCTGTATGTACTGTGGAGCTTGCCTAGGGGAACCCAATAGCACAGCCAACCCCCGCAGAAAGCAGGTGGGAAGTTATTGCTGATCAGCCAATAGGCAGCAACTTCAACCCTTCAGTATTTTGTAGGAGCGATTCAAGCACATCCTGGAAATTTAGGTTTCTGAAACTAAAGTGGACTAATGTGCTGGTGCAACAGACCCACTTGACAACAGGCTTTTTGCAGTTAGGAAAGTGATGGTGAAAAGGAATGAAAATTGTGGGATGAACAAACGATTAAGAAGATGCATTGTCGCCAGCCAAGCAAATCAGGGTGAATTCAAGATGAATGCTCGTTGGCATGTAACCACCCTGTAAATAAATCAGAAGGGATGCGCCATGAAGACTGGATATAGTCTAACCCGGGTGTATGTTTTGTGGAAGCAAATCAGGATGGATGCTCACTAAACAGGTCATCTGGAAGGTTGCTGGATAAGATCCAGAGGTGGCGTTACCAGATATCTGCCAGAGCTCTTTTCTTGTTGTGCCTTGCTGCAAATTGTGTGGATCTTTATTTATTTATTTTGGACATGGTTGTTTCTCATCTACATTTCTCCCACAGATGGAATGGTTGGTCTGGCTCTTAGATACTTTACCCTTCTTGGGAGAACTTTTAAATGAACAGGTGTGTTTATTAGGCAGTGCGGCAAAACTTCCTTCCTTCCTTCCTTCCTTCCTCTCTCTGCCTAACGTTAGGGCCAGTCCTGGGAAAGAGGGTGGCCCAGTGAAATGACTATAAGGTCCTTTAGGCAGCAAAATGTCTTGGGCTGGCCTTGCCTGTTCCCCTGTTTCTGTTAAGTACGGTGGGGTTGGTCAGGGAGGAGATCAGGGAGCCATGATGGAAATCCTCTTTAACCCCTTTCTGGTTTTCTGGGGTTTTGCTAGGTGTTCCCTGCACAGGTCCATGTCTCCTTTTGCAACCCTAAGAATGTGTGTGTGTGTGTGCGTTTAAAAAAGTTGAAATTCTTTGAAAGTTGGAATCTGCCATTTTTCTGCGCTGATTCATGGGGCAGATGCCCACAGCCAAGGGGATGTTTCAGTGGTGAATGTGTGTCCTTTCCTCATCCTCTGTGGGATCAAAGAGATGATGCACACCTGTCCTAACTCATGAGCGAGGCATATATTCTTCCTAGCCAACCCCCTCTCCTCTTATCCACTAGGGCCTACAGCCCCTGGCATCTCAGGCCCATCTATTTAGCAAGACAGCCAAGAGCCAAACCCATTTGTCTTGTAGCTGAAGTCCTCCTGGAAAAAAAAAAAATCTCTCGAAAGAGTCTGTCTCCTTGCACCTGTTCTATCAGTTCCTCCTGGACAGGGAAATCCATGATGGGGATTTATCTGACATCTTGCGTGCTGCAGCATTTGCTCGGCACGTCTTCTTCTTTTTTTTAAAAAAATATCTTATCCCCATAATCCTCCCGACTTTCTTCCCTTGAGGATGTTTCAGGCCCCAAACAAAATCATTCTTCTTATTTGGGATCTGCTTTTTTGGCATCTCCGTACTGGCTTCTGGCTTTTGATCTGGAAATATTTATTGCTGAGCGCATCGCAGGGTTGTGGTGGAGGGTGTGTGTGTGTGTGTCTTTGGAGGAGCGCTCTGGACAAAGCCTTTGTCTGCATGGAGGCCAAGGAGAAGAAATTCCAGGAGGCTGGATGGTGGGAAAGGGCACAAGGTTGCTAGGAAAGAGTTAGAGGGTTTGCACGGCAGGCGAGGAGTCCCAGGGAAAAAAAATACACAAAAAGCCTCAGAGCGTCTCCCCCTCCCCACTAACCCAAAGGACGCTGCAGAACGCCAGCTGCAACACTAAAGGTAGTTCAAAGCTTCCATATTTGAGGGTAGCGACTCATGGCCTCTGGGGTAGCACAATGAAAGGGACTAGCAGCTTCTATGAAAGGGAGCCGGACTATGTCCTCTCCAGATTCTGCCCTCCATCCATTTTTAGTGAGTGTATTCTGCAACAAGCCACTTACGCGATAATAGTGATAGATTTATACTGGGCCATGGGGTGTATGGGGTGTTAGGGGAGGGGTAGTACCTCTGGTGGGTGACACGTCATGCTCCTCTTGGGGTAATTTGTTCACCTTTGGTCACCCCACCCAGGACTTAGCTCTCACTTGAAGCTGTCAGCATGTGACAGAGGCGCCTGGGAGACAGCTTTGACTGGCTGGCCAAACTAGGTGAGGGTAGCCGATGGGGCTCAACCTTGCAGGACATCTTGGGGAGAAGAAAAGGCCCAGGAGTAATCCCTACACAAATACCTGCCAAAGGTATTGCTCTGCTTTCCTTTGGACAACATCAGCAAGGCCAAAAGAGAGCCCAGGACCTCCATGCATGCCGCCCAGGCTTGTGTGCCAGGGAAGTCACTTTGGTGCTGTAAATGCAAAGTTTGACTTCACCCCCAGAGGCACACTCCATTGTCTTTTGAGATAGATGGATGCCAACAAAAAAATTATTGTGCATTGTAAGACTCAGAGAAGTGCACATTTTTAAGGAGGGTTGTGTTCTGGTTCACATACCTTTCTGGAACGTGCAAATTAGGTGGGTTCACCTTGAAATGCGAGCTGAATCAAATTTCTTCTGCTCCCTATTCCCACACAAAGCCCCCTCCCCCTTTTTATCCTCCCTTTGGCTTTCTCCCAAATGCTGGTCTCTTCTTTATTCATCCTTTCACACATGAGCTCAGCTTTACAGCTGCAGGCACTCGGCCTGCCCTTTGCCCAGTTGCATCTCCAGGGACGCCAAATTCTGCCGTGTCAACAGATTTGCTGGGGAGGCCTGGAGACGGTGACCATGACGTGGGCAGAGGAGAAAGACGGTGCCTCCATTTCCTTGCCCACGCTCTCCCCTGCTGAGGGGAAACTATGAGCAAACTCAGCCTCCTGAGCTCTCGACACCTGCAATGCTCTAAAAGCCTTACAGGGGAGGAAGTTCACAACACAGCCTTCATCCTGGCTTCAAGAGAGGGTTGGCTGTGGGTCCTGTGTTATGGAGCACAGCCCTCTATTTGAAGGCCTCCTGAAATGCTGCCTGGTCCAAGTCTGCCTTAAAGATCAGGCACTCGAAGAAAAAGAAGAAAATGAGTTTGGATTTGATATCCTGCTTTATCACTACCCGAAGGAGTCTCAAAGCGGCTAACATTCTTATTTCCCTTCCTCCCCCACAACAAACACTCTGTGAGGTGAGTGGGGCTGAGAGACGTCCGAGAAGTGTGACTAGCCCAAGGTCACCCAGCAGCTGCATGTGGAGGAGCGGGGAAGTGAACCCGGTTCACCAGATTATGAGTCCACCGCTCTTAACCACTACACCACAAGTCACTTATCCACAGCATCTGGACCACAGACTTAGCAACTGCAAAGGTTCCCTGATCGCAGTCTTTCCTGCTAAGATGAAATGCACTGCATTTCTATTTAAAGGGTGATAATTATTTCTAAATATGCACACCTCTCTCTCTCTCTCTCTCTCTCTCTCTCTCTCTCTCTCTCTGTGTGTGTGTGTGTTTTTAAAGACTTCCAGAGTACAGGGAGGCTCTTCTAAGGAGAACGAAGCTCTGGCATATATCTCTAGGAATTAAGCCCTGTATCACCCCAACGCCAGGCCTTCCCATCTGACGAAGCCTGAGGGTGGCTCACAGCACCTGCTACTCACCTACAACCATGATGTTGAATTCGAAGCCGGTCTTCATGGTCTTGATCCGCATCTGGTCCATCACGGCCTCGATCCCCACATAGCCAAAGAGCTTCTGGTCTCCTGTGCTCACGGAAGGGCCATCCCGGGATAGCTGCTCTCTTGCCGGCTGCTCCTCCATGCTCCTCCGCTGAGGCTCAGGGCTACTCTCTGAAAGCGGAAGAGAGAAGGGAAACCTGAACCAGATACTCCAGGTGGGACAGAAGTTCCTCCACGCGACTTACTCTTCCCCTTCTTCTTGATCCGGTTGCCCGGCTGTACTTCTGAGAATGTGTATTGTGCACAGAACAGAAAGTCAGTTTAACTGACCAAAGTGCTTTATTTCTCTCAGTCCCTCAAAACAGAGGGGTCTGTGAGCCACCAGCGGTCTGTGAGCTTCATTCAGGCAGTCCATGGCGTGTCAACAGCAAGTATTCATATTTATTTCTATCTGTATTCCAAATGCTTTCTTTTGTTTCCTATATTGTATTTTATTGCACTACAGCGCAAATTGGAATACAATGCAAGAAAGAAAAGAAGCAACATGGATACAATTAAACATCGCACAGCACATTGCAGGCAAATAATAAAGAGGCCCGACAAGACCGCCTGCAATTTTCTAGTGGTCCGTATGTGTGCGCGCATATGTGTGAGGTTTTTGGGAACTATTGTCCTAAAAGAAGCAGGGGTGCAGCTTTCAAGGAGACAGGGAGCCCAACGCTGAGCCTGGGCTGCCTACTCTTCCTATGTTCACCTACGGAACTCAAGGCCACAATACGAGGTGATGGCCGCCAGCTGAAATGCTGTTCAAAGGGATTCAAATTCACGGAGGAGGAGGTTGAGGCTACATGCTGATGGCTGCTGGACACAATGGCAACAGGGAACCTCCGTGTTTGGGGTAGTCTATCTCTGAATATCTCTGAATGAGGGACACGGGTGGCACTGTGGGTTAAACCACAGAGCCTAGGACTTGCTGATCAGAAGGTCGGCGGTTCGAATCCCTGCGATGCAGTGAGTTCCCGTTGCTTGGTCCCTGCTCCTGCCAACCTAGCAGTTTGAAAGCACATCAAAGTGCAAGTAGATAAATAGGTACCGCTCCGGTGGGAAGGTAAACGGTGTTTCCGTGCGCTGCTCTGGTTCACCAGAAGCGGCTTAGTCATGCTGGCCACATGAACTGGAAACTGTACGCCAGCTCCCTCGACCAATAAAGCAAGATGAGTGCCGCAACCCCGGAGTCGGTCACGACTGGACCTAATGGTCAGGGGTCCCTTTACCTTTACCTATCTCTGAATATCTGCTAGTGGGGAGCAACAGCTGGAGAAGGCCTTCTTGCCCTTCTCATGCGCTTCCCAAAGGCATCAGGTTGGCAAGCACAGGAATCAGGGGCGCTGGACTTTGGTCTGTATCCAGCAGGGCTCTTCTTTATATTCTCTTCCCCCTACAAGGTCTGTTTGCAGCATTTGGGACATTTTAGTTGAGAGAAAAGGCTAGTAAGAGGGGACATGACAGAGGCATATAAAATGGCACGAAGGAATGGGTAATGTTTTTCTCACTCTCTTGTAACACTTGTGGACGTCCAATGAAGCTACATGTTAGAAGATTCAGGATAGATGAAAGAAAGTCCTTCACAGAGCATGTATTGATGGCCACCAACTTGGATGGCTTTAAAAGAGGATTGCACAAATTCAGGGAGGAAAAAGCTACCAAGAGCTACCAGCCTCTGCTCCATGGACAGAGGCAAAAATTCTTCTTAATATCAGTTGCTGGAAATCACAGGAAGGGAGAGGGCTCCTGTGCTTTAGAGTTCCCCACAGGCATCTGGGTGGCTTCTGTGAGAACAGGATGCTGGACTAGGTGAGCCATTGGCCTGATCCAACAGGATCTTCTTATGTTCTTTCCCCACCACCTCCTATACTTATGTTTGCATGAGACCCGAGGAGAGAGAGCAAATCGTGTTTCAGTTCCACTGATTTAAATGTGTTTACTCTGAGTAGGCCTAGAATTGGATGCAGTCCCCCTGCTTCTTTTATCTCACTTCCAGAGAACCTCCAAAACTACCAGGGGAACTTTGCAAAGTAGGGATCTCTATTTGCCTCCTAGCCATGGGGTGAGGGGGAAAGGCCTTGGGAGCATCTGACAACTGCACTGCAGCAGGGCCTCAACCGCAGCCAAGGACACACAATCACAATGTTCTGGAGTTGGAAAGGACCAAAGGAGTCATCTTCCAGCAATGCAGGAACCTTTTGCCCAACGTGGGGCTCGAACCCACAACCCTAAGATTCAGAGTCTCATGCTCTACCGACTGAGCTAGTATGAACATCTAGATTAGTGCTGTCTACACTGACTGGCAGAAACTCTCTAGGACTACTGGGAGATGCTGTAGACCAGGCATAGGCAAACTCAGCACTCCAGATGTTTTGGGACTACAATTCCCATCACCCCTGACCACTGGTCTTGTTAGCTAGGGATGATGGGAGTTGTAGTCCCAAAACATCTGGAGGGCCGAGTTTGCCTATGCCTGCCGCAGATGGAACCTGGGGCCACTGCATGCAAAATAAAAACACTACCACTGTGCTTCTCTCTAGCAACATAGGAAGCTGCCGTATACTGAGTCAGATCAAGTCTATCTAGCTCAGTATTGTCTATCTAGCTCAGTATTGCTCTCCAAAGTTAAAGGCAGGGATCTCTTCCAGCCCTGCCAGGAGCCCCTAGGGATCGAAACTGGGACCTTCAGCAAATGCTCTACCATGCAGTGATGACATCTTCACTCTACTGAGTCAGACCTTTGCTACAACTAGCTCAATGTTGGTTATGCTAGCCACCCTCCAACCTTTTCAGGCCCACTTTTAGCCCCAAACGTGCATATGGCGAGCTAATTCTTAATTGCTTACCATATCGTTGCACAGCGGTAGTGCTGCTTTTGCGACCCAGTAGCGGATTCTGACTCCAACAGCTGGAGACAAATGGCCTGCCCTGACAGGCTGTGCTCCTACCCCAGGATTTCAGAAAGGGGTCCTACCTGGTGACGCCGGGGATTAAGACCTTTGCACGCAAAGCAGATTCTCTCCCATACAGCCACAGCCATTCCCTCTGCAGAGTCAAATCCCTGGTCCATCTAGCCTTAGTATACTACCTACACAAGCCGGCAGCAGCAATCCAGGGTTACAGGCAGGACTCGCTCTCTCCCAGTCCTACCAGGAGACGCCGGGGATTGAACCTGGGACCTTCCGCATGCAAGGCCGGTGCTCTCCCACTGAGCTAGGGCCCTTCCCCTGCAGCATGCTCATTGGGAAAGAGACCCAAAAGGGGAAGTGGAGGAATACACACAGCTCTGCAACTTCCCTGGCAACGGCAGACCCCGGGGCTCGGAAGAGAAGCTCAGCAAACAGATTGGAATATGTAGCCAGGAGGTGTCAGTGGTGGGGGGCAGGGGGGGGATCTTCACAGGGCTGTGCAGGGGGCTGGCAGTAAGCCAAGGGGTTTGGGAGCTCTGCCGAGGCAGCATCTTGTAGAGTAAGCGGAGATTTTCTCCCCCACCCCTCCAGGATATGAGAGAGAGAGAGAGAGAGAGAGAGAGAGAGAGAGAGAGCGAGCGCTCTCCAGACAAGCAGACCTGCACAGCCTTTCTCAATCTGTGGGTCCCCAGATGTTGTTGAACTACAACTCCCATCATCCCTAGCTAGCAAGGCCACAGCTCAGGGATGATGGGAGTTGTAGTCCAACAACATCTGGGGACCCACAGGTTGAGAACCGCTGCGGTAGAAGTTCCTGCACCCTTTATGGGGAAGACACAACTCCAGCTGCAAATATAAAGCTACACATAGATATATGGGAAATGGGGGGGGGCACTGGCCCAGGGGCATAACACGGCCCTTGGTGACCCTCTCTCTGGCCCTTGGGACTCTTCCCACACACCTTTTCCCCAGGCTGCACCCTTTGCCGGTCTTACTTCATGCCCTCGTTGGGTGTTTACGTTTGCCTGAAAATGTGTCCCTGAACTTGCCAGGATGGAGGATAGGGAGGGAGCATCCATCCCCTCCAACATGTCAAAGGGAAAAACCAGGACATCATCTTCCTGTTTTTTCTTGTGAGAGCACGGCAAGACATTTTGGGTGCCACGATTTTGTGCAATTCTGCCCCGCGATTTTGCCTCAAAAAAGGTGTTTTTTTTCCAGGGGGAAATCACGTGAGATCACAGTGCCTCAAACGGCTGCCGTGCCCTCGCAAGGAAAAATGGGGCGTCCCATTTTTACTGGGACAGTTGAAGGATGCGAGGGAGGTGAGAGTATGTGTAGAAACCAGCCTGCTGTACAAAAGGTAGAATTCACATTTGTGACTCTGGCTCCTTTTGCCTCTGGCCACATCCACTGCCACCAGCACACGGCCCTCAGAAGGTTGCTGGAAAGGGAACATGGCCCTCTGACTGAAAAGGCTTCCCTGCCCCTAGCCCAGGCCCTGAGATTCTGCGGAGCGTGAGATGGCATTTCTCAGCAGAGCTCACAGGATGGGTGTGAGGGGAAGAAGGAACTGAAGAAAGGAACACGCCGCTTCGCCCTGAAATCTGCACAGCATTTCTCAGCAATTAAAGCACAGCAATGTTTGGGCCAAACTTCCAGGGATGTCGCAAATTTGTCACTAGACTGTCACCAGAGGCAGCTGGGGGGAAACCCATTTAAAACAGGGCTGTGAGGCTGGAGTAGGGTGGGTTTAACGGTCCAGCAGTTCTCAACCTGTGGGTCCCCAGATGTTGTTGGACTACAACTCCCATCATCCCTGAGCTCTGGCCTTGCTAGCTAGGGGTGATGGGAGTTGTAGTTCAACAACACCTGGGGACCCACAGGTTGAGAAAGACTGGTTTAACCCTTTCCCCTCTGTGCTGACTCCCTGATTTGAATACAGCTGCTATTAACATTGTACCTGTCTTTTGGCCCTTTCTATAGCTTCTTCGGGGGGATGATTCAAAGTTGGAAAAACAGCACTGGGGGGAGGAGCTAAGTCCTCTCCCCCAGCAAATGGCACAGATCCCACCCCTCCCTGCTCCTCTAGCTGCTTTCAATGGAAGTAAAAAACTGTTGTGAGTACCAATCATCAATCTCCCACAACACATGCCTTGAAGACTGGATAGCTCAGTTGGTTAGAGCATGGTGCTGATAATGCTCAGGTTGCAGGTTCAATTCTGGTCTGGGACAGCTGCGTATTCCTGCATTGCAGTGGGTTGGACGAGAAGATCCTCAGGGTCCCTTCCAACTCTATGATTCTAAGTAGTACTGAACTCTGCCCCTTTAGGAACCCCGCCCTTTACATCACCATTCTAGGGTCCTGATCTGAACCAGGTTCCCCTCGCTTAGAAATTTATGGGGCGGGGGGGGGGGAGAAGCAGAAGCAGCTTGCACTGCAAAGATGATACGTAGTTTGGCTGCGAAGCGGTCTGAGCCCCCCCTGCCATACATGCGTGCTCATTGGGTACGTGACCTTGCAGCTGCTGTTCACGTGGAAAAGACAAAGCGGAAGAGAGGCATTTGTAATGCAGATGAGCATTCTTGGCCAATCGGAGGCTTTCCATTTGCACAACAACCCTGATTATGCACTTGCATTCACAGCAGGTATAGGGCCCCTTCCCTCCTGCTAACTCTCCCTGCTCAACAAACACACACTTGTCTGCCCTGGCACATAGTATCACAGACGAATTAAGCTTCTGAATTCCAGTTCCTGAGAACCACAAGCAGACAGAGCACTGTTGCACTTATGTCCTGCATTTGAGTTTCCCGAAGGCCTCTGGGAGAAGAGGATGCTGGAATAGATGGGCCTTTGGTCTGATCCATCCAGCAGGGCTCTTCTTGCATTCAGCACAACTTCTTCTGACATCCTCACATTCTCTCACTAAAGATCACGCTTTCCCCTCTCCAATAGACAATGCTGAAATTCCCCCCCTCCCACCCCCTTACTCTGCAAACAGAGTCCGCCTTGCATGTCTCAAGCAGGGTGTGTCTTAAGAAAACTCAGCATAACCATTTCCCTTAAGAAAAAAAACAAATACTGTAACCGAGTTTAATCTTGCAACAGAATAGTTACAACTCAAACATATTGAGCAACGCTGGATGGGTGGTTAAGAGCTGGGAGGGCAGAGCGCAGGAGAAGGTCTCTGTTTCAATCCACGGCGTCTCCTGTTTGAAGGATCCGATGATTCAAAGGATCAGAGGTGCCCCATAGGCCACTCCCTAACACCCCCCTCCCTGCTCCCTTGGTCATGAGGTGGTGAGTGGAGGGGTCACCTTCTCCTCCCTTGAAAAGGACACAGAGCTGGAGGAGGAAGTAGGGAGAGTGACACTCAGTGTGCTTTTCAAAGACTCACAGCTCATCCTTTTCCTCCACACTTTCCAGGCACATGTCTTCGCTTTAAAGCTTTGCCTATAAACAGTTTTCTTTCTTTCTTTGTCCTGGTGCATTCCCTGCATTTTACAGCTAAATTGGAGCAAATGGCAACCCACAGAAAATTCAATTACTGACTGCTACAATTCTGCAGCAAAAAACAGATTTTTTTTCAGGGAACCCCCCCCCCAAAAAAAACCCCCACCCTGCTTAGACACAGAGCTTTAAAAGCCAGAACTGTGCTTAGAAATGAGGTACAAAGGGAAGTCTGGGTGAGCTGTCAAATGAATTCTGCTGGATCCACCTATAACCAAGAACTCTTGGAAAAGTTAAGTGCGCACACACTCCCTCTTTCTCTTTGTGGGGTGGGCAGAGGAAAGGGACAAGAGGGGGGTGCCCATGGCACGTCCTCAAAAATCAAAATGTGCCCATGAGCCTAAAAAGGCTGGCAATCCCTGAGGCAGCTGGCGGTAGCAGAGACTTTGGAGAGTTGCTATCAGTCAGAGGAGTCAGTGCTGTTCTAGGTGGACCGGAGGCCTGCTTCAGAAGAGTGTTCAGACAACCCCACTGCACAAAAGGAATGCGACTTTATATACTGACACATGTACCTAGATTAGAGCAGGGTGCCCCACCCTCTTGCATGGTAGAAGTACACGTCTACATTGGTACGTACAAATAAACCATCTTCTTAATCATTGTCATCAACTGACAGGTTTCCCAAGGACACATTTAGCATTACATGTAATTTGTCACTTCTGGAGACTCAAGGGGTTGTCTGAAGCCCTGAAAAAGGTCACCCTGGATAACGTGAGCACAAACTAATACCCACCCACACAAAAATCTCTAAAAAGGGAAAACGAGGCCACATGACATAACAAGAGCCCACTGGATCAAGCCAATGGCCCATCCTGTTCTCACAGTGGTAATTTCCTTTGGGAAATCCCAGCAGAACCTGAGCACGAGGGTACTATCCCCTGCTGTGATTTCTGGCAACCGGTATTACAGTGGTACCTCGGGATGTGAACGGGATCCGTTCCAGAGCCCCGTTCGTATCCTGAATAGAACATGCCCACGTAAGACACGACGGTGCGTCTGCGCGTGCGCAGGTCGTGTTTTGCTGCTTCCGCGCATGCGCGTGATGTCATTTTGAGCGTCTGCGCATGCGCGAGTGTTCTGTTACTTCTGGGCTGCCACAGAGCACAACCCAAAAGCACTCAACCTGAAGCACATTCAACCCGAGGTATGACTGTAATTTCTAACTGGTACATGGCTCAGTTGGTTAGAGCATGGTGTTGATAGTGACAAGGTTGCAGGTTCGATCCCCCTATGGGATAGAAGCATCTTCCTGTATTAGATGATCCTCAGGGTCCATTCCGACTCTACAATTCAATAATAATAATAATAATAATAATAATAATAATAATAATAATTTATTATTTATACCCTGCCCATCTGGCTGAGTTTCCCCAGCCACTCTGGGCGACTTTCTGGTCCCAGAAAAACCAGGACTGCTGCCAGTCAGCCAGGGCAATTGCAACACACACTACTTTCCCTTGAAGGCTCGCTTGCTATTATTCCTTATCCTCCCTGTCTGGAGATGCAAACAGTCTGAATCAACAAGGTTCCTTCTCGCCAACTTCCAGCAGGACAGGCGCTAGTTCAACTCCTCACCCACCACCCGCTTGGCCCTTACGGCTGGTTTCCACAGCAGCAGACGACCCAGGCCGAATCCAGTCAGTCCGGTTGTGCGCAGCGGGAAGAAAATAATTCGGCAAGAATGAAAACACGCACACACACACACAGCGCATGACTCCGTAGCCAAGTAGAGATGGCAGGGAGCCCTCAAGCTGTCAGTGCCTTGAAGCTTTTCCACAAACAACAGCAAGTTCCAGGGGGAAAGGGACCTCTCACACCAACAGCAGCTGGTGACTGGGGAGGAGGAGGAGGAAGCTTGCCAGAGCTTCGTCATCTCAAAGAAAGAAGGAAAGAGAGGAGAAGGCTCAGTTCTTCTTTTACGGTTTCTGCCCAGAAAGCCTTGCCCCTTAATCCCAGACACGTGTGGTGGTTGCTTGTGGCCACTTAGTGGGAAACTAAAGAAATCCTGCACCCACCAAAGAGTTCATGCAACTTTTGCCAAGGCTGTGTATGCACTGGGTGTGGAAGGATCTGCCCATTTTGGGTCTCCCGGTTTCTCATTTCCACCCCCCGGTCTTCATTTCTGCAGCAATCTGCAAATCTTACTTTGAAGAAAGTTTCCTTGTGGAAGTTCATCAGCATTTCAGTGCAGGTTTCTCTCCCAATATGCACTTTTGACTGATGGCTGTAAGCCATGCATCCTTCTGTGCCATTTTAATTAATATATGTGTTTTTATGCACAGTTTCTCCATATATATGCATTTTTTTAAATAGATGGGTTGGCTGTGCACTGTGAAATTCAAAGAACTGCACATTTCAAAGGATGGCTGTGCTTTGGTTCTCATATTGTTTCAGAAAGTGCAGATTTCATAGATTCACCTTTAAATGCAAACTGAAGCCATATTCTCCCCCTTCTTTAGTACACACAATACATTTAAAGCATCTTATTTCCCCCAAAGAATCCTGGGAGCTGTAGTTTACGAGTACTGGGAACTGTAGTTTTGTGAGGGGTAAACTACAGTTACTGTGGTTATTGGGGGTGGAGTCACATGCTTTAAATGTATGGTGTGTACACAGTAAAAACTTTGGGCATAGAGAGGCAGCGGCTGATCCCAGGCAATGGTATGAATGCAGGCAAAAGCATTGCAGTTTTCAGATGCCAAAGCAGGCCTAAGTCTGGTCCGTTCCTGGATGGGATAACTTCCATGATGGAAGAAAGGTAGGAAATAAATGCAATAAAATAATAACAATACAGTGGTGCCCCGCAAGACGAATGCCTCGCAAGACGAAAAACTCGCTAGACGAAAGGGTTTTGCGTTTTTTGAGTCGTTCCGCAAGACGAATTTCCCTATGGGCTTGCGAGTTTGTTTTCTTGCGAGTTTGTTTCCTTTTTCTTAAAGCCGCTAAGCCGTTAATAGCCGCTAAGCCGCTAATAGCCGCTAAGCCGCTAATAGCCGTGCTTCGCAAGACGAAGAGACTCGCGGAACGGATTAATTTCGTCTTGCGAGGCACCACTGTACTGTTGCCTACACATCTTGCTTTCAGGCTTCCAAGAGGCAGCTGCCTGGCAACATTTGGGAACAGAATGTTAGGCTAGATCAGGGATGGAGAAAGTTGTATTTTTTTAGCCTTTAAAATCATATTCTGTCACAGGCAACCTTTTGGGGCATCACTTGGCAGTGGTAAAGGTAAAGGTAAAGGTAAAGGGACCCCTGACCATTAGGTCCAGTTGTGGCCGACTCTGGGGTTGCGGCGCTCATCTCACTTTATTGGCCAAGGGAGCCGGCGTACAGCTTCCGGGTCATGTGGCCAGCATGACTAAGCTGCTTCTGGCGAACCAGAGCAGCACACGGAAATGCCGTTTACCTTCCCGCCGGAGCGGTACCTATTTATCTACTTGCACTTTGACGTGCTTTCAAACTGCTAGGTTGGCAGGAGCAGGGACCGAGCAACGGGAGCTCACTGCATCGCAGGGATTCGAACTGCCAACCTTCTAATCGGCAAGTCCTAGGCTCTGTGGTTTAACACACAGCGCCACCCGCATCCTTGGCAGTGGTAGGTGTGGTCAAAGACAAATATGTTGGAGATGTCATTCTCACATTTAGACAGTAAGATACATTGCAAAAATCAGATATTTCTAGACTTTCTCTCTCTCTCTCTCTCTCACCCCCCCCCACACCCTCTCCATCTTCCATCCAAGGAAGCAGAAGACTTCTTCACATTTCAGGGACAAACTGCACTGGAGCAAGACAGTTTGAGCTTATTACACCGATCCTGGTCCGACTGCACTGGCTACCAATTAGTTTCTGGGCCCAATTCAAAGTACTGGTTTTGACCTATAAAGCCTTAAACAGCTCAGGACCGCCTCTTTCCATATGAACCTACCTGGACCCTGAGATCATCTTCTGAAGCCCTCCTTTGTGTGCCTCCTCCTCGAGAGGTCTGGAGGGTGGCAACACGAGAACGGGGCCTTCTCTGTAGTGGCTCCCTGTCTGTGGAATGCTCTCCCCAGGGAAGTTCGCCTGGTGCCTTCATTATACACCTTTAGGCGCCAGGCAAAAACATTCCTTTTTCACCAGGCCTTTGGTTGATTTGACTGACATCCTATGCCCTTTTAAAATGTGGGGTTTTTTTTGGGAGGGGTTATGGGTTGTTGTTTTTATTTTTATTATGTATTTTGTGGTTTTACCTTCTGATTTTGTTCTGTGAACTGCCCTGAGACCTCTGGATATGGGGCGGTGTATAAAATCAAATAATAATAATAATAATAAGCAAAAGGGACTTAAGTAGGGCACAGAGAAGGGACAATGAGGGGGTGTGGGGAGAGTTCAGAGGGCCAGTTTGAGAGCCTTGAGGGCTATGTTTGATACCCCCCCCCCGACCTAAGATTCCTCACTTTTCAATAAGACAAACTTATGGTGTGTTTCAACAGGAATCATCTTGTGTTCCATAAACAACCAGGGCTGACCTGCTCAGGTTCCACTTTCTTAGGGAAATCCACATACCATTTCCCCACCAACAGCAGCTACAAGTCCAGAAGTGAAACAAGGAAGTTTTCCCCAGAGACTTTGGAACTGCTGCTGTTTTTATTTTACTGTTTCCAATATATATATATATATATATATATATATATATATATATATATATATCATACACTATGCAATAGAAACGAAATATAAAACATAATATAAAACCACCAAGCACATAATAAAAACAAGGAACAAAACAAAGCAGCGGAAATGCAAAGCAGTTGCCATTTCCTTCTGCCCTGATCCTGACAGCGTGTTTAGAATTACGGATGTGGATTTGTAGACCGACAGAATCCCATCTGGCTTGCAGGTGTCTGGCCTGGGAGGATGCCAGCTGCCTGCAAAAGCACTATATAGAGCCAGGGAAAGTGGACACTTAGAAGTCCTTATGGCTAAGGGGCCAGCAATCAGGAGCCTGGGAGCTGAATCTATCCACTGAAGGCTGCTGTCTGGCTTCCCACCGCTCCTTGAGCTATTGGCCCAGGGTGATAAGGAGAGGGAGGCACAGACACAGGAGTGTGAATGCTAAGAGGGTGGGATGCTCCCTTCCTCTTGCTGGTGCACAACCACTTCAAACCCCCCCCCCCCCCGGTCCTCATTAGTCTATTTGCAGTGGAAGGCTGCAGAACTTTGGCAGAGATCCTTCCTGAGGTTAGTTCTCATACTGCTGCAACAACATATGAACAAAGGAACCACATGATTGGGGCTAACGGTAACATTCTCACTCAGGCCAGGTGCCAGGTACCATTTGCATGGGAAGGAACCACGTCACTGGCACTGTCCAATCGGTGCTCCGCTGTGGCATAGGAAATACCTCTGCCCAGTCCCATAGTTGCTCCTGCGCTTTGATGAGTTGGCCCCAAGCATTTCCACCACATCCTACCCCTAAGGAAGGTTGTGGACCAGACTTTCATAGCTCAAAGAACTGTTTTGCCTTTTAAGAAAGACGCAACCAAATGGATCAAAGAGGAATGGAGCAACTTCTCCCATGAGGAAAGACGACAATGCTTGGGGCGTATAAAATCATCCACAGTGTGGATTCTCCCTTTATCCATAGTATCAGAACTCGGGGATGCCAAATGGAGCTGGAGATTGGAAGATTCAGGACCAGGCAGCCTTTCAGAGGATGCCTTCAAACAGGGGACCATCCTCTGCAAAGAAGGGCATGTTTTATGCCTGCTTCAGATAAAGGCGACCTAGTCTGCTTTAAAGATCAGGAGCCCTGAGAAGCAAAGACTGGGTGGAGGATGCAGACATAAGTAAGTAAGAAGAGCCTGGCTGTAGCATCAGGCCAATGGCCCATCTAGTCTAGCATCTTGCACACAGTGGCTAACAAAATCTCCTGGTGGGAAACCTGCAGGCAGGACCTGAGGGCAACAGCAACTCTCCCCACTTGTAATCTCAAGCAACTGGTATTCAGAAATTGAGGGGGGGCATTGGGTGAACAGCAAGACTGAGCAGGTTATCCCTGGCCCACACCCTTCCTCACTAAGATGAGATATACAGTGGTACTGCCAGGTGCCATAAGAAAGCGGCATAGATAGCGCAGGATAGTACGCACCCCGGAAATGAACTCTTTCAGCTTCTGCCTTCTGGAAGAAGGTATAGGGTTATAAAGGCCAGGACTAGCCGCCTGAGAAACAGTTTCTACGCAAAAGTAATTCTGGTTCTAAACGCAGCATAAGGGGTCACTATAGTATAGTGTATTTTAAAATGGGGTTTCAGGGTTTTTAGGGGGTTTTGAATGTTTTATGTAGTTTTTCAATTTCATTGTTCTGCATGGGACAATGACAATAAAGATATTGTATCATATTGTATCATACCTTGGGTTACATACGCTTCAGGTTACATACGATTCAGGTTACAGACTCCTCTAACCCAGAAATAGTACCTCGGGTTAAGAACTTTGCTTCAGGATGAGAACAGAAATCGTGCTCTGGTGGCGCAGCAGCAGCGGGAGGCCCCATTAGCTAAAGTGGTGCTTCAGGTTAAGAACAGTTTCAGGTTAAGAACGGACCTCCAGAACGAATTAAGTACTTAACCTGAGGTACCACTGTATTTTATTTCTGGTTAAATTGTAAATGATAATACAGTAATTATTTCTAAAATTGCATCTATCTCTATAGATGAGCACATGCATGTTTCATGGTCCTCCTTTGTCCTCTTTTTCAACAACAAATAGAATGAATGAATGAATGAACATGCATGGAATCCTCCTCATGCCCTATGCAGTCAGCTGATGTCAGCACCCCTCAGATATGTAAGGGCCCTCCCCCACTTTATATATTCACTTACATTTTTATTCCACCATTCAGGTCACACTGCCTTGGCAAGCTCGCAAGGCTCTGAAAACAGGGTGGGGAAACCCATGGCTCTTTCATTGGTTCTGGAACTACAACTCCCATCATGCTGACTGGGGTTGTTGTAGTCCAGTGACATCTGGAGGACCACAGGTTCATCACCCCTTCTCTATAACATATGAAAATGCAATTACAAGCTGTGCACAAACAACAAAATCTAGGAGATTTCTGCCCTGACTACAGCAAAATTCCTTGAATGGAAAAGGCCATAGCGAAGTGGAAAAACATCTGTTTTGCATGCAGAAGGTCCTAGGCTCACTCCCAGGCATCTCCAGGCAGGGCTGGAAGAGACTCCTGCCTGAAACCCAGGAATGCTGCTGCCAGTCAGTGTAGACAATATTAAGCTAGGTGGACCACTAGATTCAGTATAAGACAGCTTCCTAAGTTCCAAACGACAGATTTGGAAGAGTTGTCCAGAACTGTGCACCTGCCCACTGCCTCAGATGCCACCACCTGTTTCCTTCTGGTAAGGAAATGAGGCCTGCCTTCGTCTTGGCTGCCGTTCCATAAGGGCAGCTTAGTAGAACTTCCCGGCTTGTGGCTCACCCACGATGCTGCCAATTGTAAGGGCCAAAACAGCTACCCTAGCTGCTAATCTGGCACTCTTGACGTCTGAGCTGTGTCACCTGCCCAGGCTCAGTGTACTCACCTGTGCTCTAAAGAGGGGGTCCAGCCCTTGCCAGGAAGGATGGAGTGGGAGCTGAAGGTACTTGGGCTGGTCCAAGAATTGCCCTGGCAACACTGGAATTCTCTGCTACGGGAGGACCAAGAACATCAACTGCCTCAGGAATTCCTAACTGAAGGAGAAGAGACTCCTTTGCCCGAGACTCAGGGTACACTCAGACATGGGGAATATTTCTTTAGTTTTCTTGCTTATAATGCAAGCACTTCTGTCCTGTTTTCCAACCATCCTTTCACACTGCAGCACCTGCTACTGTCTGACCAATAAACTGCCAGGACACACTCAATTTCATTCACGCCAAGTGTGCGTGGTGTGGCACAACAACAAACGTCGCTGGACAACATTGCTACTCCCCATCTTTTCCACACAAGTCTGCGGCTCTTCTCCCATGAATACAGCAGGAAATAACTGTATGCCGGCCCACCGCCCCAATTTCGTCACTTCATACCTGCAATTTTCTGGGTTAAAGGGGTTGCAAATGGATTTCCCCCGGAAGCAATTAACAAGGAAATGAGCACTAAACTTCCACGAGATTTTCTGCTAGATTTCCGCAAGTGGCTTTCACTTTGTGCAAAAGCTCAAATGTAATGCACAATTTAAGCTTAAGAAATGCCAGGGAAACAGAATAAACTGTCACGGGGAGGCAAGCCTTATTCTCACAGCATCCCTTTGGCTAACTATTCCTAAATATGATTTACACGTGTAACATCACCAAGCCTATGGAGCCTACCAGACGTATGGTTTGTGGCTTGAAAGCCAAAGGAAACCCCCAGTTTTTGTAGCCAGAGGCAGCCAGCCAATGCAGGATTGCTGTTGTCCTCAACTATCAATCAATTGAATGTGTTAGCTACCTAGCACAGGATAGGGTCTAGGCCAGGAGTGGGGAACATTTTTTTTCCATCCCAAGGGCCACATTCCTCTCTATGCAACTATCTTAGGGCCACATGCCAGTCACGGGTGGGGCCAGGTGCAAAAGTGGGCGGAGCAACAAATGCCAATCTTACCTTTGTGCAGTAGGCTAGCAGATTCCATGCACACTCGCACACCCCTATCCAGGCAAGCAGGAGCCATCATCACATTTAATACCACTATGGTGCCATTTTAAACCATCATGGCTTCCCCCAAAGAATTCTGGGAGCTGTAGTTTCTTAAGAGTGCCGACAGTTATTAGGAGAACTTTCTAGCCTTCCCTTCCCAGAGCTACAGTTGGCAGAGTAGTTTAACAATCAACTCTTCCTTGAGAATTGTAGCTCTGTGAGAGGACTAAAGGTCTCCTAACAGCTTCCAGCAAACTTGAACAAACTACAGCTCCCAGAATTCTTTGGGGGAAGCCATGGCTGTTTAAAGTGGTATCACAGCTGTTAAGTGTGCACTGAATGTGTGGGAAAGAACCAAAATGTTAAACCACTTTAAGCAAGGAGGGGACAAAATATTTGAAGGTAGGGTAGGGATGGGGAACCTGTGCCCCTCCTCCGACGTTATTTTCTTTGAACTGGGGAGCATTCCATTCTAAAATTAAAAATCCCTCTATAAAGAAACTGGGGCTGCATAAACACCATACGTTTAAAGCACATTTACAGAACATCCCTGCCAACACCAAAGAAACCTGGGAATTGTAGATTGGTAGCGGTGCTGGGAACAATAGCTTTGTGAGGAGGTAAGCTACAATTCCCTAGATTCTTTTTTGGGGGGGTGTGGGGGTGTGCTTTCAATGTATGGTGCTGATACAGAATCCTACACTTAGAAACCTTCCCCCGACACATACATTTTGCATGTGGCTGTAACGTTGCAGAAGGTCGCATCTCAAGATTCGGATCTGAAAGCGACAGGGTTCCAAGGCCACCTCCTCAGCCACCAACTCGCTGTGTGGTTTGCAGCAAGTGACTCTCTCCAAGCTTTTGTTCTCCAACTGCTCAAGGAGAAGAGCACCCTGCCACCTCGCTGTGCACCCCAGCAAGGACAAACAGAAACAGCAAAAAACTGGCCCACGATTTTTTAAAAAGGACTATATAAATGGTGTGTGTGTGTGTGTGTGAGAGAGAGAGAGAGAGAACTGAAGACCTGTGACTGCCCAGCAGGAGAGAGAGATGGAGAAAAACACCACAGCTGAAAGAGAGGACTGGCTTTTCCAGAAGAGCTACACACCCACCCAGCCCTTGCACTGCCTGCAACATACAGATGGGGGAAGCGAGTTGCTCTGCAGTTTAAACCGTGATCACTGAAGGGGAAAGGATGTCCAGGGATGTGCGATGGCCTCTGTCAGGGCGCCTGCACCCTGGAACCAGAATACCACCCAAAAACCCCTTCTAGCTGGGCCTGAGCATCACGGCACATGCTGCATCCCTGCTTTCTGGTCCCCAAGGATGCTGGCGAGGACCGCATTGAGATGCTCACAAGGGCTTCACAGGTCCCACGATGGCCATGCGACTGCAGACACACCCACCCCCCTGGATGGTTCCTGGGAGGAGACCCATCTTGCCTCCTGGAGCGCCAAGCTGCCACCGAAAAAGCAGGGACCTTGGGAGACAAAGGAGAAGCAGGCATTTGTCCTCAAGCGCCTCGAGTTCTTTGTCTGCCAGGTCCCAGCCCCCCACCTTCCTTCACAGAGGCCCCTCCAAAAGCACATCCATTGCCCAGCTTCCTACCTCCTCTCTTATCAGCCCAGAAGAAGGCTGCAGGGACTCCAGCGAAGGGTCCCCCCTCTGCTCCCCAATTCCATAAGCAGAGCGCCCAGGATCCGCACCTCTTTTTCCTCCTCCTTTGCCTTCAGCTCCCAATCATCCTCATGCTTGTCAGAGCCAGAGAAGGAGTCCCCTCCCCTCTGTCAGCTCCCCTATTGGGATCAAACAAGAGCGGGAGCCAGGCTGCCTGGAACACATGACCAGAATGGTAATCATCCTTCCTCCTCCCCCCTCCCTCCCCTTTCCTGGGATCCCCGCTCTCATTCAAGGAGAACAAGCCCTTGCAGGATGTCTGCCCATTTGTGTGGGCATATAATTGGTGCAAGCCAGGCTGTCTCCTCGTTTGCATTTTGAAGAAAAGGGAAAGGAAAAGAATCAGCCCAGATGATCATTATGTTGTTCTCGTTGCCTTGGCCCACTTTTAGGTGAAGAAAGGGGTGGGGGAGGTCTGCCCACAAGCATTATGCGGGAGGTGCCAAGGTTCACATTGCAATGTGCTTTGTGGCTCTCTTGTGCATGTGGGTTTTTTTAAAAAAATCAAATGCATCTTATCCACTGTGTGCCATTTTTTTTAAAAAAAAATAAATAAATTATGAAAACATGATCGCAGAAAATCTGCAATTGTGCATGTTGAATAAGCTGATTCTGCAACTGCATTTTATTATTTCAAAACAATGAATCCCTTGTGTGTTTTGAATATTTTGTTGGGAGCTGCCCAGAAGGGGCTGGAGCAACCCAGTTAGATGGGTGGCATATAAATAATAAAACTATTATTACTACTAATAATCAGCCCTGAAATGAGATGGGAGGAGAACACTGAAAACACTGGATGGGAACAATTTGATGAAGATGCTATAAAGATTCTCTGCAAGGAGACAAAGAGGATGACAGTTCCAGAGGGGGAAAAAGTACTGTCAGAGTTCAAGGATCCAGCAGACAGAAATATTAAAGGGAAGGGGCAAAGCAGGGCCAGCGAGGAGAATGGTCTGGAGAGAGGATTTGTGACTGTGTATGTGTGGTGGGGAGAGTCCCGAGGGCCACATAGAGAGGTTTGGAGGGCCACATTTGATCTCTGGAACTAAGCCCCGCCCCCAGCCCTACACCCTCTTGCAATTAAGCCAAAAGTGTGCATAACTGAAGCAAATCACCTATTATTCCCTACCCACACCTGCCTGCATTCCCCCTACCACGCTTTGTCATTTTCAGACTGAAGGCTCCTTGGGGCAGGGACCTGCCGTACCTGTCCTTTGTAGCGCCACAAAGTCGATGGTGCTGTGTAAATGAGACTAATCCTGCTCCTGCTTCCTCCGGAGGCAGAAGCTGCGAGAGTGACTCTGGCAGGCACCTCTTGTGGCAATCTGTAGAGCTGGCCCCTCAGTGGGAGCCAAGAGTCGTCCCAAGAGGGAAATACACCCAGGCTATTCCCCCCCCCCTTTCCGTGGGCAGGGCGCAAGTCACAAGGAGCTTCCTGCCTTGCGGTTTCTTTTTCCTATTGCGAGTGCTGAGCTGTATCTTGCTAGGAGAACGCGAGAACAGAGAGAACATAGGGGGGAAGGGGGCACTCCAAGGAGGTCCTCAAGGAGGAGAAGGCTATTCATGGCCGCTAGCCACAATAGCCACATTCCACCTCCACTGTCAGAACCAGGATGCCTCTAAATGCCATTGGCCAGGAGTCACAAGTGGGCAAACCGCTGCCAAGCCCTTCTTGTGGTCTTCTCATAGGACATGTCAAGAACAGGATGCTGGACTTGATGGGCTACTGGGTTGACCCAGCAGGCTCTTATTGCACCAAGTGGGAGCCCTACTGGTTTGCCAAAGTTGGTGGGCAAATGCTTAGGAGGGCAAAATTATGCATCATGTGGACATTGTGGACTGAGCAAAGTTTCTTTCTCCCTTGCTCATGGTCCTGGAACTCGGGGTTATCCAATGAAGCTGAATTTTGGAAGATTTGGCGAAAGGCTTCTTCCCACATATGGAATTTGCTCCCACAGGAGGCAGTGATGGCCACTAACTTGGGTGGCTTTAAAAGAGGATTGGACACATTCATCAGTGGCTCCTAGCCCTGGGGGCTAAATGTTCTACCTCCACTGCTGGAGGCAGCAAGCCTCTGAATGCCAGTTGCTGGAAACCAAAGGAGGGGAGAGTTCTGCTTCCCTCAAGTCCTGCCTGGGAGCTTCCTGTGTGCATCTCATTAGTCACAGGACGTTGAAGCCTGATCCTGCAAGAAACTTCTTATGCTCTTAGACCAGGGGTAGGCAAACTAAGGCCCAGGGGCCGGATGCAACCCAATCGCCTTCTCAATCCGGCCCGTGGACAGTCTGGGAATCAGCACAGGAATTCATTCATTATTCCTGGGGGCACAGGAATTCATTCATTATTTTTTTCCCCAAAATACAGTTCGGCCCCCCCACATAGTCTGAGGGATGGTGGACTGGCTCATGGCTGAAAAAGGTTGCTGACCTCTGTCTTTGACCCAATACCATGGGCATCTACGGGAGGCAGCAAGTGTGTGTGGGGGGGGCAGTCTGAGTAAACCATAATCTTCAGATTCCCAGCTTTAATATATTTTTAAGAGTTAAGCTGTTAACGTTATTAGAACCTAATAATAATAATGGCAGGATGGCGGGATTTAAATAACCATTCGCATCATTATCATTAGAAAATGTGTGGAAGATAGAGAAATAGGATGGTGTTTTTTATTTTTATGTTTTAAGTTTTACAGTTTTAAGGTTTGATGTTGTTATTAGTATTATTTTCTTTTAGGAAGCAGCCAAGTGGGTGAAAGGAGAAACAAACCAGAAATGGAAGTTGGGGGAAGCCCAGAAGGGGAGGGAGGGAGGAATGTATAGAAAATGTTATGGATATGAGATGTATGTAATGAATGAAAAAGGAAAATGAATAAAAATAAATAAATAGAACCTGACAGATGAGGCAAAATGTGCAAGCACTCTCCTCAATTTTTGATTTTTTTAAATGACAAAACAGCCTGCTCCCACTTCTCAGTGCCTTTAGCCCATGAATGAAGTCAAGGCAACGGCTGACATTTAGGAAGGCAGACTTGGCCAACTAGACAAAGAAAACACCCACTATCCACACCACTGGCCTTAAAGTGGCGAGCCAGGGACCCGATGTTCTCCCAGCTCCTGGTCTAATACTCTAACCCAGTGTTTCCCAAACTGGGGTCTCCAGCTGTTTTCGGACTACCACCATCCCTAGCTAGCAGGACCAGTGGTCAGTGACGATGGGAACTGTAGTTCAGAAACAGCTGGAGACCCAAGTTTGGGAAACACTGCTCTAACCATTATGCCAGCCCATAATGGTGACAGCAGGGGTGGCTAATCTGTGGCCCTTCAGATGTTGCTGGGCTCCCGTCACCCCCTGACCACTGGCCAGGATGGTTGGGGGCTGATGGAGCCCATCAGTTTCTGGAGAGCCGCAGGTTCCCCAATCCCTGGCTTAGAGCAAACTGCTAGAAGGAAGGATGGGTGGTTGGGAGAGGGGCCCTGTTTTAAATCCTCTCTTCCACAAAGCCTGCTGGGTGACCTCAGCCCACTCACTGTCTCGGCATAGCCTAGCCCAGGGGTCAGCAAACTTTTTCAGCAGGGGGCCGGTCCACTGTCCCTCAGACCTTGTGGGGAGCCAGACTATATTTTTTGGGGGGAAATGAACAAACTCCTATGCCCCACAAATAACCCAGAGATGCATTTTAAATAAAACCACACATTCTACTCATGTAAAAACACCAGGCAGGCCCCATAAATAACCCAGAGATGCATTTTAAATAAAAGCATTGTAAAAAGACGCTGATTCCCGGACTGTCCGCAGGCCAGATTTAGAAGGCAATTGGGCCGGATCTGGCCCCTGGGCCTTAGTTTGCCTACCCATGGCCTAGCCTACCTGACATGGTTGTCATGAGGATAAAAATGGAAGGGGTGGCAACCACAGATGACTGGAGCCTGGAGGACTGGCATCGACCTGAGACATCACCTGGCCCTTTCTGCTCCCTGCTGAAGACCCAGCTTCCTACCTTCCTTCATGCCATCTTCCCCACACAGCTCCAGCAGGACCATGTCCTTCATTCCTCAGACACCCTTGGGAAACCCTGTTCCTTCCTTGCGTCTGCTACTAAATCAACTCTGCCAAGAGGAGGCTGCGGAGGTGAATCACAACACAGGTGTGATGCAACATGGTTGCTAGGAATCTCTGAGACCATGACTGGTTGTTCCTCTTAAAGGGAGACTGCCTGGCCCCAGGCCCTACGGGTGTCTTTGGAGCAGACTTGGAAAGCTATAGCGGCTCTGACTGTTTCCTCCTGGGTAACTCCCTTGGCATTAGGTACATCCTCTGTCTGAAGCTCCAGGCTGGGGCTGTTTGTGTATGTCATTCATTAAATAATAAAAATAAAAAAACAACAACACAGACACACCACATATTTAAGATGATGGATGTACTCAGGCAAGCTGCGCTGGATGCTGTGTGCACCTTAGAACTGTGTTTTTCACCCTTGGGTGCCCAGATGTTGATGGACTCCAGTTCTCAAGAGAATGTTATTCCCTCCCTGTGACAGTGTGCACACCATGCATTTAAAGTAATCTCCCACATCCCAGCAAATAATCCTGGGAATTATAGTTTGTTAAGTGCACTGGGGATCGCAGCTCCATGAAGGGTGAACTACAGTTCCCAGTGGGGAGAATATGCTTTAAACGTATGGTGTTTACATAGCCCAAGAGTAATGAATGGAGGAGCAAAATGAAAACAAAAAGTCAAGCTGGCCTACAAATAAAAGGTAAGCCTGTGACATGCATACAGCAACTTACAATAAAACTTTTTTTTAAAGAGTATTGTAATCAAATGGACAATAACATTCCCACATTTGATAATATTGACAAAAAAACCAGAAGCCAATTATCTGAGCCAGAGGCATTTGGATTCTGCAGGTGAGTTAACAGGCTTGCTGGCATTCTGAAGGGTTAGTGCAGGTGTTTAGGGACAGACGCAGGATTGAAAGGATCTGCCTAGGAGCTTCCACAAGCTGAGGGTAAAATCCACCAGCCTGTCAAGAATATAAATCTGCGTATGAACACATGAGTCATGCTCCTTTCCATTATCATTCCCAGGAATTTGCTGAGGCATACTCATGGCCTCTTGTTCCCAGGAAAGATGATTCATATCTATGTGAAATCCCACAGCGTGCATGTGGAACAAGTGTTGGTGCTGGGCATCATTTCCCGATTTATCAAGCACCTGTGACACTGCCTCCTCCCTTGCAGCAAAGGTGCTGATTACAGCATCAAAGCTTTTGGTTCTTGCCAAACTGTGATTGACAGGAAGTATCACCAGCACCTGAAGGGGGCGTGGCACCTGTCGAATCTGTAGGGTTGGCAGAGTTTGACACACACAGGGATTCTTCCGCAACAGAGAAGGGTGGTAGTTCAGTGATAAGAGCATCTGCTTTGCCTGTTCCCTTAGTACCCTTGAAAAAATAGGAAGAATTCTGCAAACCTCATAATTGCCCCAAGCATAAAGACCCCTCCTCTTGTTCCTTGGTAACCCTGCTTTGGCTGCATTTCTGTTGGCACTCAACCACTTGAGTTCACTACTAGTGGGATTGAGGTTGTTTGGAGCTCTATGGGTTTCCCCCAACAACCAAGTATGCATTTTGGCCAGGATAACCTTCCCAGGAGGCCTGAGGTGCCTGGTCAATTATGAAACACCTGGTTGTCCTGGATAATCCCAAGCAGTAATGTCCAGAGGTGCCCACAGGGACTGGTAGGGTGGCAGGCAGGGAGCCCAACAGTAGGTGGCGCCAGAGTCAGCGACAGGCGAAGCCAACTAATTCTAACTTTGTCCACACCTTCCTCCTCCCTGCCGAGCTCTACAAGGGGCAACACGGAGAGTAAGGAGGAGGAGGAGGAGGACGGCAGGCAGTACCACCATTCCCTGGGCTGGATATTTGTAAGAAGGCAAGCAGGTGGGGTCTGGCTGAGGGCAGACTGAGGTTGGTGGGGCAGCATCCCAATCACCCTCACAGTCTAGCCCTCACCCTGCTTTGTAAACTTTAAAGTGGAATGGTGGCATATTTTAAACAAATATTTAGATGCTAGCCACTTGGCATTTCTTGGGTTGTGCTCAGCTCTAGGAAGAGCATGAGACTCTATCTCAGGGCTGTGGGTTCAGGCCCCACATTGGGCAAAACCTTCTTGCATTGCAGGGGGTTGTACTAGAAGGCCCTTGTGGTCCCTTCGAACTCTACAATCCTCAGGGAAGATATCTGACTCCAAGCTTTAGTTAAACAAATGGTAGGAGGGGTGCGGTGGGGGAATCAGCAAACACAGGGCTGTGGTTCCACTCTTCTTCCGCCTGCCTGCCTGCCAGCTCCTGCCTGGAAAGGGAAGCCCAGTTAAGAGGCGGGTTATTAAAAGCATAACCACAATGAAGCAAAAACAGCTGGGCAATGCCAGTGTGCCCACATTAAAGGGCAACTTATTAAGAGAGGACGTCGCAGGTTAATGGTCCCCTGCAGACAGGGAGTAATTGGAGATGGTTTGTTTCCCAAGCAGCCAAGGAGTAATCCCAGGGCTGTGCTCAATTAACAAAGATTTAATCACTGATGCAGGCTTAATCAGAGCGCTCCCCACAGAAGGCCATAATAGGCTTATGGGGATGCTGTGCTGAGACATTCTTTCTCGCTGTCTGTCTTCCTCAGAGACACAAGGAAGCTGAGAGCTCCTTGCCTCGCATTCCCTGGATTGTGTTTACGGGCTCCTGCTTTTCCTCCACATCCAAGGTTCAGTCAGCGGTCGGGAAATCTGTGGCCCTCCACATGTTGGTGGACATCTCCTGCCATCCCTCACCATTGGCTGCAACTGCAAACTCTCTCTCACTTCCTAACTTCTCCCATCTTAATTATGGCTCACTCTGTTTCAGTGCGAGGGACGCGGGTGGCGCTGTGGGTTAAACCACAGAACCTAGGACTTGCCAATCAGAAGGTCGGCGGTTCGAATCCCTGCAATGGGGTGAGCTCCCGTTGTTCTGTCCCTGCTCCTGCCAACCTAGCAGTTCAAAAGCACGGCAAAGTGCAAGTAGATAAATAGGTACCGCTCTAGCGGGAAGGTAAACGGCATTTCCGTGCACTGCTCTGGTTCACCAGAAGTGGCTTAGTCATGCTGGCCACATGACCCGGAAGCTGTACGCCTGCTCCCTCGGCCAATAAAGCGAGATGAGCGCCGCAACCCCAGAGTCGGATACGACTGGACCTAATGGTCAGGGATCCCTTTACCTTTATCTTTACACATTTGCATTTTTTTTAAAGCCAGCACAAAAAAATTGTATACGTTTCCATGCACACATCTCCTAATTATACACATTTTTGTTTGCAGTTTTGCATTTTTATAAGCACTCCCCCCCCCACTAGAATGCATGTTGCTATGTTTTCCATAGGACACATTCTTTGGTTGGAGAACTGCATTCCAACATACAAAGTGCAAATTTCGAATGGATTGTATATTGGTAAGGAAGAGAGGATGTTGCCTTAAACTGAGTCAGACCACAGGTCCATTTAGCCTGGTACTGTCTACCCACACTGGCAGTGACTTTCCAGGATTTTAGGCAGGGACCTGGCTCAGCTCTACCTGGAGATGCTGGGGACTGAACCTGGGACTTTTGCATGCAAAGCAAGTGCTCTCTGTCACTGGACATCGATATTAAAATTTGAACCCAATGAATTTCTCCCTGATCTGTAGTTGGGAGTCCAGCAAAATCTGGAACACAGGTCCTCTATCCCTGATTTAATCAAATCTTGTTAATCCTTTCCTTTTCAGAGATCTCCAGCATCTCCAGGTAGGCCACTGGCTGGGGCAGTTTAGAACTGGTGCCCAAAACCTCTGGAGAGCACCAGGTTGGCGATGTTGCAGGACATAGACCAAGGGCCTCCACCGCACGTGTCTGCATGAAACTGCCCACTCTCATTTAGAACGGGTGGGAAGGGCCTATAGATAGTGGGGAGATGTGGGTCTGCAAGGAAGGTAAAGGTAAAGGGACCCCTGACCATTAGGTCCAGTCGCGGACGACTCTGGGGTTGCGGTGCTCATTTCGCTTTATTGGCCGAGGGAGCCGGGTTACAGCTTCCGGGTCATGTGGCCAGCATGACTAAGCCACTTCTGGCGAACCAGAGCAGCGCACGGAAACACCATTTACCTTCCCGCTGGAGTGGTACCTATTTATCTACTTGCACTTTGACGTGCTTTCGAACTGCTAGGTTGGCAGGAGCAGGGACCGAGCAACGGGAGCTCACCCCGTCGCGGGGATTTGAACCGCTGACCTTCTGATCGGCAAGTCCTAGGCTCTGTTAATAGCAAGTTTTATTGTACATGGGGGGGTGGAAGGGGGTCCCTCCCCATATCTGCACACTGGGAACATGTCTGGAGGAGCCCATTGTCAATAAAGAATGAAATTTCCACCCACTCCCTGCCCAACTTCACCTTGAGTGAGTACACAGCTGTTCCCTTCTGTTGCTTAGGTAGGTGTTAAAACATCTTAAGAAATACTATTTGGACATCTGCCACCTCCTCTAGTTGCAGGGTGGAGTAAAAAAAGACTTCAGAACTTGTCCCCAAGCCAAGGAAACCAGGAGAATCAAGAAAAATGGTGTTTGTGTGTATTGGAGAGAGAGGGAGAGAGAACACACACAATCAGAGCTGGCAGAGGTACAAAATCATTGTGTCCCAAACAACAGCCCAGCCTGAGGATCAGCAAAAGAAACAAGCGGGTTTTTTTTGTCCTAACCTGCCTCATCTGGGCAAACAAACAGTTACGATAAAGAGCTCGTTTGAGGATGAAGACAGATGATAAGTTGCTGAAGGCGGGTTGAAGCAGAGAGCTCGGCGCTTGATCTGACTCATCCCACCATTACCCCTGATAAACTCTAGTTTTTCAGGTGTGTGTCTTTGTGTACTGTACTGTTTCCCACGGATCAGGCGTCGCCGCTTGTCACGCTTGGGCACTTGGAGGTCCAGCCAGTGGTGGTTGTGGGGCCAGTGGCAGAACTTGGCGTCTCAGATTTCAGCAATGCCTTGTGTGACGCCAAAATCCTGTGCCCCCTGCCTCTCGCCTTCCATTGGATGTCATAGCTGCCGTGTCCCTGGTGTGGCTCTGCTGGTCACACGCTCCCTCAGATCCACCTTTTGGTGGGGCCTGCCAAGATCTTTCCACCCTGGACACCACCGTAAGGTAAAAGGACCCCTGACTATTAGGTCCAGTCGCGGCCGACTCTGGGGTTGCGGTGCTCATCTCGCTTTATTGGCCGAGGGAGCCGGCGTACAGCTTCCGGGTCATGTGGCCAGCATGACTAAGCCACTTCTGGCGAACCAGAGCAGCACACGGAAACGCCGTTTACCTTCCCGCCTGAGCAGTACCTATTTATCTACTTGCCCTTTGACATGCTTTCGAACTGCTAGGTTGGCAGGAGCAGGGACCGAGCAACAGGAGCTCACCCCGTCGCGGGGATTCGAACCACCAACCTGATTGGCAAGTCCTAGGCTCAGTGGTTTAAGCCACAGTGCCACCCGCATCCCCTTGGACGCCACAGTTTTCCCAAAATGCAATGCTCTGGAACTTCTGCCACTGAGGTATTGTGGGTAAGAAATAAACTGGGTGGCCAGAAGGGTTTAACCAACCTGTGTGGGGAAGGGGAAGCTGTAGGGGATAATGTGGGTGGGCGGGGGAGACAAACAGAGCAAGCAGGGTGGCACAGACCTTGAGACAGACAAACGCCTACCAGCCAGGTTGTGTGAATGGAGCAGTCCCATTTGGAACACTGTGGGTTGTATTCTAGCTTTGTTCTACTCAGAGTAAACACATTTAAGGTACTTGACTTAAATGAGCTACAGCCATTTGTTTCAATAGGGCTACTCTGAGTAGGACCAGCACTGGCCACAACCCCATATGTGCAGTTCAGGGTTGACTCCATCTTCAAATAGATATATTGGGGAACTGGAAAAGGGCGAGCAAAATGATCTAAGGTAAGGCATTTGACCACCTGCCTTGTGGTAGAAGGACAAAGTATTTGAGCCTTTTTAAAAAAAAGTTTATAAAAATAAAGGTGTAAAAAGGCACATTACTGAAGTTGATTATGCAGGCATGGACGAAGTAGATAGTGCAGGCAAAGGCAAACTTGGCCCTCCAGATGTTCTTGGCCTTCCATGATCCCTAGCTAACAGGACCAGTGGTCAGGGATGATGGGAATTGTAGTCCCAAAACATCTGGAGGGCTGAGTTTGCCTATGCCTGAGACAGAGTGACATTTCCCCTCCTCCCCTAACTAGATTTTAGGGCCATCTAATGCAAATGATTTGCAGGAGACTCAGGGTGGGCAAAAGGAAGAACGTTTTCAGTAAATAACTTATGGAACTCTGGGCCACAAGATGTAGTGATGACCACATTAATTAGACAGCTCTAGAAGAGGGCTGGATAAAATCATGGAGGACACATAGGAAACCTAGGGAGCTACCTTATACAGAGTCTGACCACTGGTCTTTCTAGCTCAGTATTGTCCACACTGACAGGCAGCTAATCTCTTTTGGTCTGAGGGCAGCATTCAGTCTTTGTCATCCGCCCATTGGCTGCTTGATGATGATAGGTGTAGCCAAAAGCGGGTGTGTCCACCCACACTCTCTCACATGATGGATGCACAAAGGAACCCCAACTATTGCCTCCTCTCTACTCATCAAACGATCATTCTGATGACTGATGAAGGGGCACTTTGCATCCTCAGCAGAGCACTGAGTTCCACCCACCATGGCACTGGGTCTGCTGCTAATTTGATTTACCGTATTTTTCGCTTTATAGGACGCACTTTTTCCCCTCCAAAAATTAAGGGGAAATGTGTGTGCATCCTATGGAGCGCATGCAGGCTCCTTGGCTTCAGCGACAGCAACATGAAGCCTCCAAAGCGCAGAGGGAGCGCTCCCTCCATGCTCCTTGGCTTCGCGTTGCTTTCGCTGAAGCCTGGAGAGCAAGAGGGGTCGGTGCGCACTGACCCCTCTCGCTCTCCAGGCTTCAGGGATAGCCACCTGAAGCCTTCGGAGCGCAGCGCGAATTCCTGCTGCGCTTCACAGGCTTCAGGTTCCTTTTGCTGAAGCCAGGAGAGCAAGACTCTCCTGGCTTCAGCAGAGAGGGAGAGCTGCGCAGCGCCCCTTCAGCCAAGCGGGAGGAGAAATGGAAGGGGCTCAGTTTCTCCTGCTGCTTCGCTGAAGGGGCACTGAGCAAAGAGGGGGAGATTTTTTTCCCCTTGTTCTCCCCCTCTAAAACAAGGTGCGTCCTATGGTCGGGTGCGTCCTATAGAGCAAAAAATACGGTAATTCCACTGCTGCCAAAAACAGTGGAGGCTTGGAAATGGAAATGAAATTTTGCTTGGGGCTCTGGATCATGCCTAACAGTTAGATGGAACCTCCAGCTCCAGGGACGGTCTCCACTGACTATTGGGCTTCCCCAAGGCATTGTGCTGACCACTGTGGGAAAACAGGATACCAGACTAGGCTGATTTTTTTGGGTCGGTTCCTATCTGAGCAGTTTGTGAGGGGAGAGACCCAGCACATTCCAAAACTCAAGAGACAAGAAGCTGTGCAGCCAACATGACACAGAAGAAACTGAAACAGAGAACCGCTTTGTCCTCCTAATGCCTCAAATATGAGGAAGCTCTGGAAAGTAAACTTCCTCCAGTTTCCATCCAGACACTGACCGAGATCTGCCTCATCGAAAAGCTATGAGCAGAAACTATGGCTGACCCCGAGGGAAGGGAGAGCAGGCAGCAAAGTGGCCCAAGGCCTGGCCTTCTCTCCAAGTGACCCAGTGTCCTCTCTAGTGATGGGGAGAAAGTCATTCAGTCTGCATCTAAATGCAAACCTCCCTAACCCACCCTTTCCAAAAACAATATGCAAAGCAAAACAAGGCTGTCTTCCAAAATTCACTCTTCTCCATGCAATCTTGCAATGCATTTCTGCGGCGTGTGGCCATGTAATGCATTACCAAAATATCCGTATACAGTGGTACCTCAGGTTAAGTACTTAATTCGTTCTGGAGGTCCGTTCTTAACCTGAAATTGTTCTTAACCTGAAGCACCACTTTAGCTAATGGGGCCTCCTGCTGCCGCCGGAGAATGATTTCTGTTCTCATCCTGAAGCAAAGTTCTTAACCTGAAGCACTATTTCTGGGTTAGCGGAGTCTGTAACCTGAAGCGTATGTAACCCGAGGTACCACTGTATGTGGGTAAACTGTGCATAAAACACATATATATTGGCGGACCTAACATACAAAGAAAAGCATTGCATGAGGGGAAACAGCTTGCAGAAATGTGCACATAAAGCAAAAATGCGTATGTTAGGAGAAATTCACATGAAGATGCTGATGAATTTTCATGATGGTGTGTGTGGGTGTGGGTGTGTGATGTAGAAATGTGAAGAAGTGAAGATTGGAAACATGAGAAACTGAGAGAAGCTGAAATTGACAGATTCCCCCTACATCATGTCCTCTGAAGAGAGGAAGCCTAGAGCGGCCCTGAGATGAATAATGGGTTTGGGGAAAAGTCTGACATTCTGGAAACGGAGGCTCCTCCGTTGCAAGCAACCTTGATAGTCCAGCTGCATCCCTCATTCCTGCAGGGGAAACAGCTGGGTGGCTCGTCTTAAAAGCAGTGGCTTCCAAACTTCCTGCCCTTTGGGGGAACCCCTTTCATGTCTGTCTGCTGGAGAAACCCTGCCTCTGGCCACAGAGGCTGGTGTATCACAGGGGATCGGGACAGGAAACGCATCAGCACTCGGCATCCTCGCAGGAACTTTGGAAGCTGGATACGACTTGGTGGAACGCTCTGCCACAAGAGACTAGGGCCCTGCGGGACTTGACATCTTTCCGCAGGGCCTGCAAGACAGAGCTGTTCCGCCTGGCCTTTGGCTTGGACTCAGTCCAATCCTTATGTTTCCCTCCCCTTATGGTTTTGATCTATGGGCTACTATTAAAACGAGGCTGCATTTTAAATTGTATTTTTAACCTGTATTTTAAATTGTTCCCCCCCATTATGTTTTTATTGTAATTTTACTGGTGTTAGCCACCCTGAGCCTGGCTCTGGCTGGGGAGGGCAGGGTATAAATTATTATTATTATTATTATTATTATTATTATTATTATTATATACCAAGTCATGCCATTGGTTCCTTTTAGTTCAGTAGTGCTGGCATTGCCTGGCAGTGGCTCTCCAGGCAGCAGCCTTTGTTCCCGTCACTATCTAGATAGGCTGGTGATTTTCTGCAAGCAACACATGTGCTCCACCATGGGGTTACAGCCCATCCCCTAAAAAGAAACCACGTCTTCAGGGTTCTGAACAAAGGGCTGATTTAAATAGGAACATGGTCAGCTGTCTTGTACTGAGTCAGGCCATTGGGCCCAGACTAGCTCACTATTGAGTCTTCTTTCCCATCCCTATCTGGAGATGCTGGGAATTGAACCTGGGTCCTTTGGCAGGCAAAGGAGATGCTCCACCTCTGAGCTATTGGGGATTGGTGTGTATGGAGGTGGGCGGCTTGGGAACAGCCATGGGGGCGAGGGCTATGGAGGTTATGTCTCAACTGGTAGCGGAAGAGAAGGTGGCCTTCCATCAACATCAACAGGAACCAGCCGCTGCTGAGTTCCAGCGGCAATTACGCCCAGGGAAATATGTGTAAGGATTGCAGTCATGCTAGTCTTAATAGATTAGGTATTGTGCTATGTACTGCTGTCTCCTTGTGTGTAATACTGAACCAACATACCTGCCTACACTGTCTGATTTCTTGTGGGACGCATGGCTGTGGGCTGTCATGATGAACTCATGTCCTTCAAAATCACACCACCAGGCCACTGGTCCTGGGTGAAACAGCCCCTCTCTCCCCCACTCTCTCAAGACCACTGGAAGTGAGACACTTTGCAGCCAGAGGGGTTGGGGCAAGGAGGTAAAGACTGACAAGCGCTGCTGATGGTCTCTTTCCAGAAGCAATGGTTGCTTGGAATCAACCCCATATGCCATAGAAGGGCCGAGAACAGAGGGCGAGGAACGGACGCCCCTCAAAACGTGTGACTTTTTGTTCCCTTCCTTGGGTGGGGCTCATATCTCTTCTGCAGGTTTTGGAGAGAGAGACATTAAATGCGATGTTGGGTTAAAAATTCATTGCCTGGGGCAAAGGAGGATGTGAGAAGATGAAACTGCAAAGGAATCTCTCTGTGTGTACTATAAATGGCAGGTTCTGGAGTGAGGCTAAGCTACATAGCTCAGCTTTCTGAACTGGGGGAAACAGAAAAGGAAGTAAAGTGCCCCGGGGCACATACAGAGCACGTCCCCTTTGTCACAAACAACCAGCAGCCTGTCCCCACACAGCTGGACCTAGACAGCAGGTGTCAGCACTGAGATGCCAGCACCAGGCATCACTAGTCAGGGCCACCACCATCACTAATTTTTGCTTTGGTCCCTCATCTTCTCTCACTGCTGCAGCCCCATTCACACCATGCATTTAAACCACTATGCTACCACTTTAAAGAGCCATGGCTTCCCCTAAAGCAGGCACGGCCGAACTTGGCCCTCCAGATGTTTTTGGGACTACAACTCCCATCATCCCTAGCTAACAGGATCAGTGGTCAGGGATGATGGGAGTTGTAGTCCCCAAAACATATGGAGGGCCAAGTTTGGCCATGCCTGCCCTAAAGTATCCCCAGAGTTGTAGTTTGTTAAGGGTGCTGATGCTCGCTAGGCCCCTATTTTCCTCATAGAGCTACAATTTCTAGAGTTTCCTGGGAAGAGGAATTGACTGTTAAGCCGCTCTGTGAATAGCAGCTCTGTGAGGGAAACTGCAGTCTCCTAAAAACCCTCAGCACCTTTTAACAAACTGCAGCTCTCAGAATTGTTTGGGGGAAGCCATGGCAGTTTAAAGTGGTATCACAGTGGTTTGAAAAGTATGGGGTGAGGGTGGCCTTTAATTCCACAGTGACCTCAACATACCACTGCAGAAATTAAAACCGCAACTGGGAGGCACCAAATAAGCTCTCCCGAAACCACTGAACCTCTTTTGGAGGCTCTCAAAATCCCTGAACAGTTTTTTACCAGAGGAAGAGCATTAGGGATTTATTTATTTTTTAATCCAGGCAAAACGTATGCAGTGACTTCACTTACCTTCCTTCAATATGTCTTGTAAATCCTTCTTCTCCAGGGACACCTCTAGAGGCCTGTTTGTTCCCACAAGGAGACCTTCCCTTGTGCAAGAAGACGACGGCAGAGTCTGAAGCTTGGAGGCCTCTTGGGAGAAAGTTGAGTCGATCCTCTCGGCCGGGTCACCGCTGCATTCTCTCAGGATGGGTACAACTGAGATACCTTGCGGAGGCACCGTCACTTGGTACCCGAGAGAGGAGGGCTGAGAAGTGACCTGGGCTATGCGAGGCTCTGACACCAGCCGGAAGGAAGCAGCCTGAGGCGCTACTGCCAAACCCTCACTGCCTCCTATCCCTGAAACTGTTCCAGAAGATGGCGGCAGGGAAACACTGTCCTTGATGACAGCTTTATCCTCCCCGGCTACTTCTTGGGGTTGGTGGGACAGTCCGGGGCTGGTGCCAAGACTCACCTGAAGCTGTGCCTTAGATAACGGTCTGGACCTAGAGTCAGTCACCACTGCTGGGACGATACTCTCCGGAGTCTTCCCAATCAATCCATCCAGGCTGATGGGAAATTTCTGCAACTTCGTCGTCTGCCTGGGGACCACACCAGGAGGGCTCCCAGCTGCCAACTGGCTTACCTCCAATGGAGGAACGGGCGACTCCTTTCTTATCAGAAGGCTGTTCTTCGGCAGTGGGGAGATGCAGTTGTGTTTTCCGGAGCTCCGAAGGATGGCAGGATCCATGTTTGGCGTGGAGCAGAGCACCGGGCTTGGTCCCTGGTCTTCGGCAATGTGCAGGTCAAGCGACGGCAATGAGCTGTGGTTGGCGGTGGCCTTGGAGACCTGCCGGATGGGTCGGCCCACCTCAGCATGGAAGACGTTGCCGTAAGAGGAGAACTTCTTTAGGATGGGACTAGGGAGGTGGGAGGCCCCGATTCCCAGAGATTCGGATTGCTGGGTGCTGCTCCGGGGGCCTTTAGAGGCCACAGGGCACTCCAAGCTGGAGGAAGAGCTGTGGAGGCTCTCGTTGTCGCTTTCTGGCCCCAAGGATGAAGAGAGCCCGTTGGGGTTTAGCCGTGTTTGGAAGGACGAGACCCTGTTGAGGTTGGTGCCATTGGCCCGAGGCGGGTGGGTGGTGCCTCGGTTGAAAGAGAGACTGCTCCCGATTCTTGACTTGAGAATGGGGCTGTGGGCTGGGCTGGGGCTGGAGCTCAGGCTGATGTGGGCTTGATACGTGGGCTGGATAGGGGGCCCCAACCTTTTCCCTTCTCCGTTGCCTGTGGAGTGGATGCCACCAGGTGGGCTTGGGCCAAGGGGCGACCTGGATGGGGAGGAAGGTGGGAAGGCCGGCACCTCTTCAGCATCTTCCATATCAAAGGACCTCTTGAGGGCTGCAGAAGATAAGAGGAAGTTACCCGTTAGGCAGACAAGCACCCAGAATGCAAAGGACCACATTCTTTTTTCAGCCCTAAGGGCTGCAAATCCTTCTGAGGGCCAAATGACAGTGGTGGTTGGGGCCCGGAGACAAAAGCAGACAGAACAACACATGCAGATTTCACCTTCTTCCCTCGTGGAGAAGTGATTGCTGCTCTATAGAAAACAGTTCAGGTATCCAAGGTTTCAGTGCAGCTGTGACTGGAGTGCAGAGTGTCAACTCAAGAACCTTTCGGAGGGTCGCATGCCTCTTTCCTAGTCTGCCCAGACACTGAGGTCCAGCGCCGAGGGCCTTCTGGCGGTTCCCTTGCTGCGAGAAGCCAAGTTACAGGGAACCAGGCAGTGGGCCTTCTCGGTAGTGGAGCCCGCCCTGTGGAACGCCCTCCCACCAGATGTCAAGGAGAAAAATAACTACCAAACTTTTAGAAGACATCTAAAGGCAGCCCAACATTAAAAGGGAAGCTTTTAATGTTTAATAGGTTATTGTATTTTAGTGTTTTGTTGGAAGCTGCCCAGAGTGGCTGGGGGAACCCAGCCAGATGGGCGGGATATAAATAATAAATTATTATTATTATTATTATTGAGGTCTTGCAGGCTTTTGGACTCATGCAGAAACTTAAGAGGCCAGAAAACATCCCACATTCACACCTGGAGCAGTAGATCCCTCTTCTAAAGAGCATTTGAGTCACTGGCAAGGAAAAGAAAAGCTGTCATCTGGCTGCAGCTCTTGAACAGCCATAGCTCCCCCAAAGAACCCTGTGAACTGTAGTTTGTTAAGAGTTGATGAGAGTTGTTATGAGAACCCTCATGGAACTACACTTCCCAGGACCCTTAGCAATATTCTTTTGGGGAAGTCATGACTATTCAAGGATTATAAGAGAGTTTTAAATGTGTGCTGTGAGTGTGACCTTAACTGGATATCCCCCATCTTTTATCTCTGTGTGAATGTAGGGGAGCAGCATTGCACTGAATCAGGCCATTGGTCCATCTAGCTCAGTATTGTCTACACTGACTGGCAGCAGCTCTCCAGGGTTTCAAGGCTGGAAATCTCTCCCCGCTCTATCCAGAGTGGCTGGAGATTGTACCTGGGATCTTCTGCATGCAAAGCAAATACTCTAGCACTTTGAGCCTTTGCTCAAAGTAAAGTAAGAATCTAGTCTTCATGGTTCTGGATCAAGGGCTATATTAATTCAGAAGCTGCCTTATACTGAGACAGACCAGCAATCCATCTAGCTCATTATTTTCCACACTGACTGGCAGTGGCTCCCCGGGGTTTCGGAGAGGGAAGATTCCCAGCCCTACCTGGAGATGCTGGGAATTGATTCTGGGACCCTCTGCAAGCAGGTGCTCTCTCAGCGAACTAGAGGGAGGAAGGGAGAGCTGGCAAGAGGAAGGCAGGCTCCCCTATTGGCTGCCTCCTTCAAACAGACGGTTTTGTTAGCATCTCCCAAAGGGGAAACCAGAGTCGACTCTTGGATCTACTCCTGAGGCCTCTAATCTCCTGCATCTAATTGTTTCTGTGTTTTATCTCCCCTGCGATACCGTATCTGTGTCATCTGCTTAAAAATGCCTCCCGGGGGCAGGGGGAGCAACAACACAGTAACCGCTTTATTCACCTCCAGCCGCAGCATGTAAAGGATCCTGCCTGAGGCATCCCCGAGTAATCAGATCTGGCTCCCTGAACTGTTTCCCTCCTCGCTCCTTTGGTGGCTGCCCCAGTTTAACCAGGGCAACTGGGGCAAACGAGAGTTCGCAGTTTGCGAGAGGAGAGGCCAAAAATGCATGTGGCTTTTGGGATGGCTAAGGTCTAGGTTCCTATCTTTTTCACCAGGGATGGGGAACCTCTGGCAGATGGAGGGGGAATATGCATTTTTGTGTGTGTAAAAAATAAAATAAAAATTGGCTGCGTATGTACTACGTAAGAAGAACCTGCTGGATCAGGCCAGTGGTCCATCTAGTCCATAGCTGTCAAGCGTCCCTTATTTGGCGGGACAGTCCCTTATCCCAGCGCCATGTCCTGCTGCTGTCCCTTACTGATGAGGCTTCGTTTGGCTGATGGCTGGGCTTTCTGCCTTTGGTTCGGAGGGGCTCAGAAGTTGAACATACATGTGCCTGGAAAATCCCTTATTTTGGCTGCTGATCCCTTATTTTTGAGGCTGCTGGTCCCTTATTTTCAAATCTGTAAGTTGACAGCTATGATCTAGTCCAGCATGCAGTTCTCACTGTGGCCAAGCAGATGCCTGTAGGAAACCCTCAAGCACAAGAGCCCTCTCCCCTCCTGCTGGGATGCAAAAGCATTTCTGTCTCTGACTGCAGAGGCAAAGCATCACAATCATATCTGGCAGCCATTGAGAGCCTTCTCCTCCATGAATTTGTCTAATCCTCTTCTAAAGCCATCCATGTTGGTGGCCATCCCTGTGTCCTGTGGGAGGGAGTTCCAAAGGCTAACTCTGCGCTGCAGGAAGAAGGGCTTTTCCTTTGTCTGGCCTGAATCTTCCAACATACTCTTCATTGGATGCCCATGAGTTCTAGTGCTGTGAGAGAGGGAGAAAAACTTTACTCTGCCTGCTTCCTCCATGCCAGGCATAATCCTATAATCTTCCATCATGTCGCCTCTCCCTGCCCTTTTCTCTAAGCTAAAGAGCCCCATTTGCTGCCCTCTTGGTATGCACTTTCCAATTACAAGCCACCCAGAGCCTCAGGGATGGAGAGGGCTACACACTCAAAGCGCCAGGGCTTCCCGGGCGCAGTGTTTGAAGCGCCAGCTGGTGTCCGGCGATGCCAGCATCCTAGCCCAAGGGGACTCCAGCCATCCGTCAGCGCCGCTGACAGCTTCTGAAATGTGATGCTGCCTTTTTTGCCAGGCTGTTTGAATTCTCCCTGGTGGGGATGGGAACGCCACTGCCTGCTGGAGGCAGGAGAGACAGGACCGCATACCCTAAACAAACAATGGACTGGAAAAAATGCAGCTAAACTTCAATAAAGCCAGCAATGTATTTCCTCCTAGCCTCCTAGGCTGTGGAAGGCAGTGGCACCATCAGGGCCGGACTTGGGGGGCAGCTGTATTGGTCCCATTCAGCAGTAGGAACAGAAGGATTCCCCAAGGCAGCAGGGTTGGTTAAGAACATTTCAGAGAGACGTTAGGCTGTGTATACACTACAGTTTATTGGGTATCCAGTGAGCTTCATGGACTGAGGTGGTTTTAACACTGCAACTCTTTTGAGGTTTTTCCCCTGTTTTACATTCAAGCAGTGTATAAATTTTATAAAATAAATTGGGCTAAAGGAATGGCAAGCACTCACCACTGGACTTTTCTGCGATAGACTTTTTAGAAGTCAGAACCAGCACTGATGGCAGAAGCTGGAAACAGCAGCTGGCAGGCCCCACAGTCCTTCTTGAAACCTACAGTGGTACCTCGAGTTACAGACGCTTCAGGATACAGACGCTTCAGGTTACAGACTCCGCTAACCCAGAAATATTACCTCAGGTTAAGAACTTTACCTCAGGATGAGAACAGAAATTGCGCGGGGGCAGCGGGAGGCCCCATTAGCTAAAGTGGTACCTCAGGTTAAGAACAGTTTCAGATTAAGAACGGACCTCCAGAACGAATTAAGTTCTTAACCTGAGGTACCACTGTACTCTCCCCCACTTTCTGGCTTGATAGGACAGATACTCCTCATTCCCAACACACTCCCAGCTCTGGAGCAATCTCTGTCCTAGAGAATCCCCTCTGCCCCAATTCATCAGCCACATGGGATCAATTATATGCTGGAGGGATCTCTGGCCTGACAGGCTCACAGAGGTACATGCAGGTGTCTCTGCAGCTGATCTACTTCCTCGCCAGCCCTGTGGCTTTTGGAGGTGAAAGTGGATCTTCCAAGCTAATCAAAGAGAAGGTGAGGTTCCACCTGGAAGGAAGGGCACAAGAGGGGTTTCCTATTGGAGTCAAGCAGGCATGAGAGCTTGCTCCAACAAGCCCAAGGCGCTGCTAAATGAATACTGGCTGGGCCTGGAATGTGTGCTGCCAGGTCTCATCTAGGAAACAGCCACCTGGTGAGGAAGGAAGGAGCTTTGCTTAGGCAGGAAGGCAAAGCAAACTTAAGAGCATGCTGGCCTATCTAGTCCAGCATCCTGTTCTCAGATGCCTGTGGGCCACAAGCAAGCAGGATCTGAGCACAAAAGCACCCAACCCTCCTGAGGCTTCCTGCAACTGGCATTCAGAAGCATTTCTGCCTTCGATAAGCCCTCTCCTCCATGAATTTGGCTAACCCTCTTTTAAAGCCATCCAAGTTGGCGACCACCACTGCCTCCTGTGGCAGAGAGTTCCATAGATTAACTATACATTGCACGATGAAAGTTTTTCTTTTATCTGTCCCGATGGATCGCCACAAGATCCAGGCTTATCGGAGAGGGAGCAAAACTCTTCTCCATGCCATGTGTACATTTCATAAATTTCTACCGTGTCTCCTCTTAACTTGCTTTTTCTCTAAGCTAAAATGTCCCAAGCTGATGTTTGACTATTCCAATTTATTCGCACCACCCATTGATTTCCTCCACCTTCCACAATCCCCCACCACAACAAACCAACCCCAAGCAAGAAATATTGTCCATATCTATGAGCTGAATTAGTCTTGCTCCCAGGCCAGCATGTGTAGAATTGTAGCCTTGGCTTTGCAAAAAATAAGAAAGACCACAAGAACCCAGATAAATCTCAAAGACAACAACGAACGTCTGAAGCAAGTTTATGTTAGTGATTTGTAATAGATTTTTTTTTTGAAAAAAAGCTCCTTTCTCCTCTCTAACTTCTACTCAAGACTAGACCCAGTGAATCTAAATTAACAATGACCACTAAGTTTAATGGGCCTACTCTGAGTAGGACTAACATTGGAAACAACCCTGTGTGTCTGGTGGTCTGGAGGAGATTCCTACTTGCCTAGCAGCATAGGAACACCAGAGACCTTCTGCATGCAAAGCAGGTGTCCTACCACTCAGCTGCAGCCCTCTAGTATGCCGAATAACACCAATGGTGCATCTACCCCAATATTGTCTATACTGACTGGCAGCAGCTCCCCAGGGTCTCAGGTAGGGAGTCTCTCCTGGCCCTACCTGGAGATGCCGGGGATTGAACCTGGGACCATCTGCATCCAAAGCAGATGCTCTTACCATTGCGTTACAAGCCTTCTCCTGTAGGAATGTCAAGAAAACCATTTCTTTCTTTTTGTTCCTCTCCTCTAGCCGCCTTTGACTCTACCTGCTTGGCTGGAGTGTCCATCACAAGCTATAACATTTACTACCTCCCTCGGGGCGAGGAGAGGAATCCATTTCTGCACTTTGCCCTGCGCTGCCCTCAGAGGTTGAACCCCTGGCGACTCTGCGCTGACCCCTGAACTAGGCAGAGGGGGTGGCACAAAACACTTTGTCATTGTCAACACAGAATCAAAAGGCCGACTTGGAGGGCCAGGGGGCTCCTCAAGCTCTCGTGCCGGACACTCACGCAGCGTGCGTGTCAATCCAGCCACCTCTCAGGACTGGGTGCCAACCAAATCAGCCTTTCTAAACCCTGCAACCGCCCGGCTCCATTGCAGGGTGGGGAAGAGCCAAGGCTCAGGGACAGAGCATCTGTTTGGCATGCGTAAGGACCCAGGTCCAATCCCTGGCCTATCCAAGTTGGGCTTGGAGAGATTCCAGTCTGAATCCCCAGAGAGCTGCTACCAGTCAGCGCAAGCAATAATGAACTAGATGGACCAGTGATCTCACTCAATATAAAGGCTCTGTTCTATGTTCCTAACTGCAGAGTTAAATGAATATGGCTGTGAGTCAGTGAAGAAAAGCAGAGGGAAGCAAAGCAGGCCGAGAGCTGAGATGTGGGTATTCAGGGTGTTACAGGAGTGTTCCTGTTTTATTTATTTGTGACATACTCCAACGGGAACCTCAGATCCAGGAGCTGAATGCTCCTGGGATTATTCCCACTCGGCGTCCAATTTATCCAGGTCACATCGCTCACCAGCCCTGCTTTGCACCTTCTTCAAGTGTCGTTTTGCACCTCCACTGCATTGGAGGTTAGTCCATGAGGGCAAATGGGGCCAGCACCCCATCAGCTTTAGCCTCTTCCCACCTCCCTGCCTTTTTGCTTGCAACCAGTCAGGGGCTGCTTCTGCTGGTTATTGGCTCTGGCTTTCCCTCCTCTTGAACTCTCTGCCTTCTGCCCTAGTATTCCCAATGGTCACCAGCCACTGCTGCTCCACTGTCAGAGGGTAGATGTTTCTGCCACTGTGCTCTCAAACCACCACCACCCACGGACAAACAACACAGCTGCTTTTCTCTCTTTCTCTCCATGCAATCCTTCCCGACCATCTTCAGGAAGAGAATTGGGGTGCAGAAAAGTAATGGTTGGTCTGTCCCTACATTGATGACTACTGCTGCTGCTTGTGTGGCGACAGAGGCTGTTTCTGGAGCTGATACAGGTAGGGCAAAAAATGCCCAGCCAGATGGGCGGGGTATAAATAATAAATTATTATTATTATAATAAATTATTATTATTATCAGTAGCAGTAGCAGTAATCTGGCCCCGAGAAATTGCGCATTTAACAGCAGCTATTCCTCTACTCCTCTGCCACCCATCCAGAAGTGAGATTTGTTGCTGCTGCTGCTGCTGCTGCTGTTGTTGTTGTTGTTGTTTTGTACTCGTTCTGGCCTGACCCAGTGAATGCAACCCAATCTCTGGAATGTGGCTTCCCTAGCAGTGGAGAGGACTGATGGCTGAAAGGTTAATGCCAGTAATTATAGGTGTGGGTGCATTCCTTTGGAAGCAATAACAGTATTGCACACAGTTGCTCGCGCTTGGTGAGCAAAGGATTTCTAGATGGGATGGCTTCCCCCAACCCGTCTCCTTTTCCTGCCCCCACATGGTTGCCGTGATCCACAGCAGCCAGGGGGAAAGGAAGTCTGTTCATCAGCTCAACAGGATCGCCCACATACACGCTCCTTGAAACTCATGGCAAAGTGTGTTCACAGTTCTCCAGGAGCAGAGGAAAATGCAGAATAAGAATGCAGTGGGTGCAGAACTCAGCTTCTTGAGAAGAAAGGTTTTTTAGTCCTCAGGGCTGTGGCTTCTAGCCTTCTCAAAGTGTGTGGGCAATGCCTAGTGAAAACTCACATACTTTCAAACACACCTTTACAGCCAAAGACTAAAATCTTGCATTAAAAAAAAATTGGGGGAGAGAAAGGTGGCTCCATTTAAAGCACTTTGCACTCCACTAACTCATAGCCAGAAGCTATCTAAGAGTGGTACTTCTGACACCATATCGCACATTTGTGGAAGGGGAAGGCTGAGAAAACACCTTTCTATACCACCACACAAACCCCTGCAGTGTGGGACCACAAGACTCAGGCAGAGCAACAGCCTCCCATGCAGAAGGTCCCAGATGCAACCCCCAGCACTTCCAGGTTGGGCTGGGAGAGATTCCTGTCTGAAACCATCCACTACCAATCAGTGTAGAGGATACTGAACTAGATGAACCAATGTTCTGACTCAATGTAAGGCTGCTTCCTCTCTTCCCATACTCTTCCATGGAGCCCTGTGTTTGGGGGAAATGGCAGTCAGCTGTTTCCTCCAGCAGATCCCAGATTAGATCAGAGCCTTTTGGGCACAGCCTGTCCTCTTTTGTCTTTCATGTGGACACAGTGAAAACCAAAGATTAATACAAGAAGAGCTCTACTAGAGCCACCTAGTCCAACATCCTGTTCTCACAGCGGCCAGTCAGGAGCTCCAAAGGGAAGCCTCTCTTCACTTGTGATTCCCAACAACTGGTATTCAGAGGCAAATGACCTCTGGCAATGGAGGAAGCTTCAAGGAAAGACAGCAGGCAGGGCATGAGCAGAACAGTCCACTTTTCCGGTTGTTCAGCAGCAGCTGATATTTAGAGGCATGCCGCCTCTGATCTTGGACATAGGGTGTAGCCATGGTGACTAGTAGCCATGGGCAGCCTTATTCTCCATGAATTTGTCTCGCCACTCTCTTAAAGCCATCCAAGTTGGTGGCCATGGCTATGGGCTTATCCATACTTCCTCTTAACCCAGGCCTTTGGGCTGATTAATATTCCACAGCCTTTTAAAATGTGTTTGTGGGAAGAGGGGGGTTGAGTTCCTCCATTCCTCTGATCTTTGGGGTTGGTTTGCCCATCGTTTGATCAATGTCAGGAAAAACGGCTACCTTTTGGAGCACCTGACTGCACAGGAGCAGGGCCAGAAAATAAAGGCGACAAGACTGGACTTTTTGGACTTTGTGTGCGCATGTAAGATCATAAGAAGAGCCCATCTAGTCCAGTTCTCACAGTGGCCAAGAAGATGCCTTTTCTGGGAAGTCCACAGAAAGGACCTGAGCACAAGATAATGGTCATAGCTGATACCCACTGGTAGACTTGCACGCCTCCCCAGATCCTTTTTTGCCTCCTGTTTATTTCCACAATTTTTGATACTTGGACTCCTGTGTGAAAACCTCAGGAGTTCCCTCCCAACCATTTTGTCTAGCCATGCTCCCCATGAGTCTGCCCCCATCATCCTAACCCACGGATCCCCTCTCAAAGAGGGCTTGCTGTTCTGTGCTTTGCCATGTCCTGAACAGTTCTTGTAATCTAAGCACCGCAGAAGCCCTGCCTGCAAGCCTCTGCTCTCTCCGCTCCAAAACTTTCCTTAATTACAATCTGTGAAATGCTGAAGTGGAGACACTGCGACAGCAACAGCTGGTAATTGGAAGCCGCTTGTTCTTTTGCTTTTCTGCCTTCTCTCTCCCTAACCCACTCCTTCCCTCTCGCCCCCTTCCTGTCTTAACAGAGACAAGCTGGTTATTGTAGGCTCTCTGTGAGCACACACAAGCCGGTCTCCCCCTCCTCCCAACACACACTGTGGAGACTCTTCAGGATAATTCGGTATCTTAATGCTATGGTGGGGCTGGGTTAATTACCTGCATTTCAACCCAGTGTGTGCAAACAGCTGCTCTCCAGAGTGGCTGCCTGCCAAACACAGAGTGGTTGCTCACTGCCAACAACCCAGACCAGAATCCTCTGCTCTGTGCAAGGGTTTTCGTAGAATTATGTGGTTGGAAGGGATCTTGGGAGTCATTTGGGTTGTGTACACACCAGCCATCTAAAGCAAGCATGCAGTAATGCTAGAAATGGTAGTTTTATTGCTTGCAGAGCTACAATTCCCAGCAGCCTTAAACTATAGTTCCCAGGATTATGGGGTTTTTTTGGGGGGTGCTTTAAATGTATGATGTATGTGCAGCCCTAGTCTAATTGTTGTGTTACTTTTATTGTTGTTAGCCGCTCTGAGCCCGGCTTCGGCTGGGGAGGGCGGGATATAAATAAAATTTTATTATTATTTATTATTATTGTGCCGAGCAGTATTTATTTCCCCCAAGGAGCTATAGGCCGTATATATGGCTCTCCCTCTCCCAGTTTAACTCCCACAACAACTCTGCGAGGTAGGTTAGGCTGAGAGGCCCAAGGTTACCTAGTGAATTTCATGGCGAAGTGAGGATTTGAACCCTGGTCTCCCAGGTCCTAGTCTGACAATCAAACCACTACACCATGCTGGCTCTTGAGGTTCCATTCCATCCCATTCATAGCTATATCAGGGTAGGGAAGTTCAGTCCTGGGAGCTGAATACAACCCTCTAGACCTTCCTATCTGGCCCTCAGAACTCTCTCTAGGCTACACTTGTTCCTGCTTCACGGAGACCTAAAGTCCATCTAGTCACACATATCTTGTCTCCCAAAGTAGACAACCAGATGATTCCAGAGATCAAACAGGCACAGCATGAAGGTAGGCGGTCTACTCGGTTTCGGGAACTCACAGATATACTACCTTGAAATGAGGAGGTTCTACTTAATTATCACATCTAGAAAATGCCTTGCACTAAGTTAGGGATGGGGGAGAAATTTGATTCCGCTCATTTATAAAGGAGAACGTACCTAATTTGCACTTTCCAAAATGAGACACGAAACCTAAACTCAGCTATCTTTTGAAATTCACACTCCTCCAAATTTTGCAATGCAGCTCTCCAGCAATGTATACAAATATGCATATGCTAAAGTAAAATGTGCACAGAACATGCACATAGTTCTGAAACTAACATACAAAAATGAATTATATTAGGGGAAATTGCTTTGCAGGTATTTGGGCTTATCCATACTCTTTTCCGCACTCTTTTCAGGCAGAGGTTTAATGCTTTGTGTTTCAGTGGGGTCGTCCCCCACAACCGAGCTTTCCCCACAAAAACCTGCCCAGTAAAGCTGAATCGGAGCAAATGTAAATTCAGCTTTTCTGCAGATTGCTGTTTGTTCTGATTAAGCTCTAAAGAGCAGGTTTTTGCAAGGAAAGCTTCGGAGAAAAAAAGTGCACTCACACAGAGATATAACTTGAGGACCATGCCTGGAAAAAGTGGGGGGGGAGTAATTGTGGATAAGCACTTAGTCAAAACTGCATATACAAATTGGTGTATTAGAAGAAGTCCGCAATGAAGTGCTGATTAATTTTCATTAGAACTTTAAAAAAAAAAATAAATTTCAAACTGCTGTGGAAATGTGGAAAACTGAATTTAAGATTGGGAAAAGGTGAGGAACCAAAATGGGCTGATTCGCCAAGTCTCTACACAGAGTCCAACTGTTCATCTGCCTCCCTCGGTTCTGCCTGCACTGACTAGCATGGTTTTATATCTCAGAGCCAGCAGGATCAGGCCAATGGGGCATAAAACACAGCATCCTGTTTTCATGGTGATGCCTATGGGGAGTCTGCAAGCAGGACCTGAAGGACAAGTCTCTCCACTTGTGGTTCCCAGTAAATGGCATTTCAGAGTGCCTCTGAAAGGGGAGAAAGAACATTTAGCCACCATGACCAGTAGCCCCTGATTGACTTAGCCTCTACAGCTTCATCTAATCCTCTTAGAAGCCATCCAAGTGAGTAGCCATCACTCCTGGTGGGATTGAATTCCAGAGTCCAGCTATGTGCTGTGTGAAGAAGTCCTTTCGCCCAACTCATGCGGGTGTTTCCAACACAGGTGCCCAAATATCTGATGGATCAAGATGGGCAGAGGGCCATGGTCCCTGATATTTGGGTTGGGCAGAGTTCATTTTCATCTGGGCCAAAGAGAGGTGGGGTGAATATATTTCTTTCAGGAACGGTGGAAGCAAGAAAACGGAGGTGGTTGGGGGTGGGATTCTACTGCAGGAGTTTTTCACAAATTCCATCTTTAAAGTACACACCCAAAGGGCCCTTGGCATATTGAAATCCCTTATACAAACACATTAAAGTACACAGAGGCATCATATATTTCACACACTCACCAGGTCAAATTTTCTTCTGATTAACGCGCACTCACTCTATATTTGCAGAGGTTTAAGCCTGACTTTGCTGCTTTCGACAAAGCCAAAGGCTCGGCTGAGATCACGACAAGGGATGAGACAGCCCTGGGGATCATCATCATTTAGGGAATCATAATCATTATCTTCATCATCCAGTTATGGGAGAGGCCATAGCTCAATGGTGGAGACTCTGCTTTGCAAGCAGAAGACTCAAAGTTCATGGCTGAATCAAACTAAGGCATACTCAAGAGTAGACCTGCTGAAACTAATGAGCTGAAAAGTGTCAGGCCCATCTGATCCAGCATCCTGATCTCAGTGGCCAATGGGAAGCCTGCAAACTGGACCTGGGCAGAGGAACAGTGTCTCCCCACTTGTGAATTCCAGCAACTGGTACCCAGAGGTGCACTGCCTCCAACAGTGGAGGTAGAGCATAGCTAGCTATCAGTGAATTAATTCCAATGGATCTATACTGAGTATTATGCAGTTTAGGTGGGGAGGGTAGAACCTCTAGCCCAGGGGCTGGATTCAGCCATTTGTATCCGGTTCTTGGGAGTCTCCCACAGGTCACACCCATCTCTGCTCATGGTCCACCCCTTCCTTGAGTGGCTAGCTGGGACAATGCCTCTCGCTTGCCTGGGTAGAGAAGCAAGTGCATATAGAGGAACCTCTTGACATTTGCATGGCTGAATGTAGCTTACTGTACAGACGGAAGAGTTGTCTCAACTAGGGCCAGGGCCTTTTCAGTAGTGGCCCCGACTTGGTGGAATGCTCTGTCACAAGAGACCAGGGCCCTGAGGGACTTGACATCTTTCCGCAGGGCCTGCAAGACAGAGCTGTTCCACCTGGCCTTTGATTTGGACTCAGTCTGACCCTTATGTTGCCCTCCCCTTATGGCTTTGATCTATGGGCTATTATTAAAATGAGGCTGCATTTTAAATTGTATTTTTAACCTGTATTTTAAATTGTTTCCCCCCCTATTATGTTTTTATTGTAATTTTACTGGTGTTAGCCGCCCTGAGCCCGGCTCTGGCCGGGGAGGGCAGGGTATAAATAAAAATGTATTATTATTTATTATTGTATTCTTTGCCCCGCCCACTTTTGTCTCTGGCCTACCTGCTGTGAGCTTCCAGAAGGTTGTCCGCAAGGGAATGTTGGATGCAACCTTCAATCTCCAACATCTCCAGAAAAGAACCCATTCTGAAACCCTGGAGAACTGCTGTCGGTCAGTGTAGACGATACTGAGCTAGATGCACCAACAATACAACATGGTGTTCCCAAGTATTATATGCACTTATCCCTATGGCACTCTGTATGTGCATGGTGCTTTAGCTAGCATGGGAAGACAAGGTCCCTGCCTGCAAGAAGCTTTCAATCTAGACACCTGGTGCTGGGCCAAGTCAAGCTGTGGGAAGGGGAGCGAGATGGTACAAGGGCAGATGGGAGGAAGACCACCAGAAGAACCTGGTTGCTAGATCAGGCCAAAGGCCCTCTAGTCCAGCACTCTGTTCTCACAGTGGCCAACCAGATACCCCAATGAGTAGTCTACAAGTAGGGCGTGAGCACAACCAGATCTAGGGAAGAAATTCAATTCAGTTCACACTTAAAGGCTGCTTCCATTCCTCTGAAGCTTGGCTTCCAACAAAAGCTGCACTACTCATCTTACTGTCTGCTGTGGCAGAATTTTATGTAATTAATTCCATTCTTATGCCACACTGTTCATTCTAGCGCAATGCAATAATTACGTATCTGTTGCAGATCGACAACAAGAACAGAGACTACCAATCGTTTTCACTGGTCTGATCTCCATTTCAGTCATGGGATGAATAAGCAAATATCGGCAGCTTTCGCTTCCATTTCCATCAAAATTCTCCAGCATCCCTCCCTATAGTCTCAGAGGACAAAGGCTGCGTCCAGAAGCGATTCCCAGACTGCCTGCCTGCTCCTTCAGGAGAAGGTACAACCCCGTTCAGAGCAAGCAACCGGCCAACTTCTTAGACACAAACACAAACGTAAAAATTAACATCCATTGCTCCACCTACTTTTGCCTTTAGCCCCACCCACCACTGGTATGAAGCCCTGGGGAGGTTGTCCAGAAAGGAATGTCACCTTCAGCTGAAAAAATAGGTTCCTCAACCTTGGTCTGTCTCTAAAAGAGGGTTCACCTACATGCACATTGGAATTGACATAAATGATGGAAAATTCCAGCCTCCTGATCCTCTTCCTGATTAATATAAAATATGTTCAGAGGAATCTGCCTCTGCCTCTCTCTGCTTGGAATCTGTTCAGTTCTTCTTCATGTGATTCCCCCACCCCACCCCCCAGCTGGCTGGCTGGGTAACCATGAACTTTATTCCAAAACTCTATGTTGCAAAACACAGAAATGAGAATATACTACAGAACGTAGAAATTCTATGACACAGTGGGATGGGCTAGAGAACATCAGGGGTCCAAATCTTCAGTTAGGATAGCAGATAGCAGATAGCAGTCTGATGGATTGTTTTGTTAGTGCTACTATAATGCTATTCTCATGCAATCCCAACTCTATATTGCATTATATGTTTCTATCTGATTCAGAGTTCAGAATGTCATTATCTTCCATGTGAAGATAAGATGCTTTGAATGAAGCACCGCATATCAATAAACTGACTGATTCGTTTCAACTGCAATCTTGAGTCTGTGGTGTTTATCACTGGTTCTGTCCCTGTTTCACTGGCTTGCTACATGAGCAAATCTGAACTCTGACTGGAGTACCCAAATAACTTTTTTTTTTTTTTTACATAGTTCCCGCAGGGAAAGCCCCATCCTCTGTTGGAGACGCTAGAGAGCTGCTGCCAGTCAGTTTAGAGAATATTGGCTCAGTAGAGGGCAGCTTTGGATTTTGACCAGGAGACCGTGCACTCTACATTTAAAACATATGAACTCTGTATCCAAATTCTACACCAAGAAAGCTGAAACTTGTATCCTACACAATTTATGCAATTTGCATCTTGGGGTAATGTATACTGATTTGCTTAATTTAGTCTGATTTTGTAAGCACCAGGTGGAGAGGGGAGGGGAGGGTCTATAAAGGGCTCCAAAGCACACACCCACCCACTTGAAATATTATTCTATCCACACACTTTCAATGATATCTTTGCAGGCATGAGGACTAGAAACCTTCTAGAATATGGAGATGCACAGGTAACTGTTTCTAGCACCCAATACGGCATCCTGCAAAATCATGGTTACACACAGCCCAGGGTGTGACTGTGCAGTCAACTTTCACCTGACTTTTTTCTTTTTAAAAATAAATTAAGCACCAAACTCCAGCAGGTTTGCTTTGGTAATTTCCTCCTCTGAAAAGAGGGTTAGAAATAGCACCAAGCTTATAGCACCAAGTTTCCTGGATTTCACAGACCCAGATCTGCCACCACCCACACTTTAACATTTGGTGCATCTCTCTCTCTTGCAAATTTTCCAGGAAAGGGAGGCAGCCCCCTGCCTTCTGGAACTGTAACCCGCCCCCTCTTAGCAGAAACCATATGGATGGGGAGGGCGAGAGCGTGACACTTCTTTGTCCGGACGCCTGGGTCCCTTGGCCCTACCTTCAAAGTCAGAGAGAATCCCATCCAGATGTTCCTTGACAGACAGCTGGGACATCTTGCCTTCAGGCGGCTTGGTCCTGAGACGAGGAGGGTGGCCGGCTCAGTCCTCGTGTGCAGCCAGAATTGCCTCCTCTCTGCAAAGAAAAAGAAAAGAGATCTGGGATCGTGGGGAAAGGGGTGTGTGTTGGGGCAGCAATGTTATTATTATTATTATTATTATTATTATTATTATTTCTTCCCCAGTTCTCGGGCTTTGCGGCACCCACACTCACCTCCAGACTCTGAGCTTCTACTTCGGAAAGAGAGCGCAAGAGGAAAGAGACTGGCTTTCCTTCTCTCTCTCCACCCCCCACCCCAGAAAGCCCCCTCCCCACCCCACCCCCAGCTAAACCCTTCCGGGGATCACATTGGCTGAACGGGCTTGGCTGTGCTTTCCTTGTGGGGGAAAGAGGAGACGAGGGGAGGGGAGAAAGTGGAGAAGGGAGGGAGGGGACGGGCTGGGGTGGAGGGGACGCCAGCCTCGACTCCGAGCTGCTTTTGGCAGGCAAGGAAGAAGACAGAGGGAGAGAGGAAAGGGGTGGCGAGGGGGGGAGAAGGAGGTGGGTCTACCGCTTTAGAGAAGCTGCAAAAGGCAGCTGCGCTGGGCCAGAGCGCTCCCTGTTTGCTTATTTTTATAGGGTTCACCAGCCTCAGCCACTGAGGCCACCAGCTCCTCCAGCTGCAGCTGCACACGACTGGCCCGTTTCCAACAAAGGTTGCCAATTTTTTCTTATGAGCCCCGCTCCTGCGCTTTTAAGCAGCAGGCCTACAAAAGAGAAGTTGAGCAGGTGACACTTTTACACACAGAGAGAGAATGCCAGAGAACGAGTTTGCAGAGCTGTGTGCCAGGGCAGGTCTTAAAAGCAGAGGAGCAGGGCCAGAGAGGAAACGTGGCAACCCTAATTAACGCACACCCACACCGTGATAGGGTCGACTGGGTCACATGTCCCGTGACAGGCAGCTAAAGGTGTGAGTAGGCACCATTGAGAAAAGCATCCTCTCCCAGAAATATAGAAGAGTTTCATTTTGGAGGGTGGCAACTCAGAGCTCAAACCACCCAAATGCTGATCACCACTTAGGACTGAAGTCAAAGGATGAGCATGCATGTGCAAACAAGGCCCTGGGCATGTTCACTATTTTCTGGATGTGTCCCCAGAAGCACATGCACAAGGAACAACACACACCTTTGCAGAAAAATTAGGGCTGCACTGTTTAAAATCAGTTATACAAATCAATTTAAAACTTTAGGTCTATCAAAGCAGATGACATCTTGGAATCGGATGAAAGTGAATGGCATAAAGCACTGGGAGCAGAACATGGCTTTGAAAAATGAAGTCTGCTTGTTCATTATGGGAATGAAAAAATCCCAGGACAAAGTTCAACCTTAGATATGATTTTCAATCATATAATTTGACATTCTGCTTAAAACAAAATAGAACCATAGGAGCCAAGGACACCTAATCTGTATACAATGCACTTTAACGCATAACTGACTTTTCCCCGTGCAGATACATATTATGACATTGTATTTATATTTCATGTTTACATATAAAGAGGAACTGTTTCTGTTGTGATGATTTTATTTTAATTAAAAAATTAAAAAGAAAAAAACCACCCCACTGCCTTTTAACCTGCTATAAAATGATTATTTTTAATTCAAGCACTTATAAAAACTGCAGTTGGCTAGCACTGTTTTAACAAAGGCATCATTGTCCTTTTTACAAACAAGTAGGTAGGATGCCTCTGTTTAAGACAATGGGTTGTATGCCATGTTAAGCCTACTCAGAGTAGATGCATTGAAAGTAATGGGCAGGATTAACTTAGGTCCCTTTATTTCAGTGGTTCTACTCTGAGCAGGACTTAGCTGAAGACAGCACAATACTTATGACTCTGCATGCTCACTTCATCCAAAACAAGGACAGTGATATTACTGGATTTCACCAGCCCTGACCAAACACAGCTAGTCATCAGGATGATGCAAGTTATAGTCCAACAGCGTCTTAAGAGACAGAGGTTCCCTACCCCTGCTCTAAAACCATAGAAAACGTGCTTCTGGGTTGGTTTTGCTATTTTGTGAACTGATGCACAATAAATCGACTGGTTATTATTATTTAAGTAGAAGCTTTATTATTTCTTCTTTTTTTCAGTCCATCACTATTCCACAAAATTATTCCGCAAACAGAAAACAGCAGGAGCATTCCTCGTGCAGACTATAAATTGTTTCTGTGCTGCGACTTAACCGATTATCTAATAGATGGGCTGAAACTGGCATGATGAATTGATTAATATGTCTCGACTCAATCTACAACACCCTGATCAAAATCCATGCATGAAAAGCCTCCTTTGAGCACAGTTAGATCGGAGGTTCCATGATCAGGATTCCTGATGGAACAACAACAACAACAACAAAAGAAAATAAACACCCACACAGAAACATACTGTATTGGTTTAACTCGCTTGCCAGACGTACTCAGAGGCTATTAAAAATAAATGAAGGATTAACATTGGATTGATTTATTGGAACTACCTGGACTAATTAAGAGAAGCAGCACAAATGTGAGATAATCATCATTCCCCGACCTCAGAGCATGGGAAGCCAACCAAAGATTTATAATTTGGCATAATATTTGGATTGTTTGATTATTTTATAATTTGGAATGTTTTTAATGTGGTTTTTATTGGATTGTTAAAATGGAAAACTTAATAAATATTATTATTAACAACAACAACTTCAAGGGCCCCAAATCACAAGAATGCAATGCAATGCAATGCAGGAAGGTTTTTAAAAGAACATTTCCTCCTGATTAAATCTCCCAAGCCACTAATTGCTGGGGTGCTTTTAACAGCAGCTCAGAGCTCATCCGCACTTCCTTTTGTGCTGTTTCTAGGCACAAGTCAGGGCTTTCCAGGTCTCTCTTTTTTCCTTTTCTTTTTGTCCCAGCACTTTCCATGGGAAAACCCACGTTTTACAAGTGAATCGGAGCAAATGGTAATCCATGAAAAACTCAGCTGCCATTTGCTTTGATTCACCTGCAAAATGTGGGTTTTTATAGAATCCTAGAATCATAGTTGGAAGGGACCCCAGGGGTCATCTAGTCCAACCCCCTGCAATGCAGGAATCTCAGCTAAAGCATTCGTGACAGATGGCCATCCAGCCTCTGTTTAAAAACCTCCAAGGAAGGAGAGTCTACCACCTCTTGTGGGAGTTTGTTCCATGGCTGATCAGCTGTTACTGTCAGAAAGTTTTTCTGAATGTTTTGTGGGAATCTCCTTTCTTGCAACTTGAAGCCATTGGTTCGAGTCTTACCCTCCAGAGCAGGAGAAAACAAGCATGCTCCCTCCTCCATGTGACAGCCCTTAAGATATTTGAAGATGGCTATCATATCTCCTCTCAGTCTCCACTTTTCCAGGCTAAACACACCCAGCTCCTTCAAGCGTTCCTCATAAGGCTTCATTTCCAGACCCTAGATCACGGCTAGGCAAACTAAGGCCTGGGGACCAGATCTGGCCCAATCGCCTTCTAAATCTGGCCCGCGGACTGTCCGGGAATCAGCGTGTTTTTACATGAGTAGAATGTGTTCTTTTATTTAAAATGAATCTCTGGGTTATTTGTGGGGCATAGGAATTCGTTCACCCCCCCCCCCCATATAGTCTGGCCCCCCATAAGGTCCAAGGGACAGTGGACCAGCCCCCTACTGAAAAGGTTTGCTGACCCCTACGTGCCTTGATCATCTTGGTTGCCCTCCTCTGCACACATTCCATCTTGTCTTAAATTGTGGTGCCCAGAATTGGACTCCGTATTCCAAGTGTGGTCTGACTAAGGCAGAATAGAGGGGCACTATTATTTCCCTTGATCTGGACACTATACTTCTGTTGATGCAGCTTAGAATAGCATTAGGTTTTTTTGCTACTGCATCACACTGTTGACTCATGTGAAGCTTGTGGTCCACCCAGATCCCAAGATCCTTTTCACATGTACTGCTAGTAAGCCAGGTGACCCCCATCCTATATTTGTGCATCTGGTTCTTCCTGCCTGAGTGCAGAACCTTACATTTGTCCCTATTGAAATTCATTTTGTTAGCTTGCACCCAGTTCTCCAATCTGTTACGGTCATTTTGAATTCTGATTCTGTCTTCTGTGGCATTAGCTACCCCTCCCAGTTTGGTGTCATCTGCTAGTTTGATGAGCATCCCCTCAATTCCTTCATCCAAGTCATTTATAAAGATGTTAAACAACAACGGGCCCAGGACAGAATCCTGCGGCACCCCACTTGTCACTTTTCCCCAGGATAACAAGGAACCATTAATGAGTACTCTTTGGGTTCGGTCAGTCAACCAGCTACAAATCCACCTAACAGTTACCTTGTTCAACCCACATTTTATCAGCTTCCTTGCGAGAATATCACAGGGGACTTTGTCAAAAGCCTTATTGAAATCAAGATACACTGTGTCCACAGCATTTCCCTGATCAAGTTTGTAATTCCATAAAAAAGGAAAGAAATCAGATTGGTCTGGCATGACTTATTTTTGAGAAACCCATGCTGGGTCTTGGTAATCACAGCATCCTTTTCTAAATGCTCACAGACTGACTATTGAATTATCTGTTCTGGGACCTTCCCTGGTATCAATGTCAAGCTCACCGTTCGGTAGTTACCTGGGTCTTCTTTTTGAAAATGGGGACAACATTTGTCCGCCTCCAGGCTGTGGGGATCTTACTTGTTCTCCAAGAATTATCAGAGATAATAGACAAGGGTTCTGAAATTACATCCGCAAGCTCCTTTAGTACCCTTGGATGCAGCTCATCAGGCCCTGGAGATTTTTCCCCAGGGAAATTGCTGGGACCAGAATCAGGACCTGAAAAGTCTGGATCTGTGCCTTGAAAGCACAGCGCGAAGGTTGTGTGGATAAGCCTTCACTCTGCACCATCAGCTTGTGGCAATGTTCCCCTCTTTATTGTGAAAGGTTTTGCTTGCCAACGGTTGCAGGTCAAGCTGTTGCTAAAAGCAGAAAAGCAGTTCATGCTGGGTTTTGTTGGGTCGGTTGGCACCCCTAGCTGGATTTCCACACAGCAGGCACTCCAGGAAAAACTCAACCATGTTCCGTCATAAAACAACAACACAACAGGCTTTTTTTGCAGCTAGGAAAATGACAAGGCAATGCACAGAAAATTGCCGGGTGGACAAACAATTAATGGGAAGATATGTAAACACCCCACAAGCAAGCCAGGATCTATGCTCATTGTCGTAACACTGCCTTGAAAACAAGTCACAACAAATGCTCCATAAGGAGAAAACATAGTCTGACATCCGCATAAACTTTGGGTAAGCAAATCATGATGAATAAACAGGTTTCCTGGAGGTGCCCCCTAACATGAATTCCAATCATAGTCATCATTCTGGCTTCACCCCACTTCCAACAGCCTCCAGAAGCTAAATCTTGGAGCAATAAACTAGAGGGAGCCTTAATGCCATAAATGGATTTCTTGGCCTCTTTTTATGTTTAACAAAAGGCAGCTGTAAGGTGAGGGGGAAAGCTATATGGGTTGGGACCACAGCAGAAGGGAAAGGGGGTTCAGCCTCCTCTGCACCATTTTATTGCCAAATGTCCCCCCCCCCCAGCTGCTATTCAGGACGAACCCAATATATTTTGCTACCTGAGACAGAACAGCAAAGAACAGCAACCCTCTCCTGCCCCCGCCCCCCACTGGAGGAAGGTGCACGTTACCCAAGACAGGTCAGCCAAGTTATTTTGGCAACAGAGGCAGAAAAATCTCACAAGCACCTCTTCCATTCCTTGGCAGTAAAAATGTAAACAATGCTTTAAAAAAAACCCCAAACAGCCATTAGATGCCCTTTCTTGACACCCCCGATGAGGGCTGGGGAACCTGTGGCTCCAAATATATTGCTGATACCCCCCCCAATTAAATG